ATAACTTCAGCCTTCGTTTCCTCCACCTTGTGGACAGGCTTGGTAACTTCGACCTCAGCTTCCTTGTGCTCAACTTCAATCACCAATTCACTATCAACCTTCTCAAGCTCGGTGTGGACTTCTTGCTCGGAAGACTTGATGATGGTATCGATACGCTCTTTGACAGATGCACCAGTAGCCTTGCCGGATGATACAACTTCAACAGTGACGGCTTGGACTTGGGCAGAGCTCTTCAAAGCAGCCTTCTTGGCCAATTCGGTGGATGCAATAAGTTGTTCCTTGACGATGGTGGAAGCACCAGTGGTCTCAGTCTTCTTGCACGTCTCTTGCAATTGAACTTCAATATCGGCATTGGCCTTGGCAACAATAGCCTCGACTTGCTTTTGATCACCACCTTGTTCAACACATTCGGCCACATCAAACTTGAGCTTAGCCAACCAAGAGCTGATGGTCTTCTTGACATGGGTAGCAGCACCAACAGCAATGACACCACCAGCAACCACAGTACCAGCAACAACCTTTCCAATGGTGTGGTCATGCTCAGAGACCTTCTTGCCGGTATCCACTTCAACAGTGCTAGTTTCCTTGCCTATATAGAAAAACCAACATGATTAGCACATTGCCACACGATATACCATAATACAATAAACATACCAATTTCAGTGGTCTTTTCAACCTTGCCAATGGCAACAGCACCCGTCTCAGTGGTAACCTTTTCAACATCAGTCTTCTTGTCGGCTTCGACCTTGGTCTTTTCAACCACAGCACCAGTATCCTTGTGCACATGATCTTGAGAATGATGCTCCTTATGATCGTCAGCCTCCTTCTTATCGTGATGATGAATAACGGCAGCACCAGCGACACCAGCAGCAATAGCACCACCAATGCCAGCGGCAATGCCGATCTTAGAATGGTGATGTTCCTTGTCATGGTGTTCAGGCTTCTTAGCATGCTCATTGTCGCCAACAATAGCAGTAATAGTATCACCCTTCTTGACACGATCGCAATGGATGATGGTTTCTTGCTTGAAAGATGATGCAATATTCTCCAACTTGGCAACCTCCGTAGTGTCCTTAGAAGCAGCAATTTGCTTGACCTCCTTGAAACGGATTCTAGCCTTGGCACGGAGAGCTTCCAATGCTTCAATGTAATAGGTACGGCGCTCAAGCTTGGTATCACCTTCAAACTTAGCCTTGGCTTGGTCAATGATGACAGTGAGTTCTTGTTCGGAAGATTCGATATCCTCGACCTTAGCACCTTGCTTGGAGACGCGACCAATGATGCCATAGAACCAAGTGTACACAGTGGTTGTTGTTTCTATATAGTGTACGTTAATATATGATACCCAGCCTTATTACATGTGTAATGCTTACCCTCAATAAAGGTCACAGCCTGCTTGTCATTATGAATAACTTCCACATGTGTCGATTCCTTGTAGCCAACAGCCTTAGTAACGTCATCAGAGGTGACAATGACACCAGCCTTGCACTTGTCTGTCGTATCATTCACTTGTTGGACTGCAGTCTCAGAAAGCTTGGTGAGCTCTTGCTCGATGACCTTGACGTCCTCGGACTTGGTGGCAATGATCTTGAGTTGCTCCGTGTGATGACAAGTGGTGGTTTCAATCCAACCAAATGCTTGTTCAAATGATACTTCCTCAGCAGTGGTGGTAGTGGTCAAATGAGTGCAAGCTTGTTTCTTGGTATCCACATGAGTCTTGAGCTCAGCTTGTGCCTCAGCAACAATAACATCGACATCTTGCTTGACGTTTTCACCACCTTGCTTGATACGATCGGAAACACGGCGATTGAGACGAGTGAACCAATCAACAACATAGCCACGGATTTCTTCAGCGGCAACGGCAATAGTCACTGCACCAGCAGCAACAGCTGCACCTGCCTTGATGGTATCCTTGTGCTTGTGAGTCTTCTTGCGATCATCAATCTTGTACATGACTTGATCAAATTGCTCGGCAACATCCAATCGCTCGGTAGAGCCAAACGACAACTTGAGATACTTGCGTACAGATTCATCGGTGACGTTTTCAACCTCGGCATAACGCTTGAAACGCAACAAGTAAGCAAGGATGCTAGCACGGATGGTCTCGATTTGGTATTCAATGCGACGGCGCTCGACAACAGAAAGGCCAACGGATTGCTTGCGAAGTGAAAGCTTGACTTCCTCAAGCATGCCGGTAAGAGTGATTTGTGCTGATTCAGTGATGATCAATGCATTTTCCTTGGCATTAGGTTGCTGTTCCTTGTCCTCATAGCATGCAGTGATCTCACGCACAAGATGAGCATACCAGCTCGTAATGCGGATCTTGGTTTCAACCAACTCAGTGGACACGTGATCCAAAATAGCCTCCTTCTCAGCCTTTTCAACCACCACCACGGTCTTGTCATCCTCTTGTTGCTCATCATGGCTAAGGATGGCATGTTGACAATCCTCGACTTGGGTAACGAGAGCATCCTCACTTTCCTCAATAAGGCCGACGAGATGTTGTTCTTCGAATGAGGTAGTGGATACAACATGTTGAACTTGCTTATCAATGCGATCGAGCACACCAGTCACCGAGCCATGTACAGTGGTGCCAACCAATTTCCATGATTCGGATGATTGAACAGAGGTACGAGTAGTGTCGATCTCAGTCTTGAGTTGCTGGTGTTCTTGTTCAACAATCTTCTTGAGCTCTTCATCCGAGGCACCATTCTTCTTGGCTTGAATCAACTTTTTACGCAAAGACACGAGCCAATAACGCACAGTGATACTAATGGTGGTAACACCAACAAGCACTTGTTCCTTAGCATAACGAGACTCCTCCTTTTTGCTGATCACTTGAGTCGTGGTGGTATCAACCAATCCAAGCTCGGTGCGGCTTTCTTTGTCCACTGAGGATTGAATCTCGCCGTAGGTGTTATCAATAATCGATTGGATACCAAGCTCCTCAAATGAGATGGTGTCATTGTCCTTGTGCGACTTGACCTTGGTCAAAATGGTCTCGAATAATTGCAAATGCAACACGTGCTTGACATGTTCAACAACAGTGAGATCGGCTGCACCATGTTCATTGTCCAATCCACGATAAAGAACACGCTTGCATTCCTCGATAGTAGCCACCAATTCAGCCTTGTTCTTGCATTGACGGAGACGGCGAATCAAATACATACGCCAACGCAAAGTGATGGTCCAAATCTCGGCACTGATCACGACCTTCTTGAGATTCTTGGAAGATTCTTCGGTGGTGGTAGTCGTAGTGGTATTGTCAATCTCAGCATGCACCTCGTCAACTGTATCAAGCTCCATATCGACATTGGCCACTGATTGATGATGTTGTTGTCCAACGGCAGCAGCCACTTCGGTGGTAGTGGTTGAGGATCCAGTAGATGCAGCCACCTTCTTTTTGCCAAACACAGGCACAGCAAACTTCCAACGAATAGCATGTTCAGTGCTATCAGCCACAGGAGCCAAAACAAGTGCCGTTTGATTGACAAGCTTATCCGAACGGAAGCCAAGTGACAAACCAGGATATCCTTGGAGACGAATCATGCCATCCGCTGTCAAGAACCACTTGAGACTAGCCGTTGTCTTGAGATGCAATCCAATCTTGGCCCATGGAGCAATACCTCCTATATTTCCATATTAATATCCCATATAAACAACATGCACAATGAGAGAAAGTTCGATTTACCTTGAATGCTCATCACCATTTGGGTACCATAATTGTACAATAAGCCATCACGGAAAGTCCATAATTGGGTTCTGAAATTGGTGTATGAAATCTTTTCAACAGAGAGGGACGCACCAGGAGCAGCCTTGCTAGCAGCCAACACCAAATCGCTATTCTTTCCATCATCCACCTTGACAAAGAAGCAGTCGTTGGCAGGGAAAATAGCACGTTGCACAGTGAGAGTCATGGTCTTGTAGGCAGTGAGCTTCTGCTTGGCAGCGTAAGCGGATGCTGCAGTATAAAAGGCCTTGACATCATGTTCATGGTCGTTGTTGGCGAAGGTGGGTGTGTGCAATTCGAGAAGGCTGTCAGTAGCTGATTGGGCGCTCTTTTCATCTTCGGTGACATCGAGCTCAAAGTGACCAGCTGCATGGCGAACGATACGCAAGTAGTAAATGGTGGTGCGGATACGAATGGTCAATAAGCCATTGGTGGAAATATGGCAAGTCTGCTCAGCAGTGTCATTGGCATCCGAAAGAACCCATTGGCGAGCTATGAAATTTACATTAATGCATTGTTGAGGACATTGGATAAGAAATAAGAAAAGTAAAACTTACACTTTACGATATACACCAATCGTTGCATGTACTTGTAGTTGACCAAGTAGCCATCAATGTAGACCCACAAGAAGCGCTTGTAATCCACCTTGTCATTGAGGACGTAAACGCCAACTTCACCCTTTTGAGTACCAGCAGCGAGGAATGCATTGTCAGCGCCCATACGGATAAAGAAGCATTGAGAAGAGGGCCAAGCATCATGAGTGGTGATCTTGTAACGCAAAGTCTCACGTAACCAACGCATAGTGAACATCGAAGTGACAACAGCAGCTGCAGCAGTAGCTGTGGTAGTCGTAGGAGATGAAACCACCTTCTTGCCAGCTTGAACAATCTTGACACCACTCTCCTTCTTTTCAACAGGGATCAAAGATGGCACAAGGATCTCCCAACGTTGTTCAGGGCGAGCACCATTCTTCAAGTTGCCATGCGTCTTTTCTTCTTGGATGAAGACATCGATCTTGCTGTGGCTGCCACGCTTAAGTTCCTTGAGAGAAAGCACGAGGGTACGTTTGGCACGCAAATAGACAAGGCCATCAGAGCTGAATTCCCATTGTTGATCATCGGCAGAGGATCCAGAGCGAGTTGACAAATGAAGACGTTCACCAGCAGTGAGATTGTCTGATTCTGAAGCATCCAAGACAAGAGTTTGACCCTTGAGATTGATCAAGAAACCATCACGGAAGGACCACAATTGACTAGCAAAGTCGGTGGATCGTAATTGAGAGAGAACGATATTGCTTCCATCATTGACAGCACCATCAACATCAAGCACGTAGCCATGGAGATCATTCTTGATGATAAAGTAGCCAGCAGTAGGGAAACCACCATGATGCGTCTTGTATCTCACCACGCGTTCAAAACCAGTAGGGACATAGTCATCCGATGACGTGAAGGAGTCCTTGCGTGAAGAGCGAGAAGAACGCGAGCTATTGGACTTGACACTTCTTGTGCTTGAAGAAAGAGTCTCCTTGAGCTTGTTCTTGCCAATGCTGGAGGTGACATCGAGAGAAGCGACTGAATCGGTGTCTGTATCATACACAGTGGAAGCATCGTCGTCATCTTCATAGTCGGATTCGTCGTCGGATTCGTTATCAGACTCATCGCACTCATCGACGGTAATCTTTTGTTCCTCGGTCTCCTTGATTTCGGCTACTTGAGAGGCAGTGGACACGGTGCCATAGATCGGCTTGGAGAAGCCCCATCGCATCCATGCATCGGAATGGAGAACAACTTGTTGCTTGCCAGCTTGTTCGGTCTTTGATACGCGAAGCTGCTTAAGACCCACTTGTGCACCAGCGAAAGAAGCGCGTTCTTCTGAAGCAACACCGACCACCATGCGTTCATTACCACGAAGGTGGATTTCTCCATCCACACCCAAAGACCAGTATTGGGACTCTTCTTCACTCACAGCACGTACAAACAATTGAGTCTTGAGGCCATATTCCAAGAGCACTTCACGTAAAGTAGCACTATCCAAAGCCAATCCAGTTTGCACATTGATAAGATGGCCTTCTTCATAACGCCACAATTGCCACTTGTACTCCTTGAAATTCAATGCACGCACGGTGACAGGGTACTCCTTGACATCATCGCCTTCTTGCTTTTCAACAGTCAATGCAAGACGTTCAGATCCATGACGAATACGGATAAAGAGTTCTCCTGAAGGGAACACACCCCATCGACGAACAATGGTACGCTTCTCGACACGTTCATAACGTTCACGATCAGCATACTCAAGAGATGCATCACCCACATCTTCAATAATAGTGCTGCTACGGCTGATGGATGCATGTTGTTGGGATTTACCAAAGACAGGTACAGCAAATGTCCATTGTTGATAATCGGCAGACAAGGCACCACGCTTTTGGAGTTGCAAAGTAGCACCTTCCTTGGCTTCATCATTCTTGGGTGACAATGCAAGACTTGGGCGACTCAATGGATGAATATGACCATCAACAGACAAGCCCCATTGTTGGTTCTTGCGACTACGCCACATGTGCTTCTCATGATATTGAATCACATTGCAACCAGGCATCAACTTGCCACCAGCAACATCCATCACCAACTTGGTCTCAACGTTATCCAAAGAACCATCCGAAGGATCGCTGGTCCACAATTGCTTCTTGTAGTTCTTGTAATCGATCTTGGCAAGTACAAGCTTCTCGCCTTGGGATGTAGTCTTAGCTGTCACCACAAGTGACTTATCGTGCTTGGAACGAATAAAGAAGGGATCCTTAGGGAAGATACCATACTTTTGTGTCACCAACTTGTGAGTCGTGCTGCTAGCTGCTTTGTAATAAAAAAATGTATATGAATATATGGTTGAATGGCATGTTGTTATCAATGATCATCCCTTACCCTTTGAAGAAGCATTGCGCCAATTGAGAATGATCTTGTACAAGGTGATGATGACGAGAATTTCACGCTTGTGAATCTCGCTGTAACGACGTTCGTACTTGGCGTACGACAAGGTCCAGTCATAGTGATGCTTGCGGTATTTCTTGTAATCGCACAATTCCACAGAGTATCCTTCACCATGACGCACAAGGCTCAAACCAATGTAGTGGTAGCTCGATGAAACAATGGAGCCATTGGTCTTGAGGGTCCATAATTGGCGATCATCGGCGGTGTTGCCATTCATCAACTTGCTACGCAAAATAAGCTTGCTACCATGGTGCAATCGATCTAATCCCAAACACGTTAAAGCTCATGGCCAATTTCGGTCTAGCGATAAAAAAACTTACCATCAGCATGAAGCACGAGACCGGTAGCAACGTGCAACAAATAACCACCATCATACTTCCATTTGAAGTTTTCGGCATCAGCATCCTGCATACGAGTCAATGAGACAAGCGAATAGGCCTCAGCCTTGTGAGGAGCCAAAGCATAGCCATCAGCATCGGAAATGATGAATTCATCTTCAGGCCAGTAAGCGAGTTGGGAGACAGTACGCATGTTGGAAGACTTGGCGGACCATTCTTTCAAGTGAGCAATAGTCCAGCGTACAAGAATTTGCATTTGGTTTTGTGTAGACATCTCAGGCAACAACAATCCCCAGCTATGCTCCTTCTCATAGGTGCGATGATCAACCATTGACAATTCATACTTGCCATCTTGCTCAGCCGCCTGCGGTGCAAGGACAAGAGTCTGCTCCATGCTGTTAACGAGATAGCCATCAATGGTAAGCATCCATCGTTGACGACGAGGCTTGGATTCACGTTCAACAAGTTTCAAAGATGAGCCTTCAGTAACACCTAAACATGGGATGATGAGTATAGGATGAAGGTTACCTTTGGTAATACACTTACTGGAAACATCAATAGCCAAATGATTGGCGTAGCTGATCAAGGCACCATCAACATAAGTCCACAACTGTGTTTGCCAATTTTCACGGTCGAGAGCAGCAATGGCAATAGAATTGGATTCCTTGACAGCAGTAAGCACAAGAGGCTCTTCCTTGGTAGAATGCTTGACAAAGGCCTTAATAAAGAACCAGCCTGAGGGATATTGTGCGTAGCGATAGGTGATAGTCTTTTTGATGGTTTTGGTAGTGGTGGTAGTCGTAGCAACACTACGAGCGGTATCTATGATACGTATGTGTTAAAGGCAATGTATGAGGTATATCTTTAAAATTTTCTTACCTTGCTTCTTTTTGAACACTGGCAACACAAAGTTCCAACGCTGAGCCTTATTCTCCGTTGAGCTCTTGTCAGCAAGATGAATGTACGACTTGCCATCACGTTCCTTCACAGAGATAACAAGCGATGCTTGAGATTGCACATAAATGAAGCCTTCAGAGGTCAATGCCCACATTTGGTTATCGTTATGCTTCTTCTTTTGATCATAGTGGCAAATAGCTGCACCACTGGCAATGGCATCTATATACGTTTGATCTGTGAGCAACCATAAAAACCAACCACAACCTATGTAACACCATACCTCCTCGGACATCCAACACCTTGCCGGAAGCCTTGTTGATGAGGAAGCCATTCTTGTGTCTCCACAGCTGTCGCGAGTAATTGGAAGTATCAAGCTTGCCAACAATAATATCAAGATCATCGGTGGCAGTAACGATTTCACCACTTGCTTGATTCTTGACAAAGAACCAACCATCAGGGAAGGTGCCTTGTTGTTGCTCAGAAGCTTGTTCAACGGTCTTTTTCTTGTAAATGGGAAGCACAATGGTGAAACGTTGAGTGTCTTGAAGCTTGGTCTTCTTTTGGATATGGATGTGGGCACCTTCACGAGCCGTAGAAAACCAGCTCTCCTTGATACCAAGTACCCACGAATCATCTTGCTTGAGGCATACTTCATTGTTGACGGATAAGATCCATTCTTGATGCTTGTTGCCATCACGAGGTTTGGATTGGCATGCATATGCATCATCCTTAAGACCTTCAAGATCAAGTACCATGCCTGAATGCTTGTTAATAATACGGCTGGTAGCCTTATCATAGGTCCATAGTTGACTATCATAACCACCGGACTTGTGGAGCGTGTCAATCACGAGACGACCACCTGCTTGAGACATGCTAGCAGCCTCAAGGCCAATGAACAACCCTGTATGCTTCGACTTTAGGAAGAATGGTGTATCAGGGAAGGTGCCAGCAGGAAGGCTGTGGTTCTCATCTTGGCCTAGACTCGATGAAGTGGACGAGGATACAACCGAACGAGCATCTAAAAATACACAATGCATTGGTTGGTTGGTTATTGCCGCGGATAAGGGTTTTTGCTTTTGTTTCTTTTTTTCTTCTTTTACAATGACTTACCATCTTCTTTGATTTGAGAGATGCCTTTGCTAAGAGGCTTGGCACCAGCAGCAGCGGCACTGCTTCCGACAGTGCTAGAAGAGCTGCTCCGCTTGAGTTGAGCAGATGATGCTGTGGACGAGGACTTGACTACAGGTAACACAAAGTTCCAGTGTTGTGCGTTACTGCGCTTGGAAGCTGCCTGAAGATGCACATGCAACCCCTCATTGCGTGAAAAGAATGACTCCTTGATGCCGAGTACCAAAGATGGTTTTCCCTGCACACAAATATGGCCATCCTTGGAGATCTCAAATTTTTGCGAGTTTTCGGTCTTGGCTTGGATAATCTCGGCACCTGCCTTGAGACTCCCTGTATACACACAAATCATTAGCGACAACTTGTCATTTACTACGTGCTACACGAAATAGGTGTGTGCTTCGGTGATATGCCAAAATCATATGACCCCCACGTTGTGCAACATAAAGCATGTCGGTTATCCATCCGAGCTTTGCATGCAAGGCTTTAAGTGTGATCCCATGACACCCACACATACACACCCAGCTCACTCGAAACTAGATTTTCTCGCTGTGTTGCCCGCCCAAAGAAAAATAAAGAAAATCTTGTGTGATTTACACGTCAACTTTACCTTTAGCAACATCCATAACAAGGCCGCTTTCCTTGTTAACCAAAAGACCATCGCCTTCATGACGCCAAAGTTGAGAATTGGGGTCGTTGTTGCGAAGCGTAGCGATCACAACGTTAGCTCCATCAGCGTTCTTGGACGCAGTAATAACAAGGCCATTGCTATTCTTGATAAAAAACCAGCCTATGTTTTCAAATGTATGTGTGTTAAGCTAAACACACTTTTCGCAGTAATCTCTTTCATCTTACTCAAAGGAAATTGCAGCGACATGATGATAACGACAACTGCTCAATAAAGGTATATATCGAAGGGTGATATAGGATCGCTTCTTTTTCGAAAGGGTATCTGCTTTTTAGGTATAGCAAGATGAAGCTGTGCTTATGGGTAGAAAGCAAGCTGTGCAGGTGAGGAAAAAGAAAAAGAAAAGAAGCACAAGATGTAATCGTGTGATGGATAGCACAGTGGAAATAATTGTTTCGAGATGATGATCGGCTCTGTCAGGCTCTCTCAATCTTTGCTCCCCCCAATGCAATGAAGCATCAAACACCAGGGAACACACGTACACACAACACCTACTTGCATCTTTTCTTCACACATACAGTATTACGGGGGGTGATGAAGCGGTAAAAGGGAGCTTGCATTGTGACACGTATACGCGTTCAAAGGCTGTGTCACAACCATAACAAACTTGAATCTCGTCCGGTCATCAAATCATGCTAAATGTTAAATCGTCAACACCAGCCTCTTTGACGGGCGAGAACTACTATGCAGCAACTATGCTCTTTGGATTAGGTGGTACATGTACACCTCTTGTACGATCCACCCCCTTCTCGTCACACCATAAATCTTTATTTGCCCTGTTAACATGAATTCGGCCGCGCCTATGTGTGTGTTGCAGTATGTCCCATCCTTCACCCCCAAAACCCAAACTTTATTGTCATCCACGCGATGTATCTTTGATAGTGTAAAGCGCGCGAAAAAAATCGATTCCGCCGAGTAAAAGAGAGAGATGAATGATGATGATCTGTAACATTTTGGGGATCATTGGATCGAAAAATTGGTATCGTATTCAATCTCAAATGCATATTGCAACGGACGATCATGCCAAGCTTGGTACACATTTATACAACAACTCGTGAACATAACACAAAGGATTGATGTATGTGTGAGTGTGTATGACCTTCCTTTTCTTTTCATATCCCCCTCAAACACCCATCGATAATGGATCTCATTTGGGGGTTGACAAGATGGCAATGGGCGTCGTTGATGATGAAGCACCATCATCAACAGCAGCATACATCCCGAATTAAAGCATGTAAGGGATACAACTGGGGGAGGTCCCAACATCAAAGCCTAAGCTGATAACTTTTTTACAATATAAGGGAAGATATGAATAGGAATCAGGGGGGCTTGTAAGTTGGTGGTAATGGTGTGGCACCAAAAAGACACCGACGACAACATCGGGAAGCATTGCTGTTGGTGGTGGTGTTGCTGTAGTGCTGTCAAGATACTATACGAGAGGGAAGTTTAATCCGCTCAAGTGACGCATGATGTGCACACCCCCCTTTCCAAACATTGACGACCAAAATCATTTCCCGCGAACAAGTGTATGGTGTTGTTTGTTTGATACATACATGCAGTCTTCTCTTTTTATTTTCGGGTACATATTTTTATGGCAATGTTCAACTTGGTCCTTATGCAAGTTGACGGCTACAGCAGAACCAATAATGTGTATCGAGATGACTAGGTATCATGGCAACTGTCACCTGGCAACCAAATCTCATTCAACCTCCCCGTTTGATTATCGCCACCTGTTGCACGATATGCCCAGACTGTGCATCAAGATGGCCATTTTAGGGAATTAGAGACCTTCAGCACAGCAGCTTTTGCATCGAAAAAAAAATGGACCGTTTGTCTTCCGGAAGACAGCTGCCGCCGGCTGTTGTATTGTGTGTATCATTACCTTGCAACCCACAAATATGATACCCCTGCAGAGAGACACCGTGCATCGTTGCAGTTGGCATTGGTTCTAGACTAAGCCAAGCAATGATCAGCTCTTTGGAACATGTGCATGATGCCTTTTGAATGAAACCATGATACACACAACACGCAATTGTCGCATCTATCATCCGGTTTGGTAAATGTGGTCTTTCTCTTGGATGATTTCTATGTGCTCGGTTGCACTGCAGTAGTTGCAACGCTTAACGGCATTGCACAAGGAGGCGATCAATACCAGATTTAGGTTAATTGGAGCTGACACCGCTCTCTTTCAACTATACAATGAGTATTGTAATATATCTCTGACGCATGAAAAAGCGTTAGAAAACGCATTACGTTACCAGCGCTTGTGATGACGATTGTGTGTGGCGACCAAACCAACCTATCTTTGGCCATGTGACATTTTATTTCATCCAAGAAGCGCGCCATTTTCTAATGTACACACGCCCACTGCATTATGCCTACCATGGTAAAGCTCACACACCATACACTAGTAAATCGATCCCTTTAACTTTTTTGTCATCATCCATTTCCATCTAATGCATACACTAAATCCATTTTCTTGCAAGAAGAGCTATCACAAAACCAATTTGAATTGGGTTTGGCCATTCGACAAGGACACGAGGAGCGCCTTTCTACTCTTGTAATAGCAGCAGTGCCCGTACAACAAGCGAACGTGCTACCATTGTATTACGTTGTGCATATCCCAACATCTCGGTTAAAGAATAAGAAAAGTAAAAAAGGTGAACGGGGATCGATGTGGGCCGGTTGAAAGGAAAATTCGTTATGGATCATGATTGCTCACAAAATAAATGACTTACATACAACTTGTTGCTGTGTAGCGCGATACTAAGGTTGTTGGCATTATTAAGGTCGGGGTGTATGTGGGTGTTGTAGTAGTGGTGGTGGATGCCATAATGGATGACAGCCACAAATGCAAACACTTTGCTTCCACCATCATGCGATGTGCTGCTACTTTCAGTAGTACACGCCTCATTTTTCTCACATCATGCGTATCGGGGAAGCGAAAGCATAAATGTTCCTTGTACTGCGGAAAAAGTTAAATGCAGTGGCACAAGCAAATTGCGCGCGCGGTATGTATTGTGTCAATCCTTTGTTATGTTTGGTAATTCATTCATGCGAAATGCTGATGGTGGTGTAGCTCCATGTACGAGCATGTGTGCGTGTGTGCGATTAAAAAACTACGTTTACGCCATGTTTGCTTGGTGCAGTAGTCGAAACAATCAGTGATACCATCTCATTATTAACCTTGATGATAATGAAAAAATGGTCGCGTGGTATTTTGGTATGCCTTCTTTATCGATCATGGTTCTTTCTTTCTTCTATGGAACAATGAATCCACTTCTTCAAGCCCCATTGTCATCATCGGGATACATGAAACCTGTGTACCTGCATACATAGATCAACAAGCAAATATCATCTGTGGTGGCGATGTTGTTGTATAGTACAATAATAATAATGTTGGCCCTTAGCCTTGCCATGTGATGATCGTCCTGCAGGCAATTAATGGTTTCATATCTCTCATTTGCAATTGAAAAGAGGTATGCATGAGCAAGGGGTCTGAAATTTGATGCAGAGCATGCCAACTTGTATATGCACACGCACATTCATCATCCATCTAACTTTTTCAATAGCAACGCTGTGCGTGCGTGCATACAGTTGCAAGCATCGGTTGAAAAGACCAAGAAGGGAAAAAGCTGGTTGATGGGCGTAAAGGGATGTGCACATGATCCCGCGTGTCTGTAACAGCGCAGGTGGTGCTAGTGGTGGCTGATTGATGGTTTCAGACGATAAAGCATGATCATTTCTTGATGGCTTTAACCATGACAGCTGCAATGCAATATCATGGAGATGAGGAAAAGCATGAACCTTATAGCTTCGATTCATCTTTGAGAATCATTATTTCATTCACGTAGTCTTCTATGCTTCGTAATTCTACCATGGTGTATGTTGTATGATTCATCTTCTTACTCAAAAAGTAGGATCTTACAGTAAGCAAGTTAAAAAATGATCGTAGCTTCTATGTGTCATTGTGTTCTCCTGGCGAACATAGGCAGAAAATTTAATGATAGCAATAATGGACATGAAATTGATGGATGCAATGAATGCTTTTTGTGATCAGCGATCATTATAAACGCAATCGATGTGGATGAATGTGAATGAACAACATGAGAGAATACATGAATTTCGTTACAAGACAACCATTTTACATACAATAGGATTAATCAAGATGAATAGCTACGTTGTTCGATGATAAAGTACGGTAGTATTGTGCTTTATGGTGCTTGTAGTAATGGTGGGAAGAAGACTAAAGATCTCATTTGCAGAAGCTCGACATCTTGGGAAGTAGAGGTTAAAGATTCAACGATACTACAATCCATCCAATGTGAATGATGAAGAAGATACAAGGAGGGTGTAAAATAGATGATAGTGGGTTTATTGAATGTGGCAATCAGGATGTCAATTCATTGTAAAGGTGGGAAGATGTGTGTGGGATAAAGAAAAAGAAGGCTGGCATGAATCATCTCCAATGGCCAAGCCCACACTACAATGTTCTCAACGCACGCACCAATGGTAATGCTTCCTGAGATGCATTTTCAAAGGGAGTCACCGGTAATACAACAGCAAGAAAAATACTGTGGGCTCCTGATTTCATTGTTATTGTTGTTTTGCTATAGCAAAGACTATGTCGTCGTACTCATCATACTATTCGTCCCGCGATCACCACCACGGATCTGGTTACTCATCTGGCGGTGGACGAAGCAGCAGCAGAGGCTATGATGGCTATTCAAGCAGAAGCTCTCGTGAGCATCGTGAGGCATCTCCTAGAAGGTCCTCCAGCCGGTAAGTCGTTGTGTGTGTGCCAAGTAGTCAATCTATACCTTGACTTACACAAGTTGTGTCTTTTAGCTACGATCATCGTTCCTCAAGCCGTGACGACCGTGCCAATCGCAGCAGTGATAGACATCATGACCGAGGAGGCCATTCGTCATACAGCTCATATCGATCATCTCATGACTCGTACCATCGTAGTGGTGGTAGTGGTGGAGGCAATAGCGGCAGCGGTGGATACAGTAGCTATGGCAGCGGTGGCAATGCTAGTGGATACGGTGGCAACAACAGCAGCAGCTATGGTGGCGGTGGTGGATACGGCGGCAGCAGCGGTGGTGGATATGGCAGCTATGGTGGTGGATACGGCGGCGGCAGCAGCTTCGGCGGTGGCGGTGATCGTATGAGTCAACTTGGCAGTGGTCTCAGGGATATCCAATGGGATCAAGTATCTCTTCCCAAGTTTGAAAAGAACTTTTACAGTGAACATCCCAATGTTGCCGCTCGTAGCGATGCCGACGTGGCCAAAATGCGTGGTGATGCCAACATGACAGTAATCGGCCATGATGTCCCCAAGCCATTGAAGACTTTTGACGAAGCCAATTTCCCATCTTACGTCATGAAGGAGTTACAGCAACTTGGATTTTCAGCACCTACCCCTATTCAATGCCAGGGTTGGCCTATGGCTCTTAGTGGTCGTGATGTTGTTGGTGTTGCTGAAACTGGCTCAGGCAAAACACTTGCATACACTCTTCCTGGTATCGTTCATATCAATGCTCAACCTCTTCTTGAACCTGGTGATGGCCCTATCGTCCTTGTACTCGCACCCACTCGTGAATTGGCTGTGCAAATTCAACAAGAATGCACAAAGTTTGGTCGTAGCTCTCGCATCAAGAATACTTGTTTGTATGGTGGTACTTCCCGTGGTCCTCAAATCAGAGATCTTGCTCGTGGTGTAGAGATTTGCATTGCTACGCCAGGTCGTTTGATTGATATGTTGGAAGCTGGCAAGACAAACTTGCGTCGTGTCACCTATCTCGTTCTCGATGAAGCTGATCGCATGTTGGATATGGGTTTCGAGCCTCAAATTCGCAAGATTGTCAACCAAATTCGCCCTGATCGTCAAACCCTCATGTGGAGTGCTACATGGCCAAAGAGTGTTCAACGTCTCGCTGAATCATATCTCAAGGATTACATCCAAGTCAACATTGGTTCTCTCTCACTCAGCGCATCCAAAAACGTCACACAAACGGTTGAAGTGTGTACAGAGCCTGAAAAGCGTACCAAGTATGTATTTATTCAATCACATTTGATATGAAATCCTAACGTAGTATCTTGTATAGGCTCATCCATCATCTTGAACGCATCATGGAGGAACCAGAAACCGAACGCAAGACTTTGATTTTCACGAGCACAAAACGCACAGCTGATGACATTACACGATTCCTGCGCCAAGATGGTTTCCCAGCATTGGCTATCCATGGTGACAAGCAACAAAATGAACGTGATTGGGTTTTGGGTCAATTCCGTTCCGGTGGTCATCCTATTATGGTTGCTACAGATGTGGCATCACGTGGTATCGGTAAGTTCATTTCTATATGATGAGGAAAAGTGCAACTATCCCTAGGGGTCCCGTATCCCATATGCATGCCGGTCAGCAGCAGCAGTAGCAGCGGCACAAAAAAGGATATTTGGTTTGTCAGGAAGAGAGAGAGGGAGGGAAATGACCTGTTTTCGCTGCATATGCACATACACACACACACACAAACACACACATATCCAACAACTGGTGCGTGGGATCATCGAGTTATCTTCCATCACTTTCCACAAGCTTTGATTCGTCCTTCAAAAGACAATTGCTTTTTGGATCGTTTTCTTTGGGCATGCCATCTTGTCAGCTAACCCCTTTCATGGTACGCTCAAAGAGAGAGAGAGGATCGAGATCATTTCATCGCGCATGCTTCGTGTTTCTGCAGCGGCTATTGGTTTTATTTTCTTTTCGAGTTGTTTTCTCTGCGTTGTCTCTTTCGCTTTGGTGTACGTACGCAAAAGACAGCTCTTATTCTTTCTACCATGATACATATTCCTTTCGTGATCTGCGTGCATTGGGGACTCTGATTTTCTTTGGAAAATGTACGGGAAAGGGGCCTTTCTTTTTTAACATTGTCGTTGAGAAAGGGCTTGGATTGACTTTAATTTTATTTATAGATGTCAAGGATGTCAAATTTGTCATCAACTATGACTTCCCTACCAACATTGAGGATTATGTCCATCGTGTCGGTCGTACTGGTCGTGGTGGTGCAAAGGGCCAAGCATTTACTTTCTTCACTACTGATAATGCACGACAAGCACGTGATCTCGTTGGTATTCTTCGTGAGACAAACCAAGTCATTGACCCTCGATTGGAAATGATGTCAACATCGTCTCATGGTGGAGGCCGTGGTGGAGGTCGTCGTGGTGGTTTCCGTGGTCGTGGTGGCGGAGGCTATGGTGGCTATGGTGGTCGTCAAGGTGGAGGCTATGGCGGCGGTGGCTATGGTGGCGGCTATGGTGGTGGTGCTGCTGGTAGATGGTAAAAGAAAAAGAACACCATACGACATCCATACTCTCTATACGCCCGTCTCCTCCTCATGTAGCTAGCTCATATCTTGCTTTCTTCCCTTTCGTTTACACTTCATGGCACTTTGCATTAGATCAATAGCGTAACAAAACAATCCTCTCTCACACATTACGTTCTAAACTTTAGCTTTTATCATTCTTTTTCCTTGCTCGATAAAAAATCCAACATAAACACTATTTTGACTTTGTTGTTGCCATTCCACTGATGTTTACTGCCATATCTAAAATGTAGCCGTATAGGCTTGTAGCGTAATACCCGCATTGTCAGTATCCAAGAAACTGCGTATCTCGCCATTCTCGCAACCCACAAGTTTTCAAAACAACAGCATCCCGTTAATTACAGCGGCGACTCGAGACAATGGGGTTTCTTTACCGATTTTCCAATTTGATAATAGTACATTGCCCTGCCACTAGTTAGGGATAATGTCGATTCCCATCAAAGAGACGAAAGCGTTTCTCCTTGTCATTGCCTTCATGTGTGTCGTGATCATACCCGGGATCGATACATTGTGCAGTGTAGGATACATTTCAACTTCCAATACAAAAAGAAAATGACAACTCGTACAACAAAGAAAATTTTTCCGCTGCTGAATTGAATGCATCAATGTCAAGTTTTTTATTGCTTATGCGATCAAATGTTCATTATGCTAGATCATGTCATGGATGAGAATGCATCATATGATATAAATGTGTGTGTGTGTGTATGTTGTAATGCAATAAGGAGGATGATTAATGTCGTGTATGCAAAGCGAAAAAATGAAGAAAGCATGTTGTTGGTGTTGTGCTGTTGATCCATGTGTATGTGCATGTGTGTATAAACGTTTTTGTGTGCATGTGCGTTGCCTTGAAAGAAAAAGCAAATGGCGGGTATATCTGTATATAGGATGGTCAACAGGATTTTGTAGATGGCGTGGTCCACCCATTGGCTTCGGCCACATAACGAGCTTGGGAATCGTAGGCAGTCATTTTCTGTGTCAGAGAACGTAACACGGATCCAATGCTGGAAGGCGTACCTATATCGTACATGATAAGCAAATCAATTCTTATTCATTCTTTCAATTGCCACACTTACCGGCTATGAATACAAAATGGATAACGGTCGTTTCGCCATGGGAGTGTTCTCCTGGTGGCTGAAAGCGACATACGAATGCAAGCCGCTCTTCTTGCTGTGATCGCCGAAAGGGTACCATACCTGTAAGCCAATGAGAATGGGCACGTTGTCAGTGAGTGAGTGTGTTGCAAAAATAAACCTTCTTTGTTTTATCGCCCATACTTTGTTGTTCCTCCTCCTTACATGCAATCATGGACCCAGACCAGATACCATTTTGCGCCCTATCAAGACGGCCATCAAAGTACTGTAAAAAAAAGGGGAGTACATACAATAATACGTCAGCAATGACATTATCCAATGATGATGGAATCTGGCGGAAGGAAAACTTACATCATGCAGTGTTTGTTGAAGCTTTCCTGCAGCTTCCCATTCACGTCGTGCCTGGCATTCTAGCCTGTAGATCTAAATAAAGACAACAACAACAACAACATGATGGATAAGTAAGTACCCGCAATAGTGCATCGGCATCCATTGATTGATGTATACCTTGTATGTGGTATGCTTGAGACAATGATAGTACCAATGTTCGCACCAAAGCCATACGTCTAATAGCCATTGGCACATCTTTGTTGTGTATGGCGATAAAAGAGATTGAACATCTTGATTCGTTGTCATGGCTGATCGATCAAAAGATGAAGATGATGTTGATGTTGAAGGCTGTTCCTGTTTTTGTGATGATGGTAGATGCTGTTGTTGCTGAGTAGTTGCTGAGGATAGGAGCGATACAGGGGTTGAAGATGATGATGATGCGACATCGGATCGATAGATGGGTGCAAAAGTAGATGCCCAAGCAGGCACAGTGGTGGATCGAATATGTTCATCAATCGAGATGTTAGAGATGCGTTGTGGTAAGCGTCCCTTCCGAGGAACCATTGACATGATCCATTGATGCTGTAAGGAGGAGACCGAAGATTGCTGTGGTTTGCTGCCGCCGATAGCAATATCGCCTACATGGTGTTCCTTTTTGGTAGTGCTGCATAAAAAACGGTGCATGAGTAACCTACATCCATCACACATACACACTAAAAGACAGCGACAACGACAACAAACGTACCATGTTTGCATATTTGGATCACAAGACGAGCATATTTGTAACGTAGATCCCTCGGTATCCAAGATGGATGATGCAGCACTATTGATCTTGGTGGTATCCTGGGTAGGTGTTGGTGGTAACTCATGCGTCTTCCTTATGGCTGAGAAGGAGCTGAAACGATCGTCTGATGAGACTGAAGTGCCTTTGGATAAACAACGACTAATGAGTATCTCCTCAATATCGTCTTGCGATGTCAAAGAAGCTGCCATGGAGCGTTTGAATGGAGGTGGATCTTCAGCTGTCGGCGTAGGAGGTGTCACAGGTGCCATGCTTGCTTTTTCTTCGCGTGAGCATTCTGCCATGACACGCTGCGTCCGTTGTTGTAGCAACTGGTATGTCAACTTTTGAACATTGTCCCTGGAGATGGTAGAGGAATACGTGCATCAGCAATAGAGAGGTATGGAAGAAGAAGGAAGAAAGAACGTGTTAAATTTACCCGTGACCCATGAGTGCAGCAATGATTTTTTCCTGGCCCATATCACGCCAAAGGACTTTGAGCGTTTCCCATATACGACCATCCAAGGCATGAGTGCTGGTGATTACAGGAGCATCCAATGATGGTAAATCCCAATCATAGTTCATCAAATGCTGATGCTGATGCTTGCTATTGTTTAGCCATGGATGTTGTAATACTTGTTGCATCTATATCGTTTGACGTCAGTCTTGTTTCATAGGATAGGATAGAGAGAGAGAGAGACTAGGATATAATTGGATATGAATAAACGCACCGTGATACGTTTCGATGGATCGTGTGTGAGCATACTACGCACAAGATGTTTGGCATGGGGCGATAGATATTCAGGTAATTTGCGTCTACGTCCTGATCTAATCTTTGCTAGCAATCTTGGAACGTGATCATCATCAAATGGAAAATGACCAGTCAACAGGACGTAGAGCAGGACCCCACATGACCATACATCGGTTGCCGGTCCGTAGTAAGGCTTTCCCTAACAAGGCAGGTTTGCCAACTGAACCAAACATACAAACAAAAGAGCAGCAGCACTTACAACTACAATTTCCGGGCTCGCATAATGAGGTGATCTGAATAGGTTGTTGTTAGCATGCAAATCAATAAAAGGTAATATTTCTCCCACCTACCCGCAGCTTGTAGCAAGCAAATCATTTGGGGATGGTTGCATGGTTGCCATGCCAAAATCAGCAATCTTGATACGCGTATGGGTCTTGTCGAGCAAAATGTTTTCGGGTTTGAGATCCCTGTGGCTAGTGAATTCATGGAAAGTTCCCCACATAACACATGGTAAGTAACACAATCATCATGGATCACCCACCGATCCATTGGGATGGGGTAGTGCAAAAAAGAAATATGTACCAAATGTGATGTGCGTGACACCATGCCAAGGCTGTTACCACCTGACTAAAAAGTGCTTTGGTCTCGTCTTCAGGTAATCTACCACGCCCTGCAAGAGCATGATACAACTCGCCACCATCGGCATATTCGGTAATGAAATAAACGTATGTCGAATCTTGTAATACTTGTTTGAGTTGGATGAGATGTGGATGATGGATCAGTTGAAGGATGGCTAATTCTCGCTCTACCGATTGTGCAATGGTGACGGAAGAAAGAAGATGACGACGTGGGATCATTTTGATGGCTACATGTTCACCCGTGGTTTTGTGTATCCCAAGTTTAACATGACCTATGATGATGATGTTGTTGTAAGAAAATCAAATCGGGTGGTATGGTGATGGGTGGTATAGATGTAGGGAGAAAGAGGAGGTCGTATGTATATAGGTGTGCAGGGTGTATATATCCTTAAGGTGCTTTGTTGTGCTTACCCGAGGAGCCACGTCCAATGGTTTTGACAAGCACATAATCTCCCACTTGTTTAAGCGGCTGTTGTTGTTGTTGATGTATTGGATCGCGGTTGTGTGATAAACGTGTGGTCGTACTACTGCTGAAACCACGAGTCAGGTACGACATCCATGGAGGCATTTTAAATAAGCAATCAAGGATGCGCGTTGTTGGGTGAAAGGAAGAGAGAAAGAGAAATGTGTATGCCCCTCTGGCTGCTCAAGTGGAGTAAGCGTATGCTGCACGAATATGGAAATGTATGAAAAAGAAAGAGAGAAAGCGAAAAAAAAGAGAGAGAAAGGAAAGAAAAAGGGATCCAACCAGCGTTTAATTGTCCAAAAGGGACAGTAGAAAGGGGATAGATTGGGAATCGCAGGAGGTGATGTGCGTATTTGTGGGCTGAAGGTGCAGGAGTAGAAAGAGAAAGGCGACTGACCACACGCACACCCACGTACATACGCAGCTACAAAAGCATTAGCGTCTGTGTTGAGTGGGATGCTCCATTGTTGTGTCAATGGTATTCATGTGTCACATGGAAGAAAATCACCCATCTCTCATTCTGCTTGAATGGTGCCCGTTATATGTTATTTGACCATGTGCATCAAGTGTTTGGCTGCGCGCTCAAAAGTAGGTGCATACACGGTGTTGAGTTGAGTATGCTTTCTCCAAAAACCTTGTTTCGTTGTGTGTGTGGTGATTCTGCAGGGTTGATACAGCCTCCCATCATTCACCCGATCCATCATCATATCATCAACGTGATCACGTCTGCAGACGAAATGTTCCCCGCACCATACAGTGGTTTCTCCCTTACGGCTTCTCCTTATGTCATATGCATCACACCCATTCACCTATGTACGTATGTACACCCACTCATTTACACTTGGATTCAACCACCCCAACTACTACTAGCATGCACAGCTGCAGTATGCAGTTTGCCATTCCATTTCAAGCAAAAAAGGATATTGCATATACAGGATTTATTTGTCATTGCTCTCAACTCAAGCTTTCTTGTTGGCTAACCACGATACACAATACATGTTGGATACACCAAATGAGTGATAAATGAGGATGATGGAAATATTGGATGTCACTGCAAAAGCAATGTTCATCATCTTTAAAGGGAAAAAAGGTGGCGTAGGTTGGTGTGTGTATGCGTATACCCGGTTGTCTTTCCAATCATGCTGATTACGATATAGAGAATCATTGCATGAAATTGCATTATCCCACGTTTACCCGATGGCCCTTGCTCATACATACCCACCAACTGCAATGTCTTTGTTATGGTGATTGACATAGGTGGAATAAAGCTAGGCCGATGATAAAAAGACCGCCAAGCACGTGAAAGTTAATTGGGGAGGGTAAAAAGTAAGGCTACGCGTCCACAGATCCACAAAGGCACACACACATGTATATAGTAGAGGATATTCAAAGGGAGATAATTTATATGTACTGATTTCTTAGTTACAGTGGAAGCAGACGTATACGTTGTCTAATCCTTCTTGGTCAAGTCGGATGCAACATCGCTGACCTTTTGGCGCAACTGCTCGGCATGCTTATCGATATCGCTTTGAGCATTCAAGAGGTAGGGACGAAGAACACGGGTGTAAAGGACCTCAGCACCCTAAAAGCATAGTGTCAATAAAGGGTTCTCCCATCATCCATCAATACCATCCACTTTGACTTACGCGGAACTGAGGCAAAGTGAGCCAAAGAATGAAAGCAGTCTTGAGGACGAAATAGAAGGGAATGAAAGAGAAGAGGATATCACCAAAGAATTCAAGGAGTTGTACAAAGCCAATAACGGTCCAATAAGTGAGCCATTGCTTATCATCAGAAGTTTGTGGAGATTCGATGGCCTTGAAAGACGCGTAGGCTATAGATAGATTCGATTAATAAAAGCATGTTCCAAACGCGTATACGATGCCCCCCACAAATACATACCTGGATAGACCCATGAGACAGTGTTGGTCAAAAGTTGGCCAGCAATGTTGAAGAAAATCATGATAAAGAAGAGGGCACCAGCGCCAAGAATGACATAGGACTTGGGGACACCAGTAATGCGCTCGACATCATTGCAATACTTGTATTGACTGAGCTGTGTGTCAAGACGCGAGATGCCTTCACGGACTTTAGCTTGAACGCCTTCGACGCTGTACAAGTTGGGAGCAGCTTCAGTAGTCATCGTTTTTGTGTGAGAAAAAGGAAACAAAGAAAGAAAAGAGTAGTGGCACTTTCGAGGAACTTCAAATAAAAGTAGCTGCTGCCTGCGTCAGCTCTTCCACCAACACAAAACCTTGCTGGGTTACACAATATGAAAGGACTAGGTGGCCTGGATCGTCGCCCAACACAAAGAATATTAACTTTTATACCCACATTGTTATCAAACAATGAAAACTACTACTTGTACAATGAACATCTTTGAAAGGGGGGGATCAATAGCAGTAATAAAGAACATGGCAACCACAAAGACGACATCATGCGTGGTTGTTGGGGTATATGTTGCCTTGGTTGCATGCATCATCACGCGTATCCAATCACCCATTCCGAGCCTACGTATATCAAATAGCTTCCTCCAATAGGATGTATGCACTTTAATACTTGCTTGGTGGATGGCAACCACTATACCACTATCACCACTACTGGAAGCGGGGATCTCCCGCCAAATAGTTATGCGCATTGTGTCACAAAACAAGCACCAAGCTCATCATTCAATGATTTCATTAACGAGGCTCTATAAAACGCGTGCACATTCAATGATATTAAACGGCTTGGATGATCATATCGTTGGTCCGATAAAAACGCGTCTGAGTAAAAGTGGAAACGACAAGCTGCAGGACCCTTCCTTGTGTAATAATCAGTGCTGACGGAGTGGGCGTCGGGGACATCTCGTGTTATCACGCGGTGAGATGACTTTTTCTCGCGCGTATCTTCCTTATCATCGATTAGCACAAAGGGATGATGAAGCATACTTTAAGAAATCACAAGAAGTACCATGTTTCATATAAAGATGAGGGATGGATGAGCACGAGCAAAGTGCTGGTGTTATTCTAGAAACAGCGCACAATGCACAAACTTTCTTTCTTCTGGCTAGTGCTATCTTCGGTGCTCAAACTCCAAACCAACCATTCTTTGACTATGTACAACGTATCATCGTCAACTCATCTCGGGGAGGAATATGCACATCATGCTTGTATGTGTATTGGTTATCATATGCATCGTTTCCTTGTCATGTTATCCCAAATACAAATGGAGCCACTCATTCCAAGCACCTTTTTCAACAACAAAATAGGTATTAAAGAGCCAACAAGTAATAAAAATGGCATAATGAATCTCTTTATCAATGATGAATGTTTCTACTTTATACAACATCTCATCCACTTCTGAAACGAGAGAAGCCAACTGCGACAAGCCAAAGACGTGGTTATGGAGGAGGAGAAGGTAACCAAGCCACCGGGGTTGGGATGGGCAGGATTTTTTAGGGCTGTCAATGTGCGACAATCTATTTTTCCTTCCTTGTTTCGCAGGGCACCTTATTATCGACTCGCACTTTTATTCAACAACATGACCAAGTATATCGTTGTCTCTGGAGGTGTCATTTCTGGTATTGGCAAGGGTGTGATTGCCTCTAGCACCGGTGCATTGCTCAAGAGCTTGGGTTTGCGAGTCACTGCTATCAAGATCGATCCCTATCTCAACATCGACGCTGGTCTCATGAGTCCTTTGGATCACGGTGAAGTCTTTGTCTTGAACGATGGTGGTGAAGTCGATTTGGATCTTGGCAACTATGAGCGTTTCTTGGATGTCCAATTGAGCCGTATCAACAATATCACTACTGGCAAGATCTATAGCGAAGTGATTGAAAAGGAGCGTCGTGGTGATTATCTCGGCAAGACCGTTCAAGTGGTTCCTCATATCACGGATGCTATTCAAAACTGGGTGGAGCGTGTGGCTGCTATGCCCATTGATGATTCGGGTGAACAGCCTGATGTCTGCATTGTTGAACTTGGTGGTACCGTGGGTGATATTGAATCTGCTCCCTTCGTTGAAGCCATGCGTCAATTCCAATTCCGTGTCGGCCATGACAACTTTTGCTTGATTCATGTCTCTTTGGTCCCTGTCGTTGGCTCTGTCGGTGAACAAAAGACCAAGCCTACTCAAATGAGTGTTCGTGATCTTCGTGGCGCTGGTTTGACTCCTGATCTCATCGCATGCCGTTCAAGCAAGCCTTTGGATGAAAATGTTCAACGCAAGATCTCCATGTTTTGCCATGTTGCTCCCGAACAAGTGCTCGCTGTTCATGATGTCGCTTCCGTTTATCACGTTCCTTTGTTGATGCATGAAAAGGGTGCTCTTGAATTCTTCCGCAAGCGTCTCAACCTTGATGCTCTTACCATCTCCAAGGAACAACGTCTTGCTGGTGAAGCTTTGTGGAAGGATTGGTCCAAGTTGGCTGTTAGGTGAGTATTGAATAAGGATAATAGGGATCGTTGTCATGGTTACTTATATGTCATTTTACTAGCCATGATCGTCTCTTGGATACCGTCACCATCGCACTTGTTGGCAAGTATACCGATTTGCACGATTCTTACATTTCGGTGTACAAGGCTCTTGAACACGCAAGTCTTGCATGCAACCGCAAGCTCACGATTAAATGGATTGAGGCCACTGATCTCGAGGATGGCGTTCTCAAGAGCAACCCTATCAAGTTCCATGAATCCTGGCAAGCATTGTGCTCTGCAGATGGTGTACTCGTACCTGGTGGTTTCGGCAATCGTGGTATTGAAGGCATGATCCTTGCAGCCAAATGGGCACGTGAGAACAAGATTCCTTACCTTGGTATCTGTTTGGGTATGCAAATTGCTGTCATTGAGTTTGCTCGCCACGTATGCGGAATGCCCGAAGCCAACTCTGCTGAATTGGATCCTGACACCAAGACTCCCGTCATTGTTTACATGCCCGAGATCTCAAAGACGCACATGGGTGGTTCGATGAGACTTGGAATCAGACCTACGCTCTTCCAACCTGGCACTGAGTCTTCTCTTGTCCGAAAATTGTATGACAACAAGGTCGAAATTGATGAACGCTATCGCCATCGTTATGAGGTCAACCTTGATCATGTTGCTCTCTTTGAGGAGAAGGGTTTGAAGTTTGTGGGTCGTGATGACACTGGTGAACGTATGGAGATTGCTGAACTCGATGATCATCCCTTCTTTATCGGCTGCCAGTACCATCCCGAATATCTTACTCGTCCTCTTAGAGCACACCCAGTCTTCAAAGGATTGTTGCTTGCTGCATCACGCCAATTGGATCAAATCTAAAGTAGATGTACCATTATTACTATACATTCACCCACCTAGAAAATCATATTCATTCATACACAACGCACACACACAACATATTCACATCCTTCATTATATTGTAAATAGTAATGAAATCACAATACATCACCATTTTTTCATATACACAAGTCCAATTGATAAGGATCATGATAGAGTAATTCAATATGGGATTGTTGGGGGCTATGTTAGATGATGGTTTTACGAAGGATGGTGGTTGTTGCTGCCATTGAATAGGATGTAAAGTAGGGTAATTGCATATGCTCTAATCGTCTAACTTCTAGCGTTAAGCATCATGACCAAGTTGGCAATGAACACAATACCAAGTAAATGCTTCCACGGGTACACTTTATATCCCTTCAATGTACCAAAGTAATGCCCATATTCATGTGTGTAGGAATTCGCATGTATATTTAAAGAAAGTAGGAAATCGGTAGGGGATTTAAGTGAGCGGTGATGGTTACAAAGGTGATCTTTTATTGTAAATATGGATGCCAAAGGATTGCATATTCTAGTGATGGTGAATACTACGAGATTACACATGGCTGGCCTGGATGTGATGAAGGGAGACGCCAATGCTAACCAGGGATTGTCACTGCAAGTTGGGATTGAATAAGCTTGCCTTAGTATGCCCTTCTTGAGATCTATGCACAGCTATGCTGCCAACAGATTGTTGTCAAATTTAGCTGATAGGGATTATCAAAAGACCGCACTCCCCTTTTCATCCGTACACCACACATGCCCAGAGACACGGATATCCCACCCCAATATCGACGCGTACGCATCTCCACCATCGACGACGATGAGCTTTTGAACAAGTTGGTAGAGCTGGAGAGGACAACGAAGGAAGAAATGGCGGCCATGAGGGACGAGATCCGATCACTTAAAGATTTGATCCACAAGCTTGTCGACGATCAGGGTGTGGTAGTTTCGTCAAGGACGACAACAAAGAAAAGACGGCTGATTCAGATATCTGAAGCGGATGATGAGGATTCAGGAGGAGACGTGATGATGCCGCATATGCCTGTAATGCAAAACGACACGATACCATCACAATCATCACTTGACGATAATGAAAACGAAGAAGCTGGCGATGAAAAGGAACAGGCTGACGATGACAACAATAATGACAACGATGGTGGTGACGAAGTTGACAATGACGGCAAAGAAGTAGTCGAGGATGGTGTTGACCAAGAGATGGAAGTCCCACAAGAATATCAACCACCCAACTCATACGGGGAGGAATTGTTTGACGAGTCCGAAGAGATCAGCAATGAAAAATCATCATCATATCCTGGTATTTCATCTTCAGATTTACCATCGGATTTCTTTAAATCACCTTTGCCACAACAATCAGCTCAACCACAGCAATCACAACAACCAGAGCCACAGCAACCAGAGCCACAACAACCACAGCAATCACAGCAGCCAAAACCACAAGAACCAGAGCCACAAGAACCAGAGCCACAGCAATCAAAACCACAAGAACCAGAACAGGCACAACCACTCCAACAATATCATATGAATCCTGAACTTACCACTGTGAATGAAGTATGGGTCGAATGGAAAGTTGGCGACAACTGTATTGAAAAGCTCATCGAACGATATGGTGATGAATGGCGCTACGCTGAAGATAGCCCGATATTCATGAAAAGAAAAATCTTGGTGGAGGAGATAGAATACATTGTGAAAAAATGCGACAGTGATGATGACTACGATACCAAGTGCCGGAAAGCGATAGAGGCATTGGAGACACGACGCAAGGAACGAGGGTCTTTAAATCGACTATGCTTTTTGATAAAGGCCTTCCAAAATAGCGCCCTGCAAGCTGTACGTTTCGATGGCATTGGGGAACGTGAAGCTTACGTCTCTATATAATTGCATACCCACATTAAATAAACATTTGATGATGATAATAATAATGACGATGTGTATTTCATTTAAGAAGAAGATGTGGATCGATTAATCTCGTGGAAAGAAGCGTCTATGGACAATTGTGTAGCTGAGCGGGTGCTGCTATCAGGTTCTTTGACTGAGTCATTTAAATTATCCACAACAGGAGATGCTGGTCGCATGAATACAATGTCCTCATGACTTGAGTTCGCATTGCCTTGATGTTGTCGAAAATGGTGTGAAAGGGAGTTGCGTCGATTAATTGTACGTTGTCGAAGTGGAGCGGTGGAGCTGTCAGACAAGGTGGGTGATGCTGGTTGATTAGGAGATCCTGTTGTAGCTAATAATCATACTTTGAGTTGAATGTATAATGAACAACAACGAACACAATCTTACAATCAGCTTCAAATTCAGGGGGTTCGATCCATTCATCCGGTACTACGCATGGGAACATGGCGCCTAATCTTGCAGCACGATTGATCCATCCTGGTATCGACTTACCGGTCAATCTTGAACATAGATCCTCAGTGAAATGATTACAATTCCTATGGTAGTACATATGTATGAGAATAAAAAATGACACGTTTCAAGCCTGCGTTGTATGTATTGCCTTGTCAAGAGATTGTAAGTTGTCCCACCAAAATCTTCGGAAACTGCATAAAGCACTTGCTCAATTTCTTGATCAGACATATCAATGTAGCCCATCGGAATCGATTGTCTAATCCAGATATGAGCGGCTGCATGAATAAGGTCATTGACAAACATCTTACTTGAACAACACGCCTGGAGGTCCAATCTTGGGTTCAACAGCAAATACACCCGTGAGGTTTTCGTATTCATGACCACCAAAGCAATACTCGCGACCAGCTACCTCGACGCCTGAATGGAAGATGCCTTTTAAAACGAGTTAGAGATAAGGCGTAGCAACACTGATGACTGATAGTATCATTTACCGACGCCAAGTGCGTAGCCAACGTTCGTGAGCAGACTTGGTTCAAGCTTTTCTCTCAACATATTACATTTCAACTGGACAATGCACTGATTCAATTGCTCACCATGTCGTATACGTTGACAAAGACTATATGGGATGTTCCAATGAATAAAAAGTCGACCTTTGGCATACGTGGCCATTCTCACCTTGAAGCTTGTTTTGCATCTCAGGATCAGTCGACTGACCCAACAAGCTGTTGTAGGTTCGTTGAAACATGATAGCGTTGTCACCACGGAGATTTCGTAACCACGTCAAAAGAAGAGAGAGGGAGGGAGGGGGGGGGGAGGAGAAGGCGAGTTGGAAAATCAACCTATCCCTGTTACTGTACGCTTGACGACAAAATTGATCCATGTATGCAATGTGGCGATCTTTAGAGCACGGAGTCAAAAACAAGGGGTTAAAAAAAGATGCTACTTTTCTTTATTCGTAAAGGGTTGATCCATGTGATATAACCAAGTCGACTACTACAATGCTATGCAACATACACATAAGTGTCACGCTCTTGTCTAGCAAGAAATTGCTTTTCCAATAACTGCTCGATGCACTTTTTGATCATGATCACAGAGGGTGAAAATCGCGAGTTGGCTTGATCGATGATTTCTTGTACAAGTTGAACATGCGTGAGCGTTTGCCTTGATTTCATTATGCGCACAATGGCTGCTTGGAGATACATCCTACGATCCTCATCCACCGCCTTTCGTGCATTGATTGTCTCTTGTTGCTCTGTTTGGGCAGCTGCTGCAACCTTGATCTTGGTGCGCTTACTATAATACCCATCCATAGATTAGTATAGCACCCGCATTCATTATCCATATCGCTTACCTTGTGAAAGATAAATTCAGTGATACCTCGGTATGCGATTTCAAGTTCTTGTCGGAGATTTCCAATAATTGCAGATCCACAAGGGGCTAATCACATGTGGGATCAGTTAAACGATATACACCTTTACCCTCATTCCACCATACCTTCAAACTCCTCAATACGTCGGCTTCAGACAAGCTCGATTGTTGCACAATATCTGTCACCGTGAGACTCAAGGTATCATTGAACAATAGCAATAGCACCATTTGATATAATCCCATTTGTATCTCATAAGGCCGATCCAAAAAGTTCACCCTCAATTCGCCTATCCATCAATCATAAGATATCCGAGATTGCGCCATGAATGATGTTGACTTACCCCTTGCAAGATTCCACTGCCAAAGTAGTTTTCGCCCACTATGATGTTGTCCATAAAATTGCTCAAATTGCGAAACACTCTTTTCCAATTCGGCTGGGATATTGATTCTGTTTGCATCCATGGTTTTTGAGTCCTCCTTTTGGTTCAAGGGCCATGCACCAGCAGTGAGCACCTGGATATCAAAGCCAACTTTTTTCGAATCCTAGTGAGCCCACTATCAAATGTCATCCTTCTCTCTTTTCAGCTTTACCATTCAGCTTATTGGCATGTTGCTTGAGGTATTCTCGGAACGTTGAGTTGAGATCAGCACTCAAAGAGATATCCGTAAACATCTTGTTCAATTTGCTGGTATATTCCACACCACAGATTTCCTATCAATCATGACTTTAGTACATGAACACATTGACCCCGCCCCATATTGAGATTACCTTTAGCTTGTTGATCATATTCATTTCGAGCTCTTCAGAGGATGATGTGCTGTAAATGAGCCGCTTTGCCAACATGCGCGAATAAAACTTTTGAAAGATATCCTTGTCTTCGACGTATTTGAACAAAGTCACCTAGGATCGAGCATCCTGGTAAGTCACCCGGTATCCACAATGGCAGCACATACTTACCATCTTCATCAACTTCTCTTCAGGATCCGTATCATCCGATTCCACAAGCCGGCGAGTAGCCTTTTTCTTCCCTTCTAAGCTTGATGACATCATTGCATTTGCTGCTTCCTTTTTGCTCGTGCTCTTTCGCATCATCATGTCACAATATCGAGCAAGTGTCTCTGGACCATTGGCACTCGGGTTCACTCGGTTGTCGTTGACAATGGTGCGAAAAGCTTTATCAACAGCAGCCGTAAAGAGTGGATCTGAAGAAAAGACGCCTTGATTTACGCCATAGTACTTGGTATGCAAGCTAAGAAGCTGATCGACATATGACTTGGGGATCTATAATGTCGTTTAATACATCTTCAAAATCGCAAGAGAAAAAGCTTCCTTACCTTGGGTATACTGCTTCCGAGCTTTGAGAGAACATCCATACCAAGCTTTGTGACGTATTCTTCATAAATCGTGAGGATCGGTTTAAGGCCATCTGGGATGCGATTCAAGAGACTGTACGCCAGCGTGCAATCTATAATACAAGTGATCAGTTTAGATACCCCGATATACATGTTCCTAATTCTGTTCTACCTTCAAAGCGTTCTTCCACCAACATGGTCCTAAATTCATCCACTATCCGATCTTGATATGCCGAAATGTATTGTGCTTCAAACTCCTTGACGACTCTTCGATGGGATGACGAATGGCAGTAACGATTATTCCTCATGATCTCTTGTTGAAGACGAGTCATTGCCTATGTCATCGATCTTGTCTCAGTCTTGTATTCCCCTCCTGATGCCTTTCATGCTTGCCATTACCTTTTTCATGAACGTGCTGATATCTCCAGCAGCCATTTCCCTTGCTGATTCTGCTTCAAAATAGCGTTTGGTATGCACGAGATAGGGTCGCTCAAACTCTTCGATATAGAGCTGTAATGGCTGATCGGTGAACGCATTTGCTTGAACGAGCGATGTCACAACCGTTTTGATGGTGGTATGAGGTGCCTCGTTTCCATCTCTGTCACGACGTATCATTTCAAACACTTGGTAGAACAATCGATTTTGATATTGATCCCGGATGGTGAATAGCACGTTGTTCTTCCATAACGACATGGCCAACTATATCCTTCGTGGTGAGTAGACCCATTCATTGGATGATCACCTAGCAACCAACTTACAGCTTGAACATTTTGCTTTTTGTATTTGCCACTAATGACAGTGGGTCGTCGATCGGGTCCTGAGCCCATGCCAGTTTGGGATATCAATCGATTCAAGTAATCACATCCACGAGAGATGTCTCCTGCTGCCAATTCAAATCGTTCAAACTCGCGAGCATAAGCTGTTGCAATATCATTGTGCGATAAAATCTCCTATTGACAAAGAATTACTGCATGTGTGAGAAGGAAGGAACTGTTAATCGACCCATACAACCATCCTTTGTGTTACTGACCTCGCATACACGCGCTGTGTGCTTATCCAAATAATCCGCCACCCCAGCAAAGAGCCGATCCGTGAATGGTCGAGGGATGGCATTACACATATCATACACGAGCCTGAGAGAGATTACTTGTAAGGATACAATAGGCCGCGTCCATTCATGACCTAGGAAAGAATACATACTGGTACATGTTCATGCCTGAAATGGACTTGTCGCTGGTCGATGACACTCGAAAGATGGCGTCGAATGTTGACTGAAGTTCTGTGAACTTGTTATCAAAGTTGATGGGTTTCCTTCGTAATGACATTGGGGGAGAGAGAAGAGGGGTAGTGGTGTTTGTGGGTGAGAGGAGTGACCTCCATATCGGGATTGCTCGCTCAAAAACGAGAGGTGTCGCCCCCGTTCTTCATGCAATGCGGACTTGGTGTTGCTCAACGTGTTAAGATGGGCATATGAAGCTACAGTAATTACAGTATGATGGCATCAAATATACAAGTACATGAGCTCATGGTTAATAAAAAGCGAGGGAAATGACACTTATCATGTAAAAGTGTATCATTCAATGTTGAGGTAGTATGAGTGGGGAATGATACAATGACAAGAGATTCTGATAGTCGCTTGCAACATACAATGTACGTGCTTTATTATGAACTCGGATCCATTTCACCACCAATAGTTTTGCAAAATGGGGGGAAGGTCATGCATTCAAAATGATTCCCGTAACCGAGAGCGTAAGTGGGGTCTTTATTAAACCACATCATCAATGGCAAAGTCTCACATTTGATGTTGCCATGGGAGCAGGTTTGCATTCAGCGCACTTGCTTACCTGAGGCCATATGAAAAAGTCAATACCACATTGTCAATGACAGTGACTTACTCTTAATCTTGCCCTGTAGACAAGGATTGCATGCGATGAGGTTGCCTAAGGAAGAGCGTAAGAATAAGGGTCAAAGCCATTCATCTCAACGATAGAGCTCACGCTTTGCCATGTCAACCCGAATCGGATGTGAATGTTATAGGCACAGGAAACACACCTTCACGGAGAGGAATGTATGATCAGCACAAAAATGGAGTACGACTCCACGAATGGTCCAGAAGCAAGAGAAGTTGTTGGCCTTGGTCCTTGTTATTGGCGATTTTGTTGGATTGACGTCTTCAGATACTGGCTCGTCCCCCATCAACGAAGCTTTCAACTTTTCCTCAGAATCAGTCAACTTGCAGAGATACGATGGTACATATCCGAATCACAACCTTGCATCTTTCAGATAGCGGTTCACTAAACAAGGACGCTCATATGAATATCCAAATAAGATACATAGCGATACAAAACAATGACTGTACAAATACCAATAAGTATCCACCATCAGGGAGTAGGTCCAAGATGACACAAAGACAACAATGAACACAACCAATAAAACAATGAAGAACTACGTGCATCACAACAAAGAGCGATGCTATAATACATACGATCTTCATTTAACCTTACCCAATAGCGGACGCTTGGTAGATACATCATGCCCTAGACGAGAGAAATTTTTATCATGATCATGCGTGCGACAACAGCACGCAGCTCTGCTGTATTATGTGGAAGGGCATGGGAATCGTTGTCCATGCAAAAAAGGATATCATGATTAATTGAGCTGATAGAGTGCTTATACAACTTGGAATACTAGGTAGAGAAGCTGCAAGATCTACGATCGATAGATCTACTAAGCGTGTTACTGCAAGAATGGCCGGCTGGCTGGCTGAGCATCGACATAAGCTTCTTGTTTCATACTCATTAGTACGTTCAAGAAAGAATGAGCTCCGATTCAATGTGGCACGAGTATATGAACATACCATACTTGCCTATGGATTATCAGAGAACGCTATCTTACGCAACCTTATATACGAACGACCCATTCCATACGGCTACAATAGGCGGACCTTACTGTGGAGAAGGATCAATCATGCATCCTCCACCAATGGGATTACGCCTTCAAGCTCTGCCCTCCTCTCATTTTGTTACACAAACACGTCTCTCTGCATCTTCTGCTCTATTATAGTCATACTACTTGACGATGACAAAGACCATCTTTCATATAGCCTCACATACAGCATATGTAAAACATAAAGACGCCTGTATCTCTAAACTTTACAATGAAACGTGGGATTTTTAATAGAGCAATGGGCTCGGCTTGGCCAACAGCACCTTGTGTGAAAGTGTCGCGTTCATTGTCGCAACTAGCCCAAAAAATATTTTTTTTGGTCGTCGTCGTCGAAGAGGTCGACCCCCCGATCCAGTTTGGCTGGTGGCGACATTGCGAAATCTGGGATTGGCAAGCTTGATCGTGAAACTTTCACACAAGGTGCAGTTGACCAAGCCGAGCACATTGCTCTATTCAAAACCCCACGTTTCATTGTAAAGTTCGGAGATACAGGCACCTTTATGTTTGTAAGCGTGATGCTATATGAGAAGTGGTCTTTGTTTAATGTAAAGTAGCTAGACCCTGACAGAGCAAAAGATGCAGAGGGTCGTGTTGTGTAACACAGCTACGTTTGCATGAATGAAAGGGTCAATGTATAATTACTTTATGGATCATCTAGGAACAGGCATGTATTGCCAGCTAACGGCCACTCTTATCCAATCATCATTGTTGCGAGATCCACTGCATGGGAACGATGCCCCTGCTCCAGACATTCATTTCCATGATTAAAGTAGGTTGGTCCGAGTTGATTTGACTGAGCTGCGGTCAAAGAGAGATTACATCACTCTGGACATAGAGCACGCTCGATGTAGCTCAACCGATGTAATCTTGTGTGAGCGTAACTCAACCAAATCAGCTCGGATCAACCTACTTTAATCATGGAAATGAATGTCTAGAGCAGGAGCATCGTCCACCTACAATAGAATGCACAAAAGTTGGGAATGCACAAAAGTGGCTATTAGCTGCCGATGTATGACATAAAAGTGAGGGTTGCGTACCTTTCATGCATTGTCCCTGAAGTCCTGACTTTGTAGCTGAGTTACCCTAAGAGGTCCTTCTGCATCTTTGGCTCTCCTGGGTCTAGCTACTTGGCAATGAACAAAGACCACTTCTCATATAGCATCACGCTTACAAACATAAAGGTGCCTGTATCTCCGAACTTTACAATGAAACGTGGGGTTTTGAATAGAGCAATGTGCTCGGCTTGGTCAACTGCACCTTGTGTGAAAGTTTCACGATCAAGCTTGCCAATCCCAGATTTCGCAATGTCGCCACCAGCCAAACTGGATCCGGGGGTCGACCTCTTCGACGACGACGACCAAAACATATTTTTTGGGCTAGTTGCGACATTGAACGTGAAACTTTCACCCAGTGTGCTGTTGGTCAAGCCGAGCCCATTGCTCTATTAAAAATCCCACGTTTCATTGTAAAGTTTAGAGATACAGGCGTCTTTATGTTTTACATATGCTGTATGTGTGAGGCTATATGAAAGATGGTCTTTGTCATCGTCAAGTAGTATGACTATAATAGAGCAGAAGATGCAGAGAGACGTGTTTGTGTAACTCAGCTCATTATGCATGAATGGAAGATTCTTTACATACTTCATACATTGGCAGCTACCAGTCACTTCCTCCCATTCACCTTTTTCACCCAACCCAATGCATATGAACGATTCTCCTGCTCCAGCCCCTCTCTTCCATCCTTCAACTTACTTGATCCGATGAGATTTGACTGAAAAATGCTCAAACACAGAAACATCATCCAATATCAGAAGAATCAAATTGGTAAGTTATTTGTAAACTGCCACTTGATAGCCCATTCCTCCCATTCACCTTTGTTGCCCTATCCAATGCATACAAACGATTGTTCTGCTCCAGCTCATCATGTCCATCCTTCAACTTTCTTGCTTCGATGGGATTTGAATGAGCAACGCTCAAGCACAGAAACATCATCCAAGTATCAGAACAATCAAGTTAATTTCCACTTCTTCCGCTCCCACTTTATTTCCTCTTCCTCCCATTCTCAACTGCTGCCCCATTCAAGTACAATTATCACCTGCGAGCGATTGTCCTGCTTCAACCCATCATGTCAATCCTACGATTGTCTTGATCCGATTGTCTTTGACTGAATGGCAAGTCCATGCCGTGTACACACCACTACAGCACCCGTATTCCTTGACACCACACGTTCTCTTGTACACTCCTCTACCGCGATCAATCGTAACAGCATTCATTCCAGCAATTGCTGTTAGCAAGGTCTTTACTCCATTGTCTCAATCTACTTGCAGCAACCTGCTTTACAGCCTTTTCTACGTGTGGCGACTTGCTTTAATACATATGTGTCCCTGTGGATGATGCCATATCAGCTATCGAGTACACCGCAATGCAAGCAATCCCTCACCTGGCTGGGCTGCAATAGAAAATCAGAGAAGACCAACAACCGAATGGAAAAAAGCATATCAACAGCGATCACATAGCTCTTTTCAGCCAACACATTGGTTATGATGAATGGATGCAATCAGGTGCAGTGATGAGAAAGAAACCCTGGGATGTTACTTTTGGTTAATTGGCGTGTCATCAGCAGGAAGGATGGATCGTGTCACGTGGATACGGCTGAGGATAAAGATGATTGGAATGGCATTGGCGAGAGGGCTCATATCTTGGCGAAGATGGTTTACCGATATGGATGAATTGGGATACTCGAATCAAATCACACAACAGCTTTGGGATCCTCAACGATTATGATTATGATGGCAGCAACTAAGAACACAATGACACCCATTGGCTCAACGTGATTCACCCATACCTTGTTGTCCCTTTACGTATTCGCTTGATAGACAACCACACTACCATGTGTTATTATTCGACTTTCAATGGATTAAAATTGGGTTCAACATGATGTTGTTGATATCGGGCATGCTATTAGTTGACATGTGCAAGATGTGGATCACCTTGGATGAAGGGGTTGGGATGGAAACTTGGGAGGTCGGAAGATGAGGTTGGATCATTTATATCATTGTATCAAGATGCCTTTGTTCTTTTGCCACAACACTACATACATTCGTTAAAGCTTTCTAGTTAGCACGCTGATAGATGATAGGGAGTGGTAATGCTCGTATTGCAAAGATAATAAATTCGAGTGTGGATGAACCACCTTATCACACGTTGATTGGATAATGATATGTGCAGTTTATGTATGAGAACGGATGCAAAAGTATACAACATTAGGAACAAGTAATGATAGGATGATGGTGCATGATGAAGGAACATATAAATACGACTATTATACAAGCTATTTTTCACGAAAATCAACCAAGCGTAGCAGTTTGGGTTCCTCTGGATGTCGTTTTGCTATTCCAGCTTTGATGAGTGTCTCAATGTATGGCGACCAAAAGGTTCCTGGTTCAAGCTTCATGTACGGGTTATCAGGCTGAACAACAAGCAGATTCATCAAATCCTATCACGGCAAATCAGCAAGCCAATTCAATGTAACGCGCATAAACAATATACTCACTTCTACAATGAACTTGAGCTCGCACATTTCTTCTCCTTCGTTTCGTGATCGTAGGCCATCCGTTGACCCATTTTTCACGCGCTAAAAAGGCACCCATTATAGTTAGGAACAATCCTCATAGATATGATCCACTTATACATACATCGACGGGGTGTGGTGGATAATATTCGTCAAGGAAATCAATCAAGTGTTCAATCACGCCTCGATATGTGTCGTTGAGAGCTGCAAATCGATCCCGCTTTTCCCTGTACTATACGTTAATCTCATGGCCAAATAGCATACCCCCATGATAATGCGTTACCTTCCCGGATCCATATTTCCTGCTGAATCCTCCAGCTTCTCCAGCTTCTTTTTCAACTCCTCAGTGATCTGATTTGATTCTTGCAAGGACACCTCTTCCCGTTCCAGTGATTCTTGTGTATCATCGTATTCCTTTTGGAGAAAAGCGAGCGTATCTCTTAGACTATTCACATTGGTATCAAGCTCTTCCTTGTACTGCAACTCTGAAATTGGCTCTTGTACTTGTTCAATGTCCTCAACAGCTATGCAAGTAGGTTCATTTAGCCAAAACCATCCCTATCCACGTATCCTTTCAATATCACATACTCTCCACTTGTTTGTTGAGCTCCGTCCTAAGTTCCTTCTCTTCATGTTGTAATATCGACATTTTCTACTCGTTGCATTGAGCATCTCTTATCCTCCAGCCCCAGCAGAAAGAGCATCTTACCTTATCTTCTTGCGATCGATCGTACATATTGCCTAGGCCTCGTTCGCGATACTGGTCTTCCAACTATATAATAAATGCATACATGTATATATCAGATACACATTGAACAGAGCATCGTTGAGAGTATATGCACGCACCTCATGTAACTGCTTCCATAGTTGATCGCGTTGAGCTTTCTGCTGAGCGAGAATGGAATCAAGATAGTCGCCTCGAGCTGTACCATCCTCGGCGCTGGTGACAGTAGGATCGCGATCAACGGTCTCGTCAAAGTCCTTGGCAGCTGATTGAATGATAGATCTGAGGAGGTTCTCAAAGGACGACATTGTGGTAAAGAGGTAAAAGGGTGGGTGTCACTCTGCAAAGAAGAAGCAGCAGGCACGAGCTGAACAACCAATTATTCAAAACGCCGAACAGCGTTAGTAGCTGTCCAATTTAGATGGCTCTATCGCACTTTCCTTCAGCTGCCACCAGCACTTTACACCTTCCACCTTATCAACATGAGTGCCGCCATATACTCATTTATCAACTCCATCACCAATAGCATCACTTCTCGATACGACATTAAAGCGCAAATCTCATCTGCTGGTCTATGGAAGATCTATCTTGGTCTCCGTAAAACTACCGGCAAGCACGTGGCGATATTTGTGAGTATGCAACCTGCTGTCGACCCCGTTGCTGGATTCAACCATGCTCATGCACCTACCCCAGATCTTCGAAAAGCGATCCTTGGATACTGGATTTCGACGTGAACGAGGTGCATCAAAGAGCGACACTGAAAAGGTCTATGAACTGCTCAAACGAGAGGTAAGGCGGCAAGGCTTGGCAAACGCGAGACCTCTTGTAACATGTCTCTGATACCTTTTATGCATTCAAGGCGAGCAACTTGGCACGTTTACGACATCCTTCCATCCTCGAAGTAGTCGAGCCTGTATCTGAATCACGATCATCGATTGCTTTTGTCACCGAACCATTGCTTGGCACGCTATCACACTTGCTCAAGATGGAAAACAGCTACTCATCTTCGAGATCTGATACCACATATGAAATCGATGAGCTTGAGGTATATAGTAAAAGATGAATGGGTTGATGGGATATACATCTTATCCATGCATGCGTATCAACATAGATTCAAAAAGGATTGTTGCAAGTGGGAAAAGGAATGCAATTCATGAATGATGCCAAGGTGGTACATCACAATCTTACTCCGGATGCTATCTTTGTGAATGCCAAGGTAAGTAAATGACCTTATGGATGCACACCAAGGAGCGTTAATAGCTTCTTTTATATAGGGAGATTGGAAGATTGGAGGGTAAGTGATGGAGGAACCTGTATTTATTGGATGGGTTGGGTAACGCAGCGATCATAAGGCTTGGATTTGGCGTATTTTTGAACAACCCGGATGATGCCAGCCGAGGATCAATGTACGAATACAACGATTATCTACCAGAGCCTTGTCAGATCAATTTGGATTATGCTGGTGAGTGCGTGGATCATGGATCATGGATGAGCGAGTCAATTGACAACATGTTGTAGCCCCTGAATATGTTCTTGATGGCGAAGTTTCAGAATCCAATGACATTTTTTCACTGGGATGCTTGGCATACGCTATTCACAACAAGGGTGTGGCCTTACTGCAAACATTCAACAATCTAAGAACGTATGAACGCAAGATCCAGTCCTTGAGCACAACCAGTTTTAACAAGATGCCAGTACATTTACAAGGTAATAGCCACCATGATTACATCTCTTTTGAGTTTTGCTAAGGATGCGTTTCTCGACAGAGGTTATTCGCCGTCTTTTGGCAAGATACCCATCACAACGTCTTACACCTGCCGAGTTTCAGAATTCAAAGTATTTTGACAACATTCTCGTATCGACCATGAAATTTTTGGAGAGCTTCCCTGAAAAGACGCGTGAAGAGAAATCGCAATTCATGAAAGGTTTGCCGAGGGTGTTGAGTCAATTCCCGGAGCGTGTATTGAGGCGAAAGGTAATGGTCACTTGACTATGGGGATGACTGTATTCGTATTAAGGTATATGCATGTAGATTTTACCATCACTCTTGGAGGAACTCAAGAACCACCCATTGCTACCCTACACCATCCCAAATGTGTTTCTCATTGTGGAGCAGCTCAATCAACGTGAATTCTGTGATTTGGTGCTACCGTCTTTGAAACCCGTATTCAGTGTGCGTGATCCACCCCAAAACATGATCGTGTTGCTCGAGAAGCTTGATATCCTGCAGCAAAAGACACCAAGAGAAACATTCCGTGATGGTAGGTGACACGATGGTGGGATGAAATTTAAGCTTACAATGTTGTTTTTCTTTTATCAGATATCATGCCTCTGGTTTATGCAGCAATCGAAGCGCCGACAGCTGTAGTACAAGAAAAGGCACTACGTATTGTTCCAAAGTTGGCAGAGTCATTGGATTATACCACCGTCAAGAACTCCCTTTTCCCCAAAGTACAGGTAAATAGCCTTAGCGTGGGGTATTGGAATTAGGCACACTTGCTCACATGCTTGTTCGAGTAGATGCTCTTTGCACAAACCACTATTCTTTCAGTCAAAGTCAGCTGTTTGATCTGCTTCCACTCCATGATCAAGGTTATTGACAAGGTAGGTTGAGATACTATACACGTGTTGCATTTCCATCTCTAATGCTTTGTCATTTTAGTATACGATGCAAGAGAAGATGGTCCCATTGTTGAAGAATATCAAGACAAAGGAGCCAGCTGTCATGGTACGTGGAAGGGAAGTCAAAGTGGTATATACGTGGATATCTTATTGTATGTATTAGCTGGCTACATTGGCTGTATATGATGAGTTGGGCAAATTCTTGGACAAGGAGATTATTGCCACCGAGATTCTACCGCAATTATGGCGTATGAGCTTTGGACCATTGTTGAATCTTGCTCAGGTATTGGTTGTTGATATGATGAATGTGATTGTGGCAAGGTTGACCTAATATTGCATCATTTCCATAGTTTCAAAAGTTTATGAAGACGATACGAGAATTGACGAATCGTGTTGAGGAAGCGCACACACGGCATTTACGAGAAGTCAAATCATTGGAGGATCAGACCAAGAGTACTAGTACGGCAGCGACATCATCTGCAAACGGCAATGGTGTTGTAGGTGGTGGTGATGATGTATCATTTGAAGCTCTCGTGCAAGGACAAGGATCTCAATCCAAGACATTGACACCTGATTTATTCTCGAGTGAGATTGGTAGCAGCAATCCTCCATCACCGGCAAGGATGACACCACCTCTTGCAGCTACGAGTGCACAACCACCTAGCAATCGTTCATCATTTGGGTCTTCCCATGGTGGTGGATGGCATAATACAAGCACGCAAAGCACTTTGATGCCGACCTTATCTCCTTCATCCAGTCCAATGCGTCTTCCTCAACCTACAACAACCACAGCCACTGTTATGGCCAATGCCTCGCCCATGAATTCCACATTTCGACCATCTCATATGACAAGCTCCACCACCTCTTCTTTGGATTGGTCAATGTCCAATAACAAGATTCCTTCCCTTGCTGCACCGCCAAGTTTCCAAAACACACCCGCTTTACCCCCTCCTTCCTCAACATCCTCACTCATGCCAAGTACTGCTACTACTACTACGAATACCATGGCTCCAACATCATCTGGCCCTAACTATAATGCTTTCCGTGGAATGGGAGCAACAATGCCATCATCATCACCCTCACTTACGCCTACTACTTTAACACCAAACACATCACGTCCTTCAAGCATGACCACATTACAACCATTATCCATGAGCAACCAGTCGTCAGGCCAATCATTGCAACCCCAATCAGGACGCAAGTCTAATAATCTGATGGCATTTGATCCCCTAGGATAGAAGAACAATCAACCTTTTTTACTCTTTGTAATTCTAAGAAGGCATGCATGAAGATATAATGAGACAAAAATACCAGCATTATCATACTTTTACTATGGGGGGAAAACAATGAGCCATGAATGTAGACAAAGAAACTTTTGCATACATACCATTCATTTGAGTAAAAAAAGGGATTCTTCTCAATCCACATACCACATTGACAAGTGAAAAGGAGTGATGGTGGTGTAGTAGTACAATTGTAGTATGCTTAATGCAGATATAGACTATATGTTGTCATGGTGATTAATTTAATCAATACGGATGTGGGAAATGGGTTAAACAATATAGCTCGAAAGGTAATTTGTAACCTCGTGGGGGTGTGGGGGGGAATGGATGGATGGATGGACCTGAGAAGAACATGTGGATTGGAGTAGGTTTTACAGTTGTATGCTGAATGAGCCAATGAGGAAAGGGCATTGTGGATAATGTGATGCTGCGTAATTCACACCAAGGATAGTCATCATTTCTTTTTCTTGGTTTCTCTATTTATTTATCGTATCGTGGCAGCCATGTACTTCTGCTAAACCAGCATGTTACTAAGACCAGCCAAGCTATTTTCGCCGCTGCATCAACTGGGAAAATACCTGGAAGGCAAGGTAACCGAGTTGGTGCAGCAGCAACCGCCGCCCCATTCCTCATTTCAGATTGCAAGAAAACGATTCTACCATGCATCACCCAACACACAGCTTATTTCCAAAGCCCATTACCACTCCAAGACTGTCCCTACATTGTATCATGTTGCAGAGCGTGAACAGCAACGTCTTTTACGAGTTCTTCAAAAGCAGTTTCCTATTGTCAAGGTGTTTTCTTCACCCACGATAGTACGGCCCACTGGATATCAATTATCATTTGCCAAGAACATTAGCCAATCACACATGCAGCAATTTCGCACGATAGTTTCATCAGGTGCATCATCCACATCGACATCATCAGCAGCCGCCGTTGAAGGTGGTTTCGCAGGCTTTGCTGGTGCAGGTGGTGGTGGATTCTTCCCTCGAGCTCCTATGGTGGGCTATGCTAGAACACCCTTTGCGGCCCGACAATTCTCCACCGCCCGTTCACCCTGTGTTACTATGTTCCAGCAATCCACCGCCAATACCAATGGCATCTCACATGTCTCACGTTTCTTTTCGCCTGCTGGATCCAAGATGTGGGTGCCCAACGTCAACGATTCACATGCACGTCCTTCTCCTTCTCCTTCTCTTCATCAAGATGAAGATGGCAATGGCAAATCTTCTGGTGCAAACACTGTTCCTTTGTGCAACAACAACAACAACCGCAAGCAACAACATGATGATTTGAAGCAACAACAACAAACTCAACAATCTTCAGGCCGTCGTTCCACTACTCGTAAGGATCGCAAACGTCGTCGTAACACCAATGCTGCACGTCGTTATCGTTACGATTATATTCATCACGATGATTTGTCATGTCGCTATATGCCTGGCTCCGAAAAGAAAGTAGTGCCATCCTCCATACGCCATCATTGGCAAACAAGTCAACTCAAAGCACCTCCCGATTCAGCCGTTGTTTATCTGTCAATCAAGTTGGATGGTGCCTCTTTTTGGGAACAGCATTTCAGTGATGAGGATGAAAGTCAATTACTTGATGCTGCCTTTATTGGATCATTGCATTCGGTATCCGAGCTATATCAGATGTTCTTGGGACAAGTGGTCGTATTGCTCAACACGCTTCAAAAATGTGGTACCTTTGAATTGGTCGTATCCGATGATCGTGAATTGCGTGTCATTTTCCCATCGTCGCAGTATTGGCCAGCTGAAGATCGAAAAAGCATTGCATGTCGTTGGTTGGCAGAAATTGGAATTGATCCTACAAGTACTTGTTTTACGATTGAAGAAATGGAACCACCAACACCATCAACGTCAACATTCACTGGATCTCACGATACTACGCCATCCACATCACAACAACAACAAGATTCGGATGTTCTTGGCCCTGATTACTTTAAAGGCATTCAAGCATTCCTCGACCACGTCGATGAGATGATCGAATCTGGACCTGCATTTGGACGGCGTTGATCTACTACTACCTTCTTTTATCCATTATTAGTCACATTCCCTTTGCACACATATATATACATATATATATATATATATATAGCCCCGTTCCTTTTTCATTCTATGATCTCTTTGAATAAAGATATAGCGATTATATGAACAAGAATGGGTTTATTTGAGCTATAATACACTTAAAACAACCAATCACGGAATCCATTAGGGGGTTGTGACAAGGCGATATCTTCATCAGCGTACACAGAGGATGATCCTAGACGTTTCTCAGCTTCTTCAATCCATGGCATCACATCAATAAATGAACATTGTTGCACTCGAATGCTCTTGAGTTTGCGTGAGCGTTGAACAAATACACAAAGACCTTCGCCACTGACATTCCAACATGATATCAGAACCAATCTCTCAAGCATTGGTAGCTCGGCAATAAAAGATAGCGTAACTTTGGAGATCATTGATTCAAAGTGTTGTAGTTGTAAGGATAGGAGATGATCAAGATGTCTGATTTTGGCAGTAAACGAGTCCAATCCTTGGGATGAGCAGTAAGGGCTTGAAATGGCAAGGTGTTGGATGCTGGTTGTGCAGCAGGAGGAGAGATAAGATGCAATGCTTTCCAATACAACATCATCAATAGGCGCATCTCTGCCACGAATGTGTAGGGTGTGAAGGTCGACATGGTTGTCTTTCATGGTACGAAATAGAATATCCAAGGCATCGACGACTGTACGGGGTATATCCATTCGATCGGTGGACGTGGGTATCAAATACAAGCGCTGTAGGTGGAGCAGGCTCCCAACGGCTCTTGCTAATGATGGTGTAAACAACATAGCGTGTTGCTCAATGAGCACGTGTTCCAGCATTGGGCATCGGTTGATCAAAGAAATGAAACTTGCATCGCTACATAGCACGTTTCGAAATTCGAGTGTTGTCATGCAGCTGGTGATGGTGTTCTCTGGTAATGAATTGCCCTTGAATAGACAATATTGGAGTTTGAGTGATTTCAAGGTGGACAAATGCTCGGCTATGGTGATGGATGTATCCACGGCAACGAATGTGGCACCACTAAGATCCATAGTCAATTCATCCAGCCCATGTTGTTGCTCTTCATCACCATGACGTCGATTGCTTTTGATGATACGATCCAATCCATCCTTGACAGTCTCGATAGCAGAATCATCCACCAATGATACAGAATTCAACTTTGGACAATGCCGTAATAATGTTGGTAATTCCTCTCCCAATAGAGCTGGACGCCACATGCTTTCTGTAAACGCTAAGAATCGAAGGTTGGGACATCTTGCTAATATTGGCTCCAATCGAAAACTTGGGTTCAATGATCCAAATAGCAACAAATCGGTCAACAATGGATACGTGGTTCCTTGTTCTCCAAACGTGCATTCTGATAGTAAGGTGCCTGGTTGCTCAAACTCAAAGTAGGTGAGCTTTGGACATGCTGCCATCACATCGTAAAAGTTGAGGTTGCGCGCCATGTGATGGCTGATGATCAAGCGTGTCAGGTGGTTGCCGAGTAATCGTAGTGTATCAAGAAATCCATCCAATTGGTATGAGCTGCAATAGCATAAAACTACAATACATGGTTAGCTTTATAGATCAATCAACCACCATCCTTGTAACTACTTGCCTGCTGTCGTATACGATCCACACGTCAACCGCTCAAGTTCTTCAATGTCCTCCCGAAACGCCGTGTCTCCCTTGTGAAATACGACAATGACAGACTTGACATGGGGACCGAGGCATTTGGCTTTGAGCTTTTGCAAACGAAGACGTTGTTCTCGACCTGATATTGTGACGCTACGAAAGAGACGAGTGCTGTACTGCGGAACAAGCTCACACCAAGCGCGACACACGGCCATGAGTTCAATAATGTCGTACTGATCCAGCTGCGAAAGGATCTTCCAGGTAATATCGAAGGTCAAGCGAGACCAGATGTCGTGTAAATCATGGTTGGTTGCGGCAATTGACATTGGGACGTTCATTGGGCTGGTGAAAGAGAATCGGCAGCTGCATAACCAGCAAGTGCAGGTGGTGGAGCTGTGTTACGTTTCATTGTGGCGAATCAACATTTGCTACTCTTGCATTGATCATTACAGTACCCAATACCCAATCGATACACATGGACTTGTATAATCACATTGCATATCTCAGAAAAGAGAATAAATGCTCCTTGTCAATCATTCCCCTTTCTTGACCACATGCCTTCCTTCCCAAGGGTTTTCTTTTTCCTCTCTTCTCCCAATGATGTATAGATGTACCCCCTATTGTAAATCGACAGAGAAAGTAATACATCAACATACCAAGACCTGCATTACTGTATCTATTGTTGTCAGCATACGTAGTAGTAGTAGTTGTTTATACATACTCCCTCATCAATACTCCTTTTTCCTTCTTGTCAAAGATTGACTGAGTTCATATCCTGTTCATGCCGCTTTCCCTTTCTCTTTTCAATTTCTTTCACAGCGTTTCATGATGGCACCTTCAAAATCAATCAAGTACCTACTCTTTATATATATCGCAACTTCTTTGTTTTATGCCACCTTCCATGTGATCCAATTAAATCAAAATGCTCCAAACACGCATACTGGATCTCAACACAAATCTGGGCGAATAGCTCCCCGATCAACCGAGGATGATTACACGACGACGTTGGAACAATTTCCAATCATGGTAGATGATAACCTCGCTCATCGTCAGCAATATGACAGCGATGATGGTAAGATTTGGCCGCTGCTGCAATATCTCTCATACACCGCAACTCATCCATATCGCACAATAGTACTTGTGTCAAAAGCCTTCTCAACCGCAATGTCAAATGAGGTGCAACCATACTACTATAGAGCCAAGCACACATTTCCAGCTGAGGACATTACCATCAGCACCCTTGTTACACAAAATCGCTTTGCTGTCTTGAGTCGATTGGCATCTCATTATCGTGGTCCCATCTCGGCAGCCATCCACGTCACCAATGACACCCACATGCAAAACGTTATGGATGATCTCGACCAAATAGTGAAAAACAACACTGACATGCAACAATTCGTTGACATTCATTTGATTGTCGATAAGCAAGATCGTCAATTCAACATGTGGCGAAACGTTGCAAGAATGTTTGCACGTACCGAATACATCATGATGCTTGACGTGGACTTTCATTTATGCACCGATCCACGCACTTCGCTTGAAAAGTATCCTGATCTCAAGCAACGCTTACGTGAAGGCAATGCTGCTATTGTGGTACCTGCATTTGAATTTGTGAATCAAGAGGATGGGGAGGATTGGCATCAATTTCCTACCACCAAAAAAGAGCTTATCAGCAGCAAGCATGACGACAAGATTGACATGTTTCATCGTACATGGACACGTGGGCATGGATCCACAAATTACTCCCACTGGTACGATGCCACACAACCTTACAAGGTGACCGATTACAATTATTCCTACGAACCCTATGTAATTGTCAGGAAGCACAAAGAAACGCCATGGTGTCCCGAGCGATTTGTAGGCTATGGTGCAAACAAGGCTGCTTGTCTCTATGAGATTTACCTCTCTGGCATCGAGTATTGGGTGCTTCCACAAGACTTCCTCATCCATCAAACACATCACTATCCTGAAGAGACACGATCAAAAGAGGTGAGCATTATCATCATTGTGTGCGTATGTTTGTGTCACATGCAAACAACACACGGGCCTACTTTTGCCATCCTCTTCTACGTACCCGACGACGATGATATTAACAATTTTCTTAGCGGCAGTACAACCGTAAACTATACACCTTTTATAGAGAAGAAATATGTGTGCGATATGCTCGAAAGATGAAGGCCAATGGTGAATGGGACACTAGCAAGGCTGATAATCTCAAAAAAGAATGCTCAAAGATAAGCGGGTTCTCCAAGACATTGGACAAGATGGATACAACAACGTAGCAAGATGATGATAATGATAATACTATCAAGCCGTGCTTGAATAATACATGATAGTTATAGTAATAACAAAAGTAGAAAGTAAAACATGCACGCTAAAGCGTCCGTATTACACCATGTTTCAGCCATTTTATCGGATGAACGCTTTTGGCAGTGTTCGCGTGTGTGAGAAAGCGCTGTCAATACACATACATCACGCACACACACACATGCACAAGGAACGCGGGCTGCAAACATGGATCTCAAACAGCCCGCCCATTCTATGTTTATGTTGATTCTCTCTCTCTTTTCATTCTTTTTCCCTCTCTCTCTTTCTTTCTTTCTTGCTTTCTTTCTTTTTCCCCCCTTTTCCCCTTTCTTTCATCTCACGACCCTTTATCGATAACGTAAACGACAGCGCGTGATATGAATACCAGCCCATGGCTTTTTGACCGATCCTGCACCGACCGAGTAAGGCTCTTTGATCCCCCCCCACTTTATTTAATGGTGACCCACCCACTAACATACCAACGCATTGGGGATTCCACCTCCACCCCTTAATTTCTGATAACAGGAAACATGCTTGAGAAACTTGTAATACCATATTTGGGGGAGAGAAAGAAAGAAACAAGTGTTATGCATAAAATGCATAAAGGATCTTCACCATGCTTACGGTAATCCATGTAATGTTTTAGACTTGTGTCCTTGGTGCCTAGCGTATTCCTTATCGCAGTTGGACCGATACGATTATGGATTTTGTTGAAAAGGCGTCATCCACTTGCTCCGGAACTGATTCGGAACCGGCTCTATTTCGTCAAACTGGTAAGTAAAAAAGAGAGTTGCCCATGACCGCCAATCAACCCATCAGGTACACTTACACATCACGTTGTGTTGCACAAAACAACACATGTATTATAGACCACATTGATCCTGTTGTTGTTTACATCATTGGCTCAACTTGTATTGTCCTTGGATTTGTTGCTTTTGCGGATATCAAACACTCTCTCTCTGGTAAATCTTACTTCTCTTTCACACACGCACACACACACACCTGCTCCACTCGCCCACCCATTCAACTCATTGACCCCCCATGCACACGCCCATTCAATAGCTCATTGCCATTGCATTGCACCATGTCGAGTATACCCGTAACCCTGTCGGCTCGGGCGTCCTCTTGTTTTATTGGCTTTCGATTTTGATGGTCAATGCAGTACAATGGTGTTTACGACACGTGAGCAATGACACGCTTCAACAAGTTCAACCACACAACACATACATGCTATTCGAAGCGACGAATGTTCTATCATTGATCATGCTCATTCTGGAATCATGCAATCGACCCACTCACACATGTATCATTCTCGAGCTCGAAAAGGTAACCTTTCGTGCAACCAGGTGGATGGCTACACAACGTGATCATGACCTTTTGTGTTTGACAGGACCAATGCCCTTGTTCAACCGCCAATATCTTTGAAAGACTCTTGTTCAGCTGGGTATCACCTTTAATGCAACTCTCAAACTTGTCCATGGATGATTTATGGTAAGTGTTCGATTCAACTTTTTATAGATGCAACCTTTGGGTTCTCATAAAAGATGTTAGGCTTTGGAAAGATCCTTGCGACAAAAGGGATGATTCACCATCATGCGTGGTTTCAGATCAGTAAGTATGAACGATGATGTAACTACTACTACTACTACATGGAATGAGTCAGCTGATCATGCATCAAAGTAGGTCAAGCTTAACAAGGTTATTCGTTTCAATCACGCCCGGTCTCTTTGTTCTCTCTGGGGTAACGTGGTCTCTTTCAAAGTGGCGTCACTCCTTTGTTACTAATCCTATATTTCAGGTACTGCAATTGATCCATGGCGTCATCCAGCTAGCATTACCTTTATTACTATGGAAGCTCTTACAATGGGTCACTACGCATACTATAATCATCCAATCGTTCCCAGAGCCCTTTTATCATGGTGGTTTCCTTGCAGGTATGCCGATTATGGCCATTGTTTCCATGACAACGATTAACCTGAACCATATTAGGAAGCATGTTTATTGCATCCATTGCCCAGTCACTAGTGCAACAACAATACTTTCACCTATCTTCGATGATGGGCATGTCCATTTTTCAATCACTTTCAACGTCCATCTACCACAAAGTATTGGTACCAAAAAGCCAGCACAATGAGACGAATGAGGTATACACACAACAACGTGACGGATCATGAGTGGCTCCAAGTTCTGATGTCATCATAGGTTGCCAACCTGGTGCTTAAAGATGCACAGAGGGTCAAGGAAGCATGCAGCTATGTTCATATGGGTAAGAATGTGCTGATTGGAGCCTTGGCAAACGTGCTAATACCTATCACATACGAAAAGTTTGGAGCACACCATTGCAGGTCGTGAGCGTCTTTGCAGCTGCACAGTATATTCTCGGGATCCACCATCATACTTGGATAGGCATGGTCGTCGTTATATTCGTTGTTCCGATCAACATGATGCTCGGCTCTTTAATGCGAAAATGGCGTCTCAAGCAAAACACTCACAAACAGAAACGAATGAAGCTTTTGGTATGTCTCATGATTTCCCAGCAGAAGTATCAAGCAATTGGTAACATGGATTCCACCATAATATAGGGCAGCGTATTGGATGGTATCAAAGCTATCAAGCTACATGCCTGGGAATCAGCATTAGCACACAAGGTATCTATACTTGGATCTTCTTCTCTTTTAATTCAGGATTTGCTGAGAACTATTCACATTAGATAACTGCCATACGCAATCAGCTGGAAGTTGGGATTCTCAAGAAAACTGGTGTAGCTGCTGCTACTGGAAGCTCGATATCCAATGCCATTGTCTTTCTCGTGTCATTGCTCGTTTTCATCATCTACGCATCGTCAACGCCAACCCCTCTCACCAGTGACAAGGTGTTTGTATGCTTATCGCTCTTTCGCCTTTTACAATCTCCATGCATGAACTTCCCCAATGCGATATCAGCTGTTCGACGTGCATCAACATCCATGAAACGCATCCATCAATTCCTGACGGCTCATGAAATCGACCTGCATCAGCATGTCATTCATGAAAATCATCGACGAATGAGCGATTGGACATCCGATACACCCATGATTGAAATGGATCAAGTCAAGGTCCCAGATATCAACAACAGCATCAACCTACAAATCCGCAAAGGCGAGATTGTGGGTGTGGTTGGTCATTCTCCAGCTATCCTCAATGCGATCCTTGGCAACATTTCAGATGGCCATATGACTGTACGTGGCTCTATTGCTTATATCCCTCATACACCATGGGTCATGCAGGATGCCTCATTATGCGACAATATCGTGTTTGGTCATCGATGGGAGCCTGATTTTTATCGCAGTGTCCTCAACCTATGTGAACTCTCACCCGATGCCGTCCCAAGTCAACATGCCATGAAGATTTCACTTGCACGTGCGCTTTATTGTCGTGCTGATATCTACGTCTTTGATGATCCCTCGTGCCTTGAAAGAGAACTATTTCAACGCATTGTACTCGGCATCTTGCGCAACAAGACGCGTGTTATTGCCACTCGATCCTTCTCGCATTTATATCAGCTTAATCGTGTATTGATGGTTTCAACGACAGGCGAGATTGTCATGGATGGAAGCTTTGGCGAGCTGATGAGCAAACACCATGCAACATTGTACCATATCATGGCATCTGCGGATGATCGTCGTACTACAAAAGAAAGCAACTACCGGGAGATCCATCAACAATACATCATGACAACACCACCACCTATTGGAAAACATGCGGATGATGATGACGATGATGCAAAGAGGAATCAGTCATCCTCTTCAATAAGCACCTACATCAAGGCTTGTTCATTGCCAGGCGTTATTGCCGTGATTGTACTCCAAGTGTTGGCCCGATTAGCCCAAGTCAGCAGCACCATATGGCTCCAAGCATGGGATAAATACAGCAATGATGCATTCTACTACTTGGGTGTATATGCAATTCTCGGCTCTGCTTGCATGCTTCTTGAATGGGTCAAGGCTTTGTTACTTTGGGTTTATTGCGTTGGAAAGTCTGCAGCGAATCTTCACACACGTATGCTGTACAAAGTATTAAGGTAAGTTGATGACTGGATGATACCATCACGCATCTGCTGATATTATAAATAGGTCGCCCATGACTTTCTTCCAAAGCACGACCACTGAGATGATTCTTGCTCGATTCAATCAAGACCAAGAGATAGCTGATCGCTTATTACCAAAGATGATTTTTTACAACATGAGGTATGTTATCCTTGCCAAGTCTTGCGAATTGAACCTTGCTCATTAAGCACACGGATGTTTAGGATCATGGCCCTGCTTGCAACAACAACAGTAGTCATTGCATGCTCTACACCATTCTTTTTACTCATTGTGATTCCTCTTGGTAAGTGCCAAGCATCATCAACATCATCGCCGCTATATCCACTCATCTATCCTTATTACATCCTAGGTTTTCTTTACATTTACTTGCAACGTCTATACCTTGTATGTGATCGTCAGCTGAAACGCCTTGATCATGAATCCAAATCAGCGCTATACATCCATCTTGCCGAGAGTACGTTAGGTGCGAGTACGATTCGAGCGTATCACAAGCAACAATGGTTCCATGGGGACTATGTGGAGCGGCTAAACGATGTTCAGCGAGTGCATTTTGCGTCTGTGGCATGTAACAGATGGCTGGCCGTGCGTATCGAAATCCTGGGTTCTATGGTCATGTTTGCAGCTGCAATGCTTGCTGTGATTGCTGTGGTCTACCTACCTTCAGTGGATGTAGGTTTGGTGGGTATGAGCCTGTTTTATGCTCTTGGCATCCCACAACTGCTCACCTGGGCATTGCGTTCGTATTGCGAGATCGAGGTAATGTTGTGAATGTCGTGTTTATTTTCATCACAAAGCTCATGATCCATGTAATTAGCTTCACAATGAATCCCTTGAGCGAATACAAGAGGTACTTTTGATGATGATGGCGGATTTAAGAACACGGCTAATGACATTTTTATTCAGTACACTGAATTGCCGACAGAAGAAGAATATGATGACTCAACAAGAATGGCACCTATCCCTGTTCATCCAGCATGGCCCACCGCTGGCAATATCGAGTTTAGGCATTACACCACAAATTTGCTACACAACGTCTCTTTGAGCATTCAATCGGGTGAAACGATCAGTATTATCGGTGCTGACAAGCACACTTTTGCCCAAAGTCTTTTTCAATTGGAAGTAACACCACCATTGAGCGGCTCTATCCATGTCGACGGCGTTGACATTACCCATTTGGACGTCTATCATTTACGATCACGGATTGCGTGGGTGGGTTCAGAGGATGAGAATGCATTTTTCTCGGGTACAATACGTGAAAACTTGGTAAGATGGGTACCTATGTGGGGTGAACCATTACTTATACATCGTCTTAGGATCCACTGGGACGTTGTGGCAATCTTACACTATGGGATGCATTGGCTTCTGTACGACTAGAAACACAAGGCGGATGGGATGCACCCATTGAAAAGCAGCATTTCACACCTGGTGAGAAATACGTAAGTGCTACTTCCTTTTATACAAGGCATTATCACTGATGAATGTACATGGTATAGCTGTTTGGCTTGGCACGAGCACTACTACGTCGTCCCCGTATTGTTGTACTTGAAGACCCTACTACCAAAGTAAGCACTCAAAAAAGCGGCATGAAGCAAGTGAAAAAGATGACTGAGATTGGTTTTTAAGGTTGACACCGAAACCGCTGATCGCATTCAACAAGTTATTCGTGAACGTTTTGACAAATGCACAGTGTTGATGGTCACACAGAAGCTCGACACCGTCATGGAATCCAATAGGTACGTAAATGCAATGCGACAAGATTGATTTGCATGTTTGTTTGCATGTATAATTAATGCATCATGCACGTTCGATAGGGTGCTTGTTGTAGACAATGGCGTCATGATCGACTTTACTACCCCACAACACATGCTGAAACACAAAGGATCGCTGCTTTTTTCTTTGGCAGATAGCAAGCTTTGCTAAACAAAAAGATGACTGTATTATATTATGTATCATATCATGTATCGATAAATGAAGATTTCATTGAGGACGAAGGATGCATCATGTTGTTATTGGGACACCCTTGGATGATGTTGTAATCAATTGTATTAGGTACATTGGTATAATCGTTAAGTAAAATTACACAAAAGAGGAGGAGTTACAATAGTTTAAAGTACATAGAAGGTAATCTATACTTCTTCCTTGGTATGCTGCTCAAGCTCGACCATTTCACGCTTGCGTGGTGCGCAACCTGTACAACGTGCAATCGTTACACGGATCCAGTGGAAGAGCATCTGCAAGAAAAAGACAACCACAAATGCGGCACCAACACCAATATAGTATCCCGCGGCTACTGGTCCATTGTCCCAGTCAAGGAAAGGATAGACCCACCAGCCGGCCCTGTGTAGAATAAAAAAACGATACATTGACGTAAGCGGCCGAATCGTTGAAGCAAATGGTCCATATGTATACTTACGTAGCGTGCACAACCCAACTCAAAAACATGTACAGGATGACATTGATCACAATGAGTAGGACAATGTTCATGTACATTTGCATTCGGCTAAAGATCATTTCGAACATCATGAGGAAAAACGATACACCATGCACAGAGACATTGAGCCATGCATCCATGGGATTAATACCGGCTATGTACCGAAAAACGATCAGCACAATATAACAATGACCCATTTTTCTTTGTTCTACCTTGTCCATTGTTGAGCATACTCCAATAAACAACAGGCGTAATGATGCTAAAAACGTCGAAGGTAAGTCACATGTCCCCGTGGGTCATCATTGTTGCTGCCAGCATTGGTGGTTGCACATGCTACCTACTTGAACACGAGGATGGTGTGATACAAATACACGTAGAGGTAGTTGAGAACAGTAGGCTGGATGAAGAATGTGCGAGGGTATCGCTCCGGGGTCAATAAGTAGTCAACGCTATGATACAAAGCAGTCTATGTATGTGAGATGTGAGTGATGCATGTTTGTCTCAAATGCGGAGTCGAGTTGTTTTATACATACAACGAGGTATGCATGGAGACCGATGTACGTGAGGTTTGTAAAGTAGCCAAAGAAATTAGTCATCTCGCCTTGGGTGGTAGTGTAGCCGATATTAGCCCATATGACGATCGTTGAGTACAAAGTAATGGGTATGCGTATCAATAGCAACGTCGTTGGCGATACCCAATATGAAGTAACGGCACGTTCAGGTTGAAATTGATCGAAACCAAACCATCGAATAATGGCAAAACGAGAAGGAGAAAGACGCTCGTCCTTGTACTGCATGTTGATGCTGTCGATGGAAAGGCAGCTTTAGTGGTAGAGGAAGAAAAAGAGAAGAAAAGAAAAAAAAGAGGTGTGCAACAGAGTATGATACGCATATACAGCCTGTATTGTGTTTTTTTGCCCGGAGGGACAAAGTTTTTAATGATCGTGTAACTATTGTGCTTCGGCGGTAGGTCAATCACCGTATCCGTGGATGCCAAGAAAGCAAGCCATACACACGATGACCATAACTGCCATTGCCCTAATTTACGGCTCCAGCAATTTGGGACAGGTGGGAGATTGGACAAAGGTATTACATATCATATCAATGCTTGCTTGCAGAGGCTATAGATACATAGACATGCTTATAATGGAGCCAAAATAGTGCTCATCCGATCATGTTTCAAGGCATTGGATCAGCAAAGAAAAGCTAGACCGTCACGTCCTTCTGTCTCATCTTTTACGCTTTCCATTGCTGTCATTGCCCGCATGGATTAATAACAATCGCTGCTCGCTGTGACCAAAATGATGCTCTCAGCAATTAGACTCAGACTGCAACATGGAGTCAGCGTGTGCAAAAACATTACCCATTCTTCAAGCATGTGAAATTTTCGCTACATACGCGGGAAAATCATTGAGGCCATAGTAGCCAATGTTGGATTACAACAGCAATTGACGTTACCCTTATTACTCACAAGCTTAGGGAAATGGTCATTGCTGTGGCATTAAAGGTAAGCAGTCTCACTCAAATTACGGCAAAGGAAATTTGTTAGACCGCCTCTCGGCAACGTGTCCCGTGTTCCCCGTTCTCCGCTGGTGATTCATGCTTCATAGGTACCCATTGCAACTTTGGAAAAGTGATCATGACCATGTATTCAAAAGTGACCGATCATGCTTTTATTGAGCCCTTCATGGTTTGAAGATCTTTCAAAAGCACACATTTAATATCAACGAAGCCAATGTTAGTGATACATGGTCCATCATTCATTATGGTGATGCTGATGGATGATGCAAAGCTACCCCTACTTGGTTGGGATGATGACATGTGACCTCCTAATTTGCTGTTGACGCTTTGCATTATTGTTGACAAGCAATATGCCTCAACCTTAATCTGCGAACATCCACCATCTTCATGTTGCTGAAAAAGCAATAGGACGAATTGATCGTTGTTTGCATGCTCGCAAACTCTTTCGCTGGCCACTCAATGATGGCGAATGGCACAAAACGTATGAAAGGGATATCTTTAAGCTTCCAGTAGATCCAACTTTTTGGCTCCAATGACAATTTCTATAAGCCTACATGATCCACGTATCGTTCGGACAACAAACCTCCCCTCGCTATCCCGAATTCATCCTTATCCCCTGTCGCCATCAGCTTCTTTACGTGCATAGGTTGTCACGCTGGGGTCCGGGATTACCATAAAATTGTAGAACTTACGGCGTTTACGTGGAATTTAGGCGAAGCTCCCTTGCATAATAGAGTTCACCATGCATGTAGTAGCAAGTGCAAGTGTTTTCTGTTACATGCCAACCAAGGCATCAAAGCACTATTCCCCGTTGCTGTGTATTGAAGCCTTCGAAAAAATCCCGATTTCTTTTTTGTGTGATGAGCTGTGGTATTAACTCAACTAATAATGGATCGACACCTAGCATTAGGATGTCATGGAAACCTAAGATTACCTTGGATACCATTGCCATGGCAATGTAGACTTGTATTGGGAAGGGCTCTCGAAATTGGGGTCTTAATGGCCGAGCTAATAAGAGCAGCATTGCTGTTCCAAACGAGACGGCAAATCATTGCATCATATAGCATCCCATGGCTTTCATTGCCTATCGCCCACTACACCAGCACTTTTTTTAACGTACGTAATTTTGTGGATTGCATTATAGAAATGAGGCATATGTAATCAGGTCACTGCTGCAGCCCCTATCACAGTAGATACAATCACTTCCATTTCCCCTTTCTCCCTACCATCCAATTCAAGCTAAAAAGGGGCCATAGACAAACGACTCATATGAAGGAAAGGAGAAGAGGCTTGAACTTCAAGGTCGGGCTGCTACGCATCCTGCATGGAGCATACTATATGTGATGCATCATCCTTTGCATGTTTGGGGTCATAGGAAACCATAATTCTTTGGCTGTTGACAGGTATACCTTTTTGGTGAAGGGGGTACATACGAAAGATACATAGCACGAGGATACCAAGCTGATATCTGTAGATCAACGCCTAACGTTCTATGTACGTAATGGTGATCCATCAATGTCAATTGCAATATGATCTCCCTTTTAGTAGGCGTTCCGGATATTCTTTCAACGACGCATTCCATCAGCAAATCATCGTAAACTCAACCCATAACATAATTGATGGCTGATGTACTCTTTTAGTTGACCACTTACTTTGCAAGGAGAACGAATACATAGCATGCATCTAGGGACAGAAGGACGAAAGGGGGTATATAGTAATCTGTTGCGGAACATAACGTGCGGTGTGTTGCACACATAAAAGAGACAAGTGATTGCGCTGGTGGTTGACCTCCATCTTTCTGTAATTCACTTTGGCATATCATACACGGCATTCTCTATACATTTACCCTTCCATAATTCCTCACACATCCCTCACAAAGCATATGCAACTACCTACAATGGCGCTACCTTCGTTATTACTTGCTACTATAATGCTGCTATCGTCGTCCAAGATCGCCTTTACCCAAGAACAACCCCATTGTGCAGATATCGATTGCCACTACAAATTACGACCAGTGGGTGCCAAGCACACATCCGATTATGCTCTCTATTTAGGTATGTAAGCAAATAGTTACACACGAACGCTCGGACACTGCATTGACGATGCACCTGTTACACACACTTTTTGTAGAAAACAATGAAGGCACACCCATGTCCTTTTTCCACGACGTACCATTACAGCCATCCGAAAACGTATTCAACATGGTCGTCGAAATTCCTCGCTGGGACAATGCCAAATTAGAGGTATGCACGTGCTTTTGTGCGGAAAATAGTGCTCTCCCATTACATATTTCTCGCTTTTATTCTAACGCATCATCCCTAAAAATAGACAACCAAGGAGGTGGTCATGAATCCTATTAAACATGATAAGAACAAAGATGGCTCCTTGCGGTACGTGCCCAATCTTTTCCCCATAAATGGATATCCTGCCAACTATGGCATGATCCCAAAAACATGGGAAGATTCTTATGTTTTAACCAAGTCAACGGGCACGTATGGTGACAATGACCCTATTGACGTACTCGAGCTTGGTTGTGAAGTTGGGTTTGCTGGGCAAATCAAGCAAGTCAAGGTCCTTGGTGGATTGATTCTTGTTGACGAGGACCAAACTGATTGGAAAATATTTACCATTGATGTTCGAGATCCATTGGCTTCATCCATGAATGGTTCGTATGATCCATATCGCATGCAAATGTACGCGTTGCTCATCTCTTTTCATGTCAACCAGATTTAGAGGACATCGAGTCGCACTACCCGGGCTTTGTGGACTTGGTTAAAAACTGGTTTACGGTGTACAAGATTCCTAGCACTGGTAAACCCAACACTCTTGGCTTTGATGGAAAATGTATTGGCAAGGTAACAATCACACGCCGCCCTTATTGTGTTGAAACTGAGACACGTGGCGTCGAAACAAACAAAAGTGAATCAACACTCATGCTTCACCTTAATAGGAAGAAGCAACGAAAAAAGTGTATGAAATGCATGAATACTGGAAAAGGCTGATCAATGGCACTATTGCTGAAGAAGATACCAAAGGCATCCAAAGGTAATAGGATGTTGTACATCTCCAGGAGGTGCATATTTTGGATGTCTCACCACATGCATAGGTTCACAACGACTACTGTGGGATCACCATACCAAGTAGGGCCTTCCAGTCCACAAGTAAAATCTGTGCCAAAGGTAAGAAATTGAACATTGGGAATCAGAGGGGGGGGGTTTCCGTGGGTGGGACAAAAACGTTGTTGATATGCAAAGAATGGTAAAAATGATAATGATTGGTTCCACATATAACAGGCCAATCCACAACCTTACACAAAGCCAGGGGTGGCTGTCGAAAAATGGGCGTTCCTTCCCGCGGAATGGAGTTTCTTAGAAAAAGCAAAGAGTGATGATGAGGTTTAGAAAGCTTAAGTGTCTCTCATCCATTAAAGACAGCGCTCGATGATTAGAATAATGAGCCAAAAAGCACACAAACAAAGCATGCATTGCATAAGGAATGTATCAGAAGCATTGATGGATCATCGTTAAAAGCCATTAGTGTTAATGCACATTGAACAAGTGTGCCATAGGTCAGCGTGTGTATAGTAAGAAAGAAGAATATAAGTTTATATTTTACAAGTCAATCATTGGCAAAGTGTTTGTGTGTATACATGCTATGATGTTGTGTGCGAGATGGTAGAAGAGGATGAGGGATGATGCAGGAACCAAAAAGTTGGTAGTTTGTGTTTGTGTGTGGGTGTGTGTTTGTTGCATGATTGAGGAAAGCTAACAGGATTATCTAGAAATGATGAAAATGGTACGTGCGCGTTGTATGCATGATGCATGAAAAATGTTGGGGGCATTAATGGATCTAATTGGTGGTGATCTGGACCTTAATGGCACCGGTAGAATAATCAGCAGCGGTCTTGAAAGCATTAATGGCATCCATCAAATCGAATTTGTGGGTGATCAAATGGTCGACATCCAACTTGCCGCTAGCCATCAGGGAAATAGCACGAGGATATGTGTGGTGGTATCTGAACAAGCCCTTGATGTCGACTTCACGCATAGCAAAGTTGTTGACAGGGAGAGATTGGTCATTCTTGCCGACACCAACCAAGCAGCAAACACCAGCATCACGAGTAGCCATGATGGCGGCACGGAATGAGGATTCGATACCAGTGCACTCGAGAGTGTATTCTGCACCTTCATTGTTCTTGGTCAATGCACGAATCTCACGAGCAACTTCAGTGTCGGGCTTCTTGGGATCCACTTGATAGGTATAATCGGCACCCATTTGCTTGGCATATTCCAAACGAGAAGGCTGAACATCGGTGATGATGATGGGGCTCACACCAGTTGCCTTGGCAACAGCAAGAGTCAACAAGCCGATAGGACCAGCACCAGTGATCAACAATGAGCGACCAAAGGTAACACCACAACGCTCTAAAGCGGAAATGGCAACTGACAATGGTTCCAAAAGAGCACCTTGTTCATATGAGACATTGTCTGGCATCTTGTGTACCCAACGAGCAGGATGTGTGCAATACTTGGAGAGAAGGCCATCATAGGGAGGAGTGGACTTGAATACAACATCTGGGCAAAGATGATAACGACCAGCCATGCATTGAGAGCAGTTGCTGCAAGGAATACCACTAAAAACAACACCAATGATATGTTAGATCATCATTACACTATCACCTTTTCCCTCTTATTCAACATGCCTCTTCCAATACTTACGCTTCAATAGCAACACGATCACCCACTTTGAGATTGGTAACGCCTTCACCAACAGCTGTGACAACACCCGCAGCTTCATGTCCAAGGAGTTGAGGCTTGGTAACGGGGAAGATACCAATTTCACCATACTTCCACAAGTGGATGTCTGATCCACAGATGCCACAGGCCTTGACTTGGAGTTGTACTTCACCTTGAGCAGGCTTTGGGACAGGGATTTCAATGATTTGAAGGTCATCGGTCTTGTTCAAGAGGACGCCATAGTTCTTTGTGTTTTCATCAGGGATCTGAAAGTTGTTGCTCATGATGATGTTTGTATGGTAATGGGGAGAAAAGGATATTTTTGTGCGGGGGGAAATTGCTGAAAGTGTCGAGTATTTATTAGTTTGAGGCATTTCACTACTGTAAAACAGGGCCGGAGTTGAGACCACGTTTTAGAACGGAGGACGACAGGTATGCTGCTGCGTTGGAAAAAGGTTCACTCAAAGCCGCCCTTGACCGAATTAGAGACACGATGCGATTGGTGACACTTTCACGGAATAATCGAAAACTTTGATACCAAATGGAGAATTTTTTCAGGGATCGACCACCAATGAGAGTGCTTTGAAACGCCCGGTTACCAGATCAAATGACATCGACATTCTCTCCCCCCGCATTCATCCCCCTTTCATCCCCCAGACTGTTGGCTCCTCATTCGTCCGCTACCAACAAGGCATCCGCGGATGTGCTTGTAGCCCTGAGCTGTTGATTATTGGCTGCTGATTTTTCCTTGAGATGTTCAGGCGTGCCTTCGGGAATCACACCAAAGATCCTTTGACACAATGCTCTATAAATTGCATTTCACACTGTCAGCACATCATGCATAATGATAATACTCTACCCCATACATGACGAAAGAAAAAACCTCCTCTCCTTACCGTTTATCCTGCTTATTCAATAGTAGACTCAGCGACACTCTACCCCGCCATACTGGAAGAGACATAGGAACCACTGCTGCTGTCACTTGCGGCCTATTGAAATATGAAGATAAAGATAAAATAAAATCAAAGTTAGGAACACAAGGTTATCCACCAAACAAATAAGAATCACTCTTACCGGTCATGGTCCACATTAGCGTCGATCGTAGCTTTGGTATCATAATCAAAGATACAACCCCCAAGCTCTAAACGATATATAGTTTAGTGCCAATCTAGTCTCCCACATGTAATGTAAATATGCTCTCATACCCATTGCTTCCAATCTTGCAATTGTCGGGGGCTCGAATTGTTCAATCTTGGGATATGCTTCTGTAAGCAATGTTCTTAGCTCGCCAAGCGATTGTAAGCGCACTCTGCGACGATCATTGACAATATCATCCACCAATGTCAAGCCTTCCCATGTTAAGCGATAGGGTGTCTTGCCAGCATTCTCATCCATTTGGCCATCCATGCGTCGTACAAACATACGCACGCCCGTCATAACAATGTTGAGACGACGAACCACTTCAGGGGAGCCCAACAGCTGACGCACAGCAGATGATATGAAGTAGATGGTCTTGGTCTTATCTTTGCCTTCAGAACGTATCAAGAATTGATCCCTTGGGAAATCAGGGCCTAGACCATAAAAGTTGCTACACATTATATAAAAAAGTAGTAGTCAGTGGATATGGCATATGCAAATGCATGCGTCCTTAGAGCCCAAACTTAAATGTTGTTTACCTGATATCTACAATCTCTGCATTATCTGGTTGCATTAGATCGAATGGGACATCGTTGCTCTTTTTGATGGTAGATGCTGATTGAGTGCTTGGGTCCTCGGAATCATCATTCGCAGATCGCTTGCTTGGTACCACAGCAGTTGTATCGTCATCCAAATCGCCGTCCTCTTTTTGTTGTTCAGCACCCTCTTCAACATGAGATTGTGGTGCCGGGGTTGACATGTTATGCATCCGCTCCTCCGCACTGGACATAGGCTTCACCTTGTCAAACACCGCAACGAAAAATCCTCCGGTATCCTGCAAATGGGGGTAGATACGAAGACTATATCATACCTCAGTCAATGATGGGGCGATGCATCATTTGACAAGCTTACCATCTTTCCAAATGCAACGAATCTCCATCATTCACGGGTGGAAATAGCGATGTTGGGAATCGTTTACGTTGAGCTTCATCTTGAATATCATCCACCGAATCCAAATATTGTCCATCTTTGGTCATCACCTATACATAGCATGAATTAGATATTGCTTAGGCACAAACGAGTCATCTCCCCCCTGAAAAAGATTATTCACCTTCCATGACGTGAGACCTGGTTTACGTTTGAGTTCCGGCAACTGGTCCGAGACATCTTTCAATATCAATGCGCCTTGTAACGAGATGATGAGCTTTCTGTTTATGTACATGTACATACGTATATACCATGGCTTACCATTTGCACGGCGTAATACTTCAGCTACCACTGCTTCATTTTCCACTGGATTGAAAGAGCATGTTGAATAGACAATGCGGCCTCCAACCTTTGTCAACTGGGCACCCCGCAAAAAAATTTGCACTTGGACACTGGAATAATTCTTTTTTAGAAAATCACCGAGACTTGATGTTTCTCTCTGCAATCCCACCCTCCTGTATATCCACCGGAGCATTTTTGAAGGTCCGTGTGATGATGTTACTTACTTGTGAAGAGCCAAAGCAGCACCTTGTCCCCATTCAGCCCATATCCTATCGTTTTTTCTCATGGTGCCATCGCCACTATAATAGGTATATAAGATGGGTGGGATCGACATAAACGTGGCCAGCACACACTTACCTGCAAGGGACATCGCACAAGACACGGTCAAATCTAATTGGTGATCCGCCTTTGGTAAGCCGTATGTTTGGGAAATAAGCACCGTCGTGGTTGGTGGCAAGAAAACAGGGGGATTGTAAACGTTTTGATTGATGCACAAGAAGATGGCTACGCTTGTAATCCGCATCATTGGCAATGACGAGACCGGCTGAGCAAAATCAATGGTAAAAATAGGATACACACATATTTAGCCCATATACACATCACGGACCACCCAATCCTGTTGACCAATCAAACTTCTCATACCTGGCATCTCGTTCAACTTGTCATTGGCATGCACAGCTTCGATAATTTGTGCTGTTTTGGAACCTGGTGCAGCACACATATCCAAGACCCATTGATGAGGTTGAATGTCCATTAACAAAGGTGGAATCATGCTGACAGCTTCTTGACGGCTGATGTTGCCCTTGAAAATACAACAGGGTGAGAAGTCATGATGCATGAATGTTGTGAAAATAGAGAGCTGCTCCTGCTGCTACTTACCACTTCAGTCTCGGTGACGATGAACTTGTGGAACTTTGAAAATTCGGGAGAACGTTTGATTACAAGACGTGGAGCGTGCACTTGCCAGCCGAGACCTTCCGGATACCTGCCCAACAATGTCATCATTGAATACCTCTTTCCTTACAAGCCAAGTCATCCAATTACCATGGGAGCGGTTTGGGGGGTTCCATTTGGACACCATCGATAGTGACATCTTTCATGGCAGGGACATAGACTTGTTCAATCAATTGCTGGATTTGACGAGCATGGCTGTATGACGAAAAAAGGATGTCAGAGAGCTGAGCACGCCATCATTGTATCATATGCATCACACCTTCTCGTGCCGGTGATACGAAAGGTACTCGGGAGTCGCATTTGCAAGGACGAGTAAAATTGGTCAAACTCTTCATCGGACAAGATGCCTTGGCTCTGTATCAATCCACCACTCGCATCAATGACCCATATCCACGATAATCCAACATGTCACATGATGAATCTCGTATCCTACCTTGTAGTAGTTTTTGAACTTTTCATTCTCCTTGATAGTAACTCGGTTGTCGCCAGGTCGAATGGCTGATTGCGTAGAGCCGTCAGGTTGCTCAGTAGTAGCTGATCGCTGCCATTGAGAGAAAATAAAGATCGTAGCACCAGTAAGTTGCAAGATTATGGACGAACCCAAGACACAATGTCCTGTAATAAGCTCACCGCTTGGCGTCTTCTTTTTCTGCTGAATCGAGCCATTGAGTGTTGTAAAAGAAACAAAAGAAAAGAGAGAGAGAGAGAGTTCCGCTGCCAGCCACATTGTCCCCCATTGTCCCCATTGCCACATGAGTTGGTGGTGGAATAAAGAATGCTTTATGTATATGATATGTACAGGGAATGGTTTACAGAATGTACGGCATGAATTGGGATTGGTCGTGTAAAGCGAGGTGATTGAGTTGACATGTCAAGTCTGTGGGGTCGTCGTGTGTGTTGTTGTCGTCAAGTGGAAGTTGTTGGCTTTGTGTTGTTACTGTTATTGGAGATGCTGCAGGGCTCGAAGATGAATGGTTCTCTTTGGCATCTTGTGATGCATGTGATGTGGATGTGATTGTTGTCGATGTATCAGGCATGGGCCACCGGGACGTGTGGGGGTGGAACAAAGAAAGAAGTGAATGATAGGGAAATGATAATGGATGCTTCTATTAACGCGCCACCTCATTCGAATGCCATTTTTGGTCATTAGCTACTCTTCTCCCACAAATGGACATGTAACGCCACAATGATATCAGAATGGAGTGTTTTGATTATGCCATTCAATGAATGACTTAGCATCCAGATCATTCGTGCATTGACCGCAGCGGCAATACAGAGCATACAAGAGGAGGCCATCATAACTTGGCAAGCGCAGCACATGCACGTGAGTCATGTTTTGCCCAAATCAACCATTTCCTCTGCTGGCACATCTTTGTATTGCTGCGAGAAAGTGATTATAATTGTGTACGTGAACAAAAAATAGCATCGCTTAGCACACAATGTCCATTCTTTTTACAAGGTATAAAAGATGGGAGCAAATCAAGGATTGAATCGACATTAACATTATCCTTTTCTTCTTTGAACAAGCAAAAACAACAATCATCATGGCCATCCAATGGGTTTATCAAGCTGGAACAATGTGGGTCCCCTTTGATCCACGCGCCAATGCATCGGTCGAAAACTTGTGGCGTAAAGGACAAGCAGGAAACATTTACGTTGCATCTCTCCACGCGTATCTCTACGTCAATGGTCGAGGTCTTTATGCACAACAATTCTCTACACGCATCGCTATTGCACGCACTGGATCATGACAGCCATCACACACGTACACACATCCATATCCAATTGTAGACTATGCCCATCTTCCATTGTATTATATGTTGCTGCAGCAGCCAAAGTATGCCCCCATCCATTGCATTTCTTTTTGTATGCTAGATAATAAACATGAATGTATTTTTTTTGTATTACCAATCAAAGTGCAAGCATGGAAGGTTTCTCTTCACTTTCTACCGGTATCCTATCACTAGTGGTTGCTCTATATCGTTCCTTGAGCCAATGTTCGTTGATGATCGATTGCAAGTGCTGTGGGCGTAATCCATTATCAACCGCGGCTGAGATAGTGTTGCCTTTACTGTCAATTTCATCCTGGACCAATTTGGTGACCTTTTTGAGAGCGAGGCGTTGCAAAAAGACATCTTGGCGTAATTGAGTGAGGTTGTTGAGATCATTTTCCAATACAGCATCCAATTCATCAAAATGGCTCATCTTCAGATCCAACTTTTTGACTTGAATATCAATGACCGAGTGCACCAGGCGTCGGATTTCACGTTCTTCAATACCTGCCAATGATTTGGCCTTGGCAGCAGCTGATCCCAATGCAACTGCAGCAGCCTTTTCAACTGTTGTGCGTGGTTTCTTGCTTCCATTGCCTTGATCGATATCCATATCGTCGGTCTGTTTGCGTTTGTTGCCTGATTCTTGATATTCAATAGCACAATCAGCAGCGACAGAGGCAAGTTCGGGATCCACAGCGGATGCAAGATAGGCAAGAATCGACATGACAGGATTATCCGCTTGTGAAAATGGCGTACGTTTGTGTTCAAGGGTGCGTGATGAAGATCCAGCCGTCGATGCCAAATAGGGTTCCTCGATAGGAAGTTGAAGGAAATGCATCACACATTGCTCACGTGTACGCGTACCCACGTGCTCAGCAATGGCGTTCCAGTCGTCATCATGCATCTCAATAGCTTCCAATAGCAACAATGTTTCTTGATCCGTCCACTCTTCTTGTTTGTGTTGGAATTGAACAGGCTCGTATTTGATAAAGTCGCTGCTGAGGACTGTGGCAGGGAAACGACCTTCCTTGTAGCAAATGGGACAAATATCCATATTCTTCGTCTTCAAGCTGTGATAGCGTTCACGCGTACAATCGGCTCCACATGTTGCACAGTAGTAAGGTTTGCATTGAGCATCATCCACTTGGCTTTGGGTGCCTTCAAATAACTTTTGTCGCAATTGAATATTCATGCTTAATTCAGCTGCTGCATCATTCTTGCTGGCTGTTGCTTGTGCTTTGATGCTGGGTCGAAATGGTTGCAATCCACGAGGTGTATCAGCAGTCAATCGGAAATGACCCGTAAAAGGAGGACCCACAGTGGATGGCCATGTTGATAAATCACACTAAGAGAAAAAGAACATCGTAAGCACATGGGATAAATAAATGCATAAACGCGTATCTTACTTACTTCGCTGTTGATAAGACCCCATTGTTCCAGAAAAGCATGCACTCGCATGATTGCACACACGTCACCTGCCAAGTTACGTCTACATGCCGTCACTGCCAAGTATTCACTAGGATTCAATCGATACGTGTTGATCATGAAATCACGATAATCTTGATAAATGTTGGGTGTCTTGGACTTGTTGCGACCCGTAAAGAATTCTGGCAAGGACACACGCTCGATGTCATGGATCTTGGTGATATCAAACCATGAAGCATATTCTGGCACATCCACTTTTTGAGTTTGCTCCACGAGATATTGACGCGCTTCTTGCTCAATCTTGGAACGCGTCGCTTCAGCTGATGGTGTCTCTTGTGATGATGATGATGTTGCTGCTGCTGCTGCTGCTGCTGATTCCTGTTGAGTAGCAGGTGTTGCTTCTTGTGCGGTTGGTGTTGGTTCCTGTTGTGTAATCGTTGGCTTTGCTTCTTCAGTAGTAGCTTCTTGTGTAGGCATTGGATGATCCTGTACAGGTGCAGCCTCTGATGTAGATGGTTCTTTTGCAGGTTCAGGTTGTTGTTGTTGTTGCTCTTCTTCTTGTGCTGGAGTCGATGATGTTATTGATGGTGTTGTTGACTCTGTTGTTGTTGTTGCTGGTGGTGGTGGTGGTGGTGCACTTGACGCGGCAGTGGATTCTGAAGTAAGAGGTTCTGCAGCAGGTGCTGATACAGTAGTCGTCTCTGAAGCAGGTACAAGTGCTGTTGATTCAGCATTCATTGATTCGGGTGCTGCTTGAGCTTCCGATGGTGTTGATGCAGGAACAGCAGGTGCGTTCAAGGTTGAATCAAGGGGTTGCGATGGATCTTGTGCCGATGAAGTAGTTGTAGGTTCTGTTGAAGATTCCAATGCGGGAGTTTCACTGGACGTAGTATTTGGTGGCGGTGGTGGTGGTGGTGTATCGTTATCGACAGCTGTCGAGGTAGGTGGTGCATCTGGCATGGGAGTGTCTTCACTCATTGCTGTTTGATTGGAAAGAAACAAGCGTGAATAGGTCACTCGTCGCCCACACGGAAGATGTGCTATCGACGGAGTTCAACTCAACATCACCAAGTCCCCCGTTGGCTGGATGGATGACTTGTCCGTCCCAGACATTGCATACCACATATCCAAGCTATAGGCTTCATTCTTTCAAAACATGCTTTGTACTTGATAATCATCATTAAATTGGCTGTTGTTGGGAATTGCTTTGAATAGATGCTTACATGCATAGTACGTTCTTGGCGTGTACATACATCCTTGATGACTTTATTACCACAATTTGAGATGACGATATTATCTTGGCACACGGTGTCTTTCATCCTATTTATCAATGCACACGTGAGCAAGTGAGATGTCCAATGTATTCGAATGATGCCTGTTATCAGCAACTGATGTTGCCAAGCCGCATGTGCGTGGTTCTCCGTCGAATGTGTGATACGAGTATCATCAAGTCGGGTGTGTTACATGGCCAATGTGGCGAGACACCCAGCGTATCTTTTGACCACAGTGTGATTTTTCTACAAAGACGTGAACAAATGGAATGCTTTTTCTTGTTACGATATAGGGGAGAAAGGAGATTGGCATCATTACTGGTCAATGTGTGTGCGTGTGTGTGTACCATGTTCACACACATGCACTAGACCATAAAAGCAGATGCTTTTTTTTACCCTTTGGCTACCATACCATCACTGAAAAAAGGGTACTGGAACCTCTCACTGCTGTTCTATTGGAATCTTTTGCCAGCATACCGGAATTGGATTAAAAGATGGGGCGGGGGAACTTGCCAAAAATACACATGTCGTTTCCACACACCCCTCAACCAAAAGGAGCACGGTCTTTGGGGGTCAATGTGAAGCTGTATAAATAGAGGGAGCGGATATAAAGACAAAAGGTACCTTTGAACCACATATATCCACGTACACACACACACGCACACATTTCTTTCTTTCTTTCTTTCTTTTCGCTTGTCCCTTATCATCATCAACAAGCAACGTACCACCCTTGTGAATACTATCAACATCAACGACAACAATTTATCAGACCCCTCGATCACATACAATGCTGCATTATTTTGTTGCCGACTATTGGACAAAGAGACGGCCCATGGTCAAAACATCACCATCAACACAAAATGAATTACAACAACAAACAACCACCGAGCAAAAATCATCCCCCATGGTACCCCCTCGCCCAAGTATGCCAACAGAAATCACACGATCCGCTTCGTGGGAGTCATTCTCAACAACAAGACCATGTTCAGCCGATTGGCACAGCAATAAGCAATCCTGGTCCTTTAGTGAAGATTATGTCTCTTTTCCAAGCCTGATTGAAGATGAAAAAGAACCTCAGGCTGCCTCCTCACTATAAAACCATCATCATGCATTATGCCATTATCATTCCATTTCCTCCCCCAACCCCAACTTGTATATAGCAATGTCTTTCTTTTGTATCATTTCCCCCCTTCAATCTACTGTATCTTATGCAATCATACGACAAACGCACGCAAAAAGAGAATAAGAACAATATTCTCGACCCGAATTTTATTTCGCTAGCATCCAATTATCATGAGCTACACTAAATGCACATTCACCACGTGGCAAAAAAGATTCCCGATCAGCTGCCATATAAACTACTTGACCAATGCACGAGGAGATACGAAAATATGGGGAAAGGCTAATAAATGCATCGGGTAATGAGTGGTCTGGTCACTGTTGTCCGATGCTCACCCCCCTATGTGTATGTATGTACACTTTAGGCAGCATTGAAAGAAAAGGAACGTGATGAGTAAGGCACAATAAGGGTCGGGTACAAGGACCCGGGTTTGAATGGCCTTCTTCATTGCACCATCCTGCTCTCTTAGTGTCAGCATCAATTGGTGCATGTTTACAGTAGATCACATTGGGCGGGTCATGTATATATAATATGTGCTACATCCAAAAAGCAGGGCACATATACACTCACACATACATAACACATGGATGAGATGCGTGACCTGATGGATGTGTGTGAAAGGCTTGTAAAGTGTCTCAGACGCATGATCGCCTGCTGCAACCAGCCATTAGGATACATCTGTCTATATTCGGTGATCATTGGTATTATACTACTACCAAGTCCCTGCATGTGAGAATAATAAGCATGCAAAGGCAAATCGCATGAAACATCCAAAAGATTGTGGGCAGGCTCTTTAGCAGAAATGTGGGTGTACCAAAGATTTTCTTTATTCGTCATTAACGCCGAGATGATTGTAGTAGTACTTTTACTGCTGTTGGTGGATGATGAGAGTTAACAAGGGCCAACGTTCTTTTGCCGTCATTCCTATCGAGCATGTTGGGGGTGGAGGCGGAATGATGATGTTTGACCACCCACATACGCTGCATGTACTCGCCATTTTTCTCATGTTGAATGTAATTCTGTTGGACAACATGTGATTCATTTCTTCCTCAATAAACCACCCCACCATCTATGATCGATCCTAGGGATTGCTTTGTATAAGGGTGATTGTCATACGGATGTTGCTCAATATCATGTATGGATACAAAAGCACATGGATAACAATAACAAGATCGGGTGAGATAGTATTTATTGATGATGAGGATATTCTACGACTTTCCCTGATGAGGAAGATATTGACACCAGCCTTCCGAATTTGGACACCACACATCCCGATTTATGCATGGTCACCGCTGCTTCTAGATCACTTTTGGCGTAATACAACATTTTCCCATGCTTGTGCTACTCGCATTGATGAAAGATATCTCGTCCTTTAGTAAACCACAAATGAGAAAGCAAAAGTGTCCGAGTCAGCTACATACTGGAACACTTGAATCATCAAGTCAAATTGAAAGGCTTGTACTTGCATGAATGTGATATCCGTTTATCTGAAAGTCGCAATTGGATGAGGCCACTGTGTTGGGACGATACTACAGCAAGATGGATCGAGATAGCTAATCTCTCTTCATAAGCCAAGTTGTTCTTTGATTAGGTCAGCTGTACTAGGATGAGAAAGTGTTACCTGCTGGCTGATTTGCAGCAATGATAATGTACCTTCATGTTGTTCAGCTTGAAGGCGAAGCAAAGGTGATCCGCTGTACAAGCTAAAGAGGATCTTCGTTTGTCGCATAATGTTGACTGCTTGTATCATGCACTTTTGCCTTGTCAGTGTCGTCGTGTTGTTCATTAGAATAGCGCATCATGCCCTGTAGAGTGTTGTGTTGTAAGAAAAGAATAGCTTATAGGTCGCTCTTGTTTCAGGGGGATCATACCGTGAGTGGAGCAGGGTGAGTTGGCAGAGTAAAATTTCGACGCTCTCTTTCACTGCTACTCTTCGCCGTCAAGTGCAGCTCCCTTCAAAGGACAATCACGACAACTTTTTCGCTACGATTAGTTCTCAACCGATGACAGCAAGTACCTGGCACCATCGACACTCATTCCTTACGGGTCATGCAACGAACATGCAAAGCAACTAAGACACGAATGCTTCAAGCTTGTTGACCAGTTACAAGAGGTGTTGTCCTCGCGTGTGATCATCCCCTTGATTATCTTTCCATCCACCAATACACATGTCCTTTGCCAACAGCACTAGGAGGAGGCGTATCATGATTGATCCATTTATCAAAGTAAGTAAAGAGAAGAGATGGGCCTATTGATCAAGGAATGGTGATTAACAATGAGGATCATCTAGTGAAGCAATACGACGGCATCCCTTTGGACGATGTGATAGTCATGAATACGCCCCAATACAAGGAATCTTCACCTGGTTGAGCTGCGATCAAAGATGACCAAGAAAGAGATAGACAACAGCCAGATCGGGAAGGAGGCATATCAACAGCGATCACGAAGGCTCTTTCTCCTTGAACTTGCAATGGTTATGGATGGATGGTTGGACGCAATCAAGTGCAGTGATGGGGAACCCTGGAATGTTGCTATGGTTACTTGTCGCATTTTCAGCAAGAACGATGGGTCCTATCACCCGGTTATCTGAGGAGGAGGATGGATGGGATGATCAAAGGTGTTTACAACCACCATGACACTGGAATACTCGAATCAATGCATGCAGCAGACATTTTGCAATCATGGATGATGATCTTTATGACGGCGGCAACCAAGGATGCAATGAAACAATGATACCAGTTGGCTCTATCATGTGACTTCCCCGTACCTTAGTCAATTCTCAATGCTGTCCTTTATTTACTCGATAAACTTCCACACAACCATATGCTATCCATCGACTTTGTCATTGAATGAACATGGGATTCAACATAATACTTTGGGGATCACACTATCGGCTCAGATGCACAAGTTGTGGATCACTTGGTTGGTTTCAGGATTGAAAGGGGAATAAGGATTTTAGGATCGGAAAGCGAGATGGGACAATTCAGATAATTGTATCAAGACGCTTTGCTCTTTTGCCACGTTATTGCGTTCATTGAAGCTTACTACTTCACGAGCTGATAGACGAAAGGCAGGATTTACATAGATAATAAATTCAAGAGTGATGATGCGCAACGTAGTGCTTGGTAGAAAAGCTTGGTCCATTGTATGTAAGAAGCTTAATTCATTAAGTATGTTCGAGAAAGAGTGAGTTGTGATACAATGTTTCACGAACACATGAACATACCATACTTACACATATGATTTTCAGCTAACACTAACTTTTGCAATCTTGTATAAGAACGAACCAATCCATACAGGCTATCATACGCGGACCTTATTATAGGCAGCGGGCAGGGGAGGATGATCGATCATGCACTCTCGACCAATAGGATTAATCCTTCAGCCCATCCTCTCGGATTTTGATACCACAAGCCCGTCTGCATCTCTGGCTCTATTGCAGTCATACTAGTTGGCAATGAACAAAGGACTCTTTTCATATAGCATCATGCTTACAGCATAGTGAAAACATAAAGACGCCTGTATCTCCAAACTTTACAATGAAACGTGGGGTTTTTATTAGAGCAATGGGCTCGGCTTGGCCAACAGCACCTTGTGTGAAAGTTTCGCGTTCAATGTCGCAAACAGCCCAAAAAATATTTTTTGGTCGTCGTCGTCGAAGAGGTCGACCTCCCGGATCCAGTTTGGCTGGTGGCGACATTGCGAAATCTGGGATTGGCAAGCTTGATCATGAAACTTTCACACAAGGTGCTGTTGGCCAAGCCGAGCCATTGCTCTAATAAAAACCCCACGTTTCATTGTACAGTTTGGAGATACAGGCACCTTTATGTTTATGAGCGTCATGCTATATGACAAGTGGTCTTTGTTTAATGTAAAGTATCTAGACCCTGGAGAGCCAAAGATGCAGAAGGACCTCTTTGGGTAGCTGAGCTAAAAAGTCCGGACCACAGGGACGATGCATGACAGGTACGCAACCCTCACTTTTATGTCATACATTGGCAGCTAATAGCCACTTTTGTGCATTCCCAACTTTTGTGCATTCTATTGTAGGTGGACGATGCTCCTGCTCTAGACATTCATTTCCATGATTAAAGTAGGTTGATCCGAGCTGATTTGGTTGAGTTACGCTCACACAAGATTACATCGGTTGAGCTACATCGAGCGTGCTTTATGTCCAGAGTGATGTAATCTCTTTTTGACCGCAGCTCAGTCAAATCAGCTCGGATCAACCTACTTTAATCATGGAAATGAATGTCTAGAGCAGGGGCATGGTTCGCATGCAGTGGATCTCGCAACAATGATGATTGGATAAAAGTGGCCGTTAGCTAGCAATACATGCCTGTTCCTAGACGATCCATAAAGTAATTATACATTGACCCTTTCATTCATGCAAACGTAGCTGAGTTACACAACACGACCCTCTGCATCTTTTGCTCTGCCAGGGTGTAGCTACTTTACATTAAACAAAGACCACTTCTCATATAGCATCACGCTTACAAACATAAAGGTGCCTGTATCTCCAAACTTTACAATGAAACGTGGGGTTTTTATTAGAGCAATGTGATCGACTTGGCCAACAGCACCTTGTGTGAGAGTTTCACGTTCAATGTCGCAACCAGCCCAAAAAATATTTTTTGGTCGTCGTCGTCGAAGAGGTCGACCCCCCAGATCCAGTTTGGCTGGTGGCGACATTTGGCAAATCTTGGAATGGGCCACCACGATCGTGAAACTACCACACAAGGTGCGTTTCACCCAGCCGAGCAGGTTGCTCTATTGAAGACCCCACGTTTCATTGTAAAGTTTAGAGATACAGCTGACTTTATGTTTTCGCTATGCTGTAAACGTGTTGCTTGGAAGGTGATCTTTGTTCATTGTCAATCGTCTCTCTCAGAGACAACGTTGCAAGAGGACGTGTTGTGTAACAAACTCGAGAGCCATGTCCATCCTATTGGTTGAGGATGCATAATCAATTATCCTTCCCCTGCCTGCCAATAGTAACATCCGCCAATGATAGCCTGCATGCAATGTTCTGTTCTCGTACAAGGTACCGTAAGGTAGCGTTAGATGAAAATTATGATAGGTTAGCATGGTACGTTAATGTGCTCTTGCCACATTGTATCACGGGTCACTCTTGCATTGAGCTTACGATGAATCAAGAGTCTGTAACAAGAAATACTATGTCGTTGGGCATCATCACACTTGAATTGATTATGCAACACAAGCGCTGGATAGTTACCACTGCCTTTTGTCATCAGCATGTGAACTATGAATTTACACCGAACGAGACACATACGATGTGAGTGTGATCCTATCCCCCTTCCAATCCAGCAAGCAACAAGTGATACACATCTTGCACATACAAGCTAATAGTACGATACGATGTTTATGGAGTAAATATGATAAAGGAACAGCATTGCAAATTGAATAAGATACCGGGGGTGGAATAACATAGAGGCGACAAGGGAAAATGTGTCATTGGTTGTTGCCGCCATAGTCATCCTTCATCCATGATTGGAAAATAGCTGCTGCATACGTGGACTCGAGCATTCCAACATCATCCAAGGCTGTAAACACCTTTGTAATCCCATCCCAACCATCATCATCCTCACTTGTATGATCCATCGTTCCTGCTGACAACGCGACAAGCATTCACCTTGATTCTCGTCACTGCATTGATGATCCATACACCGTAACCATTCCAAATCCAATACGCTGAAATAGGAAGTCTCAGAGACTGCTGCTGGTATGCTTCCTTTTCCATCCAACGCTTTGACCCTCTCTCTTTGTTCGCCATTTTCCATAGCAGCTCAACCAGCTGAAGTTTGCTTGTATTGTGCGGCATAGTTGATGACTGATATGGTATCATCCAAACTAAACATTGCGTAGTCAAGGGAACCAAACCGGTCAATAGATCCATTCCTTCCATCCCACATACCAAACCAATATCCACATCCATATCCATATGCGTAAGAAGTCGTATGTATTGAACGAAGTTGTTACATGTAAATAAAGCTGCTTCTATACAATAACTATCTGCTGTTCACGTGAACAGGGCCGTAAGGCAAGTTGTTGCAAATAAAGAACGCTGTTTGAGACGATGGGCAAGGCGTCGTTGATACCAACTGCTGCATTGAGTGCTGTCACGTTGATTGCGGTAGACGAATGTACAAGAGAAGGCGTAGTGTCAACGCGTACATGCCATGGACTTCTCATTCAAAGACAATCGGATCAAGAGAGTTGTAGGGTTGACATGATGGGTTGAAGCAAGACAATTGTTTGTAGGTGGTAGTTGTATACTTCAATGAGCAATAGTTGAGAATGGGAGGAAGAGACAAGAAGTTGTGGGAGTGGAAGGAGTGGAAATTAAATAGGTCGGACACCTCTTGTATAAATGCATGAACACTGTACATCAATCCTTGATATTGACATTTCCCCTTTCGAACCTGAAACTTTCACACAAGGTGCTCTTGGTCATGCTGATCAACTTTGTATGATAAAAGAACCTCTGAATGGGAGGGTGCAATGTGGACTTTACTATGGAGTCTGGAAGCGTGTTGGATCTGCATGCTGTAAATGATGATGTCGATAGCACTATGAGCAAGGGGAACAACTGAGTGAAATGGCACGTAGTGGTTATATACACACACGCACACCTTGACATGTTGCTGCACACATGGATGATGATGATTGCCTTTCGGAAGGCACGTAAACAACATCCAATAGAGTATATGTATCAAGGTATGTGCATGACAACAAGTAATGGTGTCATATCACATTTGGATGCAGGGTCGAGCTGCAAATTCAATGCGGGTGCATGTATCTCTATAAGACCGATAAAAGAATCACCTTTATTGGATAAGATACAATCTAGAGCATAAGCTAGTAAGACCACGTGGATAATAAAAAGTGATGCTTGCTTCAAACTATACCGCCATGATCATCTTTATCGTCAACGATCGATTGTCGTCATCGTCGTCATCGTGAGAACCACCAAAGACACAAATAGAAAAGAAGGAATAGATGGATGGGATCTTGTATGCTCCTTTTGGACGCATGGAGATATGAGCAATCGTCAAGCAACATCAACTTGCCACGAGAAAGGTGATCATCATACCAACAAGCTAGCCCTTTGGTAAGTACCAAGGATGGTCACCGTCCATGTAGTGGTTCATTGTTACTTGTATTCATTATCTTTTGTGTGGATCCTTTGTGGTACGTGGGATCACCCATTGTATCCTTGGCAGACATTGACATGAAGAACGAACTTGAATGTCTATAAATCTTAAAATAGTGGGATTCGAATGCCACATCATTCAAGGCGCATGTTGACCATATAAATAAGCTCACAAGAACTTTTCGAGGATGCATGATAATGCCATTCATTGTCACACGCAACAAACACACATCATTCATTGTGTTTATTATCTCTTTTAGGAACCCATCCAATCCCGCTATACCATGATCCATGAACGAACAATGATGATCCCATGATTATTACCGCAGCTTTGTAAAAATGTATTTGACAATCCCAATGGAGGAGATTATTGTTGGAGGAGGAATGCTTTTGCTAGTCGGTGATAGTCTAGAAACTTCTAATCTTGGGGCAATAGCAATAAAAGGCGTGGGACGTGTTGGCGATGCGTTTAGCAATCGAGGTAGCCCTTGCCCTTGTAACCCTCGGAGGAGATACCAGTGATGGGGTTGCTCTTTTGGCTCTTCAAGTACTCGTTGGTCTGTTCTTGCCATTCAGGAGTCATGGTGTGGGGCTTCTCACCTGGGTATCATTGAAAAAGAAAAACATCATCAGTTCCATATACCTCCTTCCAAACCCATGCTCTCCGAAAAGAAAAAGAAAAAAAAACTTGACACTTACCACCGTTGGCACGGATGACATAGAAGAGAGCGGCAGAGGCAGCCAAAACACCGGCAACACCAGCGAAGACCTTACCGTTGTGACCAGGACCGTTGACGGGAGTACGGGGACCATGGGGACCGAAAGCGACATAGTCTACAGTAATCACAACGCGTGTCAGAATTCCACATTATGCAAATTTCGATCGAGATTCTCGTCCATCGAGGTCAATACGAGACAATTGACTTACAGGCAGCCTTCTTTTCGTCAAGAGACAAGACCTTCCAGTCACCCTTTTGGGCTTCCTCAAGTTGCTTAGCAATGGAGTTTTGCTCGGCAGTAGAAAGAGTGGTCCAACGAGATTCGAGGTTTTGGACAGCAACGTTGGTGGAAGCGTTGCGACGACCGATAGCACGAGCGCAAGTGGGAGCACGAGTAGCAATAGCACGGAACATGTTTATGAGAGAGGGGAGAGAGAGAAGGAAATTAGACCAAACAAACACAGCGGACCTGAATATTCGTGTGTGTTGTCTCTTTGACTGGGTTCAGTCAATTGGTGGCTTGATGACGTCCTCTTGCTTGTTATCCCAAATGTGAACCCCCTATCAATCAATGCCTTATCACACACATTTATATACACACATTGATGCCATGCATAGTTATATATACATCCAAGGATCATAAACATGATAAATGTTGTTTTGTTTATATTGGTTGTCACGGTGATGAAATATAAGGATATACACAAGTATGATGTTGGTAGTAAACAAAAGAGGATCGATGCATAAATGGTCTATTTCTTTCCAAAGAGCTTGAAAGGCGAATTCTTTGTGCCCAAAGAATTAAGAAGACGTGAGTAATAGTTGGGATTGCTTGCAGGCGAGAGGATCGTGTCAGAAAGGGGATACTATTGTAATAGGGCCATTCAGAATGCTGCCAACATACATAAACCATTATCATCCTCCATCTTTTACCTTGTTCTTAAAGTCATTGTTGAGTAATTTTTCAAGAGCTACAAGTTGTTGCTGAGCATCCTTAATATCAAAAGGTTCGTGTTCGTTTTCAAGTGGTCGTCGAAAGGTTTCTTCTACTCGTTGTGCCAACATTTGCTTCATATCTCTCCGTGGTCGCACTTTATCTGCCGGCCAGTCTCTCACAAGCCGAAGGTAATTTCTATACAATGCATGGATCTCGGCACGCGCTGGCGTTGACATGTTGAATTGGAGTAGAAAGAGACACACACGGAATAGGTGCACACAAGTGTGCAGTGGCTTGCGACGTTATCAATTATGAGCGGGGATCAATGATGAGCCAATGGTGGAGTTGCATGGCATCATGCATGGATGTATCTTTGTATCCCAATAAAAGTATATGAGAGTATACGTTTACATGCATGTGAAGGTGTGTGAATTTTCGGATTGGGGGTCATTGCATGTAACTCTCATTCTGAGAAGGAGGGCGCAGTAAGTATAAAAGAAGTGTTGGTGGGTGGGTTGCATGTACATATGGAACGGTGGGACAAGTGTCGCGGTCTTTGTAGCCCAAATGCAACCCGCATGATCCCCACCACTTCCTCCTTAAATAGCCCACTCTGGTCATGCAAAAATCGCTGATAATCTTTTTTTTCTTTCTTTCTTCTCTTCTCCTTTTCGCATGCTGTTTCAAAGCCTTCCAATCGAAGTGTTACATACCATTTGCTATTATCTCACAGGCCCCGATATTACAAATCTAAGCAAGGCACGCGATTCTTCTTTTTTCTTTTTATACTCTTTTGGTTGACGACGTACTTTCATCGGCTCTACGCTAATCTCAACCCACAGTGCAACCAAGCATTATGGGTGGTGCTGCAAGATGAGTCGCTATGGGCACAGCTGACGTACGACAGATTCCCTTCCTCGTATGCATCTATTCGTGCTGATCAGCGTCAACAAGACCATGACGACAACAATAATACGCTACAAAAGAAAAATTGGCAAGATGTATACATGTCAAAAGGTACGTAGACATGGCAACGGCCCGTATCCATGGTCACCCACACACTCTATATAGATTCCTTATCCATCTCAGCTGTGAATGACATGTCGATAACCAACGCAAGGTTACCGTTTTGGCGTGTTGTGGGTACCAAAGAGAGCCGATACGGGGCCATTGCAAAGCTATATTCAATTTGCATGCTGGATGTAAGTACATATGGTGTTGTTGGATATACAGCACTCCATGTTGAGTATGCGGAATATGATAGATAAGAGGGAAGATGGAAGGTGTACCTAAAGGTCGATATCGGATACAATGGCGTATGCGGTTTACCTTGTCTGCACAATGGAACGAGTCATTAGATTTCACAGCACATGTGGGAAATGAGGTAAATCACCAAACAAACAAGGTTTTTCATATACATCATCCCTCATAGCGTCGATCCACCGCATTTGACAGGCAACGCCAACACTCACTTACACGACGCCAACCGACTTTTACGCTCGACAAGATATACTTACGAATACTTGGATATGCATCACACTTCCTTGCGAGCTTGTTGTGAATAATCGTTATGATACAATCACCCTTGTACACGGAAAAAAGACCAATTTTTGGAAATCTGGGATCGTAAGTAACAACGTGAAATGGGAGGAGGAGGAGAGAGAGGTTGATTTGAATGCATAATACACCGCCACCACCACTTTTACAGGAGATTGATTGGGCACGGCTTGTACCATCCACCCAAGTACAAGACAAGGGCTTGGTGCTTGAACATGAATACAAGCATTGGCATCTAGACAAAAAAATTGCATCCACTACCGCCTATTCATGTATGGTAAAGTTTATCTGCCTTTACCTGTTCCACATGACATCAGATTCACATCAAGCGTATATGTATAGCGACGCCATCTTGGTTCCACAAATTTCTAAAGAAGCAATATTTATGGGAGTGGATCAATACTTGACACGTGCACGTAGCAATAAAGCGATTATGGATCAACATGTGTATATACAGTGACTACATTTCCAAGTAGATTTATTGTGTATATGTGGAAAGAAAAAGAGAGAAAGAGAGAAAATGGTACAAAGGAATGCATTGCGATGGTATATCTAAAACAACAATTTTCACAATAATAATAAGGGGGGAAGAGAGAAAAAGAGAGAGGGATGATATGGGATCATTTACTGATGATGAAGCGGAGAGGATTGGAAAGATTGATGTGAAGGAAATCCACTGACACGAGACATGTTTGGTGGTCCTCCCGGTGGTGGTGGTGCCATAAATGATTGATGAGATTGAGAATGAGGCAGCGGTGGTGGTGGTGGTGGCTGTTGTGATGACATGACACTGGAAGAGTAATGACCATGGGATCCTGGGTTATTGAAACCAGTGGTGTAATAGGTATATCCTGAACGAGCCGAACCCCTGGATCCAACCGATGCATTGTCGTCATAGTAATCACCACCTGGAGGAGGAGCACCACCATGGTGATATTCATCCATCATCAATAATCCTTCTTCATATTGCTGCCAAGTCGCCACTGGAATCATGCTTGGATCAAACTTGCCCTCGTCAGCAATCACCTTTTTCTTTTGTCCCTTTTCACCAACGACGACACGCGTGTTGCCCCATGAGAAATCATCAAAGTGCCAATACGAATAGATTGGGATGAGGAACGAGAATACCGGGATAGCACAAATAGACACCAGCATCCAGACAATGTGCTCCCATTTGCGATGCAGCAAAAAGATGACAGCTTGCAAACCATATACACCGGCAATCGTAATAATCGTCATCAACGGGACACCACTAGGCGATGTTGCCAATGAATAAATAAGGTACACCAAATAGCCGACAATAGCTGGTTGTGCAAGGGTGCTGATCAAATCCAAAATGACAATGAAACGCATGGAGAAGCAAAGGAAACCACAAAGTTGATTCAAATGGATAAGTTCACCCAAATTGTGGATTGTTGAATTGATCCATCGACGACGTTGCGATACGAGAACGCTCCATTGATCTGGTGCGTTGGTGAAGCACTTGGCATCAGGGGTGAACTTGGTCTTGTAGGTTGGGAAATGCTTGAGGATCAATGTTGTCAAATAACGATCTTCACCAAGGAAGAGCAAGTTCTTCTTGTGCAACGTGTCGACATTGTTGATTTGATAATCCTCGATAACAGTATTGGAGATCAATAGCGGCAAGTTCTTGGTAGCTGATCGAATGCGATACATGGAAAAGCATCCTGGCAAACAAGTGACAGTGCCAAAGAGTGATTCAAAGGCCTTGATCAAGTAATGTGAAATGAAGTATTCGTACACCTGAATCATTGTCACCCAGCTATCGTTTCGATTGAGAATTTGCGTTTCACCACACAAGCCGATAATACGTGAATCATCAAGGAAGCATGTGACCATACGACTAAGGCCATCGCGTGTCACTTCAGTATCAGCATCGACCATGAGCACGAACTCGTAATAACTTGGGTTGACGCCAATGACATTTTTGATTTGGTGATACATTTCCAATTCCATGGGAGTCATAGGAGCATTGTAGTGGACCTTGTTCAAGAATCGCATCAACACCAATTGTGAATCACGCTTGCCACGGTTGCCAGGTTTTTGTCGTTCACTCGGCTTGCCAACCTTGGCCACCATCACATAGGGTACCACGTGACCGTGCACTTCGTATAAACCAGCATAGACCTTGCCCATGTTATGTTGCTTGGCACCTTGACCCACTGACAAGAAAGACAAAGGCTCTGGATCAACATAAGGATCAACGCCCAAAATGTCCAAAACAATGCGTGGTGTAGGTCGATCATTGCCACCACCCACAATCATGCCATCACAAATGATAAAGAGCAACTTGCGTTTGTCATCATAGTTGAGCGTGGCAATGGAATCAATGGTACGTCGAATCGAGTCTTCATCTTCGGTGTAACATGGCACCTGGCAAATCACAAACTTGTCATGCAATTCGGGTTCGCCTGTGCTACCAAATTGCAATGCTGCCAAAAACTTGAAGACAATGACCAAACAAAGAAGCACCGTAACAATGAGCAAAAGATACTCTGCAAAGATACATTTTGCTGAATCCCGATAATCAATCGTGCCGGCGTAAAACAAGTTGCGTAAACACACCCGTTGCATCAATCGAACATCATCGGCCAAATCAAGTTGATTCCATGCATCTGTAATATCCGTGCCTGAGTTGTTGGTAAACAAGCCCACCACATTTTCATCCATGAAATCCACACTTGTGTTTCCACCGCCGCCACCACCACCTTGACCATTTGGAGGAGTTAAAGCCATGGCACCGCCTTCGGTATACATGGTAAGATCAAAGACGTCGCCCTCCAAAACAGCCCATTTGCGTGTTGTCATGACACCATGGACGTTGCTGATCATGCTAGCTTGGCTCGTGAGATCCTTGTGGGTGTATGCCATGTCGCCCTTTTTGTAGTTTTTGCGCAAGTACGTCAACTTTTCATAGTACCAATCAGGCCGAAAATCATCCGTGTTGGCTCTGAAATCATGGAATCGAGCATTGTTGTCAATCAATCCAAGCGTGTAATTGAGGCCAACATAGGGGGATACTTCGCCAGTGGTTCCTTGACATACAGCTGATACTTGCACAGGGAAGAGATAAGAGACATCGGTACCACTATAAGCCAATACGCCATTCTCGGGAACCACACCACTTGCAAAATGGCGAGGTGCAAATGTTGTCAAATCAAACACTTCACCACGAATGGCAACGAGACCATTGTCGGGACTGCTATGTGCTTGTAACTCGGCTGGCGAATAGACTTGTTGAGGAGGACAAATGATTTTGCCGAAACCCACCAGGAACCAGACAATGAATGCCGAAAGCAAAAAGATAAGCATGCACAATGCAAGCTTCTCACGCCATGCCATCCTCACATCCTTGCGCTTCATGCCACCAACCCATACAAGGCATTTGCTAGGTATCCACCAAGTCAAGAACCATACAAAGGCCACCCATCGTTTGCGTGCACCTGATGTTTCTTGTGCCTCTTTGGGCTCTTCGACATATTGTGGTTCAGCCATCATGCGTTGAAAATCAAGATATCCAGAAGCACTTGATGTCAAGCCATCCGAGCCTGCTTGTGACATGCCACCTTGGTAATCGCGTTCATCATCAGATACAAAAGATCGCTGATCATCCGAATACACTGACATGGGTCCACCAGGGGGTCCATGGGGTGGCATAGGTAATCCAGCAGCAGCAGCATTGGCAGCTAATGTTTGTCGAGAAGAAGAATAATGGATGTCACCGGGTATCGTGCCAGCATCTTGCATCATGCGTTTCTCTTCCTTTTGTCGCTTTTGATCTTCCTTCTCAAGTGTGCGAAGCTGATCTTCCAATTGTCGCCAAGACGTCTCATTCAAGAATATCTACAATCACCATTATTAGAGTCCTATTCTTTTGGATTTTCCATTGCTTAACGTACCCTGCTGTCACCGATCGCTACTTTAGTTCCAAGCCAACCAAATATAGCTGATGCCGCTTCACATTGTTCTCGTGGATCACGTGATGGGTCTACACCTGCTGCCTGCAAGGTGGATGCATAGCGTTCACAAAACTCGTCATGGAAATAAGACATGGTGTATCCTGTTTGCATTCGATCTGCAATCTGAGCTAGGCCAAGGCCTCGCACCTGAGAACGGACACGTTGTGGATCAAACATGTTGGGAGCTTGTGCATCGGAAGGTCTTAGACAAAAGATAAACCATGGCGTTGTCTCATCGAGTGTTGTCATCAAATCATCCAAAGAAGATCGTAATTGTGAAAGAGCCATCGCCATTTTACGCTTTGATTTGCTGTCACTTTTGCTTTCAGACATGGCATCCGAAGCAGCCGCTGTTGTTGTCTCCTGGTTCCTGTTGCGTCGTGTGGATTTGGATCGTCGCATGGATGGCGCACGTAGTGGCTGATTGCTTTGTTGTGCATTGAGGATAGCGTCGGCTTGCTTGGGGTGATTCTCAGTTTGCACACTTTGATCAGCAAAAAGACCCACAAGGAAAGAATTGTATGATTCAGGAAGTTCCTCGTTGCCACGAAACAATGAAACAAAGTCCGGATTGAGCGCATTGTTGTTGCTTTCCAAAAATCCAAGTGGGTTGTAGCCAACTTGTCCCGAGTAATGTTGAATAGCAAACATTTGCATGCCTGACATGGCCGTCTTGATGGCAAACGAATCGTGATTGGCGTTGTATTTTGAAAATGAATCAAACATGTGCGCATCTGTACCACGAGTGGATGATTTGCTGTGATGGTTGATGATATCCACAAGACCATGTTTGGGTCGTTCCATAAGCTCGACGCATGGCACATTGTTGTAATAGGGGACATCAGGTACATCGAGACCATCGGATCGATAATCATTGACATCGGTCTCAAATAGTTGGCGAAGCATGTAATTGTGTAGTCGTTCATGAGCAAAGTTGATACAAAAGCTGTCAAATGATGCAATGTTGTAATAAGTATGTGGTGCAGGCAAATCGAGAATGCCAATGACGTTGTCGATGGTATCACTGCATAGCTTGGTGTTGATCTGTTCCACAATCCAACTGAATAGCAAGGAATATAAAGCGACGACTAATTCATCACGTTGCTCTGATGCTTGTTCAGCATTCAAAATGACGGTGGTGACATCCTTTTTGATCATCTTTGTCTTGTAAGTGAACACGTTCATCAAGGCACCAGGATCGACACCAAGAAAGTCCGCTACAAGCTCCAATAAATCAGTGTTCCTGACCGAGGCTGCTTCTTCCATGTTGTTGTCATCCACAAATTCGAGATCGCCCAAGTGCAGTAAGCATGCAAGTAGCTGCATGATGCGTGCCTGATGTCGTTTTCCAATACCCAAGGATCGCATGGCTCGTTTGAGTGACTCGTATCCCTCCGCTTCCGATTCATGTGCCAATCGATTCAAATAGGGATGCGTCGTTGTGTCGTTTAAGCGCAAGATGGATTTCTCCTCTGCCGTGGCACCCGCCATCAAGTAATAGAATGCATGAAAGTTCTCTTCACTTGCAACTCGTTTGGTGACGCGCTTCTTTTCAAACAAATAGTTGACGGTCTTGGCACCTGACATCCTTCCACGCTCATTGAATTGAAGTTCCAAATATTTCCCAAATCGAGATGCATTGCTGTTGAATGAGGTGGCAGCATTTCCAAATGCTTCGAGAACAAATTGTGCATGCATCACTTGCGTTTGAAGCTTGGATTCCTTCTTGTGGGTGGTCAATGCAATCAAATGTTCCAGAATGGATCGCGTAGCTTCAGTCTTCCCGCTACCCGTGTCACCACTACATTATTACACATATACATGTCAGCAAGCAGCCCTTCTTTTTATCATAAATCACGTGCTGTTTTGCTTACCTAAGGATGATACTTTGGTCGATACCCGTTCTTCGCATATGGAGATAAGCTTGGTTGGCAAGTTGGAATACGTGAGGTGGCAACGGCTCAATATGCTCGGTCATGATCTCCTTGTATTCTGCAACATAGTCTGATGACGCCTTGGAGGCTGCAATGTCCTTGTATGGGTTGAGGGCGACAAGAATGGAATCGTTGATGCGAGTGTAAATGCAGTCGTTCTCGAATCGGACTCTGAGCGTGGCCGTGATGGCGTCCTCTGTGAGTGTTGTCAGCTGTGTGAGATCAGGGACATCTTGGGCCTTGGTTTTTGGTTTGCCCATTGTGTTGCAGCAAAGGGATCGCAGCTGTCGTTCACAAGAAGAAAAGAAAAATGAGTGCTCTTTTGGAGGTGATAAATGGTAAGAAGGGCGGGTATCCAATTAGGGACAATGTATGATTTTAGCTGATCCAGGCTATTAGTGTGGATGCACAGAAATACATTTTATATATACTTTGAATAAACCAAGAGAGAAGCTAGTTATCATAACATGTATTGTGATGGGATGGAAGATATGCATAGATGCGTGACAATGTGTGTGTGTGTGTGTGTGTGTGTTTATACATCTAGTAGGAGAGAGGATGTGTGTGTGTGGAGTAAGACCATGATGGTGGCAGGTACGACCCAAAAAAAAGCAATAAGGATAAAATTAGAAACGGACTTTGCGTTTTCGGCCAGTGTACTTTGAATCTCTTGCAACCGGCTTGTCACCACGCTCCCGAGCGATTTGCTTTTTGTGTTGAATCCAATCCTTCGTCTTGATATTCTTACGATTCTTTCTCCTTTTCGTTGCTGCCTTTCGTGTCTCATAGGCAATGGATTTAGCTTCATCGGGATGCATTTCACCATCCTCGCCCAAGGCGCTTGGCATCTCGTTGCGTACACCCGTTTGTTGACCGGCAAAGAGACACAAATAGTACTTTTTGGCTTTCTTGGAATTGGGATAATCAATCAATAAACCACCTTCGAAACCGCAGCGATGAGCCACATCCGTGATGAGTTGGATTTGATCATCGTTCTCGGGATAGAATTGGAAAATGGCACGAGCTCCTTTGTTGAGAGATGCATAAAGTGTGGAAAAGAAACGTTGCAAGCGTGCCTTGGGTCGATTGATTTGCTTGTCGGCATTGCACAGCCACTGGAGTACAGAGATACTGATCGCCCCGTCAAAAACACCAGGTCGATATCCGATGCCTTGACCAGCATCTTGCAGGAATAAATCACCTTCCACTTCACGTTCTTGAGCCACATCTATAGAATACAAGATTAATGTCAATGATTACGCTAGCTTCCCAAGTAATCCGTATCTTACCAAGCATAGAAGGTGAGATATCCATGCCAACCCAAAAATGTCCTTCCTCCTCAAGGATCTCACCACTAAGTCCAGATCCACATCCAATATCGAGTAAATAGGCTGGTCCAGGAGGCAAATTCAACAACTCCAATGCTCGATAAGCCATCTCAGCTTGAACAGAAGCAATACGAGAACTATCGACCTTGGTAAGATTCTGGATCGTCGAGATCACTTTTGCGTTATGCTGTCAACTTACTTTTCAGTATATTTGCGTGCTTCAGTGTCGCCGTAAAACTGCAAAGAGACCAATTGTTAGAGTAGGATCCATTCACAGCGTATAGTGTATCCATGACATACGATTTCTGGCGGTGCAATGTGCTCGGGTCTTGACATGGTGGGCCTGGTTGGTTGTGCAGAGGAAGAAACAAGCAAAGAAAAAAAGTATGCCAAAAAGTGCGGACTTCGATTATAGCCTTTACAGCCTACATAATAGGGTTGCCGTATGTAATCTCTTTCATAGCTCATTGATCCCAAAGCCGTTTCTTAATCACGTTACTTTTGGTGATATTTGAATAAGGTGTCATGCATACACAGTGCATATCCAATAAAAGGCTTATCTTTTAAATGTCATTTGTGCCGTTGGTCGTCGTACATACTTGTTGGTATCTCGTTGTTAAGTCTACGCTAAGGACATCCACGTACATATCAAGCAATCCTAAGAAGCCTATCCCGCATCCTAAGACCATGGTGACGACCCTTTGACGTCGTGTAGTAGATAGCTCCCAATACCGCCGACTCAACTTCGGCAATGCATCCTGAGAGATGGCTACATAGAAAGACATGTACTCTGTGCATGAGTGATGTGTGATTCATCAGGCAATACAATTATCATTACAAAAGTCAAATAACACAGCAATAATGGGAACCAACAACAACAATGAGAATAGGATGTAACAATGGAACACGCTGTGAATGAGCATAATGAGCACCTCAGGGTTAGAAAGAAGCCTCCCTACCATGACAATCACAAAAGCTTTGGTATTTGGTGGGAATACTGTGAGCAATCCAAGGGTGCCAGCAACTCATGGGGCATGAATCTCGGTGCTCACAAAGAGGAAAGAGGGCTCCTTTTCATTGTGGATGATGCATGCGCTATTAAAATGGAGGGGTACCTTCATGCTTGGTTGCATATCAAATAAGAGCTTTGATTTGATTGTCCATGGATAAATCAGCAAACGCAATAGCAATACATGGCAGCTGGCGATATTCACCATCGTCAAACAATGATTTCAACATGCTATAGCGGCAACTTTTTCGGTCAGCTATCTTTCATTAGTGTGCTCACATGTATTTACAACCCCCCAATAACAAGAGGGACTTCCTTAAAGCGACATGTATGCATGCTTGACGCATTCAAATATTGTAAGCAGCAACAATTCAATTACATGAGTTAGCAATCAAAAGCCACCTGTCATCATGTTGGCAACATAAAATGGGCCATTAGTAGGCATGAGTGATGGAAAGTGCCATAGTCTGTATGCAGGTTTGTTGATGTTAAGAGATGTCAACGTTGAATGAAGGTATACACACTAGCGAATATCTATTGAGGTATGTAAGGTAGAATTGAATGAGATCATCCATCCGGCCCGGTTGCCAGGCACCCGTCGGCTGTTGCTGCTGTCATCCATCCTGATTTGCTGCAGTGGCTGGTGCTGATACCCAGACATTTAGGCAGCAGCAACCCATCCAGCCAATTGTTTTGACAAGCTTCCACCTGTACACAAACCCAAAGGAGAACGATGCTTCACTTGCTTGGTGTAAATCTCCCTGATCGTAAATTGGTCAGGTAACAAGAAACGAGTTTATTCATAGACGATGTCCATTGACTCTAAAGGCAATTGTCTATATAGCACGGCCCTTCAGTACTTTTATGGCATTGGTGAGCCCACAGCTTTCAAGTTGTGTCAAGAGCTCAAGTTCCCCCAGGGCGTTCGAGTATCCGAGTTGAACGAAGTCCAGATCAACGATCTCACCAACAAGCTTGCTTCCATGACAATTGAAACTGATCTCAAGCGCCAAGTTCGTGAGCATGTTATGCACCACCGTAATATCGGCAACTACATTGGCAGACGACACGCTATGAGCTTGCCTGTTCGAGGACAACATACGCGAAACAATGCAAAGACAGCCAAGCGATTGAATGGTCGATGGGTGCAACGACGAGGTTACAGCGTGTAAGTAGTCAAAGGAAAAGGGAAACGACATTGATGGACATGCATATCAATAACTGCTTCTATCGTAACCAGATGGTCTGAAGCTCAAGCAAGCCCTTTGCAACGCTTTTTCAACAACTTTGGCTCGTTCTAGATAACAACATCTCATACGCAACACGCACACACATACACTCTCACTCACACTCACACACTCACACACGAACCCATACGCATTTCCTCCTCTTTTTTATCCTTCTTTGTAATATAGATGCCCGATTTTATCTTATGGCTCACCAAATACTCTTTGTGAATATGTGATTGGGGAACTTTGGATGCATTGGGGGAGTTAACAGAATATGTGAGTTGTGGTTGTTACAGCTTACTCGGTGTAATGATGATGGAAGATGGCAATTGTAACATGAAATGGCTTTGATATGACATGGTTTGATCGGTACCAAGATTGTCACTTAAAGCTATTAGTACCAGATACGCCATATGGTCTTCCAACAGGAACCTTAAAAGTGGATGTCACCTTTGAATGTTTGAATGTTTGAATGTGACACCTTCCAACACATTCTGGGAGCTGACAATCAAATCAAATATCCGGCCAACAGCCAAAGGCATAAAAAAAGAGTGGTTCTTTACCCAACATACACACACACCACACACCTCTTTATTTAATATGGAAAGCCCTACAGTCAAAACACCAACAGCTACGAACAGCAATACGACAAAGGAATCGAAACCCAAGGTGCGACGAGTACGAGCAACATCCAATCGATCCGATAGTGGAGCCAAGGATAAGACAATCAAGATCAAGCTCACCACAAAAGACAGCACCAATGGACACCAGCCAACAATGAGTGGTTCAGAAGATGAGGACGAGCCTGAGCCAGCAACTGAGGAGCACTTGATTCTACGGCTACCAAAAGGTCCAATGTGTGACAAGCTCCATGAGTATGTAAAGAAGCGAGAGATCCCTGACGATGTCAAGTTACACTTCAAAGGTGTGTGTGAGTATACTACAGCAACAACGTTATATTGATAAGTGTATATAGATAGCCGACGAGGATACTTTCATATGGATGGCAAAAAGTATGATACCACTTTGGTCGATTTACCCACTATCATCGAGTCCCAAAAGACGCTGGATAACAAGCAATTCTACAAGATTGCCGATATTTGTCAGGTGAGTGGGTGGTTGGGATGCTCTATTCACACACATGTGGGCTCATGGTTGTGTATGTGTTAGATGCTTGTTGTAGATGATGGTAGCAGCAAAGAGGAACCACAGCCGCTTCAACATCGATCCACCGACCCATACACATTTGACCATGGCATCACCCCACCACTCAAACATGTTCGACGGAGGCGATTCAGACAAAAGCTATCGAAGCGAGTAAGTTTACATACATGAAGCATCGGTCAGAGCATCAACTAAAAGGAGGTTATAGGCTATCGAAGAAGTGGAACGAGAAGTGGAAAGGCTATTAGAAGTGGATGCAACGGCAGAAGATGTACAATATGGTAAGAGAGTTTATTATCGAAGTGGATGTTGGGGGCAAGAATTACTCATAGCTGTGCACAGAGGTGTTTGACAACCGGGAGATGGAAATGGAATCCGATGCTGCTACGCAAGATATCGACATTGACAGTGAAAGTGAAAGCGACGAGGATCTTGCTGCTGCTATCGATCGTGATTTGGAAGAACTTGAAGAAGAAGACCGTGAAGATGATAACGAGGATGAAGACGAAGATGAAGATGAGAGTGATGAAGATGAGGACGAGGATGAAACTGGTAACACGGGTGAAATTGGTAAGCTATCTCGAAAGGACATCGACATTACAGGATAGGGTTATTGACGTTATATGGGTTATAGAACAAAAGAAGCAGGAGATTGCCGAAATCAAACAAGCAATTCAACGAAAGACGGCCGATTTGCTCACTGCTCCCAATGCTATGCTCAAGGTAACTTGAATTCAGGATTCAACATGCCAACCAATACTAATATTTTACTCTCAATAGAAACGTTTCGAGGGTACTGTGGAGACGCTCAAGAAGGAGTTGGCTCTCAAAGAAGCTTATCTTGCAGAAATGAGCAAATCAGAAATGAACAACAAACAACAACAATAAAAGTTTATGTACATAATGTGGGAGTTTATTTGTCAATTGCAGTACCTGCATCAGCAGCTGATTTAGTATCGCGTAATTTTTTAATCCAAGACTTGTTCATTGTCATGGGGCTGTACATGTAGGGAATAACGGTCTCAGCATATCCATATCCAGAGTCGCTCTTTTTCTTGGAAACGGCATCCGCCTTGATCCGTCGAATAGTATCAAATGCAATCACATAGCAAAACTTGCTATACTTTTGAGCGTTGATGGTTCGAATATAAGCAGCACTGGCAACAATCCTTGCCGTCATGTGTCCTTGATTCAACTTCTGGTCAACTTTGAGAATGGTTGATTTGATGGTGGAAGGGACAGCAAGTATTTTCTCAGCATAATGTTCTTCAAGCTCGAAAAGCGTATTGTACCCGCTGTACTCATGTATGAATGGCTCTGTTTCCCGCACCGGATCATATCGGCTATCCATGCGTCGCTGCCTTGTGAAAACAACATCCTTCACATCTCGAACATAGTCGCTGTAGAGATTTTGCACCTCCTGCTTTATCAATTCCAAATCAGCCATAAAGTCCTTGTCGTTGAGCTCTTTGGCCATCTTTTCAGCTTCCTCCCAAGGCCCAAAAAGATCAGGATCCTTCCTCTTGACTTCATCATCGCCAATCACATGATCCGTAAAATTCGTAAACGCCTCTGTTCTTTCATGTAATAGCTTGTGGAGGCAATCCATGGCTGTTCCGAAAGGCTTGCCCGGTAGCACATCTGTATTGACCTCTTGGTATGACTTGTAATCCCTCTCCCGTTGCTTGTTTCTCTTATCCACAAACCATAAAGGATGTGGCACTGAACCAAACGTTGATCGATCACGCTGCAATACGGTGGGCTTGAGACTGAGACCTTGCTTAGGAGCATCAACCAACTTGGCACACATGTGAGCAAGATAGACAACATCTGGATCATCCAATGACCTTGATTCCGCCAACACAGTTCGCCAATTCTCGTATTGTCCAAGTGTACCATCAGGGAGTGACACGTTCAAGAAATTGGTTTGGATGGCTACCTCTTGAGCGTCATTGTCACGGTGCTTTACCAGCTCTTGGCGAATCTTGGTGGTATTTTTGACAAAAACGGTCTTCATGGCGGCTGGCGTTTCAGGTACGGGAGAGGATTTGAATGGCTCGACAATACGTGGATCCCAACAACAAAACACCTATCAAAGTATGTTAATTCATGTACGCATTGAGACAATAAAAAAAAGAGCTACTTACAATATCACCATCATAATCACCACCAGCCAACATGCTAGCCAATGATCGCTGCCCCTTTGTTGGAAAGATAATGACATCGGTATATATCCTTAATTCGGGTCGATCCACTGCTTTGACCTTTTGCACATCACTCTTGAGACCACAAGGATTACGCGCCACGATGATGTCGCCCACAACAAGGCCTGCCTGAATACCCGTTTTTTCATCCACTCGACGATTCGAAAGCTGTAAAAACACCTCGCCTTCATTGAGGATTCCTGTTGGATCAGGGACACACGTGATGGTACATGATTGCTCCACCTCGATCTTGTACTTGATTGAAACTGAGCGCATCAAATCACTGAATATTTGGACGATCTTGTTTGCCAAGTGGGGATTGCTAGTATCAAATCCCGAATCAAGTAACCTTACAGCGCCTTCATGCAAAGAGCTTGGGTTGCCAGAATACTGATTATAGCGCCAATAGCTGTCACTGCGTTTGTGGGTTGTTGGTTCAGGTACATCGGCATCGGCATCCACTAAGCTTTCAAGTAAATCCTCACTTTGCTCTCGCCAAACATCTTTCTCGGTATCTTCAGCTTCCCATCGATTACGCATGACGCCTCCTGTCTTTGCTGCCCAATCGCGTAGTAACCGTGGATTTCGATTCTCGGCTACTTCCCTCATTAAGCGATCCAAATACTCATTCAACAAATCAATAAAGACTGAAGTAGGTACACCACATGATGAAAGACATTGAATGAACTGCGTGTTGAGATTGGATGGATATAGACAAATGGCGTTCTTGACAAGGTCGAATGTGTAGTGCAGAGGATCGATTTTCATGTTGTATTGCAATCCACCGGTTTTGAACTTGTGCTGTGATTTGCGAATATGGATCCATTCTCCCGAATTGAAATCAAGATCAGGTGCCACGATCCAAACGCCTTTTGCACCACCAATACGACCTTGCACAGCACACGGCAAGGTATCGGCACGTTCACATCCCATGATCTTTCGCATTGCTGATACTGAAATAAGTCCACATCCATCTGTCATGCACGTTTCTTCATCGCCATCCGCACCGGAATAGATATCATCAATGTACTTTACGTTCTCGGGCTTAAAGACCAAGGTGGGAATACTGTTGCTGTAACCAAGTGACATTCTGCTGGCGAATTTGCTGATAGTCATGTCCCAATTATCCAGAATTGGAATGTGCCAATTGATCACTTCACGAATTGATATTGGTTCCAGATCCGATCCCTCTGTTGCGAATAAAATAACGGTATCATCCTTGACAAAAAGAAAGCGGTAGGTCCGATCCATCAACAAAAAGGGTTTGAGAAAGTAATCCTTGTTCTTCCTTATCAAAGAGACATGACTCGTTCGATTGAGCTTGAGTTCAAGGAATCGATGATCACCATACTTTCGAGAAAAACGATTGGAGGCTCCTACTCTCGGCGGTCGTAACTCAACCACGGGTGATTTGAAAGAGGATAATGCAAGCATGCCTTTGTAATGGATCGCTCGAGTTGCTGATGATGATGATGAGGAGGAGGAGGAGGAAGATGTCGATTTTTCAAGATGTGTCCATATTTGATCGGAGCAGCGTTCCATAAGACCCAAATGCACATTGCTGCCTGCTTTGCTCGGTTGATTGGCGTACCATTGCATCATGGATTGGAATAAATTGCGAGGTTCATGCTTGGCGACATCAAGAAAACGTTGCAATAGCTCGAAGGGTGGATCATAAATGTTGAATGTTCTGAAAAACCGAGCGATTTCAAATTGAATGGTCCAATCGACCCCTTTGAGGCACTTCACACCACGCAAAGGAACGTATAGCGTATTCTCAGTAGAATTAGTATCAGCCTTTTCATTGCCGTTGTTGGATATGGGTGGAGACATGGGAGGTGTGATAGGTGACGTGCCATCGCTGGTAGCACCTTGTGATCGTATACGTTTGACAGGCGAGTCAACAAGGTTATCCTCACTGGCTAATCGTTTTTGGCGCGTAGACGTTGTTGCTGTGGATGATGATGCTGTTGATGCTGTATCTTCAAAACCCTCAAGGTCATCAAGATCCTCTGGTACTAAAGGTCCGTATAAGCATACGCGAATGATTGTCAAAGAGAGTAGCTTTTACATACCAAAGCAAAAGGATGATATGGCGTTCTCGAGTCGTTCAACAAAATGGTCCAATGTCTTTTCCTCGCTGTTGGGTGGTTTCCAACTCAAGAAGCCAAGCACTGTGTGTTTGAACTCGGCGGGATCGGTCTGCCATAGCAATTGCATTTTGTGAACGGCTTCGGGCAGTTGATTGGGAGGCACGTTGTCTCCAGGGATCTTGTCGCGTATCTTCAAGTGTGTATAGACTTGCTTCACACCACGTATCACTTCTTGGCTCGGCTTGCTTTTGGTCATTATGGGTGTGGTAATGGTAGGAAGGGGAGGGAGGATAGGAGGGGTATCAAAAAAGAGAGAGAGAGAGCACACGCAAAAGGAAAGAGAGAGAATCGCGTCCAACAATAATCAAGCGTAAGCATGACAACCGCCAATATCACCGCTCACTCAAACACGTACAGCACAAACAGCGCGCACACCCACCCACACGCACACTCACAATACATGCACACATACATATCAGGGTCTGGGAATTCGTTTCACGAATAATGTTTATTTACATACAAAGAAAAGCTATATACATATACATGGACACTGTTACAATAAAATCATGACATTTGTCTCAAGGCATCTTCTGCCATCTTGGTTCTGTCACGCTTCCACTTGTCGCTATGATGGGGTACGTCCATTCCGGTCTCATAGAGTGCAGATCCTCCAAAAGTCTCATCAAACTTGGCTCCTGCAGGTGCAAATCCAGCAGCGTCAGAATGCCTAATACCCTCCGTATCGGATTGAGAAGCATGAAGAGCACCAGCTGTTAACTTTTCCCACAAAGAGGATCTTCTTCGGCCCTATAATTATTCATTGTTAACATATTTGTACTTGTTGTATGGATAGCATTAGAAGCTTACCGAAGGCATAGATGTTTGATTTTGATCAGTGTTTTGTTGTTGTTGCATTTCTTTTTGACTGGCAATGATATCTTGATACATACGGTGATAAACAACCCTGCGACTCAATTTATATGTTTTCCAATGCATATGACATGGGTTTTCTGCATAACATTGCTTTTAACACCAATCCTCCCCAACTCAGTCATGGATGGTCCTTTATAGGTGCCGTTTCATTTTGAAAGTCTTATGATTTAGGTTTGCATTAAAGCAAGGTTTTTCACATTGCCCATAGGCCTGTAAGAAGGTCAGCTATATAATTAGGATGAAACATCGACGTCTGGATTGTGGATGGCCGCACCAGCTGTCATTGCAGGGTGTGTAGACAATGATCAGCACATGTCTCATTGTTGTTGTCGCCATAGCTGTACAAGAACTCCATCATAAACGATACCTGAAGCTGTCCGGCTATTTTTATAATGGTATGCATCTACATTTGCAACATTTGAACCTAACCTTGGGGTTGAGAATATCAGATGATACCAAAGGAGAAGGGGTTAATCACTCATCGGATGAAGATTAGCCTAAAATTAGGGCGCATCACTCAAAGCTGCAGTTGGTGGTGGATGTCATCTACTATTACGACAATCATGAATCCTATTCAAAGTAGCATACGATACATGGAGCCATACAACTAAGAAACATGTCAAAGTATTGATACGATTGCAAACATGGATAAAAGAGGCTCATTAGTGTGTGAATTAAAAATAGATACACAAAGACGACAGCTATGTTTATAAAAGTAACATCAGGTCTGCTATTCGTAAGCAAAAGTCTAATAGCATTGGGTAAGGAAAAAGTGCTTGACTCTAATAGAGAACTCCTTTAAAAGGTACATTGATATGGAACAAAGGGGACTATTTTATGCGAGTTTTGAAGGATGGGACAAAATGAGCTCCATGGTCGGAGGTGTAGTGTGTGCTTGGCAACCATATCACACGCTTGAGCATAATCTTATGGATTGCATTCCGCCTTTCCTTTTCCAACAAGTACTAGTCTCATCCCAACTTGATTCCGGAGGTCTCTTATACTTTCCTTTAACATTCCAAAGACGACATGGGGGATCGTGATAGCATTCTGGCGAACTACATGTTGTCCTCGATTCGCAAGGACCTTGAGTTCCTCAAGAGCAACCAATACGTCAATGCTCAAACGTGCGATGAAGTCCTTTCTTTATTACCGACCCAAGTTGAAAACGGCAGCAAACGACCTCCTCTTCCTACACGCAAGTCTGGTACAGTAAGCTCGCCACATCTTTCACCTGCTACTGCTACTGCTACTGCTACACCAGCACCTAAGCTTCCTGCTCGACGTTCGGCAACAGATAATACCACGAACACACCTCCGCCAAAACCATCACCTCGAATGACCCCTCCAACACCACCGCAGCAACAACAGCAACAACAACAACGACCTATACCAGCTGCACGATCACCCAGTGGTGCTGTACAAGTGATGCCATCCATTCCTAAGCAACAACAGCCTCCAGAACCTGTTGCACGAAAGATGCCCATAGCAACGCCCGTAGCTGCTGCTGCTGCTGCTGCAACAACTGCAGCTGTTGTATCGGATGCACAACCAGAGCCTACGCCACCACCAGCCTATACACCTACAGCATCATCCTCTATTGCTACAGCTGAAGCCATTTATGGCTATGATGGTGATGATCCAAGTACTGATCTTAGCTTCCGTCAAGGTGATATTATTCAAGTCACTGAATATGGTATGTATATATATCGGGGCATCTACATGTCTAATAGGATGCTTATTATATATGATTTTATAGTGAATGATGATTGGTGGCGTGGTGAATTGAACGGCAAATCGGGCATCTTTCCACAAAATCATGTCAAAAAGATCAGGTAATTATAAAATCAATCATTGATGATGGTATGAATGAGGTTGATTGATATCGTTGTTGATCCTATGTAGTACTCCCAAACCAGCTGCTGCCAAACGTGCTGTACCTCCCAAACCAAATCCTGCACCTGTTACACCAGCTTCTACTACCACCACCACCACCAACAATGCTCTTCCTCCATATAGTTATCCACCTCCACCCACACAAATGTATCCTGCTCCACCTGCATCAACACCACAACAATATTATCCGCCGCCACCGGTTGCAGCAGCAGCAGGTAGTAGTAGCAGCGCAATGGCTCCACCTGGACAACCACAACAACAAGGAGAACATGATGAAGGTGGTGGCAAGGTCCATAGCATGGCTAAAAAGTTTGGCGGTAATGTTGCAAATGCAGCTGTATGGGGTTTTGGTGCCACCGGTAAGTGGATGATCGAAAAGGGGTTGTAAAGAGGGGATTTAATGTAACCATGCTAATCATTGTCGATCTTCTTTTTATCTAGTTGGCAGCGAAGCTGCAAGAGCCATCTTTTAATGTCATTCCCTTCTTCTTGATCCTTTTTTATTTCAGCAATTATTATGACTTGAATATATACATCGCGCTTGCTGCGTAATTGATTGGATAAATGTCAAATGATCCCATGAGTCTTGTGGATGATACTGTTCCTGGAAGCTCTAATCCATTAGTGTGCGTGGTGTATATTCTCATTCTATCTGGGTCCATGTTTCATCTTTTATATATATCTTCTCGTTAGGTTGTCATGTGTGTATGGTGGTCATGGTGATGGATATTAGGAGTAGTAAAAGCATTCAATTTTTTATTGGCTGTGTTAATGACCGAAGAAGGCGGGTCGAAAAACACAAGCTGTGTTGTCGTCGTCGTGGGTCACAGTGCGGTGGGGTGGGTGGGATGAAAGCGTACTCCCAGGCTTGTGTCTCTTGTCTTTTTTTTTCTCCCTTTCTTTACCCAACAATTACCATGTCTGCTGCTGTTCCAGTCAACATTCGTCGTGCTGATGCTGACACGCCTCTTCCAGCCGAGTATTCCACTACTCCTCATGGCACTATTTATGGGTCTACTCCTGGTGGTGAGTTATACAGATGACCCTTCATGAATGCACTTGCCCGTTGACATGCCAACCATGGGACACTTTATACTCATATACACTACCATTAGGCACTCGTGTTATCTACGACCGATCCACTTTGTTGGCTCTATCCAATAGCGACTTGTCCAAGACTCCTCCTGCAAAGATGATGTTTGTGGCCGGTGTGACCAAGACCAATGGTGACAACACTTCGCTTCATCCTTCCGCTGCCAACTACCGGAAAGTCGCAGAGTTAAAGCGACAAGAAGAGGAAAAGAAAAAGACATGTAAGTAATGCATTGCATGATCGGCTAATCTTTGTGGCTAATCGAATGATGATGTTGTTGTTGTTACTTTTAGACAATCCATTCGCTGTCTTGAGCGGTGATGGCGACGACGTCTTTGACATGGACGACTAAAACAGAGAGAAAGAGAGAGAGAGAGAGAGAGATTCGACGTTCAATCCATTTTTTTCACCTACACCTCGACTCGCCTTTTTTGTTATTCATCTACTACCTCGCTCATTCTCTCTCGCTCCAGCTCAATTGTTGTTCGTGCAGTAAATAAAAAGAAAAAAAGAGAAAAGAAAAGCATCCACCACCACGACTATCAAATTGGGGTATTGGATTGGAAGGGGGCGACATACAATGGATCATTTACCAGCAATTTGGATTCTACTATGTATGCATCTATGTGTCACAGGATGTCTAAGGTTTGCTCCATTACATACAAATCCAACGGGGCAATTGGTTCAACAACATGCACTTCACATAGGACCTTGTGGGAGTGTCAATAATGTTCTGGAATGCAAGGATCAACGCTTGATAGAGGATTTGAAGGCTAAAAGGGCAGCATGTGGATTGGGTCATCACACTCTTGTCCTACGCAACAACGGCATAAGCTCTATGGATCGTCATCAACTGGCTAACCAGGTGACAAGGTGGCTATACACACATCCAGAATGTTTCATTGAATCAAGTGAAGGATATTCATGCAAGGTCTTTACCTCTTTCTCGGGTTTCCCAACAAACGAGGGAGATCATGTGATTCATCTTGAACGTCACTTTTACGTTGCCATGGTTACCTTTACGTTGCTATGGCATCCACCCCCATGTTGACCTGAACCACTATTTATATACTTTGACGACCTCGACGCTCAACATGTTGTCAATGCACAGAATACATTGTTGGTGTCTTGCATGCAACAACCCTAGCGAGAGAGATTTCCTAAGCTATCTTCATCGATCCTTATACGCACAGCACATCAATAGCCTAAAGCGAATGACATCAGCAATAATATGGCCATATTGAAAACTAGATGCAACTTCATAGGATTATGCTCGAAATAAAGGGGTTGTATCGTAAATAAAACATCTCTTCAAAAATCTCCAAACACGTGTTCTCGTCGCTGATTTAGCTACGATATGAGCCTCGCAAACAACCATTGATCCGCTCAATGGTTACGTCTATACATATCCATATACTTTTGGCAAAGAGAAACATACTCCCGGATCTATGTAAAAAAATGGGTTGATCTGCAGTTGCATCCACCTTGCGGAATAATGCCCAGAATGGTTAGGTTTTGTTTACACCTAACATTGATTGATTCAAGTTGTATGCTACAGACACGGATGTTTCCCATGGACAAGGGCAAGATAAAGATGTGCAATGACGGTGATCATTGTACAAAGGAACATTTGATGGAAAGCTTCCATCCCATGAGGAGAGGAAGGTGCTGGTTCCCAATAAAAGAAGCCATCATTATCACTGGGCTCAGCATCATTGTGTATCCTTTCATTACCAATTAACCCAGCCTCAAGTCACCCATTCTCTCGTTTTACTCATCCACCATCAGCTTGCATATGGTTTTAATTCACGTCATATGGCCACTTGGTCTCCTTTTTTTCTTTTTGTCATACAACATGTCTATCCCTGGCTTTATCATCTAGCCTGTAACAGCTCCCCCCAAAAGAAAGGCTACCGATGCACCTATCGAATCATGCATGTTGCCAGTGATATACACTACTACAACTGCTATGTACCCGTTACAATCTTAGATCGGTCGATCCATTCCCATCCCTCTACAAACGCGCTAAAGAGCCCAAATCTTTCATTGAAATGTGTTCCTTATCCGCACTTGAGAAAAAAAAATGCCTCAACATGTAATCTTATCCCGCCGTCTTTATGCGTTATTACCCCTTGAAATATCCCTATGGGGTTATCACTGGTTAATCTTTTTCCTCGTCCACCCATCATCATCCCTCATATTAGAATCGACCATCCAGGATGATATATAGAAAGATCTTTGATTCTACACCTCCTAGACTGTTGTATTATTGGATCAAGGAATGAGCATGATACGAAGGATTACTGCCAAACGAATCTAGACCCTCTCAAAACATGGATACATGTGCTGATCAAATGTCTGCTGTCAAGTAGGCACGTATGGACGTGCGTGCTTGCGTCGTAAAAGTATCCTGCGTTACGCTGTCCTTTGTTTCCACATAATTTTTCTTTGCAGCTCTTGAGTTGTTTAACCGCATTAGCTGTACTATAATGTGATACATGTATGCGTGAGTGGTCCAAGGTTGGCAGCTATTGACTGAAGAATGCAATCCCAATGATGCTTCGAGGATTTTGCCATATTGCAGCAATGTGTATTTACTCTTGTCTGCAGATGACCTTGATCATCATCATCATCAGGCAACACCTTTGTCCCCCATTACGATGAATCAATATCATCACTCCATGATCTATCATAGTGAAGAAGAACAAGGGGGGTGTGCTTGTGGGTTTGGAGAAGAGTGAAAAAGATGGTGAATGAGTGGATGATGGTGAGGGTCAAGAGGTAGGTTGATGCTGCATGAATAATAAGGAATCTCTATATACTCATCCATGAGACTAGAAGGCTTCCACGCTTTCGATTGAAATGTGCGATACAGAGGTGAGTGTATTTCTTGGCATTTATTGCGCATGATGCGGAGCTGAAGAGCACATCGTGGTAGTTTCTATGCACACTGATTTGAATACACATCACATAGACGCACGCACGCGTCAATCACAAGATGCATATAACACGGCACAACCTGTTGTTCTGTCACACATAATGTTAAAAGAATAGAATGGTCAATGGTACATTAAGCTATTTGGTTTTGAAGAGGCTTTCTTATGAACAAGAAAAAGGGCATAAAAGGACTACAAGATGTTGACATGTGCAAAGGGAAAACAAGAGATTCCCGTGCATGAGGATCCGCACGCCACCTTCTACACACACGCTCACACACACACACACCTGCTTTTTTTATTCTTTTGAACCTTCCATAAACATACACACACGCACACACCCTGCACCACCATCAACCCCCCATTAACATTCACTCATCCCGTCTCCTCCGCCTTCTTGTATTTTACCCCCTTTTGGATTCGGGCATGATCAAAAGCCAATTCTCTTTTTTCTTCTTCTTTTCTTTTTTCCCTCTCTCACCTTCAATCAAGAGTCGTCGTGAGTGAACGATTGTCGTATACCTTGAAAGAGAGAAAAAGAGAGTGCGTATGTGTATGTAAAATCCCTTTATTGTATTCCTCTTTTGTTATTCCATCACAACGTCAGCTACTATCACCACATCCACATCCACATCCACCACCATCATCATCAATAATCAACAACAAACAACGACCGACCAGCCAGAGTTGTTGCCTACCACGACGACCATGCTGTTTTGGCCAAAGCTGTTGAGCATTGCACATGCCATTGCTTCTAGTGTACGGCCATACTTGCCATTGTACCTGTCTCATTTGCTTGGATTCACATGTGCCGACATTGGCATTCTGCTGGCAGTGCCACTGGCGTTACGAGTTGCTTCGTTAGGATTATGGACCGTCCTTGTCATTGATCAACGGCCTTTGTTACATGGTTTCTTTATGGCACTGCTCACTGCTGTTGGCACGGCGGCACTCGTTCTCATCCTTTGGATCCCACCTCATGCTAAGTTTGCATGGTCAGCTGCTTTATTTTGCATGCTTTTGGATGGCATTTTCTACCAGCCATTGGGTGTGTTAATTGACAGCGCCATTATCAAGATCTTGGGTGATTACAAGATGATGTATTATGGTAAGCATTCACCCTCTTCTAATCATGGTATTATAGTTTATTCATAGATAGAACATTATTATGATATAGATTCTCAGCGACAATGGGGAGATGTGGCAGCTGCAGTGATGGCAGTGGGAATTGGTTGGTCTTTGGACGATGATCATGACTTTGATACGCTCATGGGAACTATCTTGATCGGTGCTGTGCTTCTCTTTCTTGTTTCGCTTTCCACAACAGTGATACCTGCTGATCCATCTTCTCTCGAGTCACCTGAAGACGATCCAAACGATCATCTTACCCCTTTACTCAAACCAGCACCCACTTCACCTATTTCACCTTCTTCACCAACGCATCCTCATTCTCATCATCATCATTATTATACCTATCATCATCATCATCATCATCCTAGTCAACATTATGTCACCACCAACGCCAATGATCTTGAAGTTTCCATCCATGTCATGTCACAATACTACTACGAACCACGTTACTTTTACAAGCCATACAACTTATTTCACGAACAACTATCACACATTTCAGAGGAGGATGCTAGCATGTTGCAGCAAATGGCAAGCCAAAACGATACAGTCAAAGCAGTTCAGGAGGAAACAATGACAACAACGGAGGATGAAACTGCTACCACAACGAGTAGCCATGAGGCACCAGCAGCACCACCACCACCACCATTATCACCTTCAGCAAGAGGACAAAGCGATGATCCCACAACCACATTTCGATCCTCATCCCAATATTGGGCTACCACCACCATGGCAGCTACATCCGCATCCACTACCGCCAATGATATTCATAGTGATGCTATCTTTGATGCTATGCCTTCCTTACAACTTGCATTGATGCCTTCGCCTCCACCCGAAACGCCCATGCTCATTCTCCCCGTTGCTATGGTTCCCAATGGCTTTTTCGCAACAGACGACGATTCCGGTGATGAGCAATGTCGACAACGTTGGCCCGTATGTTCTTTATTAATCACGGTGTTTTCAATGGGTACCGTATCAGCCATGATGAATGCCTTGCTATACATTTATCTTCACGATGGTCTGGGCCTGCCCATGCATATGATCGGCATCGTCGGTATGGTTTCCACAGCAGCCAAAGTAGCCGCCAAACCTATTGTGCAACACTGGGTACGTACAACAATAATGGTATTATCCTGCAAAAAGATGATTCATGTTGCATTTTGATTATGTAGGCCAATCGGTGGTGCCATCGTACAGTGGTGGTCATTCATATGATGCTGATCCTATGTGCGTTAGGATACACGATGCTGCAACCAGCTCATCTAGGTGTCCACGTTGCTGTTGTTGTTTTGCAGATATTACAAGGTAAGGAGGAGGAGGAGGAGGGGGTGGCGATCCATGACGCAAGGCACGCATCATGATTTATTGTTTACATGTTCTTTTTCCTATCCAGCCCTCGCATTCAATGTCTTTTGGTACGTTGCGGTGCAGCAAGTGGATGCAGTGCTGTTGACTGCAGGTCAACATCAACGTATGATCTTACGAGGAAGAATGTCAGCCTTATTCAACAGCATTGGTCCTGCCATTGGCGCTGTCTTGGCAGGGTATCTCGTCGATTTGTATCAGCAGACAAGCTACATGACATTTCCCGGATTTTTGTTAGTATACAAGTGCAGCATAGTTGTCCTTGCCATCAGCTTATTGCTATCACGAGGATGGTCGCTTGCCATTGATGAAGATTGATATCCCACCCTAACTTGTTTCATCTCTCTCATACTCACACTCTCATATACGCACGCATGACTTTATTCTTTTTCGCTTACACACACACGCTTTGTAGTACTACACGTTATACCCAATTCTTTTCATTTTGACTTTTTTTATTCCTGCTTCTATTCCCAGATATACATGTAAATTAGATTCAAAATCATTAACTTGTTCAATACCTACAACTTGGGGTTGGTTACAAAAGGTGGGGGGGGGGAAAGGATTGATTCGAATGAGCTTGAAAGCGACTACTAGAACGATGTCGTCGGCAGTAAGAATGCCATTAGTGGCACCTGAGTTTCAAAGCGAGAGAAATCCCAATGAAAGCGTAGAGCATAGGCCTACCACAGAGATCCCCCTCCTCCCTCGTCTATCGAAATGGTAAGCAAAGACATCCATATCCATGATTGTATCCATACATCCATCCATCATACTTACTCATCCATCCATTATCTAGGCCAAGCGCACCAAAAAAGGTACACATTTGTTGATGACAGCTTTGCAACAAAGGAAGAGTCCCAAAAGACACGATCGGCTAACGACAGATTTTGTTTTTTCCCTTGACAACTCTAGTCGGCATCACTGGCAAGTACGGCACTCGTTATGGTGCCTCGCTCAGAAAGCAGGTTAAGAAGATGGAAATCACCCAACACGCCACCTACACCTGTACCTTCTGTGGCAAGGTAAGGAAGAATACAAAAGAAAAGGAGACTAGTATCAAGCGATGCTGACATGCTTGGGATCCCCAATTAGGATGCTGTGAAGCGTACTGCTGTTGGTATCTGGAAGTGCAAGGGCTGCAAGAAGACTTTGGCTGGTGGCGCTTACACCGTCTCGTAAGTGTTGCATGCATTGGACTTCTTCTCGAGTGATGTGGATGACTCACTTATATTATCTTTATTAGCACCACTGCTGCTACCACTGTTCGCTCCACTGTCCGTCGTCTCCGTGAAATGGTCGAGATCTAAGATGATTGTTTCAATAAAGACGTTTGGCCTCATAGCAAAATCGTGTGTTTTATGGTTGTGTATTACTTCAATTGGATCACTATTCATTCTTTTGAATAAAAGCATAGATGACTCGATCATCATTCAAATAACTTGATGTTTCATTCATTAGCCACGTATGCTTCCGAACAATGAGTATAGCTGTAGCCTCGTGTTTACAATGGATCAGCATGTTGAAAAGGGGGAAATAATGTTTAATCTTTATTGCCATAGCAACGCATATAGATGATCCCCAACAATCCCACGATTGGTTTTATCCGCATCCATACAACACCATTCTATGCTATTCCAAAAGGTGCCCACAAGCTTAATATCAATCCATACAATCGTGCCTTTGATGTTGTCAAATGAGAATTACAGCGTGCGTGAGAGATGATCGTAAATGTTGTGCTCAAGATGAATGGCTCTAGGTTGGATATGACGCGTCAATCAACAAGCATCTCGTACGTCAAACTGATTTGAACGCAAAAAAGCATGGTTTATTCTGTTGATACAGGTGTCCGTGTGTTGTCTAGATGAATTTACTTGGTAGCGGCGAAGATCTTGGGAGCAGCCTAGATGATGAGGGATTATCATTAGATCAAGTCTACATGCCCCTTTCACCTTGACCCATAACCATTGCTTTTTACTTACACATTCGTCAGCGCAGTGCATGAAGTGGAAGAATTCCTCAATGCCTGTTTTTCATAAGAAAAGGAAAGCGTGAGTTGTCGAAGGTACATTTATCATCGTATTGTGGGGTTGCAAAAATCACGTACAGTTTTCATCAGAGCCGTTTTCGACACGTTCGTTGCATGCGTCAAGGTGCTTCTTCAAGGCGGAGCATTCGTTTGCGCACTCTATAAACATCATTGATAATCACATATGAGAAGACGTGTACCTGAAAATATGCAACACGTATCTATGTGCGTGTGTATGTGTATGTGCATAATATGCAATCATGTCCACCGTCATCTTACCTTCCATGATAGCTTCCTTAGGATCCTCAACCTCCTCTTCTTCTTCCTCTTCTTCCTCCTCGGCAGCAGGCTCCTCTTCAGCAGCAGGCTCCTCAGCGGCAGGTTGTTCTTCAACAACGGGTTCAGCTTGCTCAACGGCAGGTGCAGCGGCCTCTTCGGCGTAAGCAGTAGGGAAGATGCTGGAGAAGATATCGGTAAGACCCATTTTCAGAATGCAATTGGTATAAATGAGCTCGGAGTGGGGAGTGTGTAGAGAGAAAGAAGAAGTGTTTGCGATGTCGGCAACCCCGGCCTAATCACCAAGCCACCAATTCGGGCGGTAACTGATACACGTCAAAAATCGCCATCACCCAACCATGGTTTGCCTTTGATAGGTGATGATGGATAATCCCATAACCCCAACATGTCATCATCCCACTTCCATGCTAACAATAAATGAACCATCCGAGCAATATAATAAACCTTGTCAGTTGTCCCTGTCCGCTGATAGGTACGCTTTCAATGTTACATGCCTCTACAGCGAGCTTCATAAAGTCACTTCAATCTCATACACGATCAAAGGAATATAGCCAATCAAAGATTCAGTAGTCAAAGGGAATGCTTTTATGCCCAATTGGTCTATCGACACGAAATTACCTAGTCTGTGAATTTCCTCGTTATGTATGTATCTCGTAGCACAGCATGAATTTCCTCTTTATCTTCATCACTGATACCTCGCGTCCACCATCTGCATTTGATATATACACAATATGAATAAAGGGTATGGGAAGCAACGAGGCATCTTTATAAATATTTGGATCTACTGCTTCTCCTGCATGTATTCTACGAACTAACAAGAGAAAAAGACATGTCAGCCATTCTACAAGCCAGCAAAAAGGTATCAAAAAGCATACATACTTCGTCGATCAAGATTGGCCATGCACCCATCAAATCGTGCGCGTTGAGGTCGATGTTGGGTTGACTTGCAAAATCAAGAAACTATCCAATGATAACGTTAAAACCTGATACCCGATCGCATGCCTATCAATATCTCTTACCAAAGTCCAGGTATCCTTTGAGATGGCCTTGCCATGCTTTTCCTAAATCATCCCATCTTCATCAATCATCCCTTTTCAAAGAACCACGATACCCATCCATTCTTACTTCTAAAAAGGTGATCCAATCCTCCAACATGGTAAAGCGGTTATTGAGCAATAGTCGCCATAGCTCAATGGCAGCTTCGAGAGCTAAGAATGTGTAATTTAGAATCGGATATCAATTCAATAGAAGAAGCGTGATGAACTTACATAGGCTCTTTTGACCCTGTTCACGACCAAGGATAAATGCATAATTGTAGATGGCACGGAACTGTTCCGGATCGTCCAACAATTTCATCAGCTGGGGTAATTCTTCCTTCAACTCTTGGATCGTGTTGCATTGCAGCCGCACCATTCCTTGTACAAAGGGTTTGCGTTGGAACTCGCCCATCCGCTCTGATCCTAGCTGGTGTGACATGATCAAAAACTCAAACTGCGTCGGCTCGATACCCAAGTCTTGACAGAGCTCCATAGCACCCTCAATAGTGATCTTATCCTTTTCATCTTGATCTACATAGATATCCAAGTCATTCCTTATCATCCCACTACCTCTTGTAATACACTTACCTCTATATTTATCAAAGGTGCTTTCAATCTCGCTCACATTGCAGTTGGTATTGTTCGTTTGGGACCGAGGTTCAGAATCGTAATATGCATTGAGGGCGACATTGACATCCCAGTTGCTACTCTTTAACCGTTGAATCGCCTCTCGGTCACTGTAAAAGATAGTATAAGCTTATCGAGGCTGCATATTGGTTCGTGTGGAAGTGATTGGTAAGTTACGTTAGGCTGGTAAACTCCTTGAGACGTTTGACTTTTTCCAACTGGGAGCCCTTGACCTGCTATTATCCCGTGTAAGCGATAGAAGCAACATAAAGTAGTATAATTCTCTTACTGAAGCAGCCATATTCGAGTGCGTGTATGTGATAAGTATGTAGTCCCAAGGAAAGAGAGGGAAGAGAGAGTGTGTGTGGCGATTGTAAAACGGAGTTGCAGGTGTATCTGTATCACTATGTTGGAGCATCTTGTGTGTGTGAGATCAGCCTGTTGGCGGTTAGTAAATCTTGCATAAACATCGAACGTCAATGGCAGATACCCTTGCTCAATACAATAATAGTATATATCTTGTTTCATCGCAAAAGACCAAAATGGTCCCATTAGATCATATCCCATCAACTCACGTTCAGGTACATCTTTGAGAGTTCCCTTAGATCAACCCATTTCGACCAATCATCTCGCTGTGACACTGACAACACAATCCTGATCTTCATGTTCAATAATGTATTCTTTATAAATCAATGGGTACCACTAACAACGACTTCTTCACTATCGAGCACCATGCCTTCTTCATCCTCGTCTTCATCCTCGTTCCTTTCGTTGAAGCGATGTGATGTTGCTCCATTGGTTAATACGTCAGCGGATTGACTTGGTGTGTTCTCGTTGTCATTCTCGTTCTCCTCATCCGATGATTCATATCCACGATCCATATCCATGAGCATCTTTTGCATTTCATGCTAATAACCAAAAGCGATGAGTTGTCGGATCATACATAGGGCAAATGTAACCATTGACTTACTCCTTCAGCACGTTCACGCTCGATGGTTTGTTGTAGTTCCTTGATGTTGCTAATGAATCCTGAAAAGTTGCGTTTCCTCTCTTCAAAAGCTTCATCCTTCTTTGCCTTCTCCCGCTTCAACATTTCAATGTCTTCTTGTAGTTGTCGGATTGAACTAGGAAACCATATCCATTTGAGTATATCATTATCCAGGGGCAATAGCCATACTTACTCATGATACGTTGCTCTTTCTTCCAACTGCATAATCTCACGAGCAACTACATCGTACTCGAGCTTGTTGTTACGTATCCGCTGTGCTTCCTTGAGTTCATCCTTGAGAGATGCGATTTGTTCAGCAGTAGATCCAACTTGTTTGGCTATTGTAGCATCACAAAAGGTAAGCCATCCCATCCATCATCATAAGGCTGTTTCCTTTTTTACCTGTTTGATCACCAATGACACCATAACCCTCCACATCTTCGGCGTTGGCTTGTTGCAAAAGTGGATGACGTTCTATCGATGTCTGATAACTTGCAAGAAACAGCAGCATGGTCTCGTACGAGTATTGGCTATATCATTGTATGTGTTACGATACTGAATGGATACCACTGCGAGCTATTACTACTCACGCTGTTTCGATAGGTTCATTGGACAAGTTGGACATCCATGCGCTGGCCTTCTTTTGTAGATTCTTGATTTGCCGATCGTCCATGGCAAGGCGCATTTTCAGTGTGGCTGTAAAGGTAGTAAACGCATGGTTAGCTGATCGGGTTGGTGATCTATGTGTTTCAAGACTAGGAGTACATGCCATCGTCCATTCTGATATACGCTGTGTGTTTGGTCGTGAGTGATAAAGAGTAGCCGATATGCAGCTGCAGCAGCCCAAATTTTGTCACGAGTGGAAACCAACATCCGCCATGATCATTACCACCACCTCCTTCTTCCTTACACCAAGCACCATTGTTGTAGCACTATCTTCTTTTATAAAAGACGTCAAACAATGAAATATGGCATCGTGTTCTACTCTTAAAAAGGGGGAAGAGACTAGGGATAACCAAGCTACAGTGGATCATCGATCTTTTTTTCTACGGGACCATGGTGAGCAGTGCTGAAGGGGCAGAGAGAAAGAATTCACAAGCATGTAGCAGTGGATGGAGTTGTCGACCTTTCTGAGAACATCAAGCTATCCAAGCTATCGAGCACGTGGATTGGTTTGGCGTTGTTGGAAGAGCTCTTTGTGTGGTTTCACCACGACAATGAGAGTAGGATAACAATGAAGCATTACCAATGACCACAAGATCAACCCTAACTTGTGTAATTCGGGCTTTTGACAAGCGGTATGATGGAGGAGGAACATGATGATGCATGGCAACATCGTCTTTTTATTGACATGGTCGTGTGAATTTCTATGCTCACAAAAACAAAAGTGTGATAGGTGGTGCATGGGCTCATACATAAAGTGATGGGGCACCTATCCCAGGATCGTAACCATGAAGCCTCGGTATGATGATTGTCTCTGCATAATCGGCAACTTGACGTAACCAAATTGAAGCAGGTGGTAACACCTCCCATGACCTCAATTTGCCATGGCAACGATATGGCATTGAAAACATGCACAGCACACATAATCATGATGAACAATCGTTATGTTTGAAAATGATCAGATCCAGATAAGAAACGAGCAGACCCCTGCTAAGGAATGGATAAAGGTAGCTCATAGCCATCATCTTCAGGCACATCCACAAGTCATTGGTAGCTCAACAAGTACAAAGCAAATAAAGGCACGTTTTATTTTTCATCTTGATTAGGCTAGCTACAACAGCTTGTACTCTAAACATTAAAAACCTTTATTTACCGTGAGGTGGGTCGTTGAAGGTGGTGTTGACAACGCTGCTGCTCATCGGTTTCCTCATTGGCACTTGCAATGGAGGATGAGCTCATCTGCTTGAGTAGAGGAGTGAGTTCGAGGCTTGGGTGTCAAAAGCGAAAAGAAAAGAAAAAGGAACGCTATGCATAATTGTTGATGTGGTTCAGGCAACGACACGTCAATTGCAGCTATCATCACCTTCACTACTACTTTGGAAGCTTTGGATTGCTTTACCCAGTCATATCAACTGTCATAGCTCCATCCCACACCATTCATGCCCGAAAATGACAGAGCACCATACATTCAACATCTTCGTGTAGCCATTCCTTCTCCCAAGCACCGAATAAAAACTCGTGTTACGCCAAGATGAAGGAAACATACACGAGGCTTGGGATCCCAAAAGTCGATCCATAACCGTTCTAGTGGATTTGCTCCCCCATCCCTGTACCTTACCACGGCCAAAGTATACCAAATGGTAAAAAGAAGCTTTTTTGCCAAGAAGTTATTGTTGGTAACGGCTTTAGCGGAAATAACGGCATGCCAACATTTTTGGTTTGTTGGCTGAGGGCAGGATCGGCAATACCCGATATGCATTGACGGAGGACTAAAACAACCAATATATGCGTGAGATTTGTGCGTGTACCTTTGCGTAAAAGGATGCGAGCTGTGATATGGTAAGACAGGCGGAGTACTTTTTTTTTTGCACATCCTTCCCCTACTTTCCCAATCAGCCTGCTGCCATTGAGCAAAAGCAAATGCTGCAACCTTTTGCATACAAGGATGGTATCACGAAATGTAATGCAATGCGGAAGACATCCGATGCACTCGTCAATAATGATCACATCCTAACAATGCAAGTTAAAGAGAATAAAATGATTTGATTGCAGTGTTGGAAAACGACAGCTGTTCCGCAAAACAATGAGGTAGTTACCATAAAGAGCAAGGCTATCAATTACTGTGCAACAGTACATCACGCGGATCTGTGCGCTTCTTCAAGAAAGCTCACCCACTGTTATAAAACCAGGTGTTTGCATCAGGCACTATCCCTTTTTTCTCTTTTCTTCAATCAAAGCCCTTTTTCCTTCACTTTCTTTCAAGTGTGAATTCCTCACATCCACCACTATCCTTTCTTTCTTTTTCATTGCTGGTCAATCCCTCCACCCACCTCACAGTCATTTCACTTTTATCAACACAAACATCATCACAATGCTTTCCTTGTTGAGTCTTTTGACATTTTTATTCTTTTCCTTCTCTTTGGCCATTCCTGTGCCTGGCACTTTGAACGCCAAACCAACAACAACGACTACTACGACCACCACCACTACTACAGCAGTCAACGACAATGATCTCGTTATGATCCGTGATACCATTGAAGGATTTTACGAAACGATTGTCGACGAGGTGTTGAGCACACACACAGAGAACCTGCTTGTGCAGTTGACTCATTCATCTGCTGGTCGTCGTATGCATTTGCTTCAATCACAAGCTATGCAATTGTCCGATAGACCTATCCCTGGTAAGCATTAGCTCCTTTGTTCACCTTCTCTCTTTCTCTCCTTGTATCACAGTAAGACAAAGAAATTGAGGCTGACTTGGTTCTTCTTCCCACCACATAGGCACCTGTGTAGCCAAGCTTGGTAGTAACATTGGTCGCAGAATTCATGAGCAGAACGCTCTTGTCTTTGGCTCAATTCAAACAGTTGTGTCCGAAACCCTCCCCGCTGTATGGCCCGATTATCCTACCAATGACGTGGGTCGTCATCGTATGGTCAATCAGCAACAACAACTATTGGAACAAGATGACGCTATTGATGATTCATCCATGGTGGCTCAACACGAGGTCGCTTCGGCCTTGTATTCACTCAACATGGCTGTCAGTTATCATTTGCTCAACGTTTACGACGAGTTTGATCTTGAAAATGAATTACGCCAAGACTTGGCTGCTTGCGTCGAACAACAACAACAACAACTTGATATCAAACAACTCGAACAAAAAGAGGATGAAGGTATAATCGCATACCTCAGCGGTCTTGCATCTCGTGTCTTGCAACGATTTGTGCAGCTCAATCATGGTTGCCCTGGTGCTGCTTTCCTAAAATCGCATATGCAAGCGGTGCGTATTGATTTGCAAACCGAACTTGAAGCCCGTGTAGGCGACTTGGTCACCATTCTTTACAATGATCTCTACGACCAAGCTGCATTCTAAAGGTCTCCCTTTTTTCAGCATTCATATCGCCACACACACGCATTATACGCATTCATCATACCATTATACACATTCACACACACACACACACACCCAATTCCATTCCCTTTGCTCGTGCCCTTCCCCATTGTGCGTACTGTAAAAGATGTTGTGCTGGGCGCTTCATCAATATCAGTAGTAGCAGCAGGGCTGAGTGATTTTTCATTGTAATCCGACGAGCGACGACTTGCTCGTCCCCCACTAGTGTATCACCCCGTTTTGTTTCTTTTCTTGTGTAAAATAGGTTTTTCTCTTCTTGTCGATGTTTGATGTCTATAAAAAAAGTTGTCGACTCCAAAGAATGATCAACATCCCCCCCTTTATGGAGGCTGAGCCCACACCATGAACATGTAGAGGAGGAGGGCGAGAACACTAAGCCAATTGGGTCCATTGTTTGCCGAGCCAAAAAGAATTCCATGCACGCATTTTGTACAACAGTGATAATTTACACACACACATTATGTGGAGAGAGATAAACACACACATCAGGCATAGTTAAACGTTTGTATTGCGCAAGAGGGAATAAGAACGACACATGATTATTGTGGGGGTGGAAAAGGGGATGTTTTCTACAGCATGCAAAACACGGTAAAAAGATGAAAATATATATGGGTACGAATAATGTTGGTGTGGTGGAGGAGGAGATAAGTTGGTTGATGGGGTATTTATGCCAATTTTTTCGCCTTTGAAGAAGCAAGGACTGGTAATGCTTTTCGAATCCATCGTCGTCTTCTTGTGAGTGGTCGATCAGTGTCATTCTTGTTTGTTGTGCGATCACCAGACGAGGATCGAGGACGTGGATTCTGCCACCTGTGGTCAGTGTACACCCATCCTTTTTCGTCACATTCCACCATCGCCTATATAACAAAGGTGAGTATGGCGCTTTTTCTTTTCTCACACGCATGAATATGTAAAGAGAGAGAGGCGATCTGCACATACCACTACACAACACAATCACAAGGTCAGCACCCAAAACTTAATTTTCTCACACGTGAAAAATAGAAAACCTTCTTACCTATACCAAGCTGTTCATCGGTCCATGGCCCAGTAACATCCAATTCCCAATTACTATTCTCGTCCCACTCGTATGATGGTGGCGGCGGCATTTCATCCTTGGATGGCAATGGTTCTGATCCTGTCAAGTTTGACCATGCAACTCGCTCTGATCGTAGCAACTGTTTCCATAGCAATAGTTAGTCACCATGGATACCCTCTTTGCCTTGTATCATTGATCACCCATACCTGTGAAGTGAATCCACTGCCTGCCCACCAACGTTGATTCTCGTATACTGAGACGATGACTGGAGCTGTTAAAGGGACACCGTTGCTCTTACTACCATTACCCAATCTTGGAAACAAGATACGTGATACGAGTTCAAGGGCCGTCTGTAATAATTCCATGACAAATTGAATGCCTACTTCAGCAGCACTCCCCATCCATGTCTTGTTGAGCAAAATCACGAGGCCGACAAACATGATGATCCAACGGCCAAAGCACCAAAGCAAAGCTGAAAGAGCTGCCGTGACACCCAAAAGGAGCTGGTAAGCGAGAGGTGTGAGAGGAATGTGCTGGGCATGATAGGCGAGATTATCATAGATTCGTATAGCAAAGAGCATGGATTGTTGCATGGATTCAAGATTGCTGAAATACTCTGGGGAATTCTCATCATAGCGTGGCACCAAGACTTGTGATGCCGGAATCGATTGGACACCCACGCGGAAATACAACCAAACGATGAATACCGGCGGTGCAAACATGAGCAACATTGGATATAAACCTATATTTTTCACTCGAATGTCAACAACAAACAAATGGAAAACCACATGGCCTCTTATTCCACTTACATAGAACCACCCACGCTACCACACACATGCATGATGTTGGTATGTGTTGCCAAGCGTATACCTTGTAAAGCCAATGACTCAGATTGAAAAATGCCCTGGATCGTGCAACCACTCTTGTGAATGCTTTGGCGGTCAATTGAGGACTAAGTACGCCGTTTGCTTGAATAGACGATGTCATGGGTACAGCTGCCATGATGGTGTTTTGCACATGTTGTTTGATTGATTTACGATACGCCTTTACTGATCCACTTAACGAGGGTGTTGGTTGATGATGATGATGGTGATGATGATGATGGTTGGAAGTGACCGATCCTGCACCTGAAAACGTGGGTGAACGTAATGCTGTATCCATCATATCACTCGATCGATGCTGTCTATCGGGTGGTTCGGCAAGAGGCGGTGTACGTTTGGCTTGACGATCCTCGGTTGGAGACATAACCAGGCGTGTGGGAGACGAGTATTTGGATACTGATTCAGCTTCGGAATCCGTGATGGAGAGAGAATCAGGGCTCACTCGTCGTGGTGGACGACACTGCACTACCACTTTGCTGCATTCCTCATGACAACTGTATCCACATTCTATCATGTACGGATTTCGTTAATGAGAGGAGAAGGAGGAGGGTCATGGTATTACCGGCTGACTAACGCCAAATGAGACTTACCACTACATTGCACCCCTTGACGAGCAAGACCCCATAGTAACTTTTCGCAATAGTCGCAATAGACCAAGCCGTGAAAGTTTTTGTACTTGAATCGGTGGAATTTAGAAGTGGGTGAAGGCATAAAGGATAAAAAAGAGAGAGAGGGAGAGAGCCCTGTGCTCGGGAGCAATTCTAAAGGGAGAGGAATAAGCCAGAGCGCTTATAAATTATTGACGGACTTCACATACTTTCAGCTCTGCATAGCTATGATGCTGTTAGCCTGGTTCCTCAATCCGGCTTGTTAGCAAATAAGCTAAGACCAAGCTACCTACCACGGCAAAAGACCCAACAGGGTCTCTGCCATGGTAAGTGATGATGGAAATGACCGAAGTTAGCGATAAACCGGTATAATACTCATGAGAATTCCTTACGTTGCAATGAATCAGCACTCTATCCAAGCACACCTCGACCACCAAACAGCCAAACATGCGAACATCAGTTGGGGTAACAACGATATCAAACAACTGACTGAAGGTTATGGACAAGGTGGCAACCATGGTATCAACTTGTGGAAAAGAAAGAGAGAAGATAAAAAGTGATAATTTGAGAAATGAAAGCAATAACTCGAAGCCCTTATATATTAGATTCAGTCAGGGAGGGGCGACGCTCAATCGATATAGCTTTCATTTCAACCGGATTTTGGCCTTGCGCGCAATGTAATCTCATTGGTCAAATCTCTCAAAGGGATCTTGTGGCAAACAGGACCCTATAGTCGGTCTTTGCCTTTTTCTAACGAACAAATGCAGCTGACAACCAATCTTTTTATTTTTTGCAAGGAAGCTGATCATGCTTCTGGATAACAATTTATCAAGGCCAGATCTTGTTTTAGATGTAAACATAGGGCTTTTGAGAAGTCATTTCCTTTTACGTTTTCCGTACAACAAATACTGCAGTTGGATGCTACGCATCAATCCGGACTATAACCATATTTGGCGAACAAATGCAAATGTAGGCGATACCTTCGGGAATCATAAAACAATCTACAACTCTTACGGGTCATATACAGGTGTATGCAAACAAACCAATCACCCTCCTACAGGTAATAAACCTGAGCTTATTCCACACGATATTCAAATTGATCAAGTAATTCTTCCTCTACCCCTCTATCTCTCTCCCTCTCTGCAAACGAGTCACCCTTATACATAACATCCCTGTTGTTTCTCAATGGAATACCCACAAAGGCTCGATGACCTCGTCCCTCGTCTCGAACGGTTTCCCGATGAGCAAGATGCTACTGATGAAAATCCGACTCCAGCACGCAGAGCACCTACGAGATGTACGTACGTTACCCGAAGTTGTAAACTCAGAGGAATTCTACAGGATGATTTCAAGTATTTGGTGGTAAGGAATAGACGTCGTAATGAAAAGTTGTATCATAACTTGAATGTTGTAAAGGATGATTTTCGCCGGGTTGCAGAATATTTCCAAGTACTGCGGCGTGATGCTTTACTCCTTGCCAATCTACATATCAGGCGGTTATGTGAATTACGTGTAGACAACGGCAACGTAATCAATGGCGACATCGTACCGGACTTATTAACGCTGGCATTCTGGCGTCATTGCCTAGAACTTGTGGCATCTCCGTATCCAGGGACGCGTCGTATTACTAGAGTAAATGTTAATAATGGTACACCTTATCGATTATTCTGTTCTAATGACTGGATTGAAAGTTCCATGCAGAAGAATGGCATCAGCAGCTAGTCGTGACCTTCGATAATCACTACAATCCTTGTCGCCGCTATGACAGTAAGAAGATACTGGTATCACTATAAGGAATATATCTAAAACTTTACTTTAGATATTATGCAAATCGACCGGTATGACATACCATCGTATACATCTTTGGTACAATATATCGTGGCAGATACATTCACAACGAACGCCATCACAAGTAAGCATTATTTACCCAAATCATTTCGAGAAGAGTAACCATAACCATTACTATGACCATAGACGCAAAGGAACACCTGTGTGGGAATCTACTCATTTATATGAAGAGATCTTGGGAATCATTGTTCCTCCATGTCCATCCGAACCAGCTGCCTAGAAAGCCATCTGCATTAGGTATTCATAATACCTATAACAAAAGACTATTACTGACCACTATGAATGATTAATAGCAACCATGGCAACACATGCAATCAAACATCACCTTGAGTTTGATAACACCTTCGATTGGCTACAAAATCTACCTGAGAATGTGGTGAATCAAGCTCAACAATTCTACAAGTAAGTGTGATATATAATATCATCGCATTGGTATTCAAATTACATAGCCTTATTCTACCACGCTACATTCAAATTGTCCCCCCTGCCATGAATTTGGAGGATCTGGAAGATGAGGCTCTCGATCGAATCACCGTGATGCGGATAATGGATCTGTCATTTATCATGCTTCGTCAGGCAGAAACTCATCCATTGGCAAAGAAGTGGTCTATCCTACCATTAGCGAAGCATCAAATTGGTAATCTCCTGAGTCAAATACAAGGAACGATACGCTTATAGGGTTATAACATATAGGTTTTGTTGAATACGACACGGTGGGATTGTTCAAGTTTTTCCAATTGCTATATGGCCAAACAGGATCACAGAATCTAATCCCTCGGCCTATGATGGTAAGAGAATGTACATTGAAGGAAAATAGACCCACTTCACTATTATCCATGTTACTAGAATATCATTGGCCAAATGCATAACAGAACAGCATACAAGATGCTTATGGATGATTACGGGAATCAAGAGCAGCTATGGAATCAACTATTCCAATTGAACAAGATTGCACCATTTAACAATAGGCGCTCATTCAGCCGAACAAGTAAGTGCTATAACACCACATGGTAACATGTAAAATGCTGTCGTTACTCAACAAGCGGTATATAGCTGAGCAAAACCGAGACATAAAGCCATTTGGATTTGCATTTGCCATGCAGACCGACGGACACAGTGCACGTTTTCGATTCAAGATCCGTCGTGTCGGTGAGTGCATGAATACATTGAAGGATTCGAGTTGAAGTTATTAACAATTTTATCGATTAGAGCAATACCCCTCCTCTAAGAAGGAATTCAGCTTATTACCAAGAGGAGGAAACATGTCTGGATCTTTCCTTGGAAGAGGGATCTATCATACCAATAAAGAACCTATCGGTTTGAATGATGGTATACTCGCCAACGCCCGCATAGTTGGTATTGATCCTGGTAAAGAACGAAGACTTAAAGAGGTATACAACAAGGCTGACACCTTTCTTTGATAGGAATTCGAGATTTATTTACCGCCGTGTCAACAAGCAATGGGCATCTATTATCCCGTGACAATAGAGAGGTTGATGGTACCATAACAGCAATTTCGAACCGCGAATACCAGTAAGTGAGCGATGTAGGATAAAGGACGTTATAAAAACACTATTAAATAGAGAAAGGTCGGGATTTCAACATTCGTTACGAACCGAACTCAAGGCACGCCAACATTCTGGTATACAAGAATACTATGATGATCTTACAATGAATCCACCCACTGTCAGCTCTATGCAAAATTTCCAGCGACATATACGAGCCATAGCCCGTGTACATGACGAGTGAGTATTCCTAATTGGCAAGTAGCCGGGACGTTAATCAAATTAAATTACTAGGATACACGGATTTCATATCCGATACCGCCATCGTGAACGGCGAGAACGGAACCTTGCAAGACGCCAATCAACACTGGATACATTGGCTATCAGTATAACAAGATCCATTGCTCGGGTAAAGATATGATTTCACCAAGCAACGAAGTATTGTATTTAATCACATGGCAAACAGGGTAACATACCAAGAAAGCATGCATCGAAAAGAGAACGCAGACGCATAAGACGATCGGCACGACGATTGAACCAATTACAGCAATACCAAAATCTATTACAAGAGCACCACAATACACAACATCAACAGATGCTACAGCAAATGCAAGAAGCCAATCAACAGATAACTCAACAACTTCATCAACAACAAGCTGTATTAGACATTCTCGCATATCAGCAACGAGTTGTCCAAAACCTGAGACACGATATCATCCAACAAGGAAACCAGGTCCTTGAACAAGTGGAACAAAACCATTTACAAGCTCTATGGACGGCTTATCAAGATGAATTGGCTGCAATGGATCAACTTCATGTTGAGCAAAGAGTACAACTGGGTCAGGAACATGAGAACCAGAGGCAAGCCATGGAGGCAGAACAACAACAACAACGACAACAATTCATTCACCAACAACAGCAACCACCTCATACCATCATATCCTATGGAGACGCTGATTTACGTGGTACAATGCGTGGGCATGCACCTCTCCCAACAAAGGTATTTAATGCAATGTATGATCATTGTCCTCGCAGCTTTCTCACAATATCAATAAGACCTTTAGACAATACCTGGCAAAATACTGTCTGGTGATGTGCGTTGATGAGTTTAACACATCACAAATTTGCTCGCAATGCGACAATCGACTTGTTAATATTGTAGAAAATTACTATCGATGTAATCATAGGTAATGTGCATAGTATTTCCGTTACATCGTCTCTTACAACAAACATCTTCATATTTAGAACCAAAGTCTTCAATATTACCTTCAGAAACCATCATCGTCGTATACGATATTGTCTAAACGATGCTGGTGAACGTATGCACAGGACATCCGAATGCCAACAAGCACTTGATGCAGGTAGCAAGAGAAAGAAAAAACATCAATATCATGCCATTCACCACCTTTAATGTAGATCCCATCCCCAAGCAAATATGGTCTTTGAAAGTGTGCACGAATTGTGTAAGCGTCCATGCGAAAGCGGGCCCCGACAGACCACTTGTAGGTGTATTTCATTGGTACTAAGCTATAGGGAGCTAATTGTTTTAAAGATTGTGAACAGGGATATCAACGCCGCTGCGAACATGCATAGGATTCTGACCCAGTACATCGAAAACGGGGGGAGACCATTTGCGCTCTCAAGGGCAAACGCGTAAAGACCGAAGCAACGCCATGTGTTTCCCACGTTGGACATTTAGCTTATACATCTACATATATAATACTCTTGTCATGTGGTTATAACGTTTTGAGGATCATTCTCCTAGTCGGTTTTAAAAATGTTTATTTCTGTGTAGAGATCTTTTACTTTAGCTTCATAACGAAATGAGCAACCAGCCATCATTCCCAATTGACGAAGACATGGACCCTCGTACCCATTTGCTAATAGCATTGGGTTATATTGACAATGGCGAGGTAGAATAAATTCTTTCTTTATCACAAGGAAACTGAAACGCGTTATACAGCAAGGAGATCATATAAGAAGGAGCACCACCCTGACATCGGTAAAGAATTTCATGCAAGACACCTACCTCAATGCGTTAATCTTTAAATGTTTTTCCTTCAGATACCACCAGCACATCTTGAGCTGTTTATGAGAAGCAACAGGAACCTGGCAAGAGATGATGAAGAAACAATCCCGTCGCCTTCTGATCAGCCGTCCATGTCAAGTCAAGGCCATCCTCATCCACGACGACAACAACAGCAGCAACCACTTACAGGATCACCTATGAGTTTTGCCAGTCGACCGGAAGACGAGGAAACCGTTGATGAAATGGAAGAACGAATGCGTCGTACAATGATGATCCCATTCATCATGTGCTCAGGGGTTAATGAAGACAACAAGCAATTGTTACTGCGCCAAGTGGAACAAAGTGAACTGCAAATGATGGAAGTCGACGATATAACCAATGGATTCGACACCGTCACGCACATCATCGCGTCTATCAACAACAGGCGCCGCTGTGAGCGAACCAACGAATACCTATGTGGTCTCCTCCAAGGAAAATGGATTATTGACGAGACATGTATGAAGAATATTCTTAATACAAGGCTTGCTTTAGATGGAAGACTTATTGTATATAACAGGGATTACTGATAGCTGTGACCGAGGATACTGGTTACCAGAAGAACCTTATCTTGTACACGGGGATACAGCTAGTGAACACATGGATGCACCCATGCTTGCACGTCGGGCACTGGTTGAAGGAAGGGTATAAAAGACTAACATTGTTGATCGCAACGGTTTTATATATGCTAAACCAAAAGATAGGCATTACCTTTCATTGGCTTACATTTCTACTTGCATGGTGATTTCAGAGACCTTATACAAATGAGAGATATTACAATCCTTTGCGAAATGGGGGGAGGAACCCTGGTGGATCACCCTAACGTGGAAAGGTGTGTGGCGATAGTCAGCAATGGAAATGAGCATACAGCTACCATAAGAGAATTAAATCCTTATGCTCTAATACGGACTGTCGATTGGTTCATAAACACTGTTAGTAGAGGCATCGGTAGAGCCCTTCCTTAAGATTGAATTAAGTATGTAGCTTGTTGTATTAAAAATGTTTATTTCATGAGATACAAAGACGTATGGTGTTTTAAAGATGCGGTATTATCACTGGGGTAGGCAATTTCTTGTATCAGTCGTAATCAAATGATTGATAACAGCAAAACCCAAATCCTAGTAACATTGTCTTATTAGATCACGCTTTCATCATCTCCCAAGATCAAGACTTCCCATTGGAAATCATCTGACAACAAAGCCAACACAGATGTGTCTCAACGACGCATCAGAACTTTGAACTAAACACGTTGTTTGTACTTTGCACACTCCAAGAGTATTTTCATTGTGGCATACCTTTAATTTGTTCAACTTTAGTAAACTCTCCTTCACAATTGATTCCTTGCTACATCTGTTCAATGACCAAAGCAAATTCCCATGATCATCGTGTCACATTCGAGAACAACATTGTCATTGTCCTTATCGTAAAAAGAGGCCCTATATTGCTTGTGATGTGTTAAACATGTTAGCCTCGCCATGCGAGGATATTCAGCGTGTCAAAAAGACCTACTTTGGTAGGCCAAGTGACAGCCTTTGTTGTTCACTAAAATATATCACGCAGTAGATTCCGCAAAGGCAAGCATTATAATTAATCAACACCTTACTTGGATGAAGCGATATGCTTAATCATATTGCTACTATATTGACTTGACCCATTGGGATCATCGGCTGACAATAAACTCTCGGATCCGAGGCTTACGTGATGATGATCCTGTAGAGGGAGAGGAGGTACGCTTGAAATAGGAGGGCGATGTAAAGGTTGTCTTGTATGTGAATGAGATGGTAATGATGGAGGATGAAAAATTCCATTATTGTCCTCGATCCATGTATCTTTTGGGGAACTATGGTTCGTCTTATCCTCGGGTATTGCTGATATGACATTGGATTTACGTGGATACTGTTCTTCAGTTTGATCATCATCTTCGTCGTCCGATTGATGGTAGACATGTTCAATTCCTTCATCATGTTGAGTTCGTTTGGCTTCTCACGTTCATCCTCTGGTATGGCAATAATCATCCTTCTGTTGATGATTGGGCTGTTCAGATAACGAGGATTCATTGACGAAAGGCCTGAGATATTTCAATAAAAAAAGAGACGATGAAAGAATACGTTGAGAATCGATGTATATTCAAGTGCTGTCCTCAGCTACAATTGCAACATGTCTTATATACGTTTCTATGATACTTGTGGAATGGGACTATAAGGAAACGGGATGTATATATAAGGATCTCGGCTAAACATAGGATGATGGATGGCGTATGTATGGGTATAGATGCTGGTGATGGCGTTCTCCTTGTGATGGGGCGTAATCGTGGTGGCACCTTCGCTTGTGATCTTGTATTTGGTGATGGTCCATGGGCGTAATGATACTTGAAATACGACAAGGCCCATACTGATATTGATGGAAGATGAGGAGGAGGAGGATGCCGCATTGATGTTGTGCGTGTACTTGTTTCAGAGATATATACTGTTAAACAATGAGTAAACACGATGATAGTAATGAAATGACCATGACAATTACCTGTAACCACGGCAAAAAAGCTACGAGACGTATCATGACAACACCTGACAGGGGAAAATTTAGACTTTGTGCCTAATCGTGCTTGCCGTGTCACTGATGTAAAGCGTGCGTTGTCCATGACGGTAATAGAATCTTGTTGAAGGAGGATCATTATCATGCATAGATGATGTGTAATAGTATTCGTGAATGAAACATTGGCTATCCCTTCCTATGGCATCGTCGTCGTTACTGTAGGTGGATTGATTGTCGTTAAAAAAGCATGATGTGCTGGTATAGTCAAAAAGAAGAGAAAGAGAAGGGACGAATATTGGTCTCGTGAGCAACACCAGCAATATCCAAGAATGTTGTCCCGCTGATTTGGTTTCCTTCAGAGTTGAATCGTCTGATCATTCAATCTTCGTCGATTACAATAGCATCGTGGATCCCGCTGCTCTCACCAGCATGCTGAAGGTCAATCTGGTACACAAAAAGAGACTCATCAATGAAAGTTGCCACGTGTTTTCATGTCCACATCCACATACCCTGGTATCAATAGCTTCCAGGACGATAGGTAATACTTCGTGCTACGACTTTTGCACTCGCGTAGGATTAAAGATGTCACGTAAATCTCGTAATGGTTTCGAATCCAGCTAGAAAGGCAGTATTATTAGCATAAACATTACTCTCTACCATCATAGTAAAATACATACATATCCATATTTCTCCATAAAGACATCCTATAATCTTTGGTCCAACAGCCGGTTTTCATCTCTCAAACCACTCATGATTCTCGCTTTCCTTTATCGATCACATCTTGAGTCGTATACTTGTCAATCGTATGGCGTATATCGACAACCGCCCATCTCGCCACTGAATCCAGATATTCCTCGATAATATCATCTCGGCTATGAAGCTGCTTTGGTATCAACATAGGAAAGAAGGCGTTTGTAGTTGCAACATAATCACTGTTGGACCACAGGGCAGTTGTAATGATGACCATATTCATTCGACAGGCGGTGGATATAATCCAATCAAGGTCGTTGATACCATTGGTGAGGCATGTACTTATGTCGCTTATAAAGGGGTCCCTATTAGACTAGCCATCCTTTTGATATATAAATGATAGTATACCTACCACAAAGCTCCATCAAGGAACACAATCAAATGTCATTAGGCACTAAGAGCACTTGGTGTGAGTTACATAGGTGAATACAAGGTAGCCTCATTTTGGGGATTACATATAGGACTATCCTTGAGACTTACCAAAGATCATTCATCACGATATGAATACAAATAGAAAGAAAGGGCGTATGATAGTGCTGGCGACAACAGCCGTCTTTATATGTGAGTGGGCGCGGGAACTGTTGTCATGATGGATCAAACTGATAAAGTGGTCAAGCATCTTTGGAGTGCTTGGCCGAAGTGATGGAAAATCACAGCTGCTGCTTGAAAGGTGGGTTTTTGTAGGTGACATAAGCATGTTCCATTGATGAGTGCGTGATCACGTGTTGGTATGTTGTATGCATACAGCTTGATGGCCCATGCTTCAAAGAAAAGAGAACGTTTCCAAGACCACGATGAAGACAACCAACATGTGACCAAGCTAATGACAGTTACTGTAATCGATGTTGAGAAGAATAATCGTTGTAGAAGGGAGTAAGTGGTTGTGTGGTGTGAAAGAAAGGCGTATATGTTGTCAAAGAAAAAGTGTGTTGTAACAGTGTCTGTACTCGCCATGGGCTTGCAATTCAGTCGAATAGTATCGGTTCAAAGCAATGATGGGCTTGACATGATGGGGAGAAGCAGATGAAGCGTGCATAGCTTGCAGAATGGTCGAGTGTGGTAAAGATGAACACGTTGAGAAGCGTAATGGAAGAGAGAGAGAAAATGACCAGCAAGCGGAAGAGGAGCGAAAGTTGGGAGGCGTTTGACACCGTTACGAGGATGGCATACCAATGAATCTCCGAAGTGAGTGATACTTGATGTCGAATGCCTTGAGATGGATAAACATTGATAGCGCCAAAAAGACACATATTTAATACTGTTGCTTGTTGCTGATGCGATACATCCATAAGAGACGTACACTGCAGAGGGCTGTTGAAATCAATTGACCAAATAACGAGAACCATCCAAGACCAAGTAAATGTTGTTGACACTAAAGATGTGGACTCTGTTGCTCATTGCTGCTTATTGCTTGTAGATGATACGATCCACCGATAACAGGCATGCGTAGCAGGATATCCACTGAAAGGGCTGCCAACAACTAAGACCACATTAAGACGAGATAAAACTTGGCGACACCAAAAGGTATAGAACTTGTTGCCTTGCCGATACAGATGCAAATAAAAGGAAGTGTCCAATAGGTAGCACATTAACGAAAACAATCGAACGATGTAATAAGGCAAGATGGCACTGAAGGATGCTGTCGACGTTGCTCTTTGACCCGAATCCATAGAACGATACTTAGCAATGATAGCTGCATCCATGAATATTCCAAAGGACCAAAATACAAGTAGTTTGCTGGATGCACATATACTATAATAAAAGAGGGGTTGATTGGGATTGGAGCCAAACACGGATCATCCACTATTTACCAATGACAGCCATCGGAAACATGTCGACATCCAATGACAGCTTCATCCATGAAACCCAAAGAACCAGAAGACAAGTAGCTTGCTGAATAGACCACATACTACAACAAACGAAAGAGGTTGGCAGGCGTTGTAGAAACGAATGGACCACTATTTACCAATGATACCCATGTTTGCACGAAATCCTGTTGATATCCAAACCAAGCCGATTCTTTGCAATCGTCCGCTTGTTGATAAGGCCCGCTACGGTGGCACTCGGCTTGAAAGCGATGGAACGATACTTTATGGGCATATGCAGTGAGAAGGTTGAGTAATACTTATACCACCAGAGATAGCATACTTACATGATGCCGAAGAGCCCTTACAAAGAGAGACAACGAGACAATCCTTGCTGCCCAGAACCACATGCAAATCGAGAAAGCATTGTGCATCGAAAAGCCCAAACCAGATCCTAGCTGCGGAGTGACGTACATATGGCTAAAGAGCGATGTGAATGGCAATCGTTTTTCATTGGAAATCGAATGCAGCTTGACGATGAATGCCTTGAGGAGATGCATAAATGACCTTGGTAACACCAAAGATGTCAACGCGGACTCTCATCGCTTGTTGATGACATGATCCATCCATAAGACACGTATAGTTGTAAAGATCCATCAAAGGAATCGCCAATAACCAGAACCACCAAGAGATAGAAAGCTTGCTGATATCAAAGATATACAAGTTGTTCCTTGTTGCTGATGTGATCAATCGATAAGAGACCTTCATTTCAGGATGCCCACCGAATTGCCGATAACGAGAAGAACCAGATGATGGGATAAAGCTTGATATGTCACCAACGATATGGATGCTGTTGTTTGTTGCTGATACAATCCACCCACAAGAGACTTGCATTGGCGGACACTCTTCAGAGAAATCGCCCGTTGCTTGGTAACCAACCACCAGAAATGAAATAAAGATTGACGACACCAATAGATAAACGCGCTTTTCCTCATGGCTGACATGATTCACCTATAAAAGATGCACCATAAACAATTGTCCCAACTCATCCAACAATACTTAGCAATCATAGCTGTGATCTTGTAAACTCCAAAGCACCAAAAGACAAGTAGCTCTCTGCAATGGTCCCTCTAAACAATAATGGTAGGCGTTTCAGCAAAGGTCCCCAAAAAGCATGAGAGTCATACATACCTGAGCCATGGTGATCACAAGGAATTGCAACCAAATACACCATCCGAAGGCAATACAATAATCAACCTGCAGCGTCAAGGTATGCCACCATATGTACCATACTCTCATTGGATCCTGAAATTGGCATCATAAGAGATATCCACCTTCTCTCTGTAGGCAAGGAAATCAATAGCCGTACTTGGATGGAGGCCGTGTGCACAGCGGATGCCTTTTTAAATTGGCCTTGCCATCGCATCTTGGGTCACACTGTTTCCGGGCCAAAATTCCCCAGGAGAGCACAGTACTATACAATGACATCCTTGACGTGCTGATTGATCAAAATAATATCGCCGAAAGAGGCTCTGCCACGGTATGGTGTTTGGTAAGTCCACTTGAATCCAACCAATCCCATCATAATGAACATCTTACCTTATGATATTTCTCAATAGCATCATTGCCTCAAATAAAACCGTATCTCCATGTCATCCATATCATCTTGCTGCTGTTTCATTGTAAGGCACGTTAATTAAGTGGTCCTGCATTGTAGATCAAACACCATGCATACCATTGAGCCAACGTACAGCGTTCTTGCTTTGATATCAATGTCTTGTTGTTGCTGCCAGAGGTACCATCATACAAGGTATTCAAGCTGCAGTAAATGCAATGTAAGGTAACAAGGATAGTATTTGCTTTTCATGTCGACATACCCAAAGTAACAATGTGTTGGGACCTCTCCTTGATGACAACCATGGATAGAATACACACGACACACGACGACCCCTTTGGAACTTGTATAACGAGAGAACAGCAAACTACACGTGAACTTTAGAACCACAATGTCCAACTTGAATAATAAAGTAATGCAGCGATTGAACGTACATGTTGTATTGCAATGGAAGCTTGAGTCATGGGCAGATCGCGCGCGTACTTGCTGTTGAATGCCTGCAGCTGGAAAGTGTCGCCATTGACCACATGTTCACCCCAATGAACGCTGTACATTGTAAGGAATGCCAGCAATTAGCGCGTTGTAGTTTGTAAATGGAGACAAGCTTACCTTGCTTTGTGAATTGGGGGCGAAGAAAGGGCTCGTTGTTGCTCCTCGCAGTGTTCCCGATTTGTGCACCACACGCCACCCCGCTTGCTACAGTTACTGTTGTGAATATGTGCCCCACAATTATAGTCTATACACTTGGGTCAATAATAACGACCATTGCTGGATCTTGTAACTAAGCCATACATCATTTTACTCTAGCGGGATCGGCATCCATCAGGTCCGTGCACACCAGTGCAGATCGGCTCCTGGATTTATGCAATCAATCCATGACTTCCCTACCAAGCATACAAAATACTCCTGAATAAATCCATTGTCATTGTCATTGACATAATGAAAAGACCTTTCACGATTGCATATTGTTTGCGTACTCGCTAAAACCAACGTCATTTATTTATACAATAACCTGTCAATGACTCGTATATGTAACCATCACGTGCCATGCCATGTAGTTCTTCATTTTGTATGGTAGATGGGTAGTCTATCGTTTTCACGTCATAGATGTTCAACGCATGCACACACAAGAACTAGTTACGTCTACTCATCGAAAAGAAATCCAACGCTCCTACATCTCTTGTTGGTCATTATCATTGTTTGCTACCTGTGGATGACGATGCCGGTACTGCAATTGGCCATTGATTTGATGAAGCCGTTTTCTTAACCACATCATCACTATCTCGGGGTGGTATCCTTCTTGATTTACGAAATTGGTGATCATATCCCCTTCAATTATCTGCTCCCGAATATTCTCATACACAGTATGAGCGTCGTTGATGTTCAAGTCGTTCAAGTGTTGTCGGAGCTGTAGTTGTTGACCAGCATGTTCAAGAGCAACACCACCTCCAAAGGGAGCTCCGATCCGCTGCCGTTGCTGGTATCCTTTTGCTTGGATAAATTTTCTCAGACACTGATCAAGCGTTGTGGGTGGGTGTTTATCTAGATATTCCAAGATAAAGTGATGCATTTTTAAACCCACTTTTATGTTGCATTCCATTAATAAGCGAGCGATTGTTTCTTCGTCGTAGTAATTGGTCAGTAATTGGTGGAGATGATCAAAATTCATGATATAAGCCGCGGCTATCAGCATGAAGTCATGCATCGGAGGGAAAGGATTGTCAGGATCAAGCCCTCGGTAATAACGCAAAGCAGGGTCAAGCCGTCGAGCATGCTGTGTAATTGTGTGCACCACGAAGTTATCAATGGCTGTAGATAATACTCTTGTTAACAGAGCACGAAAGGATTCAGGTATACGATCTTCTTCAGGCTCTTGGAACGGATCGATATAGTTATTGTCGTTGAAGCGTTGCGTTATCCAGGTTTTAACAGCCGATATAACGGATGGTAGTACTTGAAGGTCTCTTCCTTGTCGATCAATAAGTGCTTCTTCAATGTGAGTTAATGTAATCGGCGTATTGGCTCGTAGCCATTGCAACTCGTTGTGCTGTTGCTGTTGCTGTTGCTGTTGCTGTTGTTGCTCTTGCTGCTGCTGCTGCATCATATAACTTCAAGAGAGAGATTACAGATTTATCACATTGAAAAATAATTTTGTCATAGGTCAGATTGCATTTTCTCACCAAAATACTCAGCTTAGAAATGATATCATTCTATCACTCAAACATCACCTCTTGTCAAATGATCCACTCTCCGGGAGCAATTGACAAAACGTCAGGAGTTGAGCTGCTGTATTGACGTGCACAGACCTGATAGATATTATCCCTCCTGGAGTAAAATAACGAACAACTTAATTACAAGGATGAGTATCATTTATTGAGGTTCTAGTGTACAGGAATTGTTGTGGTATATTTATCCACAGCGGTAGCTGTAGCGAGCGGGGATTGGGTGGAGATGCATAAATCAGGAACAAGAGAGAAACGATGAAGAGTCTTCTTCTTCACTCTGCTTCACAGAGCAAGGTAAGCTTGTGTCCATCTGAGATCAACGAATGACTTTATCTTAAAACACCCTTTCGAGCCATCTACAATCACGAGAAGGGATACAACGGGCATGATATTGAGAGTAAACAAAAATCACTCTAATGGGGAGGATAATAAATCGATATGGGATAAAGGTGAATGGGTGCGTATAAAGTAGCACTTTATGCTTGGTGTTCAAAACATATATGCTTGACTGGTTACATGAAAGATGATGTTTGGACATATACTCTCTAACGACACTTAGGCATGATCCATCAGGGCGGATTTCCTTATGTCATGCCGAATTAACCTTTGAAATCCCGACAGCCTTACACACTGAAAAACTTCACAAAGTCGCGCTTTTTATGGACATCTCCTTCCTCGTGCTCTCCTCATTGCTTTTTCCCCGACAACCTGAACCGCGCTACAATCTACTGAGCACCTTGCAAATGGACACGAGCAACGTTCACAAAGTATTCTTGTCAATTGGTTCGACATCGCTGGCACCAAAACACTACTTGGCACGCGTGCAGGTAACGTTATCACCTTTTTCAGTCAGCCCAACTTTATTATTGACTGCAACACCCCACCTCATGCTTCGTTCCCTTGGAAACCGAAACGAGCTAACGTATAGCAGAGACACTCTCTTATCTTGCGGTTCATACAATATCCAAGCACAATGGAGGTACCTTTTCTACAGTTTCTTGACATACACGGATGATTATTAAGGGCACTTTTCAACCTACCCAATACAACGCGATTACGGCACACGAGTACAACAAAGACAACGACAAGTGAGAGGGTTATTGTCAGCTACTTTATCCATCATTGGCGTGGTAGTCGCGCATTGGCTGGGATAGATCAATTATCGTTGTAGTATCCGATCCATTCTTCGAGTTGGTCATAAAGCTCCTGGTTGGTGTTGTCATTTGCAATCTTCCTTTGAAAAAGGCACTGGGAATGGGACATGGGAGTGGATGCTTGGTGCTTCGATGGTGGTATGAGGGATGATGATGACGGGGATGGGGATGTTGATGATGGATGGGAACGTGTGTGTGTATGGATGAGAAGGATCGCTGAAAAGGTTATTGGCGTTGCTGTGCAGGACTGTAAAAGCAAACCATGTACGTACATCCTTCGACAAAAACAAACCAAGTACGTACATCGTTCCACAAAAGCAAACCATGTTCGTACATCCTTGAACAAAAGCAAACCATGTTCGTATATCCTTGGACAAAAGCAAATCATGTACGTACAGCCTTCGACAAAAGCAAAACATGTAGGTACTTTGTGTGAGCCAAATCGGGATGGTGTGATGCGTGATACAAACAAATGATGCAGATTAGGGTGATACGCTGTCCGCTATTTACATAAGTCGGCAAAACAAGCTATGTACACTCCATCTTGTATTTATTTTGTTAAGGTTGTACCTTGTACGTTAATGCTTATAATGAAAGGTACGGGTAACTGCTGGATAATCTCCATGTACCTTTGGTTTATGTTGCAGTTGGGTATAGGAGGGATGCCCATTTGAGGGTTTTATTACGAGAACGGATGTTTTGCTTACATATCATTACAACCAATATGTAAAGGAAGAGAAAAAAGTTGTGTTTGTCTGCCTGTGTAGGCCTGGTGGCAATAAAGAGCGCGACTTCGAAGATTTTTCAGTGTGAAGGACTATCGGGATTAATTCGGCATGACATAAGGAAATCCATGGCATGAGAGTGATACAACACTTTCTCCATAGTTACACAATGTTCCTGCAGCCAACAATCCTATTCATGCTTTCCCAATGCTTTCTTTTGCGCCATAATCATAAACCCTTCCATACAAAATCGACGTTTACGAGTGAAACGATTCGGAACCGCTAGTATATCACTTAAGGGATCAAAGCAATCAAGTATACTGTTTCATTAGGATAACATATAATAACTATTGGCTACCATCATTGGTTTCATGCATACGATTCTGATACGGGTTTTGGATGATTCATAAACATACCTTTGTTTATCAACGCTCATGAATTAGCATGTGTCTTTTCAAGTTACGGCGCTGCGCGATGCGTTTACCACAGATTGGGCAATCAGCAGGTTGTGCTGACGGTGATCGGGCCGTTGATGGAGGCAATCTTGTTGGTGGAGGTCGGGTCGCTGGTAGAGGTCGGGCCGTTGATGGAGGCAATGTTGTTGATGGAGGCAATGCCGTTGATGGAGGCAATGTTGTTGATGGAGGCAATGCCGTTGATGGAGGCAATGTTGTTGATAGAGGCAATGCCGTTGATGGAGGCAATGTTATTAGTGGAGGTCGGGTCGCTGGTGCTGGTCGGGCCGTTGATGGAGGCAATCTTGTTAATGGAGGTCGGGCTGTTGATAGAGGCAATGCCGTTGATGGAGGCAATGTCGTTGATGGGTATGAATTGGGAAGCAACTCGGCCAACGCCTCAGATACGGCTTGTAGTCCACTTTCTCTTCTGATTCGTACTAAGTCTTGTAGCTCCTGAGATATATTTGACATGTGAAAGAAAGGAAGCTGAGCGTGAATTTGAATACGAGAAAAGGAAACAAGACAATGATTACGAAGGCCAAACTGATCAAGTAGAACATGAAGAGCAAAAAATGGATGGGTTGGATGTCTTTAAAGCCGTCATAAATATGGTTACGGTAAGACCTTCTTTTTCGCTTCCTTGTGTGTTTTCATTGCGATCACTGACAATGAAAACAGCAGGGAGAGGGGATCTGGGAGTATACTAAATGAAGAGGACATCCCTTCCTTCTTGTTTCTACGCCTCACAAACACACATACACATTCACACCTAACCAACACATCCAGCTGTGAATTATTAGCCGTTTATCTGTAACGTATAACTTTTGCTATGGATGTAGAGTCAACCTTGAATGCGAAGGGGTTTGTGGAATATAGGCTTGAATGTCCTTTCAGGGCTATCCAAGTCGATGGTTGATTCGTTTAGTAGAGTATAAAGTCGATCAGAGAGCTTGTCATTGTCCTTCAATACTTCTCCCGAAGAGTCGTCTTGTATAAAGAGGCAATTGAGACATCGACCTGGAACGCAAGATAGGCAATGTATTCCCGGGCCGTAGGGTGTAACCCTTTTTCTCGCATATTCCCAGTACTAGAGAAATAAGGATCAATACCTTTCTCAATCCATCATCCCTAGTGTCACTTACTCTTGTTCTGATAATTGCTTTTGCACACAAATGATATCTCCCGTTTCAATACCAGATTCTTCAAAAGTGGATTCGATCTGAAGTGCATTGATAGTATACGGAGACTCCTCCTAATATGTAATAACACATAGCTTGCATTAATGACCTCCATACTGTAACACGTATTTGTACTTATGCATTATACACACCTTATAAAGAGCCAGAGGTATAGTAGAAGAGAAATGCGTCAAACATCGTATGCAATCCAAGACAGACTCAATCTTTCGATGCTTGTAAGCGTGCATGGTGCCTCGAGCGCTTTGGTTTTCAGTTAACCATCCAATACGTGTCCCATAAATAAAGTATGCGATACTTACTGTATTTCTTGGCTTTCAGGATCAAATCTTTTGATGAATAGAAGCATACGGTTGTCTTCCTTTGGTTGGGTGGAGAGAATGTCCTTTGAGAAATCGATAATATCATCATCCTGATCTTCTTCGTCATCGTCATCGGTCATGGTGTACAGCCACGGGTATGTAATCGAACTAGGCGCGAGATCAAACTCCTCAGTAAATTCGACATAAAGAGAAAGAGAATCACCAGTCATGTATTGCATCAATTCTTCCAACCCTATATTTACACCAATATTTAGAAGAAGCAACATTACCAAGATATGGTTACTTACTGGTATTGTTGTTGGCTATATTATCAATGCATCTCTCGGGACGAAACGTCTTGTTGCGTCGAGTAATCAGCGACCACAGCTTGATTTTTGAAGGAGGTAAACGGTATCTCTTAGCAATGTTGTCCTTAAAGTCATGGTACGCCTCGTTCTTTGGTACCGACACGGACATTGCCATAGGATCAGGCTGACATTCATTGATGATTCCATACTGCTTATTCATGAGGAACGAAGATGACGGATAAACCTACATAAATAAACATAGCATAATTGAATACTTGTTAGTAGCAAGGGAAGAGAGATCGGAATGACATACCTTTGCGTTCAAGTAGATTTGTTGAGTTTCTCGTCTTGTTTGTGCTTCAAGCCATCGCATGTCCCCTCCTTTCAATCGTTTCCCTATTCGTAGGTTTATATAAGGAGAGAGTATCATAAACACTATTAAAAACACGATACTTACATAGATGCTGCGGTATGTCACAGTTGTCAACCGCGTCCAATATATCGTCCATCATGCATTCACGGATGTAAACCAGCATATACGCATTGGAAGATCGTTGAAAACTCTGAGAATTTAAACGGCCAATTGATGCATGTTTTCCATAACTGTTTTCAAAGACATGATCGAGCGTAACACGTGTAACGCGTTCGTCGTCAAATTCTAGCCTACACCATGGTTCATTAGTTTCGTATACCAGTAATGGATCAATGCCGTATACATACCATGTCTCATTCTTGGTTGGTTTTATGAATGCAAAGTAGTGACCACTGTTCACATTCCCAGAATGCACAAGCACGCTATAAACGAATGAAGATATAAGCAAATGAGCTTGATTAGAGCCTCCCTATTCAACCTCTTACCCGTGTAATGCATAAGTATGTGACGATGATCGATCTGCATCTGGAGACAAATAAGGTTCCAAGTCGATCTTGAGAGGAAATTCATGCCGATTGTTGATCTATACGTATATACCAACCAGACAATTAGAATCTCATCATCCAACTCTTGCTCCTTTTTGTCGTTACCTTGACCATGGCATCCAGTCTCTTATCATGCTCGAATCGTTTGAGTTGCAGGTAGAGCACAGGTGGAAAAGATTCAAAGGTCACTCTTTTCTTTGCATCTTGTAATCCATAGTCTCCCGCCATGTACTTGTTGTCACCATCCATTATTTCCTCAGCCATATAATCATTGAAAGACTCTTCCAGGTCCTTGCATCCTTTGACGTTCAATTGTATATCTGAAAAAGGGAAGCTTTAGTGATGTATTGACTTTCACCTATCAACTCTTTGTTTACCATAATAGTCTTCCGAATGATTCGACTGATAATCAACATTGATGCATCTGATATAGTTTGTCATCCGCCCGGCAAAAAGTCTTCGGATAGCACCATCCGCGAGAGTACCCTATGAACGAGGATTATTAGCATGAGCTTGAGTATGTAATACCTCGATCTTATTAGTATGTACCACCATCTTTTCTTCCAATTTGTCTTGAAGAAGGCGGTTGAACTCTTGAACATCTTGTTGTATCGACGTGTCAAATGAATCCCATTTAAAGGACTTTGTCACTTCCACAGTGTCTATAGGATTATGATATTAGTATTGGGCATGAAGAAGAATTATAGATGATGATATCGGCTTACCTACGGCGCTATTTGAGAATTGAAGATTGTGAAAGAGACGTTGCATCGATAGAGCAATGCTATCCATGGGATCGTCATTCTCGGTTGGGATTTGATAGACAGCTTTGCGAAATGCATTGGTGCAATAGAGCGATTGGAAGAGCGAATTCATGTAGCAAGTGGCACCTTGGTTCCTCAAACCCACAAATCCTATATGGTCGCTTGAATCGTGGCTAAAGAACAAAGTATGTCAAGGTACATACATACATCCTCGCTTGTATCCGATCCACTTACTTTTCAAAGTCTGACATCCATGATATACCCGTTGGATCACGCACCACATTGACAATGACCGAAAAGCGGATACGGTCGTTTTCCAAGAATGGTACTGGTACATGTTCATTATCGTGTTTGAAAGAGAGCAGATTTTCATGGGATAAAAAGTCGTTGAATCCCCAATCCTTGGAGTAACTCGAGAAACGACCCTGACCCGCTATATTCATGTGTAAGCGAAGGTACGTATATTCATTGTCATCACTTACATTTGCAATAATAGTTGGTTGGGTCGGACATGGATGATACAAGAATGACATATTGAGCGCATGCATGTTGATTGGGACAACAGGCTTCTTTGGCTTTGGTCAATTCGAGATACACGGATACACGAGAAACGAAACCCTGATTGCCTCGAGGAAATAAGAGAAGATTCCTATACGACAAAGTCAGATTGAATAGAAAACACATATCGATGTATATAATACCATTGATGACCACCTGCTTCAAACACAGGTCCACGCGCCTCGTGCGGTAAATTGCTCCAACCGTCGATTTCCCAGTGAAAGCACTTTTGCTCGATAGTATCCTCCTCCACAGGTATCATTTCCTCCATAGCGATCCGCTTGTCTATATACATCCAATGCAAAAGGATCAGGATCAGTGATAGACCCATCAATGTAATAATACAGTATATGGAACGTACCATCCTTCAATATTGACTTTCTTTGTCGCTTGTTTTCAGGCCCCAAAGTTGTCATGTTGGCAGATCCCCAATCGATAGGTTCAACAGTACGACGCGATTTACGTGGCTTACAGTTGTCATTGTCGCCGTCAGAGCCAATGGGCTGGGCATTGTTGTAAATGAGATTCAAGCTAGTCATTGTTGTGAAGCGTAATTGAGAAAGAAGCGAACAATAAAAGATAGCAGTAGCTGCATGATGTAACTGCAAGTTTAAAGTCAACACGGAAGCAATTTCAATTTATGATCACGCGTTACCGTATTTGTATTTCAATGACAGGACCATCACTTTGAAGCACCATCCCTTTGGTGTAACAGTTTTAGTGCGATGTCGTTTCCTTTATGACTCATCACTCTGAAATCATGAAACGAGAGGAAAATCAGCAGCAAGGCCTAAGTCTGAAAACCCTGCCAGGTGAATCGATGTGTAATAAAAAAGGGTCATCTATCCTAGTACATGTACCCAATGATCTGTTGTAGCTGTTGTATATAAAATGAAGGTCTCAAGAAAGGTCTCAATAGCACAATGTATAAAAGCCAAGGATCAAAGCTCGTTACACTATAAGAAAACATGCTCACACTCACAAGCAGGATCCCAAACTAGGTCACTCTGAAACAAGAAGCTCACTACTGATATTTATTGATAATGTGGGATATTTATATGTATTCTGATTAAGATTTGGGTTGCGAGAGGGATGGTGGTACTTGTGATCATTGTCAAAAAGATAGAATCAGCGAGGGGAAAATGGTCGAGTCTCTTGTCCGGGTTGCGGGGTCACGTGGTCATTGGCATCCTCCAGCATAACTCCAAGCTGTGGTTATCATATGTTCATTGTTGCTCTTGTGATATTCGAGTTTTATGTAAATATGACGATCTGCTAGGAGATTTGGTCCTGTTGTTCACTATGAGATGTTCTTTAAAGATAAGTACACACTTATTCAACGCTACTGTCGGCGAGATACCTACATGCTTCAATCTCGGCCGTTTTATCGTACGATCTTCATGTAGTAGCTGTAGTCGAGCATCAATAATTTCCCTTTTAGTTCTTCGGATAGGCATGGGATCGACGTCGAGTTGCATATCATCCACCAGCTCGTCTTCATACATATCGAAAGGTATTTGCGTACCTCGATGTTGGTCCTCTTCCCGTTCTCTTGCTCGTTCAGCACGAACTTCGGTCTCGGTTGGCTTACGAGCCAATATGTTGTGCAATTTCGATCTGGTTTGCAATTTCCAATGGGGCATTTTGCGATGTAAGAATTGCTGTACTTTGTTTACTTTGGCCCTTCTTTCTTGCTGTTGTTGCTGTTGTTGTTGCTGTTGGTTGATAACATCAGCTGCTGTGTCTGCTGCTTGATTGTTACTACTCGATGCTGAGGATTGCTGTGCCATTTAAGGAAGAGTTACGTCAACAAATCATCTCCTTGACACCCCGATTTATTTCAAAAGGAGGGGATTCCCACCGCAAAAAGGGAAAGAATAAATGGCGCTGTATAACAATCACTCTCAGGGCTTGAAACGAAAAAATAACAACACACATTCCTTTTCTATCCATCTCTCTTTTTAATAAAGAATATGTCTTGAGTTATTTTGGTGCCACAAACTCAAAAAATGAAATCGGAATGGCGAGCTCGAGACAGAAGACCTTCACGACCACAAACAATCAAAGTAATGACAGACGTTGAAAGAGACCAATGTACGGCATAGTGTTTTAAAGCTTGTATTGTATGAGTAACGAGCAATGCCAAAATCATTCATTTTGAGTAATGAAGCGTCATCTTGAACGACAGAAAAGAAAAGAGAAAAGAGGAACGCTCGGCAAATCAATGAGAGTAAAGGAGAAAAGAGTAACCCAAAAATTCAGTGTAGCTGACAAAGTGGCATGATAACCAAAAAAGATCTTATCGTGCTGACGCCATGCAAATATAATGCAAGTGCTTTTCAAAAGAGAACTCACATACACAATTTTATTATTACTACTCTTTTCATGATGATGGATACCGAAGTTGATCAGATGGTGACGATGATGATGATGTTGCTGTGGGAGGTTGCTGTTGCTGTTGTTGTTGTTGTTGACGCTTAGCCATGGCATGGTAATTGGCTGCTGATGCAATAATCGGTAGTAGCTCTGGGGGCAAAGTACTCAAATGATTACCTATGGTCTCAAGAGTCGCGTGTAAATCTGATGGCAATCCTGGTGGATGGTGATAATGTTGTTGGGATGATGGTGATGGCTGTGGTGGTGGTGGATGTGGATTGTATCCATCATTGGGATGGTTAAAAGATACACTTGATGATGGGGTAGGGTAGCCAAATGTATTGTGCTGATGATTATAGATGGGCTGTGTAGATGCCCTCCGCTTCTTTTTACTTTGTGGAGATGTCATGGAAGTAGCAGGTGGGTGTGATCGTGTGAAAAGTGGACGACGACCTGGTAGAACGTGAAAGGATGGCGTTGCTGGCATTAAACCTCGACCTGGTATTTCAAGTTGCTGTTTTGATTTAAATCTTGCATTGCCACTACTTTGCGTGCTCCCACCCTGTCGATTTCGCTTTTTGATGCCATCCGACTTGAGACTAAGAGGACGTACAACACCATGCAACTTGTAAAAGAGTCCACACGCATTGCATAAAGGCTGCCCTTCAGGATTCCTTCTCCATAACGGTGTAGTGGTGGTATCACAATTGCTACATCTTGTTCGATCTTGTGGAAAGGTTGCTTTACGTTGTTGACGACCACTGTTGGTCAAAGCTGGTGAAGATGCTTGATGATTGTTGTTGTTGTTGTGGGTAGTAGTAGCAGTAGCAGTGGTGCTGTTATTTTTCTCCAATGCATCAGCTGATGATACTGTTGATGTATTATCAACATCTATGCTTTGCAAACTAAGTAACCCCAAAGCATCCAAAGGTGGTTCCCAGGATTGTTGTTGGTCTGGGTCACAAAAAGACACAAGATCACCCAAGCTCATGCCGCTCCCGCTCGGATTTATGCCGACTGCCGTTGTTGTGTGGGGAATCTCAGCCGTTGTTTCAGGATGTGGGATGGTCATACTCGAAAAAGAAGAAGTTTTTGGAATGGCATGTATGTCAATGTGAGGATGCGTTATGGTGGATGACGTAAAATTAGGTATATGCTGTTGATTAATAGCAGCTGTGAGGGTGGGGTGATATTGTGCTGGTAAAGATGTATGATGATGAGCCGACTTCGATGAGAGCATTGTTGATTGACTTAGTTCCTGGTTTAAATATGTTTCGGTCACTGCCAAGTCATTTTCCATTGTATGCGGGATCACCATTGCTTGAGAACAACGAGGCTCAGCATGATCATCCTGTAAAACTTTATGCTTTAGCCTTCATCTTGTTTCATGTAATCCATATCTTTTTAATCTTACACGTCGCTTATCCTCGTCAGTGGTTGTTGTAGATGATGACGCACGTGAACTTCCTGAAACCATGACGTTCCACGTTGGCTCATCCAATGGCTCTAGACTATCCCGTAAAAGATCCATGATATAAGGTGGAGCTGACGATGATAACAAAGCTACGGTGTTATCAGCTTTTGGGGGTGAATTGTACAACTGTGGCACATCCATGGCTGTCGTTGCTGTCGTTGTTGGTAATTGCTGCTGTTGTAATACATCGTCTTGGTCAACATGCATGGCATCATCCTTGTGCTGCTGCTGTTGCGTTGCCTTTTGTTTTGTTGCTGCAACAAGTGCATCATGGTTGGCTTTTAAGGTCATGGTCATCATACGCCACATAAGGTTTTCCATGCGATCGGCATGTGGCAACGAATCTTTTGCTTTTGTGTACATGCGCCATATGTTGGTTGATAGAGAGTCGTCTTTGTTACTGCTATCAGGAGTTTCTGGAAACAACGGTTCCGAAAGCAGCTCGTCAAGGTGTTTATTCATGGTTGTATCGCTGACGAATGAGAAGACATGTATGGGTGGGTGGGGTATCAAGTATGCAACGGTTTACAGTAGATAGATAGGTGGTGAAGAAGACGCTGCCGTGAAGAGTAGGGAAAATGAGAAAAAGGGGCGAAAGCCTGCTTGACGAATGTGCGTGCGTCTTTTTTATGTTCCAATAAACCAACCGGGATCCACTTACCTATTTGGTGTGGGGCCACGAATGCCATGATTAATGCATCGACACCAGTAGTAGATGGAGCTACACGCACCTTACCAGCAAACAAGTGCCGTATAACACACATTTATGATGGACTATATATCTTGTACACTTGCATTGAGCTTTGAACTCATACATAACAACCCTTTTCAATATACACAATCTTCGTTTTAGCAGGTGATGGTGGTGGTGATACATATGTATGTATGTTATAAAAGTACATCAACAACACGTCAGCAATGCAGTAGATGTTTAGAGATCCATCAGCGATGATGTAGATTCCAAGCTAGCTTTTTATATCATTCACATACAACTATTTACAAAGGATTACAACTATGCATGGTAACCAACAGCGGAGACATTGTAGCAACGTGGGACAAAGAAGTTGCCATATGTAATGAATGCCAATCCCTGGTAAAAGACGATCCAAGATAATGTCTCCATGTGATTTACTCTATTTACACAAAAAAAAAAAGTAGTCGAAATCAACAACCATGTAGATCACTCATCCCTTGAAACAAGCCATGCAAGCTTGTATATGTTTTATTCGTCGTGAGCATATGATATTGATATAGTGCGAATCAGAAAACCACTTTCCGCTTTCTTTAGCTTGTCTCTTTTACACTTTTTGTTTCTCGAGTCTCCTCCCAGGCACACACACAAACGCGCCCACATATGATCCTCATATCCTCATCGCAACGTCATCCGGTGGTGCTATTGTACTTGTGTCTCATTGCACTTGCGATCGTCTTTTTTATTCCTTTGGTGTGGTACAGCAGCCCCTCATCGTCGAAGGCTCAGCATGTGTCCTTGGATGACCATCCGAATCTACGACAAGAGCATGGTGTGGCATCAATACCAGCATGGCAAAACAGCACACGCGCCAAGGCAGCTTTTGTAATCTTGACAAGGAACAAGGAAGTCGACGGCGTACGGCAGGCTATGCGACAACTTGAAGCGCGTTTCAACCACAAGTTCAACTATCCATATGTCTTTTTGAACGACGAGCCATTCACTGAAGAGTTTAAGCATCTCACAAGCAGCCTTACATCAGCCGAGACAAAATATGGTATGCGAAGGGTCATGGTCAGAGAGCGTGCATTGTGTTGATACGGGCATAATAATAGGATTGATCCCTGTTGAGCATTGGAGTGTCCCAAGTTGGATCGATGATGAAAAGGCCGCCATGGAAAGGAAAAAGATGGAGGAAAATGATATTCTATATGGTGGTAGCTTAGCGTATCGCCACATGTGTCGGTAAGAACAAGCGCATGAATGACAACAAATGGCGATCAGGGCTCTGACCATTGACTTGTACCGGGCATAATAGGTTCGAGAGCGGATTCTTTTATCGACATCCACTGATGGAGGAATATGACTATTACTGGTACTTACTTAAAATGCGGTTATCATGGATGGATGGCTTACATGGATATTAGGCGTGTCGAGCCAAACGTGGAGTTTTACTGTGACCTGGATTATGATCCTTTCTTGTTCATGCAAGAGAACAATAAAAAGTATGGTATGTATTATTCCCCTTTCCGCTACTTGATATCTTATCAAAGGACGGCGGCTAATATGATATAGGCTGGACCATTGCCTTGCTGGAGCTCGAATCCACGGTGCCTACATTATGGTCGACCGTGAAATCGTTCATGAAGGAATACCCAGAGCTCGTTCCCAAGAATAACGTCATGGACTTCGTATCAAATGATGGTGGCTACTCGTACAATCTATGTCACTTTTGGAGCAATTTTGAGATTGGTGACCTGAACTTCTTACGAGGCGAGGCGTATTCAACGTTCTTTGATTACCTTGACAAGGCTGGTGGTTTCTTTTACGAAAGGTAACAACGTGGTTTGGGGAAGGAAGACAACAATGGATAGGTGTTCACACAATGAATGCTATGTACTTTTAGGTGGGGAGATGCTCCTGTACATTCCATTGCCGCATCACTCTTTTTATCAAAAGACGAGATCCACTTTTTCGATGACATTGGCTACCGACATGATTCATTCATGCATTGTCCCATGGCGCGTGAGCTTCAAAAGAAATGCCATTGCGATGCACAAGACACTTTTGGTAGGTGGATCACCCAAAGGCAATAGCATTTGGATTAACCCTCGTTCCTTCATATGTAGACCTCACGTCAAATTCATGTTATCGACGATGGATCAAGATTGATAGCTGATCACCTTCACCTCCTATGACTGCGTGTAGATATGGATATTAGATTTCTCATACAATAAGCATTTTAACCACATTTCATTCCTTGATAAAAGCGTGCTGTTCTGCCGAGGATTTCTGTACAATTGATGATGGTTACATAGCTTTTCATGGTGCACACACTACATAATACCGCTGATTTCAGATGTCGGACAAGGGGCCATGAGCATACTTTCACCCACCGATACTATACATAGCACATGATGGCGAGCTTCGATGATGATGGATCGCTCTTTTACATTGTATGAGGCAAATTATTACAGGTGATGTGATTCATGCGTGTATATGTATCCAAGTGAGCAAGACGTAAAAGTCACGCGGGAAGGCATTGAGTTCAATGACAGAAAAAGCTTGTAGAAATTAAACGCCGTGCGCTTTTAGAGTTTTGGGTATCCAGGTGACAATAAAAATGACCACCAGATGACTCGACAGAAAAAAAGGGCCGTTGATCGCGTGATCAGTGGGAGTAAAAATCTATGCCGTGCATATAATAGATGAACATCATGCGTCGGTATGCGAACATTGTGTGCATTCCGTGACAAAACAGGGATGGCCTGCATACAATATCGTGTAACCGACGATGCCTATAGTGTAATTACGACGCGTTTTGCCAAGATGGAAATAAGGTATTGTAATTTTATATACGTAATAGATATTGTGCAGGCCATGCTGCAATACAAAGGCAGGGTAAAAAAGAAAGGTGTTATTACAGAGTGTACAATCTAAGGGGTAAAGATGCAATAAAAATAGTAGAAGACTTGTGTATTTGTAAAGAACAAAGAACGACAGGCTTACTGACCGACTTGTCCAGTGGCCGAGTAAACAAAGAAAAGAACCCAAGCAACAATGAAAGCCGCCAAAAAGAGACCCATGAATACATAGTTGATAGGCTTGGGGCGAACGTTTTCGTACGAGTCGTGGCCTTGCTTGATGCGTTCGACTTCGGCGTCGTTCTTTTCCTTCATCATAGCCATACGCTTGGTGCGACTGGTTTCCAAAAGGTTGTTGAGGTAGAAGTATTGGGTGACCAACAAGATGGTAATAAGGACAAAACCAATGGCAGCCAAGACAATGTAGAGCAACATGACACCTATAAGGGAAGATGAGACGTTAGGTATATAGCCATTAGTGCAAGCATGTATTATAGTATCATACCAGTGTAAGCTTGGCCGGCAGTGTTATCTTGTACAACACCAATGATGATATCGAGAATCGAGGTACCAACTACAGGGATCAAGATAATGTCGCGTGAGTCATGAGATATCGAAAACGATTGCATGACAATAAATGTTTGATACTTACTGTTGTTGGATGCCTTGTACATGCCAAGACCTGTACCAATGTAATCGGATGGCAAGATCATACCAATAGAGGTGATCATAGCAATAGGGCCAAAGGCAAGAGAGATACTGTAAAACACCATGCCTACAACGGCGTTGACATAGGTCCATCCCAAGAGAGCACAGCTCAAAATCAAAAAGATGGCCGAAATAAGCACTATAGAGTATACTGTGAGCTGAACGCCGCTAATCGGGTCAAAGTAATGACGATGATGTACTTACAAACAATAATACGGCAGCCGAAAAGATCCATAATCACGCCCAAGACCGGAGTAGCGACGATCGGAACAACTTGGGACGCGCTAGCTTTATAACCAGCAAGGACAGCGGTAGTACCAAAGTGCACTTGAATGAGTTCAGTGCTAATGGTTTGGAAGGATGACCATACAGCGGCATAGATGAATTCAATAACAATGATACCCCAATAGAATAAGGGGAAACGAGCCACCGAGCGAAGCTTGAATGATTTCTTGGCCTTGAGTTTCATCACATCATTCTTATTCAAGACGTTATTGCCGCTCAAATGTCGCACAACCAACGCGTAAATGATGTTCATCACCATGGAGAAACCACAAATGATAAGAGCAAGCCAAAATGGCCATACCCAGTCACCGGTTTCTTGGGCGACAGGATTGGAAGCGATTGTGCCGAGGAAAGAGGCGAGACGGCTGATAGAGAGTTGCAAACCAATGGCAATGGATAAACTTTGTGTACGGAACCACTTGGACAACAATGATTCTTGCATGGTAACAATCAAGCCACTACCAATACCGAAAACGACACGGCCGACAACCATAAGAGGGAAAGAAGTGTACTTGGCACCAAGAGCAGTCAACAAGCTACCGATAATGACAAAGATGTTGACGACGATGGTACCCCAAATAGAACCAAACATGTCGATAAAGATACCACCAAGAATGGGAAAAACGGTATTGATGATGCTCACAGAGCTACTCAAAACACCATAACGGGTATTATCGATACCGAGATTCTATGTATGTTCATATTTGTGTGAGAAAAGCGTGACCAAGATCAATCTTTTTACACACTTACAGTCTTCAATTCAGACTTAATGGCAGCAAGGGCAGTGGCAGAAAAATGTGATCCGACTATGTTTGGGACATGTTAAGAGGTCATCATCATAATAAAACAACATGGGTCAATAACGTACTAGGAAGCATGAGTGCCGTAGCAAGGGCAATCAACTTGAATTGCCATGATGCGTTGGCAAGTGCTGCATCACCACCGTTGGCGTCGTCGTTGTCATGATCTTCTCCTCGCTCGATTGGATCAGGGGTGTTATCTTCCTTGTCGATGGAAGCATCAAGCACCTTTTCTTCAACGACGTGTTTTTCCATGGGGGAGGTAACAGCTGAGCAAGTTTGGGAAAAAAGGCAGGAAGTGGAAAAGCAGGAAACAAAGGATGACTTTATAAAGGCAAAAGAGACGGATGAAAAAGTTGAATTTTTTATCAGATCGTTGTGCAAGGAACGAATAACCGGTGACACACCACCCTTGTACACGATATATCTGATTGGGCCGCCATGGTGTATGGATTTCTCAGTGTCTCATCAAGATTTCATGTGTGCGTGTGTGTGTGTGTGAGCGTAAAAGATAAAACGATTGAAGAGTGTTGAATGGGGTAGATTATTACATGCACCAAACATTCAAGGTGTGAAGGTGTGTGTGTGAATGATCAAGGTCATTAGCTCTGTAAATGGCGATATTGTATGAGGAAGGAATTATCAGATGGCGGTAACTATAGATCCGAACTAGCAAAAGATCAAAAACAGGCCAAAAGGGATAATGAGAATGTCTTAGCGGAGCGTGTGGGGGATAAAAACCCTGCTTTACCAGGAATCATAGGAGCTTGTGCTCGCTGTGGCGACTGACTTTGTAATGGTTACACCGTGTAACTGTCCTATTCGTCTCACACATGTGCTCCAACCACCCCGGTCGTTAAACAAACGTGAGCCCTGTTACCCACTGTACTTTGGAAAATACAACAGCTGAGACAAGCGAATACCCCCTTTGTGTGTTCAATGATAAAATTTACACAGGTCCGTGCAATCCTTGGACCAACATTGTAGTTTTTCAAAGGTCGACACGACCACTTTTTATTCAAAGACCCTTTACGAATAAACATGTCATGTCTTTGAATGAGGGACAAAGCACCGACAATTTGGGTAAAAGCCGCTTCTTACACTATTGAGAGCGTGCCCCAGATCAGTTTGGATCTTTGCTTTGGGAGATACCAACGTTGCGGTGTTTAGCTGTGATCTTTGCGGTGCTTTTTTGCCTTGGATCAAAGAATTCCCATCATTGTCTCCTTCACTCATGATACAACGAACCATAATTTTATACTGCGAGCTTTATATACATATACATAATACTATGAGTGTGATGCAAATTTCTTGATAGCCGATATTAACTCGGGGAATCGTAAAGGTTTTGTTACATATTCATCCTAAAGGAGGATCCATTAGCAAACACGTTATAAAGAGTGGATCATGATAACGATCAACTTACCATTCCTGCATTCAAGCATTTCTCTCTATCGCCAATCATGGCGTGTGCTGTAAGCGCAATAATGGGAATATGTGCATCCGTGCCAGACATCCTTTCAATCTCTCGAATCTTTTGCGTTGCTTCAAATCCACCCATAACAGGCATTTGTACATCCATCAAGATCAGATCGAATGCATGCGATTGATAAGCCTCCACTGCCAGCTGGCCATTGGATACAATCTTAACTTGATGACCAAACTTCTCCAGGATACGTACAGCCAGCTTTTGGTTGACAATGTTGTCCTCGGCTAAAAGGATTTCGAGCGATGAAGATTTGGTTGCATCACCTGGTAGAGCAACATGGTTCTCGAGTGCTGGTAATAGAGCATGAGCAAGATCGTAAAGATCGACAGGCGAGTTGAAGCAGCTTGTGATGCCAAGATCAATGCATAATTTCATGTTGAGTTTGTGTGTCTCGGGAGTGATCAGCACAATAGGCGTAAAGCGTAGGTGTACAATCTCGCGGATACGCTCAGCGTGTGCCATCTTATCAATCACAAGGGTATCAAACAATGGAGCATGGCTGTTACGCTTCGTTTGGTTGCTCTCGGCTATCTTGGTGGCTTCCTCGACGCTGTTCACCTTAATAGGCGTGAGACCGAGCTGAGATATGAGATCGACAAGGTTGCATTGGCTATCAGCTGATTCGAGGTAAAGGATCTTACGACCTTGGAAGCGTGTCATCTTTTCACGAATCTCTTGTTCTCGTGTATCATGTCCTCGTAAATTGACGGTAAAGTAGAAATCGGATCCACGGCCATACATTGATTCCACCCATAAGCTACCACCCATCAATCGTACAAAGTGCTTGGAAATAGAGAGACCTAAGCCCGTACCACCATATTGACGTCTACGGATCAAAAAGGTTAATAAACATTGAATCAATCAAGAAACAAGCTGAATACTTACGTGATACCACCATCTGCTTGAGCAAATGTATCAAAGATAGCATCCAATTTGTCCGAAGGAATACCAATACCAGTATCACTGACACAGAATTCAACCTTGACATCATCACCCTTCATCTCAATGGCACGCGTCTTGAGGACAACCTCGCCATGGTTTGTGAATTTGACAGCATTGCCAATCAGGTTGGTGATAACTTGACGAAGGCGGAATGGATCACCCACGAGCTGATCAGGGATGTTGCTATCGACATGGTAGATCAAATCCAGCTTCTTTTGGTTTGCTTTGACAGCCAACGTCTTGAGTACGCTAAAGATAGCTGAGCGTAAAGAGAATGGAATGGATTCGATTGTCATTCGACCCGCTTCAATCTTGGAGATATCGAGAATGTCGTCAATGATGGTGAGCAAGCTATTGGCCAAGCTGGATACGATCATCAAATTTTCACGTTGTTGTCGAGATAATTCGGTTTCAAGAGTGAGCGATGTCATGCCGATAATGCCGTTCATGGGCGTTCGAATCTCGTGACTCATGTTGGCTAAGAATTCACTCTTGGATCGATTGGCTAATTCAGCTGCTTCCTTGGCATCTCGATTCTTTTGAATAGTGTCACGCAAAAAGCCCACCATTTGATTGATCTTGGTCTTAAGCGAATCCATTTCACCCGATGCTTCAACAGTAATCAAGCGTGAAAAGTCATTCTCCGTTGCTGATGCTGAAATTTGTGCAAATGCACGCACTTGGGTAGTAAGATTGGATGCCATGGTATTGACGTTGCTGGTAATCTCGCGCCATACACCTTCCACATCTTCTACTTCAGCTTGTACACCGAGCTTGCCTTCTGTACCCACTTCACGAGCCACACGTGTTACTTCGGATGCAAACGAATTGAGCTGATCCACCATGGTATTGATAGTATTCTTGAGCTCGGCAATTTCACCATGCACTTCGACCTCGATCTTTTTGCTCAAGTCACCTTGTGCAACAGCTTTACACACAGCAGCGATAGCACGGAGTTGATCTGTCAAATTACTTGCCATCAAGTTGACATTGTCCGTCAAGTCCTTCCAAGTGCCATCCACGCCAATGATCGTTGCTTGGCCACCAAGTTTTCCTTCAGTGCCTACTTGTCGAGCCACACGAGTCACCTCGGCTGCAAACACTCGCAATTGATCCACCATAGAATTGACAGTGTTCCTAAATAAAGAAAAGATTAGTATCACTTTGCATGATTTCATCTCAAAACACAAAATATACATACTTGAGTTGAAGAATCTCGCCTTGTACCTCGACCACAATCTTTCGAGATAAATCACCCTTGGCAACAGCAGTCGTAACAGTGGCAATGGATCGTACTTGAGTTGTGAGATTGCCGGCCATCATGTTGACATTATCCGTCAAATCCTTCCACGTTCCTGCAACGCCTTGTACAATGGCTTGTCCACCAAGTTTGCCTTCTGTACCCACTTCACGAGCCACACGAGTCACTTCAGTTGAAAAGACACGAAGCTGATCCACCATGTCATTGACGGTATTCTTCAAATCCAAAATCTCGCCACGAGTCTCAACATCAATCTTCTTTGATAAGTCACCATTGGCTACAGCTTTGGTCACTTCGGCAATAGAACGCACTTGTGTAGTAAGGTTGGCTGCCATCAGGTTGACATTTTCAGTGAGCTCATTCCATGTACCAGCAACACCTTGTACAATGGCTTGTCCACCAAGTCGTCCTTCGGTGCCCACTTCCTTTGATACACGTGTTACTTCGGATGCAAATACACGCAATTGATCCACCATGTTGTTGACGATATTCTTAAGCTCAAGGATTTCACCGCCACTTTCAACTTCAATCTTTTTGGATAGATCACCCAATGCAACAGCCTTTGTCACCTCCGCAATCGATCGTACTTGGTCTGTAAGATTCGCTGCCATTTGATTCACATTATCTGTCAAATCCATCCACGTGCCAGCAACACCTTGAACCACAGCTTGTCCACCAAGCTTGCCTTCGGTGCCCACTTCCTTGGATACACGTGTCACTTCGGAGGCAAAGATACGCAATTGATCCACCATGTTGTTGACAATGTTCTTGAGCTCGAGAATTTCACCACCACTCTCAACTTCAATCTTCTTGGATAAGTCACCCAATGCAACAGCCTTAGTCACTTCGGCAATGGATCGTACTTGACTCGTCAAGTTGGCAGCCATTTGATTCACGTTATCGGTAAGATCCATCCACGTGCCATCAACATTGGGTACAGAGGCTTGACCACCAAGCTTGCCATCCGTGCCCACTTCCTTTGCCACACGAGTCACTTCAGCTGCAAAGACGTTGAGTTGATCCACCATGTTGTTGACAATATTCTTCAACTCCAAGATTTCGCCGCCACTCTCGACTTCAATCTTTTTGGAAAGATCACCATGGGCCACGGCCTTTGTTACTTCGGCAATAGAACGCACTTGTGCTGTAAGATTGGCAGCCATTTGATTGACGTTTTCAGTGAGGTCCTTCCAAGTACCAGCAACACCTTGTACAAGTGCTTGGCCACCAAGTTTGCCTTCTGTGCCAACTTCCTTGGATACACGGGTCACTTCAGCAGCAAACACACGAAGTTGATCCACCATGTCATTCACCGTATTCTTCAAATCCAGGATTTCTCCACGAGTCTCAACTTCAATCTTTTTGCTAAGATCACCATTCGCTACAGCCTTGGTTACTTGAGCAATAGAACGCACTTGGGTCGTGAGGTTGGCTGCCATGGTATTGACATTGTCCGTTAAATCCATCCATGTACCAGCGACACCATTGACAACAGCTTGGCCACCCAATTTGCCATCCGTGCCGACTTCTCGTGCCACACGTGTTACTTCAGATGCAAAGATACGAAGTTGATCCACCATGTTGTTGACAATATCCTTGAGCTCACGAATCTCACCACCACTTTCAACCTCGATCTTCTTTGACAAGTCACCCGATGCAACAGCTTTAGTGACTTCAGCAATGGATCGTACTTGCGTCGTAAGATTGGCAGCCATGATATTGACATTATCAGTCAACTCGTTCCATGTACCAGCAACACCTTGAACCACAGCTTGACCTCCAAGTTTGCCTTCGGTGCCCACTTCCTTGGATACACGTGTCACTTCGGATGCAAAGATACGTAGTTGATCCACCATGTTGTTGACAATGTTCTTGAGCTCGAGAATTTCACCTCCACTCTCAACTTCAATCTTCTTTGATAAGTCACCCAATGCAACAGCCTTAGTCACTTCGGCAATCGAACGCACTTGGTCGGTCAAATTGGCAGCCATTTGATTCACATTATCGGTAAGATCCATCCACGTGCCATCAACATTGGGTACAGAGGCTTGACCACCAAGCTTGCCATCCGTGCCTACTTCCTTTGCCACACGAGTCACTTCAGCCGCAAATACGTTCAATTGATCCACCATGTTGTTGACAGTATTCTTCAAATCAAGGATTTCACCACGTGTCTCGACCTCGATCTTCTTTGATAGATCACCCCTTGCAACAGCTTTGGTGACTTGAGCGATGGACCGCACTTGTGTGGTAAGATTGGCAGCCATCATATTGACATTATCGGTGAGATCTTTCCAAGTACCACTGACGCTAGGTACAATTGCTTCACCACCAAGTTTGCCTTCTGTGCCAACTTCACGTGCCACACGAGTTACTTCAGAAGCGAAAACACGCAATTGATCCACCATGTTGTTGACAATATTCTTCAATTCGAGGATTTCACCGCCACTCTCGACTTCGATCTTTTTGGATAAGTCACCATGGGCTACGGCTTTGGTCACCTCAGCAATCGAACGCACTTGACTAGTAAGATTGGCTGCCATTTGGTTCACGTTATCTGTCAATTCATGCCATGTGCCTGCAACACCTTGAACCACAGCTTGACCTCCAAGTTTGCCTTCAGTGCCCACTTCCTTCGATACACGAGTGACCTCGGATGCAAAGATACGCAATTGATCCACCATGTTGTTGACGATGTTCTTGAGCTCAAGGATTTCACCTCCACTTTCAACCTCGATCTTTTTGGATAAATCACCCAATGCAACGGCCTTTGTCACCTCCGCAATCGATCGTACTTGGTCCGTAAGATTCGCTGCCATTTGATTCACATTATCTGTCAAGTCCATCCACGTGCCAGCAACACCTTGAACAATAGCTTGGCCACCAAGTTTGCCTTCGGTGCCCACTTCCTTCGATACACGTGTCACTTCGGATGCAAAGATACGAAGTTGGTCCACCATGTTGTTGACGATGTTCTTGAGCTCGAGAATTTCACCTCCACTCTCAACTTCAATCTTCTTTGACAAGTCACCCAATGCAACAGCCTTAGTCACTTCGGCAATGGATCGTACTTGGTTTGTCAAGTTGGCAGCCATTTGATTCACATTGTCGGTAAGATCCATCCACGTGCCATCAACATTAGGTACAGAGGCTTGACCACCAAGCTTGCCATCCGTGCCTACTTCCTTTGCCACACGAGTCACTTCAGCCGCAAATACGTTCAATTGATCCACCATGTTGTTGACAGTATTCTTCAAATCAAGAATTTCACCACGTGTCTCGACCTCGATCTTCTTTGATAAATCACCATTGGCTACGGCTTTAGTGACTTGAGCAATGGATCGCACTTGTGTTGTAAGATTGGCTGCCATGGTATTCACATTATCCGTGAGATCTTTCCAAGTGCCTCCAACGCCATTGACAACCGCTTGGCCACCAAGTTTGCCTTCTGTGCCCACTTCACGAGCTACACGAGTGACTTCAGATGCAAAGACACGAAGTTGATCCACCATGTTGTTGACTGTGTCCTTGAGATCGGATATTTCACCACTCACAGTGACATGAATCTTCTTTGACAAGTCGCCATTGGCTACTGCTTTGGTGACAACAGCAATCGATCGCACTTGAGTTGTAAGATTGGTTGCCATGGTATTGACGTTGTCGGTGAGATCTTTCCAAGTGCCATCCACATTTGGTACCATGGCTTGGCCGCCCAACTTGCCCTCTGTACCAACTTCTTTGGCAACACGCGTTACTTCCAATGAAAATACACGTAGCTGATCCACCATGTTGTTGACAGTATTCTTCAAATCAAGGATTTCACCACGCGTTTCGACCGCAATCTTTTTGCTCAAGTCACCTTTTGCAACGGCCTTGGTAACTTGAGCAATGGATCTGACTTGGGTTGTAAGATTGGCTGCCATGGTATTGACGTTGTCTGTGAGATCCTTCCAAGCACCACCAACATCCTTGACAACAGCTTGACCACCCAATTTCCCTTCAACGCCCACTTCTAGTGACACACGGCGTACTTCGGCGGAGAATAGTGTCAGTTGATCGACCTGATATTAAAAAGTGTTATTAAACAAAATTCAAGATCCGCTCAGGGCGCACACACACAGCATCCTTGTAGCTATCCTTACCATCCGATTCATTGTGTTTTTGAGTTCAAGCACTTCGCCTTGTGCATTGGCTGTGACCTTTTTACTCAAATCACCCTTTGCCACTGCCTTGGCAACCACAGCAATATCTCGCACTTGATCCGTAATCTTGCGTGCCATAAGATTGACATTGTCTGTAAGATCCTTCCAAGTACCAGCCACATCCTTGACAACGGCTTGACCTCCTAGTATTCCTTTTGTGCCGACTTCGAGCGATATACGAGTGACTTCTGTTGCAAACGTTGACAGCTAGTAGTAGAAGAAGAGGGGTCTTGAATACGAGCATGTATTTCTTCACCAACCAACTTCTTGAAAAAGTACCTGATCCACCATGGTGTTGATGGTGTCTTTAAGTTCCAGCATTTCTCCGCGTACTTCGACAGTAACTTTTTTGGTGAGATCTCCACGTGCCACAGATTTTGAAACTTGAGCAATGTCGCGAACTTGGTTGGTAAGATTGTCGGCCATTGTATTAACGTTATCAGTGAGCTCCTTCCAGATACCATCGGCACCAGCAACCTTGGCTTGTACACCTAACTTGCCCTCGGTACCGACCTCATGAGCAACCCGTGACACTTCGGATGCAAATGTGTTCAGCTGATTGACTAAATAGAAAAATATAAGTATTCGGACAAATAAAGAGAGATCCCCCTGCATAAACAACAGCGAGCATTACCCATCGTATTGAAAGTATTCTTGAGTAATAATGTTTCACCTCTAACGGGCACCGTCATGGTCTTGCTAAGGTCACCACGTGCAATAGCAGTCGATACATCGGCAATATCACGCACTTGTTCCAAATGGCTTCGTGTCATGCTGTTCATATCCACCATCACTTCCCGCCATACACCCGACATTTGTGAATCACAGCGTGCCTGCACGCCCAATTTGCCTTTGACTGCTGTTTCATGCGTTACATACATAAGCTCATCTGTTACACGTTTCAAATGGCTGGCCATGGCATTGACGGCATTCTTGAGCGTGTTGATGGGAGCATTGGGAGATACGGTCGATGATGAAAAGTTGGCGGCACCAATACAACGTTCATGATTGCAAGTGACACGTTCATTAAGCTCGCCGGCAAAGATAGCGGATGATACCTTGACGGCTTGCATGACACAATCAGGGCAAACAATGTTATCCACACTACCAGAGGAGGATGGTGTTGGGGCTACGGTTGAGGTGAACAAGTCGCTGGCAAAGAAAACGGGGAAAGCAGTAGATCCAGGAGGTACAGTGAATGGGGGAGTCGGCATTGGAGAAGCATGGTTGGTGGTGGTCGTGGCGGTGGCGGCGGCGGCGGTGTCGGTGTTGTTGTTGTTATTGGCTAATGACAAAAAAGAGTAGTGTGAGATTTGGATTTAATAATAACATTACTATGAGCACTATGCCATGCCACTTACCGATACGATGAGTAGAAGAAAGCGATACAATGGGATGAGCGGCTGTTTGCATACGTTCAATCAAGGAAGCATCCTGAACTGTTGGGATACCATCCTCAGGTGTCATATGAGAGTCAGCTTGTTGTGTGGAATCCTGATTTGTTACTAGCATGGTGGATGATGATGATGATGATGATGTAGGGAGTGGTACAGTGTCTTCATCGTTATTGGTATCCTCGTGATGTTGGTCATATTCTCGGTCGTTTTGTTGGCAGGTGAGGAGCTGATGCTGTTGTTGGATAGCAATGCGATAACGTAGATTCTCTGTTTCTAGTTGAAGTTGACGTTGTGCGATATTCTTCAACGCTGCATCCAATGCTGTGGCAATCTCGGCATGTTTACTATCAAGCTGATCCAATGTATCAGGTGAAAGTTTGTTGCTGAGACATTGATCAATGCGGCCCTTATCAAGGCTGTGGACTACGTCCTGGATATACGACAGGACGGTGGTGCTCATATCTTGTTCAAGTGACGGTTGAGCAGTGGTCTTATCGTCGTCAACGGGGGAAGAGGTGGTAATGTTGGTGGTAATGCTGGTGGTGGAAGTGGTGGAAGTGGTGTTGATTGCAGTGTCTGTTAATGGGTCTGAGCAATGAGGTCGAGCGCAGATTTTCTTGGAGGTGTGTTTGCAATCCGTCGAGGAGGATGACCGTTTCATAAGACTGCCCCAAGATGCAAGGAAACGAAAAGAAAGTAGCTACAGCTCAAGTATGATACACACAAAGAAAGAAAAGAGAGAGAGAGCTGTTGTATCCTCAAAGAAACAAAATAGGTTGAACAAGAAAGAGATGTAAAGCTTGTTCCGCGTGGCGTGCCCTATTCTTTTTCATTGCCCTGTACCTCACCTCTTTTTTTTGGCGGGCAGCCAAAAGCGAAATGAAAGGTGAGCACCTCGCCTAACCACAAAAGGTACAGCATGCTTTACTTTTGTGTGCTCGCCCCGGCATCCGCTTCCGACACCACTTTCCAAACATTACAACCAAACAATCCTACTTTTTTGCTAGAACAATATTCTGCCCATTTGACATTTCTGTAGCAAGCAGTAATCCCAATATAAAACGATGACGATTGTCTCTCTCTATACCCACGCCCTTTTACTGCTCAGCTCCCAATCAATTTAAAGCCCCATTCACTTTAGTCATTGATATGAGGAAATGGCTTAAAAAGACACGGGGTAAAAAGCCCCCCTCGTTCATTCATCTGATTCTGATTTGTTTCATCTTGCTTCATGCATTGATTTCTTCATTTCTTGTATGGATCACCGAGTCCTTTTACACGTTCCTATAGCTACACCCCCTTTACTGCTTCATCTACAACCATTTCCTTTCTATCTCTGATAATCCATAGCATGCAGCAATATAGCCCAAAAACTAGTTCATATTGTGTATATGTATGGGTGGCACAATAGATCATTCTGCAGCATTAGAAAATTGAGAATAACGTCATTGCAACAGGATACTCGAATATGGGAGGCATGCATTGTATATATCACCAATCATCTATCACCTGTAACACTTTACTGGATCAGTTGCCATGCCAACTCTTGCCTTTCTCCATTGAACCATGGTATCGGCTGAAGTGACCCGAGCCCTTGCCGCGTCATTAGCTCACAATTTACAGTGCTATATTGACCCACATGTCCTACTACTATCTACATGGTGTATGTGCTACAGTATCCAGTGACGGAAGGGCCAAGCATATTTGCGTATCCAGGATACCATCACATGCTATGTCAATCGGACGCGATGTTTATGGTGGGATACAAGCATCCATCCTTTATTAGGAATATACATTCAACCTTCACTATGGATTATAGAATATGGTTTATCTCGATCGTATGGATGTTACAGCGATAATGCATCATGCAGCAATGACAACTTGATGCCATTTGGGTAAAGCGGGGGCCGTAAAAACAACCGATTTTTGTTTTTCCCTTCTCGTCAAACTTCTATCATGGACAAGGTCGTCAAGGCAATCGTGTGGAGTGGTGGCATCATTGGCTGTGGCTATGTCTTAATGAAGACAACCGTTCCTACCGAACAAGATATGATCAACGTAAATGGACTTGGAAACGAACGCATGTGAGAGATTGGGGAAACTAACAAACGTCCTCCATTGACAGCGTCTTCCTGAAAATCTCCAACGCGAGGCCAAGGAACGTCAACGCACCAGCAACGAGAGACAACAAGCTATTATGGATTATCTCAAGGAAGCAGCAGAGTCTGATAAGCCTGCTTGGCAAACACCTGATTCAACCCCCAAAGCATAGTCGTTGTGTGTGTGTGTATTATTGATGGATAAACTCGAATGTATTATACGTATACAACAAAACTTTTTCTACATGCGCTTGGTTCTCTTCTTTTGCATCTTCTTAAGCTCACGTGCACGTTCCTTTTCATCATACTTGCGTTGCTCGGCTACGCTCATGTTCTTGATACGCTCAGCTTCAGCCTTTTTAGCATCAGCCTTCTTCTTGGCCAATTCCTCCGCACGTTCTTCAGCACTGCGCTTGGCTTCCTTCTTTTCTAACTCTTCACGGTTCTTACGCAAGCGGTTCTTGATCTAGTATAGTGTTTTCTTGGTCAGTAAAATGGATATATGAAAGATCAAATGATGATCCTACCTCAGGGGTTATGGTCAATCCACCCAATACATCGGGGAGCTCACATGCCAATTGTACCATTTCCTTTTGATTCGAGATGTTGAATGATAACTCAAAGCGAAGATCACCATCACCCTTGTATCTATGTAGAGCAATTTAGTCATTTTCCAAATGAGATGGCGCCTTGTTTTGTGTTTTACCTTTCAGGCTCGTAATCAGGCATGCTCGAAATGATAAGGGATTGGAAATCAGGAGCATTGTTGATAAGCTCGCAAACATGGCTGTTCATGACGGCTTCAGTAAGCTTTTGGGATTCGGAATAGACACTGTATTTGCTGGAGAGTTTGGGAGCATCAGCAAGCTTGGTGAACGTTTTCTGCAAGGGAAGATGATGTCAATGCTATTCATAACGTGAGACCATGATGCAATCAAGATCCATACCAAGTCAAAGCGAGCATCGCGGATCTCCTTAGCCTTGTTGCTGGGCAACACGGCAAGCACATAACGTCCATTGATTTCCTTGTCCAATGTCATATTCACTTCCTAAATGAAAGATAGATAATCAATATTGGAACATCTTCTCCTCGATCATGCATGTCAACTTACAACTCTATCGGTTTCCCACACGCCGAATCCAATCAATGTCCACACAACGTTGATGACCCATGATACAATATCGCTTCTGGGCTTGAGCTATATAGACATACATGAGTGCCTTTTGTACCCAATCGAGTTGCATCAATTACCTTGATCCACCAGTGACCATATTGCACATTACGTCTTCCAGAGACATATAAAAGATAATCCGAAGGTCCATCCTTGACGAGTACAGTCTTATCAGCCTTGTCTCCCACCAATGCAAATTGGCTTTGCAAGTATTCAACATGGTGACCAATCCTATTATCGAATCGGATCAATACACAATGAACGTGTGTACATCATTGTACCATCCCCATTCTTACCATTCTTTGGCTTTGCTCGTATTCATTTGTGATCCAGCATAGAGAACAATGACAAACATAACCAAGCTGGCGGCAAGTACCATATCCACTCTAAAGTCCTCCAATGTCCATGCTATCACACATATCCCAATATTAACATCCTCCCCATATCATTACTTGAGGTCGACTTACGTTTGACGACAGGAGCAGGTGCTTCTTGCGATGGTGGAGCAGCAGTCTCTGGCGCATCTAGACGCGTACAATGCCTACTTTTTAGTTCCCCATTCACTCGACGTTGTGCATGCATTGATAAATACCATCTTGAGCCATGACCGAGTAGCAAGCGAAAGCTGCCAGTGATAAAAGAGTACCAGTGAACCGTTGAGCCATAACCTTAGAGTTGGAAAGAACAAACCCACACATACACCTCTTTTTGCCGCAAAGCTTAATTTGGATGAAGATGATGTGAACCAATCAAATCAGGTGGACGTGTCGTAGCGGCACCCCAGGAAAATCATGGTTTCCACCACAACCATAATGGCGATCACGTGGATACTGTCAAATGTACGTTTCTTTTTCTTGTTACAGTGTTGGAATACTAGCAACAATAACGATGATACATATGTGATGTGGAAGAGAAGTCTGAAATGAAAAAGACCACAGCTAGAGTAGGATGGAATTGTATAAAAGGAGGCATCATTATCTTGAAATCAACCGGGACGATCGCCTTTTGCTCATTATCTATGATGTAGATACACATCTTTGTCTTCGGCTGACAAGGTCCAATGATGAATCGCATCACTTATTTAAACGCACCAGCTGTCCACCAGGGAAAGACGTCGTTAGGTCACCTTCATGTAGGCTGTGGCGTGCCACCTAATCCAACTTTGCAGATGTAACTATATAAAAGGAATATGAATAGCATATGCTTCACCAAGCGATATGGTTAGGGTTTACCTTAAAATAAAAGGGCCAAATTTTACAATGACAATGAAAGCGGTAGGGGTAACAATGAAACGCTAATGTCATCACGAATACCAGCACATGCATCGCCGACAAAATAAGACCATCCAGCATCACATCAACTTGAGCTTTGGGGATATCGGCAACCAAAGAGTGATGTAATCGACAACACCTTTTATGTGTATGGTGGGTGTGGGTATTTTGCGGATCATGTAAAAAGAAAGGAAAGAGTGATAAAATGTCTGTTGGCGATGCTAGTGAGCTGTAGATCATTAGTGCACCTTCAAGAGTAACATGTACGAAGAGCCTTGATATGATTAATTGTCCGTGCATTAATCAAGTACATCCATCATCCATCAGCTTTCGCAAATCACTTGCTATGCTCAAACCCCACGAGGATATTTGTGCGAGCGTTCGTTCAGAAAGTTGAAGTCGATGACACTTTGACCGACAAGTATAATGCACAAGCGTGAATGATCCCTGCCATGAGGATGCATCAGCATGAACAATTAATCACACCTTCCAAGTTCTTTGTTAAAGAGACCAAGCTTGACCCTGCTCGCTAAGGCCCTCCACCAATCTATCAGCTCACCACCATTCTCAACAAGCATTTTATCATTCTTTTCTCTTTGCGAGCACTGAATTTCACACGCCCACATACATCACGTATAAATCGATGTTGTCGCCCATCGTTTTGCTCCCACAGCTTCCCTCTATATATGTATTTGATTGCTTACACTGTCAAATCCCAATTCTACGTGTCTACCATCAGCGTGAAAGGTCTTCTATTGCCACCTCGTAGGGAGGAGCTAATACATTTACTGATCTTTGGCCATTTTTAGCTTTTCATTGTTATCCTACTTTCATTGTCGTGGTCACCATTATGATATTGACTCTTGTAAAGAGGTGAAACCAATCTTTATTTTGAGTGAAGCGCATACTCATATGCAACACATTTATTTTGATGTAGCTAGCTCCAGTGAATGCATCTTCAGAATTGGATTAGGTGCCACTTCTACTAGAGCCTTCATGAGGTTGATATAACGGCTTTCGAGGTCTTGGTTCTGAATGCCCCGTTACAAGGGGTGCTATAGGATATCATTAAAAATGGTACCATTATGGTGTTCCTGGTAAGGTAAAATACACACTTGGATTTGGGATGTTATTCTTATTCATGCGTTGTAGATTTCTGGACTCGTGCTTCGCTCTCAATAATGCAACAATGGCCATTGCAAGACCCGAATCTATCCAATGTGTTGGTGTTGAGAATTAGTCTGAAGATACCTCGAAATAGCACTTTGGCTTACTCATGATGTAGACTGCCATTGTCTTTAATTATCGATCTTGCGCATAATTATGTACAACGCTGACTCCATGCAAAGAGTGACAACTGAAGCCAAGTGTAATGAATTAAAGGTTTACATCAATGAAAAAGTCGAAGAATAGCACTATGGTAGTGATGTGGATGTCTATCAAATAAATATGATAAAGGAACAGCATTGAAAACTGAATAAGATACGGTGAATCACGCAGAGTCAACTTCATTGCCTTCTTGGTTGCTGTCGCCGTAAACATCCTTCATCCATAATTGCATTGACTTGGGTATTCCAATACCATCCCTGGCTGTAAACCACCATACGTCAAACATACAAACCCTTTCGTCAATTCCATCCGATCCATCATCACCCTCAGTATTACCCAAATGATATGATCTATTGATTTGCTGACGACATCCCAAGTAACCAAAGCAACATTCCTTGGATTTCTCACACTGCACTTCATTGCATCCATCCATTCCTTTATCCATCCAGCAGTAGGTGAATCACTTGCTTGGTCATTTTCTATCGCAGCTCAACCAGTGTAGGTTGCTTCTATTGATGGCCTGGCATGGTATCATCCAAACTAAACATTGCGTAGTCAAGGGAACCAACACCATCAATACACCCAATGTCTTCCATTCCATGTATCAAAGCAATTTTCATATCCATAAGAAGTTGTATGTATTGAAACAAGTTGCTACACGTAAATAAAACTGCTTCTATACGATGGCTATGTGCTGTTCACGTAAACAAGGCTGTAAGACAAGTTGCTGCAAGTAAAGAACGCTGTTTGAGACTATGGAGTAAAGACCTTACTGATAGCAATTGCTGGAATGAATGCTGTTACGATTGGTCGTGGTAGAGGAGCGTGCAAGAGCGTGTGTTGTAGTAGAGCGACAAGAAGGCTGTGTACATGCCATGTACTTGCCATCAGTCAAAGGCAATCGGATCAAGAGAGTTGTAGCATTGACAAGATGGGTTGAAGCAGGACAATCGTTCGCATGGTGGTAGTTGTACTTGAATCGGCCAACAGTTGAGAATGGGTGGAAGAGACAAGATGTTGGCGAGTGGAAGGAGTGGAAATTAAATAGGTTGGACACCTCTTGTATAAATGCATGAACACTGTACATCCAAGCCTTGATAGTGAGATCTCCCCTCTCGAACCTCAAACTTTCACACAAGATGCTCTTGGTCATGCTGATCACGTTGATCTAAAAAAGACCTCATGTTTCATTTGAAAATTTGGAATGGGAGGGTATAATGTGGGTTTACAATGTAAATCGGAAACGGAGGACAGCGCCAACTCATGATTTATCGAAATAGTATGTATTACCTTGGGATTCCCCATTTCGAACTTGAAACTTTGTCAGAAGGTTCGCTGGGACATGCTGATCAACTTCATTCATTTAAAAGTCGCAGACTTCATTGTGAAGATTTAAAATACGGGGGCGGCCTAAATGGTGGATGACGGCAACAAAAGAGCGGACGGGCCACCGCCCCGAAGTTGCCCACCTCCAACTTGAAAATTAGTCAGAAGGGTGCTCTCGAGCATGCTGATCACGTTGATCTAAAAAAGACCTCACGCTTCATTTGAAAATTTGGAATGGGAGCGTCCAAAAGTTTGAGAGACGGAGACATTCGCAGGGTCTGCGATTCAAGAATTAACATGTTCGCTGTTCAAGCGTAGCTCAGTCAAATCAGCTCGGATCAAGAAGATGAAAAGATGGAAATGATGGGCTGGAGCAGGAGAATCGTTCGTATGCAGTGGATTGGGCAACAATGCTGATTGGATAAAAATGGCTGTTAGCTGCCAATGTATGAACTGCAAATGAAGCTTGCGTACCTGTCAAGTATCGTCCCTGAGGTCCTGGGTTTAACTCAGTTGCACAAAGATGTCCTTCTGCATCTTTGGCTCTCCAGGGTTTAGCTACTTGACAATGAACAAAGACCACTTCTCATATAGCATCACGCTTACAAACATAAAGACGCCTGTATCTCCAAACTTTACAATCAAACGTGTGGTTTTTATTAGAGCAATGTGCTCGGCTTGGCCAACAGCACCTTGTGTGAAAGTTTCGCGTTCAATGTCGCAAACAGCCCAAAAAATATTTTTTGGTCGTCGTCGTCGAAGAGGTCGACCATGTCTTCCGCGAATTCAATCAAATCGCCTGATAAGGAAACAGGCACTCAGTCTCGTCCTCAGCGTCCATCCTATGCCAAGGTTACCAGTACTCATTCCTCAACACGTACTCATTCCCCAACGCGGGATTCGTTGAAAGCAACGGTTCATGACAATACTGTACATTCGAATGTGTGGAAAGCCGGTGGATCTCCTGCATCTTGTACCAGCTTGTTCTTTGACTTCACTTCTCGTTCCGAAAATCGCGCTACGCTTTTGTGTCATATAAACGCAAGCTTTCCCAACAATTGTGGTGCACGCCTTCACTCGGATCATGCTCGCCGTATTGTTGAACTATTCATCGATGACTCCAACGTTTACCAAAAAGCTTGTACGTCAGGCCTTGTCTTCAAGGATGGTATGCGTATCTTGCCCAGTGTGCCTTTACCAGCTGATTCTTGTCTCATTCATCTTCGACTAAGCAGCCTTCCTTTTACCTCTCGTGATAAGCTTACCGATGGAATTTGTAAGGCTCTCTCACCCTTCGGTGATGTTCTGGATTATGGCATTCTTCGTGATCATGACTCCAATCTATTCATGGGGCATGGTTACGCAACCTTAAACGTCTCAAGTTCAAAGCAATCTTCGTCACTCTCACACAAGATTTCATGGCCAAACTCCGAGGATTGGTTTTATGCAACATGGGCCGAAATGCCGCTTCACTGTCTCCATTGTCACAAATCTGGTCATTCTAAGTCTTCATGCCCTACTCATCCAAGCCGAAATCGCCCCTGTTGGTCTTGCGGCCAAAATGGTCACCGCGCTGCTAAGTGTCCCAATCATCGACCTATTGTCAAGCCCACCATTGACCCACCCATGTCTCCATCGTCTTCTACTTCCACTGCTACCAGCAGCCAATCATCTGATGTCTCAATGTTTAGCACCGACATTTCACCTATCGAAGCCCATAACGACATGATTATCAGCAATCATATTTCAGAACCCACAAATGACAAGTTATTATCCAACTCATCTGCGGCTCCGCCAAGTCCTCATTTCATCAACCTTTTGTTGCAGCAATTTCCCATGTCTGATGAAGCCAAGGAAATTATTCGAACTACACCGGTGCCCATTTTATCCACCCTTCACACTAAGCTTTGTGACCAGGGCAAACGTTTTCCGCCAACAACAATCACTTCCAATTCCTCCGGGAGTGTCTCTTCTATGAGACTTAATGATTCAGATTAGCGCGCTCACCCTTTTGTCTCTTCATATTTTCCTTTTCCACATATTGTATCATTTTAGGGGTATCACTCTCTGACATACTCCCTTCAATAAATTCGGGGCATACCAGCCCCCATACAACGAAGAGGTCGACCCTCAGATCCAGTTTGGCTGGTAGCGACATTGCGAAATCTGGGATTGGCAAGCTTGATCTCGAAACTTTCACACAAGGTGCTGTTGGCCAAGCCGAGCACATTGCTCTAATAAAAACCCCACGTTTGATTGTAAAGTTTGGAGATACAGGCACCTTTATGTTTGTAAGCATGATGTTATATGAGAAAGTAATCTTGTTCATTAGCAATGTTGACCTGGCAGAGCAAAGATGCAGAGGGTCCTATTGTAACCAGCATGCCGATTGGAAGGATGGAAGGATGATACTATATACCGTTGACAAAAGCCCGTACATTGCGATCTAACAGCCATTTCTTCACAATAGCCACTGTTGTCCACTCTATGACATGTGAGCGATTCTCCTGCTTCAGACATATTTCCATGATTGGATTATGCAAGTTGATCCGAGTTGATTTGTCCGAGATACAGCCAAAGAGGGATTACATCAATCCACACATCTAACCATGTCTATGTTGCTCAACTGAAGTAACCTTGTATGAGCGTAATGGCCAAATCAACTCGGATCAACATAATCCAATCATGGAAATGAATGTTCAGTTATGAGAATCGCTCACACGTCATAGAGTGGACAACAGTGGCTATTGTGAAGAAATGGCTGTTAGATCGCAATGTACGGGCTTTTGTCAATAGTATACAGTATCATCCTTCCATCCTTCTAGTCATGCAAACGTAGCTGAGTTACACAAAGAGGACCCTCTGCATCTTTTGCTCTGCCAGGGTCCAGCGACTTAACAATGAACAAAGACCACTTCTCATATAGCATCACGCTTACAAACATAAAGGTGCCTATATCTCCAAACTTCACAATCAAACGTGGGGTTTTGAATAGAGCAATGTGCTCGGCTTGGCCAACAGCACCTTGTGTGAACGTTTCGCGATCAAGCTTGCCAATCCCAGATTTCGCAATGTCGCCACCAGCCAAACTGGATCTGAGGGTCGACCTCTTCGACGACGACGACCAAAAAATATTTTTTGGGCTGTTTGCGACATTGAACGCGAAACTTTCACACAAGGTGCTGTTGGCCAAGCCGAGCACATTGCTCTATTCAAAACCCCACGTTTCATTGTAAAGTTTGGAGATACAGGCGTCTTTATGTTTTACCTATGCTGTAAGCGTGATGGAGTTGCTTTTTCCTAGTGGATGGTGTCGGCTGCATTAACGGAAAGATGAAGAGCTGAGTGAAACGGCACGTGGTGGTTACACAAACGCGTCCTTGACAGGTTGCTCCACAAATGGATGATGATGATGATTGCCTTTTGTGAAGGTACGTAAGTAAAACAGCATCCAATAATGAAGGTGTGTCAAGGTATGCATCACATTTGCATGTAGGAGAAGGTCGACCTGCATAAACCAATTTGTTGTAAAAAGATACGTATACGTACATATTGAATGGGTCACTCATCCTGAAACTCAATGGAGGGATCTCTTCACTTTTTCTCTTCTCAAGCTCATCCCATTTCCCACTCCTCCTTATTGTATCACAAAAGCCATGTACTTCTTAACCGGACCACCTTTATTATTCCATCTTCGAAGCAATAGTATGTAATCCACAAACTAGCAACCTCCAACAAGCGTGTAATAAATAAACAATGCTTTATTTCATCTAGCTATCTTGCTATGTACTGTACTTTGCCACCACCATCGTCGTAGTCGTCCTCCGTCATCATTCCTACTCGTACTCGTCACCAGTCGTCAATCTCATCCGTCACACCAACATCCAAAAATACACAAGTTGAAAAGAATGGGATCTTGCAGGCTTCCTTTTGAATCTCGTTGTCGTCATCATTGTCATTGTTGTAGATGGGGTGATCATCGTGATCGTCATTGTTGTGAATGTGGTAATCATCGTAATCGTCATCTCTACAAATAAGAAAGCAGGCAAGTTAGACCATGTGGTACCGGAATGATGACGATTTGGTATACCGTTAGGCGATCCTCTCAAAGGAAGAAAGCAAATCAGAAGGAATTCACAAACCAAATCACCACCATACGAGCAACGTTGGGCGATCCCTTGTTCTTGAGAAGGCACTGCACGAATCACGCAAGGCCAGTTCGATCCATGGCAAGGAAGGACATCACTTACGTAGAGTCCAGGCTCATAGTTGTTCTCATTCATCCTCTCCAAAGAAAGAATGATCCCCAATCCTTCCAATCATTTTCCCACCTCATGAAAAGAAATCCTCAAGGGAAAGAACGAGCCTATCACGAGAAGAGCGTGTTGGTTAAACACGTTCACAAGCTGTTGCAAATCACCTTTTACCTCAACACGGTGACCATGCTCTTCCAAAAATCCATCGTCATCGACCCATCCTCAACGCAACGCAGGCCTATAGAGCCCTGGACGCGTTCCAAGAAGCTTTTCCAGCACACTTGGCTAGTGCAGAGCGACGCAGCGACCACTTGATACAGGCTGGGACTTGAACCCAAAGAGATGATGATGATGATGCCCCAAGTTGCATTGCCTGACCAAAGAAACCTATTCAATTCATTATTAGCACACACGCACAATAAACACCCTTTTCATTGTTTGTTTCATTGTACTTGCCTTTTTCATATACACAAAGACCCGTTGTTGTTGGTTACTGGAAACCGAAAACCATGGTGTAGTATAGTTGAGTCGAAACAAAACGCCAAACCAGCCAACGTCTTGAGACCAAACTTGCCCTCTATACAAGCTGACGCGTCAATGGAACCAATTCGGCTGCAACATTGGACTCTGAATGTACCTGTTGACACCAAACGTAGAGCGGGAATAGCAACGAGTAAAAGGAAGCAACAATATCGCCATGGCAACCACCAACCACCAACCACGCTCATTCCTCAGCACTTGGACACACTCACTCTCCCTGACAATGCATGTTCAGAACTACATTAACACCTCACAGCCAACAAGAGCACTTTTTTATAATACATTACCTTGATTGGAATGTCGTGAATGGGATAGAAGCAGATGAGGGAGAAAGAGAAGAGAAGCGTTGTTTCAAGTCGTGGAGCTGCTGTCCCCCAAGTTTAAATCCCCTACTGCTATTACACTGAGGCCACTCAATATCCCCACACACACACACCATCCACCCATCGTCATCATCACCCTCACGATAGGCAATAGGTACACGCAAATAAAAGAAATGATCCTCACGTATAGCAAAAGGGTGTGTGCTGTTTTACACTTTACATGATAATGATGGTCCAACAACCACCACCATTGGCTTACTACCAGGGGCCCACATGCACATGGATAGCAGTTGAGCACATCATTTCGATCGGTCTCCAATTGCTCTACACCCACTTGATGTCGCTTTCATTGCTCTTGTCATACCTTATTTCTTATCCCCCTCCTTTCCCTTGAATAAATGACCCGTGTGACAATGTTAATGTACCCGTAGTTGATATAGAACAGTTGTAGAGAGAGAGACATGCTCGCATTATCATGTACAATTTTACATCTCTATTCGTGGAAAAACAGTTGTATCGATGCAGGAAAAATGGATGTGGGTTGTGACGTGAAGTTTGGGGAGAGATTGATTAGTGAACGAGGAGTGAAAGTTGAGTGATGGAAGTGGGGGGAAGGGCGAAATGCAATGGGTTGTTTAGTTGAAGGTGATAGGAATGTCGGCATCTCTGGCGGTCTTGACAATATCAGAGAACTTGACAACCTTTTGAGCAGCAACATCCAAGTCATCGTTGGCGTAGATCTTGAGACCAGATTCGGCAATCTAATACGCATGATATCACAGTGAGGATTCGTTTTTCTTTCCAAAAACATCCTTAAATGATACATACCAACTTCTTGGCCTCCTCAACCTTGGTACCTTGCAAACGGACAACGAGAGGAATCTTCAAGTCAAGGTCCTTGGCAGCGGCAATGATACCCTGTGCAATGATGTCGCAACGCATGATACCACCAAAGATGTTGACGAAAGCAGAGGTGACTTGGGGATCGGAGGTGATGATCTCGAAAGCGGCCTTGACGGCTTCAGGGGTAGCGGCACCACCAACATCCAAAAAGTTGGCAGGCTTACCACCGTGCAATTGGATAATGTCCATGGTAGCCATAGCAAGACCGGCACCGTTGACTGAAAAGGTACACCAATAAGGGGTTAACACTTGTATCATTTCACATTACGCCTTTCATCACTTACCCAAGCAGCCGATTTGGCCATCCAAGCCAATGTAATTAAGGTGGTACTTGGCAGCAGCGGTCTCACGAGAATCTTCTTGGGAGAAATCACGAAGCTCGAAGACATCCTTTTGTCTAAAGTCGGCGTTATCGTCAAAGTTGAGCTTGGCATCCATGCACAAAACTAAAAATGATCATGTCAGTAATTCATCATCCCTTAAACATAGACACGCATTTACCTTGATGGGCAGAATCCTCCGTTAATGGGTTGACCTCCACTTGTGTCGCATCCTTCTCGATAAACAGCTTGTACAAGTTCATAAAAGTATCGGCAGCCTTATCAATGGCAACAGGGCTGAATCCAACACGAGTTGCGAGCTCGGTAGCCTGCTCCTTGGTGAGACCAGTCTTGATATCAACAGGCATGGTGACAATAGCATCAGGGTTCTCCTTGGCCACAGTTTCAATATCCACACCACCTTCGGAAGAAGCAACAACAACAGGACCAGCGGCCTTGCGATCCATCAAGATGGCAAAGTAGTATTCGTTGCGAGCATACTTGCGTTCACAAATGTAGACGGCGTTACAGGGCTTGCCAGCAGCACCAGTTTGCTTGGTGATCAACTTTTGGCCAAGCATCTTATCAGCAAGAGCCTTGGCTTCTTCAGGACTACAATGCTCATTATTAGTAAAGGCTATTCACAATCCATCCTCCATATAACAAGAGACTCACGTGGAGAAGGTCTTGACACCGCCCTTGTAGCCATTGCTGAAAGTACCCTTGCCACGACCACCAGCAAGCACTTGAGCCTTGATCACCAAGTCATCGGAACCTTCATGCATAATCCAATGTTAGTACCTACGTATTCGATGACCACGTAATAGCATTATTACCAAGACGCTTAGCAATCTCATAGGCCTCTTCAGGAGTCTTGGCAACTTGACCGCGGGGTGCATTGATACCATACTTGCGCATAAGGTCGACAGACATGTATTCGTGGATGTTGAGGAAACGCTTTTGTTGCTGTTGGGTAGGTGCACGAGCGGCCTACAAGAAGTACAATGACATTCCTTTTTGAGTACTGGGATGCTGAGTCATTGACAATCGAGTGTCTCTTTTTTCTTTACCATGGAGGCACGAGTGGCGAGAGCAGATGCAGCACGGAAGGATTTGAACATGATGGAGAGGACTGGAGTATGAAATGTGAGAACGATGAGAAGAAAGGGGGAAAAAGTAACCACTAAAACGGCAGGAGAATACCTTTATGTAATGTGAATGAAAGAGATGATGTCGTTACTGACTTTGTCCAACGGGAAAATGTGGGAAAAAAGCAGCAAAATTTTTCATCATCACATGTGCCGAGCATGGCCGACATGCTGAACAACCCTGAATCGCACGCTCCTCTTGTCACTCCACACACGCACACACACACGCACAACATTGACCCCAAGGAATGCCACATCCCCCTCCCCCACTTTATATCAATCATTTACTACTTCTTGTTCCTTTTAAACATCACTTTTGATCATAACTACTTGGATCCTTTTTTCCCACGATATCATTAGCTAGCTACACTCTTTCCCAGCCAATCTCTGAAGCTGACATCGCGTACCCCTGAAGGCTGTACTGGGAGACTCACGAAAGAGTTGGGAAAAACGCGGGTGTTTTCGTGCCCATTTTACTGCCCGCAGACCGCTTTTCCCGATAAAGATTACAGCAGCAGAAATGAGATAAGAGTAAGCACCACCTTGATGGTTGTTGTTGGTAATGCAGTAAATAGATTTATCTTCATACGTTGCTACATACCATTGAATTCAAAGAAAGGCTTCATCAAATAAATGTGCCCCGTTGTTTGCTTGATAGACTCAGTCATATACTCACATTGGCTTCACATGAATCAACGTAAGCAGCTTTAGCGGCCGGCGATCCCGAATGTTCCGGTTCTTTTTCACACGTCGGATCGGAAGAGTAAAAAATGTGTGTGTGAAACTAATCGTCCTCCTATTCACATTTAAGACGCTCATTGTATCATGCACTTACAAAAAGTTTCCCAAAAGATGGTTCATTCAGTAATGAAGATTAATGCATCAAGGTAAAAGGATATGCAAGTGACTGTGAGGGTGCTCTTGGATGAGCAATTCGATCTGCAGCTCGTCATTCCGACGACATCATCTCCGGTAAAAGCTCGTTTGACGTAAAAAAGGGGTTCAATTGAAAAGACACTTGCAAGGGCTTGGTACTTGAAGTATGCCCTATCATAAATACATGAATGGCTGGTTCACCACCAAAGAAACCCAACAATGGTGATGTATGGATAACATGCCTTGCTTAAATGGCTTCCCTTCTTCCTTCCCCTGCATTGATTTAGCGTCTCCATCATCATCATCGGATGCACAATAAAATAGATTCCATCTTTAGTTTGCCGTCAGCCCAAAGAACAAGAATGACATGCTCATAATGGTTGGCTACTAAATGAATCGATGACTTGCCTTGGATAAGGTATCATGTATGCGCTTAACAAAGGTCGGATCCATGTCGCATATGGAAGTATTCATAGCAGGATAAAGGGATTGAAAAATAAACTGCTGACGGTTGCATGGAAGAAATAATGACCTGGGTTGTGGGGAAGAGAGCCAAGTTGATGAAACACGCCATACGACCCTGTGACGATCCTCAGTGTTTGTTTTCTATTTTTGCATCAAATGAATCAGTGGGACAATTACACTGTAAACCCCAAATTGAGATAAGCATCACATTCATGCAAGAACGGTTTCCACACATTTATAGCAATTGATGCGAACCCGTATACCTGGATGCAAGCTCACGAGGGCCCAATTTTTTATTCTCGTACATCCCTTTCTCACATTCACCACATCATTTACCTCAATGATGAATCCTCCGTTAGTAGCTGCTTGCATTCATCACTCTCGATCCATCCTCAGCCTCTTCTCAAAATGAGCTACTACGTACATGAAGCTGCCAATAAATTGATGAAGCCACGGTCACCAAGGAGTCATCTATTTGTTTCCACCACCTTGCACGTCTCATTAATATCCCAATTCGGTATCATCGTAGTATTTACCCTTTTTGAGGATGGCTACATACGAGCGCTGAGCGTTATCCAATGCAAGTTTCATCGCGTAAGCAATAGTAGCGTTAGTTGGATACTCGCCATAAACAATAGCGCGAACATTCGAGATCAACTTACTACCATGTATTCAAGGATGTGTCAAAAGTAAACTCCTTCAGGGTACCTGTTACCTTGCAGATCTCTTCAAGCAGAATCTATAAATGGTGATTGAGGGGGGGGGGTAAAAGGGACCCTTTAGAACTCCTAGCGCTAATCATTGTCGTGGTTGTTGTAGTATAAAGCGTCAGCCAGTTTGCGACTTGCGTCCAAAAGCTGCACCCAAATCTTTCCTTCTTATTACATATTGATAAAAGACATACTATACGCATTGATTCAAACAACAAGTAAAATCCACGTCTGTAACAGACTATCCATCATGGATGAACGACCTACAAGTTCAGTCAACGACGATGAAGAACAACAACACGACATGATTGAAAGCGGCACCAGTCCCCAAAACCAGGGACTAATGGCACAACAAGTTTACATGTCAAGACTACTTGCTAACCTCAACCAGCAACCTCTTATGCAATTGGCACATGCTATGCGGCGTCGAGCACGTTATGATACTTTAGCTAATGCGTCGGGGCCAACAACACCACCTCGGCGTCCATCTGCACAAGATCGACCGCAACGAACGCGAGAGCAGATATTACAACGATATGAGAACGAGCTTCAATCACTTAATGGTCATTGGAATAGCATTTGTATTGCATTGACTTCTATACGCAGCACCTACTTGGCTGTGCTTTCATCGCTTTCAGCCGATCAACAACAACATGATGAATCCCACTCGCCAGCAGCATCTTCAACCTCTACAACATCATCCACATCCTCGCCAACATCGATACAGCAATCCCCCATCACAGATTTCTTGATACCCTCAGCTGTTGCTGTGACCTCGTTCATGGCGGCAAGGAACAATAACTCCACACCATCTGATTTTGAGCAAGAGTTACTACTGGCGGTGGATGATGCCATGTTCCAAATCCGTCAATTGGAAGCACGCATTGAACGTTTGGAAGGACACATTCAAGAACTCGTCCAATCTGTTCCTCGTAGACAACAACAATAACCCACCCACCCACCAATGACTATGCCCCCCCTCCCTTCTCCATTTACTTCAAGTGTCGCCTCCTCTTCATGGTATATGCATGTTTTTATCAAGGCTCTTTTTTTCTGATACTAGCTATGTTGACCGGTGATATGATTTGTACAATTCTTTTTATGATATGAACGTGTGTGATTACATCTGAATAAAAGCAAGCTGTAAGGACTTCATCAATGCTTTTTTGGGGTATTAACAATCGTAGAATGCAGCATAATCAGGAATGGTTGAATCGATCCATAACAATGACGCCCTTGTCCTATCTTCTCCAATCTTCATCTTGCCCTATAAACAAGTTATCCCATTCAGTGTTCCTCCTGCCTTTATGATATTAAAAGACGCACCTTGGTTCGTTCATTAAGGGCTTGTAATAAGTCTTGTCGATGCTGTTGTAAGTGGGCTGATATGATCACTTTGACTTGTTCTCTCTTTGCGGGCTCGTCTTTAGGTGGCAACTTGAAGCTCAAAGCGGGTGGTGCACAAAAAGGACATTGCCAATCGATCGTGTCAGGATCAAACACCTCTATCTAAGACAAGCCAATGAGCCAATGTTGGTGCTTTGTATAAATAAAACCTACTGGTTTGACAATGTGTCGTTTCTTCACTTCATCGTTCAAGTTAATTTCAGGCATAATAGCAATGAAAGAGGAAGGGGATACTACTACGTTGGTTGTTTCGGAACGGGTGCGTGGGATGATTTTGATCACATGACTATGCGTGGCAGGGATTGCCTTTGTTCATTGTTGTTACCCCCCCTTACAAAGAACCCAGCAACAATGGCCATGTGGATTGATTATTTGGCTCATTGTCGATAAATGACCACACTACCCTCGATCAGCATATCCAAATACCAGCACTCTATACATCTTCGATAGATAACCAACAACAGCCAAGTGTGCCCAAAAACATTTATGACATGATTGTAGCTCAAACAACTAAAACAGATAATCACTTGCTTCATATCTAGCTACAAGTTTTCCTTTCTTCCTTCGCACTCTGCCAACTCTTTCCAATATCACTGTTTCAAATTCGAGTTCTTCAGGCAGTTCGTCTTCATCCAAATCTTCATCCAAATTAACAAGCACGCGTAGTTCCAGCTCACCGTGTTTGGTGTATTTGTGCTCAGCATCGACAACGGCGCCGTAAGGATCCAATGCAGACTGTAAATCCACGCGATCGAAAGGATCGATACCAGCAAGCGTGAGTGATGCTTGAAGACCACTTGAAGGCAGCGCAGTGGAATAGCGATTATACTTTACTAGATCGTCGATTGTCATGCTCCTCATCATTTCGGCCAAGAATGCGGTCATAGCCTCCCTGTCATCGGGTAATGGAATGAACCGGGCTGCTTGTGATCTCGCATCAAATCTTTGGGAGGCGTCTTCTAATCTCGCATCACGTCTCTGGGATGATGATGATGAAGAAGAAGATTTGGGGGCGGTTTGCTTGCGAGGTTCATCCTCTGGTTTGATACAGACATCAGCGAATGAATGGCCTTGAATCAACATTTGATGAGCACGGTGGAATTCATCCAATACTGCCATAAAACCCGTTCCTTTGCATGAAGCCCTAATGTTATATTAATAAACAATGTTGTATCCCCAACATAGTTCCACTTACGCAACATTACGATCTTTGATGAATGGATCTTGTACAGCAATTTCATGATTGTGCCATGCTGGTCGACGTTGTATAGGCGCTCCTTCAGATAGCGATATTGCACTTCGCCCGAAACTGAATTTCTCTGAATAATACGCAAAGAATCCCACCAAGAGATCACCCACAGATTGCTTGTTTTTGACAAACCAGCCTGTCGCTTTCCCAATCGTTTGTTGCATTTCAGCGTGTGAATTGACAGCCGTAACACATGTATGATAAGATACATCAAACTGGACGACTTGCTTCTTGTGGACCGTGAGCTTCCTTTTTCCTTGATAGGAACGACACGTTGAAATGTGACATCGATGACCGGTAGTATCAAGCCGTTGCAGGTTTGGAATGACGGGTGGATCGCATTGCATCAAATAAAAGAGAGCCATCAAGACATAAGTGTAACTGCTGAGTGTGCCATTGGCAGCTAAAGATAGATACCATGAGTCACCATGCATATAAAAAAAGGGGGGAAGGTTCATCTTACCATTGTTGATATGGCGACGTTTGGTGAAATGTTTGAGAGCGTAGAGAAAAGGACGAACTCTTGGATCAAAGAGTGCATAGGTGCGAAGGAACTTTGAGTTTTCCACACCCATATCATTGGCTGTATTGATGTCGCATTTGATATTCAATCGAGGATCTTCAAACTTGCAAATAGGAACCGATGCATTGGGTACAGCTTCCACATTTCTCATCCCGATCTGGTTGAGCTTCTTTCTGAGGAATCGCATGTTGTAGTATGAATTCGGCAGCCTGGATAGACGCCCGATGTTGCATATCTTGTCGAATTGCAGCTGTTGTTGAGGTACAATGATGCATAAATCGAGATCAGAGTGCTTAAAATCGAGTCCATTTGCCGATGAGCTAAATACATGTATAAAGTCAGCAAATGGGAACATGCCTTTTGATACTACTACTGCACCTACCCAAACATTTCAACCCGTAGATTCGTATTCGGGAACTCTTCTCGAAGCATATTGGTGATCTTTGTAACAAGCTTCTCACGCTTTGTTGCCACTTGTTCATTGGGTATGGATGCCTGTTGTTGTATGCATGAGGTTAGTCCTTATCATTCATTACCTGTCCCCTACAAGCTTACCTTAAAATGCGTATCAATTTCATTCGAGAGCTTTAATGCCCATGATAACGGGATATGAATAGCACGAGGTGCGTTGGATGACGATGAAGACGATGATGGGGTATGAGATGGTAGTAATGAGGTGCCATTGACCACGGCAGTGACTGAAGAAGGAGTGGCTGATTGTTGTTGTTGTTGTTGTCGTGGTGGTGGCGAGGGTCGAACACAATGAGCATGATAAACGGCATGAAGACGATCTGATGGGGATGATGCTGCTTTTTGTGTACCATTCCAGAACTTTTGACGAATACTTGGAATAAAGTGATGGCTGTAGATGCTTGGATAGGATACTAAGAGTGCTCCATTCGGTGATCCTTTTCTTATCATGTTGATATGAGGCAAGATGCCCTGTGCATAGCGAGGATCCTTGATGTATTCCACGCTCGATTCAAAGATCTCGTATCCCCAGTCAAGTGACTCAGTCAAGTCGTCACCCAAACATCCCCACATATACTGCGTCTCCAGGAACCGCTTCAATGTCTTGTGCTGCTTGATACGCGACGCATAACAACGTGACGGATTCTCCTGCATCATTCGACAATGCAAGAATTCAACGCTGACAAGTTGAGGCGAATTGTATACATTGCCAGCCGTTCGCACGAATCCCTTGACTTGGTCCAATATGGTACGGTCACTTGGCCATTGTCGTAGTGTGCAATCTTTGATTTTGAGTTCCTTTCTCATTGGAGGGGTCGTATGGAATGTGAGGCGTGTTGTGTGAATGGGGTTGCGTCGTGTCCAATTGGCCTTGTGGAATTGGCTTGTGTGTGAGTCTGGTTTAAGAAGTTGTCGTGCGTCAAAGCAGCAGCAGCCCCTTTCTCTTTTTGGTCAAAGACCGCTCCCTCCCTCCCTCTCTCTCTCTATCGCATCAATACCACCCACCAACACCCACACATACACACGCATAATATGGACATACCACAAATCCGACCTCTCGATACTCAAGTAATCAACCGCATTGCAGCTGGTGAGGCAAGTGCTCTCGTTAAAGAATGGGTCAATGGCTTTATCGCTCATGGAGAAAAAAACAGATCGTGCCACGACCAGCAGGTGCTCTTAAAGAACTGATCGAGAACTCGCTCGACGCTGGTGCGACGAATATCAGTATCCTTGCCAAAGATGGTGGATTGAAGTTGTTACAGATACATGATAATGGTCATGGTATTCGAGTAAGTCTTTGCAAAAGGAATGCATGAATCATACAGGCTTATTCATTATGGCTTGTCAATCATCTTAGCGTGAAGATCTACCCATTGTTTGCAGACGCCATACGACAAGCAAGCTCAGAACCTATGATGACTTACAACAAATTGGTACCTATGGCTTTCGTGGCGAAGCATTAGCAAGTATATCACACGTGGCCCATCTCACAATCACGACCAAGACGCGTGGTTCTCAAGCCGCGTTCAAGTAAGTCCCCCAAATGCATATCCTTCGGAGCACAATGAATCCTTATACACAATCATTCTCCTAGAGCAACGTATACTGATGGCGAATTGAATGGTGATCCAAGGCCTTGTGCTGGCAATGATGGTACACAAATCATGGTAAGCAACGGATCGCTTTTTTCCTGTAATGTTGATATTGATAATGATGATGATTTCAAGGCCGAAGATCTCTTTTATGATATGCCGACGCGACTCAAGTCCTTCAAGTCACCCAGCGAAGAATATAACCGTATCTTGGATGTTGTCGGGAGATATGCCATTCATAATTCCTCCGTGGGATTTACATGCAAAAAGGTACAGTACATGCTTATTTATTTATGCAAGATGATGTGGTCTTTTACTGTTATTGATTTCCCTTCCTGGTCTAGCGTGATGCCACCACTGCGGATATCCAAACTAGCACCACAAACAATGCCAAGGATACCATTCGACTGATATATGGATCGACGGTGGCGAATGAATTGTTATCAGTGGAGGAGGATTATCCGATATTGGGTTGCAAAATGACTGGCCTTATCACAAGTGCTGATTATAGCGAGAAGCGCATGCGATTCTTATTGTTCATCAACCGTAAGTGAGTGGGATGTCATTTGTACTTGAAGCATACTTATACACACCCATGGATATAGATCGCTCAGTGGAAAGCTCAAGCTTGAAAAAGGCAATCGACGACGTCTACTCACTATTGCTACCCAAGGGAAGTCATCCATTTGTATACTTGAGTCTGGAAGTGAATCCAAGGAATGTGGATGTTAATGTTCACCCAACCAAGCGAGAGGTGAGTGGGTATTTATACATGCCAAGGGATTACATGGACTGATTATAGATTCGCTATGCTAGGTGACGTTGCTTAATGAAGACCGAATTGTGGATGCGATCACAAAGACAATGCAAGAGCGACTTGAAAACGCCAATTACTCACGTACATTCTATACCCAGGTAAGTTTTTGAAGATCTTTGTATGATAATAGATACCCTGGTAACCTTCTCTCTCATTCTAGTCTGCACTTCCTGGAGCACCTCCGGTCCCTGAAAAGGATTCTCCCAGTATGTCGCTTATTCAAATTGTGGCATTTCTTCCACTCATGGTATATAACATTTAGGATCTGATAAGGGCAAAAAGGTGGCAGCATACAACATGGTGCGAACCGACAGCAGAGCAAAGACCTTGGATACCTATGTGCAGCGACGACCGATTCTTTCAAGTCCAAGAGAAGACTACAACATAGCCGAATCAAGCAGCAGCAGCAGTCATCCTCAACCTATGGACATTGTTCAAGAACCGTACGTTATCATATATCCGATATACAACAAGGGCTGCCTTCTTACGTCCCATGTAGATCAACTGAAACGCGTGCAACAAAGAGACCAAGGATTACTGTGAGGATCAAGAGCATTGACAGATTAAGGGCAGCAGTGAACCGTTCAAAGCACAATAGTAAGTTTTCATTTGGATATGCCGATTAGAGGTGACTGACATGATGTAAAACTAGCTTTGACAACCGTGTTGAGCAATCATACATTTGTTGGTTGTATCGATGATACCCTTGCACTCATTCAGCATATGCGCGACCTTTATCTCATCAACTATGCAGTGTTCAGGTATGCTCAGGGAAGAAAAAGAAGGTATCCATCATAGCGACTAACATCGATCGTGTAGTGAAGAGCTCTTTTATCAGGTTGTGCTTGCAGAATTCAGCAACTTTGGCCGGCTCAAACTTACCATACCATTGGTGGTCTTTGATTGTATCATGATTGCATTGGATACGGAGGAACACAAAGGAACACTACCACCTGAATTGGGATCGAAGGATCATGTGGCAGGGGTATGTTGTGGGTCATTGTTGGTGCTGCTTACAATGAATGTATGCTTACCATGGGGATATTTTAGGAAATCACAAACATGCTGGTATCACGTGCTGATTTGCTCTATGATCACTTTGGTGTCAAAATTGCATCCGACGGCTATCTCATTGAGTTACCCATGCTGCTCAAAGGCTATATTCCAACCATGGACAAGCTGCCACTCTTTTTATTACGGCTGGGCACCGAGGTAAAAGGGGTATACAATGGCTGATACAAACCATGTGGGTGGCTCATTTGATTTATTTTTCAGGTTGATTGGGTGAATGAGGAAAAATGCTTTGATGGTGTTGCACGTGAGCTTGCCATCTTTTATAGCGCTGAACCACCATTGGAACCACCAGCAGCTTCCGAGACCGAGAAACGACAATATCGACAAGAGCATGAAAAGTACCGATGGCAAGTGCAGCATCTCATTTTCCCAAGTTTCAAGACATCCCAATTCGTGGCACCAGAACATGTAGCCGATGCTGAAGCTGGATACGTTAAACCATTGACGAGTCTAAGTGCCTTGTTCAGGATCTTTAAACGTTGCTAGAGAGAATAGATACCATGTTTCATGTAACTTTGTTGTGTCCAATGTAAACAAAGATGAATTTATTCGAGTGCAGCAAAAATTCCAAACACCAATGCATGCATGTCTTTCCTTCTATGTTTCGTAACAAAGAACGAATGTTACCAACCAGCATACGTAACGCAACGATTGCGTCAGGTAGTTATACCATCGTGATCATGACAAGTATGGTTTACATTCTTCATATAATATAGAGCATAGAGGAGTAGGAGGAAGCAGGATGCATGGCGCCACACGTAAACAATTGGCACTCGGCATCTTGGTTGCACAAAATACCGCTTTAGTGCTCATGCTACGATACTCACGCACATCCAAGGCGGATGATGATGAGCCAATGTATATTGCATCGACGGCTGTTGTGATGGCGGAAGTGATCAAGATGATTGTATGCTTGATAGCATTGTATATGGAGCAGCCACTCCGTTTCAGACATGCCATACGGTGCGACGTGTTGAGCAAGGAAGCGTTAAAAATGGCTGTGCCAGCAGGATTGTATGCGCTGCAGAACAATTGGTTGTACGTGGCTTTGAGCAATCTGGAAGCAGCAGCATTTCAAGTGACCTACCAACTCAAGACACTATCAACGGCTGTGTTTTCGATTGTGCTTCTTGGACGTACGATTGACACTACCCAATGGATTGCCCTCGTGTTACTCATGGTTGGCGTCACCCTTGTGCAGCTACAGGTGGAACAAAAGACACTGGAGACATCTAAAAGTGAAAACCCATTACTGGGGCTTGTGGCTGTACTTGCAAGCTGTGTCTCTTCAGGATTTGCAGGATGCTATTTTGAACGCCTTTTGAAAAGAACCACCACATCCATGTGGGTACGCAATTTACAGCTCGGTGTATTTGCATTAATGTTTTCAGTGGTGGCTATGGCGACAAATGATGGATCTCGCGTGATGGAGCAGGGATTCTTTGTTGGATATCATTGGCTTACATGGCTTGTTATCTTTAACCAAGCCTTAGGTGGTCTTGTGGTTGCCATGGTGGTGAAATATGCAGGTGGGTGCAGCAAAGATAGGAGGACACGTGCATAGATTGGCTAACACTTATTTGTTTATGATGATGATGATGATAGATAACATTTCCAAAGCGTTTGCTACGAGTGTATCCATTATATTGTCAAGCGCTATCAGTTTTTATTTCCTTGATTTTGAACCTTCATGGTTTTTTATGATGGGAGCAATGATGGTGATATGTGCTACAGTGCTTTACAGTAAGGCACCTCGGCGTAAAGCGACATGATTTGGAGAGACGATCGTACGGGGCGAAATCGAGGGGCTGATCGGATTTTTTCGTTGTCCGCACGATCGAGCAAGAGGAGGGGAGATACGGCGGCAACCAAGAAGTTCCTTCCTTCACTCCCTTCGCATCTCAATCAAGTCAATATGGGTAAGTGAATATGGCGAATACATCAAAAAGGCATCTTGGATTGCATCTGTTGTTGATGGATGGATCACGGGTCCTTTGGATGAATGTGTGTGGGAATCATTTCTAACAAACTCTATTCTCTCTCTTTCCCACATTGGCTGGTTTTGTTTATTGCTTGTCATGAATAGTGGTAAGTGTCTAAAAAGCTCTTCTCTAACAACACCAAACAGTCGTCTCATTGCTATGATTCCATCGTCTAGAACTTTACTGTTGAGGAGATCCGTGGTTTGATGGTAAGTTGAAATGCACCCATTGATAAGCATCCGCAGCAGCTTTACTCATCCTTTTTCCCATAGGACAAAGTTACCAATGTCCGTAACATGTCCGTCATTGCTCACGTCGATCACGGCAAGTCGACTTTGACCGACTCTTTGGTGTCCAAGGCTGGTATTATCTCTGCCGGTCGTGCTGGTGAAACTCGTTTCATGGATACCCGTAAGGATGAACAAGAGCGTGGTATTACCATCAAGTCCACTGCTATCTCCATGTATTTCCCTTTGGCTGATCCCAAGGATGTTGAGGAAATCAAGGGCCAAAAGGTCGATGGTATGTTGTTTGCATGTAAAGGATGATACGAACCTTTGATTGACTAATACCTCTTCTTTCTATATGATAGGCCACGAATTCTTGATCAACTTGATTGATTCTCCTGGTCACGTTGATTTCTCTTCTGAAGTCACTGCTGCCCTTCGTGTCACTGATGGTGCTCTTGTTGTCGTCGATTGTATTGAAGGTGTCTGTGTCCAAACCGAGACCGTCTTGCGTCAAGCCCTTGGTGAGCGTATCAAGCCCGTCATTGTCATCAACAAGATCGATCGTGCTTTGCTCGAATTGCAATTGGAGAAGGAAGAACTCTACAACGTATGTATATTATTCATCATCTTTATCAATGTTGAATGGCTTTATTCATCTTTTATTCCTTTATTTAGGCTTTCTCCCGTACCATCGAATCCGTCAACGTCATCATTGCCACCTACTTTGATGAAGCTCTTGGTGATGTCCAAGTCTATCCTGAGAAGGGTACCGTTGCTTTCGCTTCCGGTCTCCACGGTTGGGGTTTCACTCTTCGCCAATTCGCTGTCCGCTACTCTAAGAAGTTCGGTGTTGACAAGGAGAAGATGATGCAACGTCTTTGGGGTGAGAGCTACTTCAACCCTAAGACCAAGAAGTGGACCAACAAGGGCACTGATGCTGATGGCAAGCAATTGGATCGTGCCTTCAACATGTTCGTTTTGGACCCCATCTACAGAATCTTCGACTCTATCATGAACTTCAAGAAGGACCAAACCGCCACTCTTTTGGAGAAGCTCGAGATCAAGCTTACCAACGATGAGAAGGATCTTGAGGGCAAGCAACTTCTTAAGGTTGTCATGCGCAAGTTCTTGCCTGCTGGTGATGCCCTTTTGGAAATGATCTGTATCCACTTGCCTTCCCCCGTCACTGCCCAAAAGTACCGTGTTGTCAACTTGTACGAAGGTCCTACTGATGATGAGTGCGCTGTTGGTATCCGTGATTGTGACCCCAACGGTCCTCTTATGATGTACGTCTCCAAGATGGTTCCTACCTCCGATAAGGGTCGTTTCTACGCTTTCGGTCGTGTCTTCTCTGGTACCATCCGTGCTGGTCTTAAGGTCCGCATCCAAGGTCCTAACTACGTCCCTGGTCAAAAGAACGATTTGGCTATCAAGTCCATTCAACGTACCGTTCTTATGATGGGCCGTAACACTGAAGCCATTGATGACTGCCCTGCTGGTAACATTATTGGTCTTGTTGGTGTTGATCAATTCTTGGTCAAGTCTGGTACCATCACCACCTCCGAGTCCGCTCACAATATGAAGGTCATGAAGTTCTCTGTTTCTCCTGTTGTGCAAGTTGCCGTTGATGTCAAGAACGCCAACGATTTGCCCAAGCTCGTTGAAGGCCTTAAGCGTCTTGCCAAGTCCGATCCTTGTGTCTTGACCTACACCTCTGACTCTGGTGAACACATTGTTGCTGGTGCTGGTGAACTTCACTTGGAAATTATCTTGAAGGATCTTGAAGAGGATCACGCTCAAGTCCCTATTCGCACTGGTGACCCCGTTGTCCAATACCGTGAGACCGTCACTGCTGAGTCTTCCATGGATTGTTTGTCCAAGTCTCCCAACAAGCACAACCGTATCTACATGCGTGCCGCACCTTTGGATGATGAGCTTGCTAACGAGATCGAAGCTGGCAAGATTGGTCCCAAGGATGATTTCAAGGCTCGTGCTCGTATCCTTGCTGATAAGTATGAGTGGGATGTTACTGAGGCCCGTAAGATTTGGTGTTTCGGTCCCGATGCCACTGGTCCCAACCTTGTTGTTGATGTCACCAAGGCTGTTCAATACTTGAACGAAATCAAGGACTCTTGTGTTGCTGCTTTCCAATGGGCTACCAAGGAAGGTCCTCTTGCCGAAGAAAACTTGCGTGGTACCCGCTTCAACATTCTTGATGTCACTCTTCACGCTGATGCTATCCATCGTGGTGGTGGTCAAATCATTCCTACCTTCCGCCGTGTTGTGTATGCTTCCATGCTCACCGCTCAACCTGGTATCCAAGAGCCCATGTACCTTGTCGAAATCCAAGTTCCCGAAAGCGCCATTGGTGGTATCTACTCTGTTCTCAACCGTCGCCGTGGTGTTGTCTTCTCTGAAGAACAACGTCCTGGTACTCCTATGATGACCGTCAAGGCTCACATGCCCGTCAACGAATCTTTCGGCTTCACTGCTGATCTTCGTGCTGCCACCGCTGGTCAAGCTTTCCCTCAAGCCGTCTTCGACCACTGGTCTGCTATGAGCGGTGATCCTTTGACCCCTGGTAACAAGGTCTACGACATCATCCGTGCCGTCCGTAAGAGAAAGGGTCTTGTTGAGGACATTCCTGGCCTTGACAAGTACTACGACAAGTTGTAAATTGCATAGACTCGTCCTTTTTCTAGACCTTTTTATTATACACATTTCCTCTTCCACCATCCTCAACCATTTGCAATTCGTGCATAATATCCTCGTTCTTTTTTAAAGCGCGTCGCTCTACTGCACATAAAGGAGAAATAAATTCTTTTTGTTCCAAGGGATTTACACCAGTGATAACATTTCAAGTGATTGGGATATGGGTTGGCTATATGATTTTGCTTCAAGTATACGTTTTGTGTTGATGCCGTAGTGCATAAACCTTCATTCTTATAGCTGTCTTCGTTCGACGAGCTTTTTGTTTATCGATTCAAATGATAATACAGCATTCTTGTCAAGCAAAATGAAGAAAGCTTTGGTATATGATGCATTTACAAGGATCCACCTTCTACTCTAAATCACCCGCCATGCCAATTTACATCTATAACCAAATACGAGCACCACACACATACGTAATAAATATGGCCATACGACGATGACCATTGTATAACTTTACTAAGATACTTGGAATACAATACAGGAATGAAGGAGGTATCTAATAAGAGGCATGAGCTGTTGTGTGTAACGTCTAATCAAGGAGATCAATGACAGCTATAAAGCGGATAACGTTATTAGTATGTTGTATAGCAATTTGTGCCTTAGCGCAATGACTTACCTTGTACTCCTAAACATGCAGCCATGATACCCAACATGGCGAGACCATCGAGTGTTTCATAAGAGGTGCTTGTTAATGCAAAGAAAATGATAGCATTAAGCACACGTGCAGTGCAAACAATGGATGCCATTTTAGCTGTATAATGCCACGTGTGTATGTTAGTATTAATTCATGTTGCAATTGCTGCCTTATCACTCACCTCCTTCGACTTCGGTGTTGACGAGCTTGATCAATGCATTCAGGATAAGGATAAGACCTCCGGCAACCCAAAATGATTTATACACATAGCTTGGATCAATATGGCTCAAGGGAGATTCCTCCGATGCCACTGCCGATGCTGTTTGAGCGAGTGCTTTGAATAAGGTACTAGTGCTGTGCTCCGCTGTTGCTTCCTCAACGCCTTCCAAGAGTGCAGCGGCACCACCTTCTGCATAAATGCTAATGGTGTCGCTGAGAGCAATACCAAAAGCGACCTGGCATAGGTGGAGTGGGAAATGCAGGTACATCCATAATTGGCTCATACGGACTTGGCTCAACACTTCTTTGCTGAAATCATCAAAGTACATGAAAAAGTACAAGAAAATGATAACAAGGCCAAACATGTTTGCGATGCTATAATGCAACAACGTGAGCATGGTTGTGGATAATAATGAAGGCGTTGTACTTACACGACGCGTGTTTCTGTTCCCGTTTCCATGACAGTGCGGATGAAGCCCATGCAATTTTCACCCAATACAATGATGGTAAACAACGCAAAACGCTCACCCAAATGGCTTGCACCCAAGGATACTTGCTCATTTGTCTTCATAAAGACCATGTGCACAAGGACTTCAACAAAGATGGACACATACCACAAGCCAAATCTTGATCCACGGTCATCTGGGAATAGCAACGAGATACCCCATAGCAACAATGCAAGAGCGTGAGCACTAACATAGCCAGCCAATGCAGTGCGTGCCTTGGATCCCGATATGAAAGCTGGTATCAATACAACGCTGTATTCAACCAACAGCACTGCTTTCATAACTATACATGGCAATTTAGTATCAAAGCGTGTGATAATAAGGTTGCATTATAGTTGTCACTTACCCATATAACCGATAATAAAGCCACGTGGGTTGTTCCAAAAGTCACTGCTTGCACCGGCCATGCCGACAAGACCACACAACTCAATAACCTTATAAATGTGATGCACAACATCCGCATTGTCGTATCGAGACGAGTATAAAGCGCTGGCACACCATGTCCACCACATGACTACAAACCACGAAGCATAGATACCCAATTGCTCTTGATCCACAATGTGGTGTTCATGCGTAAAAGTGGCAAGGATACCAACATAAAACACATCACCAAATAGCTCAAGCCACGTGGCGGATGTTTCTTCACCAATTTCATCCGAAAGATCGGGATCTGGTAGCATGAAAATGGGGCGTCGACTAGGACCTCTCTCTTCATCCTCGTCGTCAGGCAAATAAAACTTGATTTCAAGATACACATTTTCGCTCAAATCAATGACGATGGGTGCCATGTCACCATCAGCTGTCATGGAACGCTTTTGAAGAGCCTGCTCTGTTGGTGGTTGAAGAAGTTGTGGTTTTTCATTTGAATCAACAGGTTGCTGTGTTTCTGGTTGCTGCTTCTCTTCTTGTTCAGGTTGCTGTTGCTGCTGTTTTTGTTGTTGCACGATTGTCTCAGATGGCGCTATCTCTCGTTCTGCATCAAAAAAGATCAATGATCATGCTGCTTTTGTCAACAAACAAATGCAACCTACTCTTATTGGGCACAGCCTTATGAATTTTGAGCGAGTACATGCGACGCGTCTTGTGGAAAAAGTCAATAAGATCATCAGTGTTCTTGATAACACGTAAGGTGAGGATTTCTTCATCACTTAGGAGTAGCTACATGCATTGGCGGAGAGCCGATCACATCCGCGTTAGTAAATGTGGTACAAGATCTCCCATTACATTAGACCCGAGAATGGGGCAAAGCCGCCAAGAAGGCTGAAGCACACACGCGCATCACAAAAATCTTCAAACTTACCGGATCTTTGAGCTTCTCAACAACATCATCGGTGATACGAATTTTCTGATCACCCATCAAGTGCCGAAAATGGATCACTGCCACATTGTGGATTAGGTATTGGAGCTCTTTGTTGACGTTTCAAACACTTACCACAGCGCACCATCGGCTCCCTACATTCATGTGTGGCAAAACAAGGGAAAATGGAAGTGTGTGAGTTGATTCATGCTCATGATCCTGTTACTCTCCCTTCCCAAAATGGTATTTACAGATGTGCAGTGCTTAACGATACGGCATCCCCATCTACAGGTGCTGCTTTGAGATGATGTTCCTTCTCCCAATGTTCACGTTCTTCTTTGAATTCTTGTACACGTTGACGATGGGCTTCAAATTCCTTGATGGGATGCAACACGATATCACCAAAGGTCTCATGACCAATTTTGGCACGCAAAGGACGACCAAAGCGATCATGAACAACATGTGAGGCACGACGTCGTAAAGATGAACCATGCGTAAAGGATGATCGAGATGAACGGTGACTAAGCCGAGTGGATCGTTGATCTGATGCTTCAAAAACCTCTTCACCATCAAAGGTAGGGGATGCCTCGATATCAAATGGATGATGTTGCACATGGGGAAGATGTCGCTGTTGATGATGATGATGCCGTCCAGGACGACTAATAGTCAATCCTCGAGGAGTGTTTGCCATGATATTGTCTCAGCAAGTAAACAGAGGGATGTCTGCACCCAGGAACACTAGCGATGACAAGTGAGGGGGAAAGAAGAAGAAAAAGGAAAAATACAAATCAAGGATTCGGACTGATGTTGTCCATGTTGTTTTGGGCCGGAGCAAAAAATCAGCAAAGAGAGAGCAAGGGCGATGTGCTCTATCGATTCGTTAAACATGGTACCTCAATAGTAATCCCACAACAAGCTCGGGAGGTGAATCAGCTGAATACCAATGTTCACTCGCACACAAACCAAATATGCATACGGCCTTTCACCTTTTAGGATTGGGTGCCGTTTTCATAAACATTGGTAGGCGAAAAATTCATCACATCCTGTGCCTGGTGTGGTACCGTAAGTCTGCACAAGCCCATTTTAATGGGTGCCGATCATTTGCTGGGATATTATATCCCGCTTAGACACACGTATTACCGTGTTTGTGTCCCCTTTGCAATCATACCAAGATCATTTGCCACACCTTTTCACAGGAACGGCGTTTCATGCGCTCACCCGAGTAAACGTACATATATATACATATACATCCATAGTGATAAGAAAGGTAAAAAAGACAACATAGGGCGGGGTACACAAGCTTTTTATGCACCTGTAGCTTCTTTTACTACCATGACGATAGCTTGCATCTGACGCCACACAAGGTGCATTTCACTTGAAAGGGATAAAAAAAAGTCCGCAAAAGAGCTTTTTGCGTTTTAGCGCTTCCCGAATTTCCAACAACTCTAGCAAATCCATGCACATGTCTTGTGTACCTAAACATGATAAAACGGCCTGTTTGAGTCACTTGCTTCAAACATGTATCATGACATTCTTCACTTCCGGAAAGCTACAGGGGATGCACACATTTGGACGTGAAGAGTGGTGTGATGCTCAAAACTTGCTCGAATGATTTTTTCAACTGCGTTGCCTCAGCAGGGTGTATATAAAATGAAGGTGGTGTGGTGTTGGTGATGTATGCAAACAAGCATACTGTACATCTCATTCTATCGTTGTCATATAAATTAGCAGTTTCCATAGCAACCAAAATGTCAGCACTTTCTCGATTCGCGAAGCAATCCATCAAGCCTGAAGTGATACCATTACTGGTTATTGTTGGTGGGGCCTTGACAGGAGCCGTTTACATTGGTGTGCACGCTGCCAAGGCACCCGATGTAGCATGGTTCGTACATAAGGCTACCTTGACAAATGCCATCGTTGGTGATTGTAACAGCCTTTTTCTATACACATAGGGATCATAAGGAAAACCCGTATCCATGGCAAGATGTCAAGGTAAATACAATGAGTGCAACTTTATATCCCTTTGACTGATATCACATTTCAACTACAGGATGGCGAGCAAGTCAAGCTGATGGCATTACAACAAAAGTACAAGAACCGATGGGAGCGATACAGATGGTAAAAGCGACCATAAAACAGCGTTTTCATTACCGCACACTCCACATGTAATGGTGCGAGCAATGGCATGTAGGGTGCTTCGCCTCTCTTTCTGACGCAAAAAAGTGAAAACCAGTGTTTTACAAACATACCTTTCTTTACAATCTTCAACACCAAAGCAATGTAATAGCCCAATCACAAGCAATGAATATAATATATATTGTGCAGATCAATGGGTGTTGGTGATACAAGCAATACTTACATTGGGATAAATGTATTGTGATCAGTGGAGGACGAAGTTTGGAAGACATGGGATGCTAAAACGTTATTTGATTTCGAATTTGAATAACGCGAGCTGATCATTTAAAGGGGTACAGGTGCTGATTTTTGCCATGACAGCTTATGCAATGAAGAGGCATCATCCAAACTACTACCTCATGGACATTGCCAGAACAAATAGGATGATTCCTATTGGTGGAGGATGCATGATCGATCGTTCCCTTGCCTGCCTATAGTAATGTCCGCCTATGGTTGCCTGTATGCAATGCTCTGTTCTCATGTATGTGATATCCTAGGATAGTGTTAGCTGAAGAATACCATAGGTGGTAAATATGGTGTGGTAATGTGCTCGTGCCATATCGTATCATAGGTCACTCTTCTTTTTCAACATAATGAATTAAGCATACAATGAACCAAGCTAAGCTTTTTATGTAACAAGCAGTAATGTTGGGCATCATCACTCTTGAATTTATTATCTTTGCAACACGATCATTAGAGGATTCTCAATGCTTTTCATCTACTACATAGCATGTGAACTATGAAGCTTTAGCGAATGATGCGTACGATGACGCAACTGATCCGATCCCTCTTGCCAATCTTCAAGTTTCAATCCACCCCTCTTAATCCAAAAGTAATCCAAATGACCCACATCTTGCACATACAATGAAAGATAGAACGATACCTTTCTTAATAATTGTTGAATCCAATTTCATTCAATGAACGTCAAAGAATAGCACATTCTAGTGTGGATGTTTATGAAGTAAATATGATAAAAGGACAGCATTGTAAATTGAATAGAGGTATGGGGGTTGAATCACATAGAGGTAAGGGGGAAGAATGCGTCATTGTATTCTCCTTCATCCGCGATTGTAAAGTAGCTGCTGCATGCATTAACTCGAGCATTCCAATATCATCCATAGATGTAAACACCTTTTGTCAATTCCACCCTATCCATCATGATCCTCAGCTGTATCCAGGTGAATCCTTCATCCCTGCTTCCAACGCAACAAGTAATCAAGATGATCCTCATTTGCAGCCATCCATCCACCATCACCATCCCAAATCCAATATGTGGGTAGAAAGCAGCCCTAGAGATTGCTGTTGATATTCTTCCTTTTTCCATCCAGTCCTTGGTTTCTCTCTTTGTTGGTTATTTTCCATGCAGCTCAACCAGCTGGAGTTTACTCGCATTGCGGCGTACCGGATGGGTGATGTGGTGCCATCCAAACTTGACAGCACGTTCTGAATTAGCCAAGGGAATTCAACGCGTTGTGTATATCCAATTCCTTCCATCCCATATACCAAATCAGTATCCATATCCATATCCATATCCATATCCATATCCATAAGTAATCGTATGTATTGAACAAAATTGCAATGCGTAAATAAAGCTGCTTCTATACAGTGGCTAGGTGCTGTTCACGTGAACAAGGCCGTACGTCAAGTTGCTGCAAGTAAAGAATGCTGTTTGAGACGATGGAGTAGAGGCCTTGCTAATAGCAATTGCTAGAATGGATGCTGTTACGATTGGTTGTGGTAGAGGAGCGTGCAAGAGCGTGTGTTGTGTCAAGAGATTCGTGTGTTGTAGATGAGTGACAACAAGGCTGTGTACACGCCATGGAGTTGCCATTCAGTCAAAGGCAATCGGATCAATGCAGTTGTAGGAATGACATGATGGGTTGAAGCAGGATAATCGTTCGCATGGTGGTAGTTGTGCTTGAATGCACCAACAGTTGAGAATGGGTGGAAGAGACAAGACGTTGGCGAGAGGAAGGAGTGGAAATTAAATAGGTCGGACACCTCTTGTATAAATGCATGAACACTGTACATCAATCCTTGATATTGACATTTCCCCTTTCGAACCTCAAACTTTCACACAAGGTGCTCTTGGTCACGCTGATCATGTTGATCTAAAAAAGACCTCATGTTTCATTTGAAATTTTGGAATGGGAGGGTACAATGTGGGTTTACTATGTAAATCGGAAATGGAGGACAGCGCCGATTCATGATTTATCGAAATAGTATGTATTACATTGGGATTCCCCATTTCGAACGTGAAACTGGGTCTGAAGCTTCGCTGGGACATGCTGATCAACTTCATTCATTTAAAAGTCGCAGACTTCATTGTGAAAATTTAAAATGCGGGGCGATCCAAATGGTGGATGATGGGAAATAAAGAGCGGACAGCCGACCTCCCCGAAGTTGCCCACCTCCAACTTGAAAATTGGTCAGTAAGGTGCTCTCGAGCATGCTGATCAATTTGTTCTAATAAAGACTCCATGTTCATTATCACAATTTTGAATGGGAGCGTCCACAAGTTTGAAAGACGGAGACATTCGCAGGGTCTGCGATTCACTAATTTACAGATTCGCTTGTTAGGCGTAGCTCAGTCAAATCGGCTCGGATCACGAAGATGAAAAGATGGAAATGATAGGCTGGAGCAGGAGAATCGTTCGTATGCAGTGGATTGGGCAGCAATGCTGATTGGATAAAAATGAATGTTAGCTGCCAATGTATGAACTGCAAATGAAGCTTGCGTACCTGTCAAGTATTGTCCCTGTAGAGGTCCTGGGTTTAACTCAGTTGCACAAAGATGTCCTTCTGCATCTTTGGCTCTCCAGGGTTTAGCTACTTGACAATGAACAAAGACCACTTCTCATATAGCATCACGCTTACAAACATAAAGGTGCCTGTATCTCCAAACTTTACAATGAAACGTGTGGTTTTTATTAGAGCAATGTGCTCGGCTTGGCCAACAGCACCTTGTGTGAAAGTTTCGCGTTCAATGTCGCAACTAGCCCAAAAAATATTTTTTTTGGTCGTCGTCGTCGAAGAGGTCGACCCTCAGATCCAGTTTGGCTGGTGGCGACATTGCGAAATCTGGGATTGGAAAGCTTGATCGCGAAACGTTCACACAAGGTGCTGTTGGCCAAGCCGAGCACATTGCTCTATTCAAAACCCCACGTTTGATTGTAAAGTTTGGAGATATAGGCACCTTTATGTTTGTAAGCGTGATGCTATATGAGAAGTGGTCTTTGTTCATTGTTAAGTCGCTGGACCCTGGCAGAGCAAAAGATGCAGAGGGTCCTCTTTGTGTAACTCAGCTACGTTTGCATGAATGAAAGGGTCAATGTATAATTACTTTATGGATCATCTAGGAACAGGCATGTATTGCCAGCTAACGGCCACTTTTATCCAATCATCATTGTTGCGAGATCCACTGCATGGGAACGATGCCCCTGCTCTAGACATTCATTTCCATGATTAAAGTAGGTTGATCCGAGTTGATTTGACTGAGCTGCGGTCAAAGAGAGATTACATCACTCTGGACATAGAGCACGCTCGATGTAGCTCAACCGATGTAATCTTGTGTGAGCGTAACTCAACCAAATCAGCTCGGATCAACCTACTTTAATCATGGAAATGAATGTCTAGAGCAGGAGCATCGTCCACCTACAATAGAATGCACAAAAGTTGTGAATGCACAAAAGTGGCTATTAGCTGCCAATGTATGACCTGAAAATGAGGGTTGCGTACCTATCATGCATTGTCCCCGAAGTCCTGACTTTTTAGCCGAGTTACCCAAAGAGGTCCTTCTGCACCTTTGGCTCTCCAGAGTCTAGCTACTTGACAATGAACAAAGACCACTTCTCATATAGCATCACGCTTACAAACATAAAGGTGCCTGTATCTCCAAACTTTACAATCAAACGTGGGGTTTTTATTGGCGCAATGTGCTCGGCTTGGCCAACTGCACCTTGGGTGCCAGTTTCACGATCAAGCTTGCCAATCCCAGATTTCGCAATGTCGCCACCAGCCAAACTGGATCTGGGGTTCGACCTCTTCGACGACGACGACCGAAAAATGTTTTTTGGGCTGTTTGCGACATTGAACGCGAAACTTTCACACAAGGTGCTGTTGGCCAAGCCGAGCACATTGCTCTATTCAAAACCCCACGTTTCATTGTAAAGTTTGGAGATACAGGCGTCTTTATGTTTTACCTATGAGCTGTAAGCGTGATGGAGTTGCTTTTTCCTAGTGGATGGTGTCGGCTGCATTAACGGAAAGATGAAGAGCTGAGTGAAACCGCACGTTTGGTTACACAGACACGTCCTTGACAGGTTGCTACACAAATGGATGATGTTGATGATTGCCTTTAGGATGGTATATAAGTAAACAACGGCCAATAGCAAAGTTTCATCAAGGTAATTGATTTATATGTGTACGTATACATCACGAATGGATGCATGTAGGTACATGATACATTGGGTTGAGCTGCATAAAACTGATTGATTTAATAATGGCGCACGGCCTTCATGACGCCACCTCCTGGCCACAGTAAAACTATGTATAACATAATTATGAGGACTATGTTCAATTGGAATCTCGATCAGTGGCTATTCTTATTTACCCAAATGTATAGTGTACTGGGGTATATATACACAGTGGCAACTGTAGCAAGCGGGGTGGCGTGGGGGTGCACAAATAGAGAACAATGAAAGGGAAGACAAAGAGTCCTCTCTTCTCCTCTCCTGCTTCACAATGCAAGGTAAGGCTAACTCCATTTACTAAATACAGAGCATTAACTGCTGCCATTGTTGCCTTCAATGCAGAGCATCAATGGGCGAACAGGTTGTCAATGGCGACACTTTCCAAGGCAACAAGTATACGCGCGGGATCTACATATGACTCAAGCTCCCATTGCGATGCAACGTGTACGTTCAATCGCTGCATTACTTTATTATTCAAATTGGACATTGAGATACTAAAGTTAACGTGTAGTTTGCTGTTCTCTCGTTTATACAACGTCCAAGAAGGCCCGTTGTGTGTCGCGTGTATTCTTTCCATGGCTGTCATCAAGGAGAGGTTCCCAACACATAGTTGCTTTGGGTATGTAGACACGAAAAGTGAATACCGTCCTTGTTATCTTACGTTGCATTTATTATAGCTTGAATACATTGGATCATGGTACCAGTGGTAGCAACAAGACATTGATTTCAAAGCAAGAACGCTGGGACATGTTTCACTGGTACGTAAGGTATTGGATCAACAAAGGAAGAGCTGTTGATTAACGAGTCTTACAAGGAAATAGCAGCAGCACTTCATGGATGGAATGGAGATCCGGTTATTGGAAGCAAAAAGCTATTGAGAAATACCACAAGGTAAAAGTGTTTATTCTGGGATCTTGTCGCCTTCCAGTGCACTCATGAAAGAAATAGAGTGGCAGGCTCTCTTTCAGTTGTATTATTACATCACGGCGGCATATCAAGGATGTCATCGTACTGTACCGTCTAGGTGTTGTGTTAGCGGAAATGGGTGCTCCACTGACCATGTCAGCAACAAGCAACAACCAGCAATCAGCAAGCAGCAGCAATGGCGATATCTTTGGTGCCGCTGACACTTCTTTCAACGCCTACTATTTTCATTGCATATGAGATGAACATCCTGCTACGCACAACGTTTCGGATATCAGATGGATCATGTGAGCAACAAGGAGCAGCTTCGATATCCTTCGGTGTCAGCAGGCTTTATTTCATCATCTTGTGGTTATCATTACCGTCAATTCCGTTGTTGGACATCTGCCAGCGCACATCTATTACAGATGCATCAAGTCATTGTTTGGTGAAAAACAGTCGACAGCATTCACCTTTCTATGGGAACCCCACAGCAAGGAAGTGATTTTGACTTGGTGGCATCATGCATCTTCGATCGCCATATGACTTTGGTAACTAATTGTCCCACGGCTTCGAGAGGCTAGGTTGTAACGTGTGGATCCCTAGGTCGACCATCCCATCAAGCCATCTTTGCTTAGTCATTGGTGCCTAGAAGATCTATTCGCTTTCCATGCAGCTGTCGTTGCCAAATCTTATTGCTTCTGAAGGAGGACAATCAACATTTGACTTTGGATGGCCATATCTACAGCAAGCAAGCAATCTTTGGACATAGCATACTCGATCATCTTATGATTATGATTGTCAATTACCCTCGCGATGCTACGTTTGCAAATCAGCTACCTGCAGCACCTCTCTTTTATTGATGGATCATCGTTGAGACGCTCGTTATCGATGCCAGGAACGGTTCTTTTCATGACCACATCGTGTGGATACCACTTCTCAAGTACCTGTATGGATGCCTTAGACGATTTCTCAGCAATCCAATGTTTTCGCGTGTGTCAAGGCCAGGTTTATTTGTGTGGAAAGACGGGATAACGGAATCACCTCCTTTGTTCCATTCAAGGTATTTAATCTACAAGCAGCAAGTAGAGGAAAGCGGGCTAAGTCCAATGCCACGACCTTTTTCATTGTAGGTCATCATTTGTAGTTGTCCTTGCCGTGAAATCACCAAAGAAACAAATGGAAAAGGATGGGATATTACATGCTTCCTTTTGGGTGTCAAGGAGAAGATATGGGAATCCATCAAGAAACATCTTGCTAGGGAAAAGGTAAGCCATGCTTGTCAATTCTACAAGAACCACATAGCCCAATCACCAACGATCCATGGCAAGAAAGGACATCATTTGGGAAATTAAGCTAGTGAGTTTACAATCGATAATATCAATGTATGGTTTTATTGTTGAATAGAAAATTATGTGATATACTATCTTGGTGGAGGAAGGATGAGAGGATGCCATTGTGTACTTGCAATGATTGTATTACTGGAGGGGAGATTGACATGGGAGGCATGATGTATGAATAAGCAATAGCACGTGATTTGACAGCGGACGCGAAGTTTGTGTTCAATTTGACATCTTTTTTTGCATGACATTAACCATAGTTGTATGTAGGACGATGGAATGTATTAAGGAAGCCGCATGAGACAATCATGATAATCAGACGATAGGGGTGATATGGCAGTGAAGAGAACGCACCCATGGTATATGTATATTCTCTCTCTCTCTCTCTCTCTCAAGTTTGTGTGACTGCAAGCAATCCACTTGCTGCTGTGCGATCTCAGTCTCTCATTGCTGGTATTGCCTGTGGTTCAAAGTAAGCCGACTCAAACCCCCACTCCTCACCAAAGCAACAACTTTTTGCTCCTCAATCACCGTTGATCGCTATGTCACAACCTCAGCAAGTTTATGTGGACGATCGGCAGGACTTGCGGGAAGAACAGGAGGCCGATGGGCCTCTTGGATCGCAAAGGATACGGGCGTCTATGTTATTTTTACACTTGTGCGTCCAAGTTGTCGACCACTTGGCTTCTTGCTATTCAATATGGCCTTTTATGCTTCCAGTGCCGTCAACAGCAACCGTATATCACCAAGAGATCCAAACACCCATGGACCTGCTCACGCTGGAGAACAAAGTGTATCGTGGACACTATAAGAACTTTGGCCAGTTCCAAGACGATCTCGTGCTCATTTGGAAGAACGCTCAACGCTTTCACCATGATCCCACTACGCCCATTCATCGTATGGCTAACGATCTCGAACGACGATATCATGAGTTTATGCAGCCTCTGCTAAACGGCAGGTATGTTGTCTTTATTTTATTATGCTATACACAGCTATTGTTGGGTGCCATTATTTGCAATGCTGGGGGGAATAGCCACGTAAAATAGCATTTATTCATGCATGAATGTACACACCCTCATTATAGGTCTATCATTGTACCTGAAAGAACATCACCAACTGCTGAAGAGACTGATTTATCGCTACCTATGTTTACCGAGGTGTCTCCAGAAAGGTATGGTTGCGTCGGGTTGGAAACGGTTGGCATGGGATACCTACATTGCTAACACCTTTTATGCGAAAAGCTCCCTATATTTCATGCAATTGACTTTACCAGAGGAGAAGGCAACCAAGAATAGAATCGTCAAAGGATATTCGGATGTGATCGACATTTACAATCAATTGAATGGAGGCTTCTATCGTGCAGTTAATGCTATCAAGGAAGGGCGTTTTTTACATCAAAGACCACTGCCTCGGATGTACATATGCAAGAATCGTACACTCTTGCTTGAATCACAATCAAGGTCGAATGGTGTAGTTGCAGTGTTCACAAACATGGAGCTGAAGCCATATACCAGTTTGGATGATGAACGACTTACGCATGTAATTGGCGACGTGGCTCTAGTACGTCCACTAGGCAAGCCGGTGGACTTTGATATCAGCAATGCGGATTCACGCTTGTCAACCGAGTTCTTACCGAAAGCATGGATGAAGGTCAAGATTGTCAAAGTTATACCTGGAGTGCAGGCTGTGGTTACACTTGCAATGAAGAGAGCTCTTTTTTATCGACCTTACAGCACACATCGCATATCCAACAATCGAGATTTAAGAACGAGTGCCAGCGACGTACATCTTACTCGCCTTTTCACGAGAGCTGTTTTGGATGGGAAAACAAGTTTGAATGATCCAAGCACATATCAAGTACCAGCAGAAGTAGCATCGTCTTTTGTTTCATCGAGTAAAAGAAGATCATCATCATCCACAGCAGCTTCGCAGGCATCAACACCATCACATTCCTCCTCATCCATATCATCTCCTTCGTCTTCTCAGCAGCAATTTGAGCAGATTAAACGACGAAAGATTAATTCATCCACATACACATCCAATGACGATGTACATAAGCCTTCTTCATCATTATCATCATCACCTTCAAGCGCCATGCAAGCTCAGCAGCAAACACCATCACCAAACTTTGACCAACAGGTGCCAATCTTATCTCGATTTTCTTCGGTGGATGATAATCCACAGCATCCAGTGACTCCGCCAGAATCTCATCATAACACGGAGAGTCTTTCTTTCACAAAGTACCTTGATCCAACCAACGACGAATCCATGCAAGCTGAAGATACAACTGAGAATCGAGAATATTACATCAATCAATCAAAGGAATTGTGGGAAAAAGTGCTTCAGCGTAAGTGACACGATATGCAGAAATGTTTATTTATGCAATGCTAATCAACGTGTATGGTGGTACCGATTTAGTGTGTGACAACAAAAACGTGCCAATTATTCATGTCAACAAGTACTTGAGAAACACGACGTCTTTCCCAAATGCTGAAGGGTACTTCAAGCATGTTTACTACGTCCAGAATGATCCATCCGTGGTTGTTCAAACATTTCGAAGAATGACCATCACACAACGAACGACAGAGTTGGTGACGCTATTGGCAGTGCACAATATACCACACATGGCGCAAATCTTGGAGGTGTTGAAAGAGGACAATGGCGAGATCATTGGATTATCAATGGAGCGATATCAAAAGACACTCAAACAGTACACCCACAAGCATACGCATCATCGGTTGACAGCGTATCAAAAGATGGATATCATTCAACAATTGCTTGTGTGTATGCGTGAGATTCATGCGCTTGGTATTGCACATCGCGACTTGTCGGAGGTCAACTTTATGGTGAATGAATCAAAGGAGCAACTTAGAGATGGCAGCCCACGTGCTCATGTATACCTGATCGACTTTGGCAAGGCAATTTTCACCAAGCCTGAGGATGTGCGACGATGGTGGGTTGATCGACCGCCATTACGAGAAGGTGAATACGAAGGTGAAGTGCTCCCTGAAAATCAAGCTGAACTTGACAAGTGGTGCGAGCATTTACCTTGGGTGCGTTGCAAGCCTGACCATGGCTACCGGCACTATCGTTCCATTCAAACGTTACCACGGACACGCATGGATCAAGAGACACTTCCATATCTTGTTCATCCTATCGCTGAAGACATTTATTCCATTGGCACGCTTATTTGGAAGACGTTTGCTGATAGTGAACCATGGTATGGGATCCTGGATACCGATTTACGCGGCTTACGAGAACGCGTTCAAAATGATTACACCATTGATGCGGCACTCAATCGTGAAGTATCTGGTGAATTGAGTCGTGAATTGCTACGTTTCTGTTTGCGTGCAAGTCCAGAGGATCGTAAATCGGCTGATGAAATATTGGAATGGGTCCAAAATCATGAACAAGCATTGATCGATGAATGGATTACGCATGCACCCCAGGGAAGGACACGACGACATGCTAAGGTGTTCAATCGCTTTGAAGAGGAACAGGCAATGCCACAACAAGGGACTCGAAAAGGAAAAGTTGGGAAATCAAAGGCAGCACCTATAAAGAAAGAGATCGATTCAGGCTCTACAACAACTACAACTACGACTACAACAACGGCAACAACAACAACCAATGATGATGCACCGCCAAAGCGTAAACGTGGTCGTCCAAAAGGATCGTTTAAAAAGAATTCCAAAAGAGCAAAGGCTGCTGCTGCTGCCGCTGCTGCTGCTGCCGCCGCCGCCGCTGAAGCTGAAGCTACATCATCACTGCAAGATTTGGGTTCATCATCTCCCACGCCAATGTTGACACCAACAACTTCAATCCCAAGCAGCAATGATGCCGTCATTGCTCAGGGACCAATGCATGTGATCAGGCACAATGAAGCGATTCCACCCATTATGCCATCCACTACAACAAGCCAACCCATTGTTCCAGAACAAACATCATTTCCAGTACACAAGCATGAAGAACAACCACCACCAGCATCATCATCATCAGCAACACTTATTCGTCTTCCCAGCGATTATATTGCTTCTCGATCACCATCGCCTAGTGTCCAAACAAAGGAACAACTTGGTACAGCATCCTCCACTATTATTCGATTACCAAGTGTCAATGCTCGACCGCAAGATGATACCATGCAAAGTCGATCTTCCAATCAATCACCTTCCAGGGGTCATGTTGATACACCGTCTCATACGGCTACCCGTTCATCACCATTATCCAACAACAATGCAGCTGAACAAGATCAGCATACATCAGGTGATAGAGAGTCTACTAGTCCCACTATTCGACTTTTACTTTCACTTCAACAGCCTCCTCCATCTTCATCATCTCCCCACCACCAATGAAATTGATCATGACTCCCATGCCATCTAACTCTTTCTTGTACCATAACATCTTGCTATTGTATATAACATACCTAGTACCACCCATTACCGATTCCATCCTAATAGCACAAACATTATAAATACATGTTGTCTTCATCAATTCATTCCCCTAGTGCATTATTACATAATCTAGTAAAATAAAGATGATAATCACATGGGTGCTTTTCCCTTATCAACGAATCCAAATGACATGTTTGATTGATGATGATACATTATTGTCATACATACACATTTCTTAAAGTCTAATACAAGGATGATGATACTAATCGTACAATGCGTTAAGATATTACAAGTATGCCAATCATCTAGCTCAATGTTTGGGTGCACATTCTTCGGCCCAGTTGTCTGGAATATTGTCCTTGATGGCCTTCTGGAACGCTTCCAAGGTACACAAACTCTTATCGCCGCTGCTATGATGATCTCCAGGTGCTGCACATGCAGGTAGCTCCATGATCTTATCATTGAAACGTACGCGTACATAGCTCTTTTGTGACCGACCAAACCAAGATCCACCACCCTTTTGTTTGAAGAGCTCAAAAACAATAGAACTGCTGAATGGAGGCCATCTATAATATCATTGTGAGTGAATTGCAAACTCAATCATGTAGCTTCGTATTTTACCTCTTGTTGAAGACATCCATGCTGATCAACAAAGGAGCAATTGTGCTATGAAAATAATTGTGAACAACCTCGAATGCATATGTCCAATCCCAAAGCACACTTACGTGTCATGGCCAGAGTAAATATAAAGCTTTCGCGCATCCTCACCAGTCTTTTTATCTGATCCATCAGCTCTTGCAACCATACGGTCCCGAATATCACCCAACAAGCTGCCCAATGTAAGACGTCGGATTTCCTGGTTCTTCATAGCACCTTGGAACCATTCCAGCATAACCACTTCCTCCATTTCTCGTAGCAACTCCTCATCGAGATCTTCAGGGAGCTTGAATCCGTGTGCTTTGGCAGATGCAAGAGTGTCTATGATATCGAATATGAGATTTGGTCTCTTCCTTGTTCCCTTCACCAAAAGACCTACCTAAAATACCGTTGGCCGAAGGATGACTGTCAAGCGAGACCTCATCGACATACTTTTTGAATCGCTTGGTGAGATAGGCGAAACGTTCCTTGTTCTCTTCAGCCACTTCATTGCGTGCTTCCTTAGAAAGTTGTCGAAGACGATAACAACTGGGATTTGGGAACATGTTGTCTTTCATATGATCGCTAGAAATGGATTTCATTGTTAATCAGCGATCCTTCTCTGATAGTATCCATGGCTACTTACCGAGTTCTGATTTGCAATGTAAAATCCTCAGGTCGTTTGTCGGATGGATACAATCCAGCTGCAACCAATTGCTGTACAGATTCTTGTGTACGTGGGTAATCTGTGGATCGGATATAGACCGCATTTTGATCGAAAACATCAGGCAAGAATTTAAGACTATAGAATACATGTGAGTGTGTGTCTTGTTACAAGCCCCCTTTCATCATCATCCTTTCATATTTACCGATTTATATAAATCTCGCGCAACCTGCTTCCAAGGGCTGCCATACTGCTACGGCCGACGTTGGTCAATTGTCCATAGTAGCTAATATATCCATCAAAATTACAAAGTCAGCAAATCCACACAACACACACGCATGGCATTAAACCCCACACTTAAAAGTAAGCATGTATTACCATGAACCTGGCTCATATGTCAACTGGGTCTTGTTGGGTAATTCGGCGTCGACAAGGCGTTGCAGAGGTACGAACTCGCGTTTGCCGTTGATAGCAGCAATGGTAGCAAACATGGCCGTGTTGGCTTCACACATGGTCCACACAGCTGGGAAGAGTTGTTCCAATCGTCTACGTACAGGTGTGCGTTCGCCTATTGATTCCACGCGTCAACACTCGTTAATGGGACCGAGGCATTGGGAAGAAGAGATGCATTCGTTTACTGACCATGACGATGGACAACCTGCAACAAGCTAAATGACATGAGTTAGAAAAAGAAAGGGTTGCCATGTTGAAGTATACAAAGACATACGTGAGTTCTAAGTCTTCGGGATATGTACCAGAGTCTGCAGAGGGGATCTTTGCTTGAACCATGGTTGGAAACAAAAGTGAGAGAGAAGGGCTACTGTGCTGAACACCTAAAATAAAAAGCAAGCGGATACTGATACTTCCGCGGGTGAGAGTCTTCCCGTTCGTTGACGTCCCGCTGTCGTGAGGCTGAGGAAGAAAAAGACCACACAACCCTGGGAATTAGAACACGTTATAGGAACGTGGATGATTGCATAATTTGTTTGGTAGCACTAGTTTTTCTGCATGCATGCACACATTGATCACCACCACCCCCCTGAATTGTTTGTTCTCATCTTCTTCCTCCCTCAAAATGGATATCCATATACTTTAAAGAGAGATGGCTTTTCAAACCTAACACATTCATGCCTTTAATCGCATAATATACAAGAATGGCTTTGGTGTCACCATGGATCCTGGATCGAGCATCTGATGATTCATGTACATAAGACATCTTGCATTGAATGATGTCGAACGCTCTATCTTCGAATCACTTGGACAAAGAACATTTCCATTCATTGTTCCATGATGAGATTTTAATAGATGTGGCCGTTGACTTACATCATCATGCGTCTAGGCTCTTGGATAATGAACGAGGTTTGATCCTCGTGTAGACGACCATCGCTTTATCAGCTCATGCCCCCATGCCCAATCTATGCATCGTCATTGCCAACATTCATCCACCTTTCCTCTTCGCAACATTGCACATTGCACATAAAAGGAACATTTCGGTAACTACTGCTATCATACATACACCTCTTTCCTCAATCATTGTGTACACATTTAGAGCCCAAGTTGATATGAGTATCATGCAACCCTATGGATCAGGGGGATACATGCACTAAAATCTTTGTAATTTGTCTTCTTTGTTATCATTGTGGTTGCCATTGTGATATTCAGACTCTGTTTTCTCTGGTAGTTGAGTCTTTATGGTGTGTGTTATCCGCACTTGTTTATCTTTTGATCATCAATACGGGGACTCGAGTGACCAACAGCTATCACAAAGAGGCTTGTAATAGTGGATGTATCTTCCCGAAATAGTCATCTTCTTATAATTAACATCTCCATTTCTTTGTACTCAATGCCACTCATTCTACGAAATCCAAATCCCCTCTTGTTGTCTATGATATTTTATAACCACACAAGGCAGCAAAACGATCACGTACGTGAGTTGGATGTATCGGCCATGCATGGCTACATCTGTGCGAGTGAATGAGAAGCGTATGTTGCCATGGATACCAATCCTGGCAACGAGAAGATCATATTGAGAGCGGGGCACAAATGTTGATCATTGCTTGCATGATACCATAGCCTGTTCCGAAATGATTGGTTGTCCGCAATGCTGCGAAGGTGCCCGAGACATTCCGCTCTCTCCCAAGGATGCCTCGTGTGACACGATGGAATGGATGGCACCATGCGTTGAATGATCCACATGAATGACGGTCCGACAAAAAAGGGGGATTTGAAGGAAAGTGAAAAGTGGATCAATAAATGTAATGATGCCATTGGACGATATGAGAGATAATGAAAATGATGATGATGAGATGCACAAGCACAAGCGGACATCAGACGGAAGATGATTCCGAGCGAGAGTGTGTGTGTGTGCAAGGAACTCCCTTCTCTTTCTCTTTCACTCAACTATAACTTAATGCACACACAAGGTAAAAAGGCAATACATTGGATAGTGGATGCTTTCTTCCCCAACCTGAGGAAAATGAGATATGGATGACTGAGCAAGAAATGGTGGCATGTTTATTAGAAGGAACCATCAAGTCAACAACAGCACCGTTACAACCTGAATCGCCTACACCCATACGTCATGACAGCAACTCATTGTCAAGTACATCGCCCAATGGTTCTATTACAACATCTACATTGGCTCGAAGGCGCTACCCGATCGTGCTTGTAGGGAATAGGAACAAGAGTATTGCTATCGGGCGTGGTAACGAGGCAACAATTCGTATTGGTCGTCGCAACCGCCAAGTGAGCCGTGTGCACGCTTGTATCGAATATCAAGCACAAACCCAAGTTTACGAGTTGCATGTGGTTGGATTGAATGGTGCTATTTTGGATGATAAAGTGATACGACAACATGAACGGGTGCTGCTCAGGGATGATGCACGTATCGACATTCTCGGCACAGAGCTTGCCTTCATATACCCTCCTGATCAAGTTCCACCTTCGTCTTCTTGCATCAACGCCAACACCACACCCATCATCTCCCATTCAACAAAGACGAAAGATACACCATCATTGCCTGTCTCCACAAAACGAAAGGACAACATGGACCATGTACATCAAATTATTCGAGCTCTGGGTAATTGTGGGATGATTCATGTTCGCCATGTGAAAAGAACTAATAAGCGATGTATAGTTTTCTCACGCAAGTCATCCATGTCACCAAGTGATATTTGCTCACGCATCCTATCGGATCGATCTCGACGTAAAGCAACCAAGTCTGATACGTCTTCATTGCAATGGATGGAACGTATTCAAACAGCTCTCAAATCCGAGCCATTTTTTGGTGAGATTGTGCGCAAAGGAAAAACTGCGGATGGGTCACCCAAGGAAAACTTGTATTACTACAATAGTGAAGTGGACCCTGTTGAATGGCGTCGCAAAGAATACACACGTGTGGGTCGAAGTGCTCGTAAATGCACATTACAAGATAAGCAATACTTTTGGCGAATACCCAAGCTTGCACGTAGTCACCAGAATCACACTTCTCCCAATAGCAAAGCTCGTAATTAGACTTGTATACCACACACTCACACATAAACGCATGTCCCTTTTGTATTTCTTTTGTCATTTGTAACCCTTTTTTTCTTGTTTACACGTCCTGTTTGATTTATTGTTTTGATAAGTAAAGGTATACAATTACAACTTGGCGGGAGTAGCTTTGTTGACAATAGTGTCGGCAACGTGTAAAGCGAGAGCTTCGGTGGTAATCATGGGGTTGACACCAGAGGCGGTGGGGAAGAGTGAAGCATCAGCAACGAACAAATCCTTGACCTCCCAAGTCTCACCAGTGGGCTTAGTAACAGATACCTTGGGCGAAATACCCATACGGCTATATAGATACACAATATCAATAACCACACTCCTTGTAAGGATGCAATCCGTACTTACCAAGTACCCATTTGATGAGCACAGAAGATACCAGCACCATCCTTTGGCAAGCCATATTTGACAACTTGATCAATCCATGCCTTGAAACGTGGGTTATCAACGCTTGATTCCTCGTTCTTTTCAAAGTAGAAAGGCTCGACACCAAATTGGCCAGTGTGTAATTCACGTGCACCAGCAGCAGTGAGAATGTGCAATGTGCGAACAATGCCTTGGAGAAGGGAGTTGCGGTCGTGAGTGGAGAGGTCAAAGTCAATCACCATGTTGCCCTTGTCATCGGATCGAACGACACCCTTGGAATCCTTGTCACGAGACAAAATCAACAATGGGCAGCACTTTTTGTAACGCATCATCAAAGACTTATGGTGTGCAGCACCACGCCATGGCAATACAGTGGAATAGCTGCCAGGATGCAAGCATGGGACTTCAATCTTGGCACCATAGCCATCGCCATCCAAGTTTTCAACGACATTGCTTACCTAGAAATACGTATATGCATGAGTCATTGTATCATTTGAATAGCATTGTTAACTTACAGCGGTCATAATGGATCCTTCATACATGTTGATGTCTTCATCAAAGAAACCAAAGGCGATGCTGCAAGGATGCAAGCGCAAGTGTTGACCAATGTTTTTGTTCTTGAGGCCACTGCGAGCGAGAATGTTGGGAGTGTGCAAGGAGCCACCAGAAACAACGACTTGTTCGGCACGAATGACGGCCTTGTGTTCGTAGTGAGCAGTGCATTCAACACCAACAGCACGTCCATTTTCGATGATCACGCGTTCAACCTTGGTACGATCCAAGAAACGAGCGCCATGTTGATAAGCATCACGTAACCAAGTGTTCATGGTACCATTCTTGATACCGTCACGGCAACCAGTAAAGCAGAAATTACAGTCGTGTGCCTGGCCATCTGTGTTTTGAGCAATGTCGGCCACGTGATAACCAAGAGCCCTAATGAAACATGATGGGTTGAGTAAGATAATAGGGAAATGGATTTTCAATAATACTTACTGGCAACCCTTGACCAAGATGCCATTAGTGGCATTATGCTTGACTCCAGCGGTGCTTGCGCCAATGCGTTCAAAGACACGATCCAAATCACGTGCAAACTGTCAATAAGCGGAGTTAAGTAACAAGAAATGCTTGGCTTGTTGGGGATTGGGTGAAACTACCTACCTTGGGTGACATGAAATGGCTCAAGCCTTGTTTAGCCCATTCTTCACGTACAAAGTGTTGCAACTATGCCATTTGTTAATGCCGCCTTCTATGCACATTTGCCATAATAAAATCATGTACCTTGAGAGATGCCGACCAATTGACAGTGGTACCACCACCAAAGACACTTCCTGCCAATACATTGACGGAGCCTTCATAAGTAGAGAAGAAACCACCATATTCATAGAGGTTGGCAAAACCAGCGGATTCACGTAAATCGAAATCGTCTTCATGATAATATTTGCCCTTGTCAATGACGAGCACTGATTTGCCAGCCTTGGCCAATTCAGCAGCAGCGACGCCTATATTTATTATGCATGCATGTGAGAATCATGATCCCCAACAACAACCAATGTGAAACTTACCACCACCAGCACCGCTACCAACGACAATGACATCGAATTTAAGACCCTCCTTGAGATCTTGAGGAGTCATCATGGGCAATCGTTCACGCGTATGGACAGGCTTGTAATCGGCAGCTGCACGTACGGGATCGGCACCAGGATAACCCATACCCTTAGCCAAAGGACTATCCAATGCACCATAGACGGGATGACAGCTCGAAGAAAAGAACAACTTGTAGAGCAAACGCAAAGGAGGAAGGTACGAGTTTTTCCAGTTGAGAATGATCTTTTCACGATCCTGACGACTAAGATCTTGGAAGCGTTCGGTATAGCCACCAGTAAGGACAAAGGTACCAGCACGTGTACTAAGCACGGATAGGATCATGGATACTTCTTGACGCTTGTCAGCTGCCAAGGCACGGTTCATGAACGCCTTGACAATGGGCCATGCTTGTAAACTCGAGATAGTCATAGCACCAAACTCTTTGGCCAACTCGGGGTCTTGTTGGGGCAAGTACGTCGCAATCTCTTGTTCGGTAAGACGTGCAACAAAGGTGTCCATGATGCTGGTCAAGACACCAAGCTGATCATCATTCAAGTCGAATGGCGGAGCGACCAAGCTACGGTAGGGATCAGGGGTTATGGGTGCCGTCATGGTAGAGATGTCAGGTAAAAAGAGGAGTGTGGGGAAAAAGAGAAAGGAAAGGTAACACCTCTTTTAAAAGATTATGTGATGATAAAGCGTGTGCGTGTGTGATTATGTTCTGTGGGATATGCGTGCACGATCAATCTGTGGGGGGATGATAATAAGCTTTTTTTCGCTTGATTCGGAATACAGAGTAATGCAGGTGACACATCGTGTCCATTTTTCGGTGGTTTATTCTTATGCACTCCCTTGACTACCCTATTTATCATTACAAAATCTACTCATAAATCGAATGACATTTCATGGTTGAATATGATGATGATGATGATGATCACTAGGAGGATGGGGTGGATGGGGCATCGGCGTAGATGGTGATGTTTGATTGGATGTATCGTACAAACCATGTTGCTGTTGTTGTTGTCGCATAAGCAAACTTGCATCGGGAGGGGTTGCTCTTGTAGTAGTCGTAGTAGTATCGGCAAACATAACATAGGCTCCACCCGTTGTATCTCGAGGATCATTCCCTGTAGGATGATGTACAATGGAGGGTGGTGTAGCAGTATGATGAATAAGAGAGGCTTGATGTTGCATCAATATCGTATCCGTAGTCATAGTGCTACTAGGCGGGTGTTGTTGTTGTGGTAATGGTGGTGGAGGTGGTGGAAGGGATGGTTGTTGTTGTTGTTGATGTGGTGATGCGCCTGCGCGATGATATGTAGGATGAGTGTGGTGATCAAAAAAGGTAGTTACATGAAGAGGTTGTTGTGGTATGTACGAATGGGTGGGAAATGATTGGAGTTGGTAAGTTCCTGCTGTTGTTGGCATATGGGGTGTGAGTGGATAAATGAAGGAGGGTGGTGGGGTGGGGCTACTGCTGGCGGTGTTGTGAGTCAAGACCGATGGGGTATCCCGTGAAACCGCTGGTATGATAGAAGCTTTCGACATTTTGCGGGGTGGATCTGCAACCGAAAAAGAGGTGCTGCGCTTGTTGATTGACATTTGGATATCGTGCGTCGCTCGATGATTATGCACTTTGACGAAATACGTTTGCTGTGGTATCGTCACACGTATAAATCCCCTTGGTACATTTGTTGTCAATTCCTCATCCTTGGTTGTTGCTGATGGTTGGTGGCTGCTAGTGGAACGTTGCCTTGGCAACGATACACCACTACTACTGCTGTTGCTACCGATCTCCTATATACGATATTAGCTTACATTAAAGGATCAATTTGATGTATGAAATACCTGTTGTTGTGTTGATGTCATTGGATTATCCATTGGGGCAGTATCTTGTGGGTGCGATTCACCTTGAATGATGGCGTCGTGTAGCATAGTGGGATCGATTCTTGCCATTTGACAGGTGTTTTGGAGTAATTCACCAAGCTGTGTTTCCACGTAGCTAGCCAATTCATCGTTTCCAGCAGCTGCCATGCATACCTTGCTCCATAATGATGTGAGATGTCTTGTTCTCGTTGTTGCCTCATGTTGTCTAAAACGTTGGCGTTCCTCCGACAATCGATTATAAAACCTCCTTTCTTTCCATGCAACATGAGGATAGCGTGCTTGTACTCGAGTACGGATGTCGGCTGTTGATAATTGTGTGCGTGCAAGTTGATAAATAAAGTCGATCATATCCTGAGACCAATTGCTTTCGATTTCTTCGGGTCGCATGAGTGGATGGTTGTGCCTGGCAGCTTCAGGGTTGAGTGATTTACGAAATTCCCATTGTCCATCACGCTCAAATAAGACAATACACCATCGACAATCGCACCGCTTTGAAGGTCGTTTACGTTTTGGGCTGCCTTTGGGGTTACGTACTGAGTCTGGCTTCCCTTCTCGTGAGCAGTAAACATAAATATTCTTCATTTGGTAGGTAGGAGCCGAAATTGTTATCATGAGTCCATCAATCAATCATGCTATGTATGAACTTTTTTCACTCACACGATGTGTACTCGCTTCTCGTTTGACTGTGAATCCGTATTGTGCACAAAGGTGTCGGCAGTGATCGATAGCCGTTACACTATCTGGGAAAGAAAGTGAAAGCAGCTCTTCGTAAAATGGCTCGAGCTTTTTTTGGGGACCGGGCGTTGTAATAGTGAGGTAGGTGCGCGCACATACACATGCGATAATAATAAATTAGCTTATCGTCCTTTGGCCTTCTCCCCCGTTTCCTCATTTACCGAGTCATTGCCATCGTCGTCGTTTCCAATACTCAATGTCACTGATTCTGCTGGCTGTTCGTTTGTCATTTCAAGGGGCACACGCTGTGTATGCTGTTTGGCAGGTTAACTCGTTACCACCGCTCGCTAATGATAGCTTTTTTGTTGTTTGATATGTGGGTGCCTGTCAACATTCGCGATATTAGAGAAGAAAAAGGGGGACGTGTCGATCCAGATTAGAGCAATGATAGTATAAAAAAGGAACCATAAAGAATTGATGACTACCTACTACAACTACGATTGATGTGTATAAATGTTTCCCTCTATGATAATGAATGACAATGATGATGTGGCTTGCTTAGCCTCAGGACATGGAGGACAAAGAAAAAAGGAAGAAAAGGAACATTCACTTAATGATCGAGTAGCCGTGGTTCACGCATTTCCTTTGCGATTTGAAACATCTCCAATTGCAAGATCTGGCTTTTTCTACCTTGGTGACACCAGCTTAAGCTAACCTGCCCCCGAAAAATGCCTGTATCACGTCATGGGCATAGCAGCCAAGAACGAGTGGCCTGCTTTAAAAGGCTAAAAACCGAGCGTCAACGCACTGATATCATTCTTCGCACTACTCATCCCTTTTTGTTTTCCTTTGCGGTGATTCTATCTCGTGCTTACACATGACACTAACGATCATTGTCCTGCATTATGAATGGTCCACTATAACATTAAGCTACTGGTAAAAAGGTATCACTATTATATCGTATTACAATGCATAATGTCTGTGAGTCAAGAAAGGTACCCCTACTACTACTACTACTACTTGGGGGTCAAAAGGTCATTGAACTTAATTCTTTTGAACATTCTGCTCTTCTTGTTCTTGTTGCTGTTGTTGCTCACAATCAGCTGTTGCTACGTTTTTCTCCATTACACTCTCGCCTTGCTCTTGCTTGATAGCTTCGATATCCTTGACTCCAATGGCATTGCCATGCTCATCCTCGGCTAAATTATCCAAAAAGTTCTTGTTGCGCTCCTCGTTGCCCAGCAACGCTACACAAACACACATGGTCAATGAACATGAAATCCACTTAATCCTTTATCCTCCCCCAATCCCTTGATTCCACACAAAAGACGCTTTCCAATTTCATCCATATGCCCGTCTCGTCATTCTACTTACTGCAAATAAGAAGTAGCGCTGCATCGATTCCCATGAATAAAGCTTGAACAAGCCTAATTTGCTCAGCATTAGAATTGCATCACCCCCTTGTGGTCTGAGAGCAAATATACATACCCATAATCAGGCACAGGTTTCCCTTCACGCAGCATTACACTACCATCGGGATTGCGTAAAGGATATCGTTCACCAATGGATGCTTGGATTTGGCTGCTGGCTGCACTTATAAGATTACCAAGCTGATACGCCAAGCCTGATTGGATATTGTGTTAACATGCAACATCTGATATGGATGCCTTTGTTTCGACATTACCTGGCATTAGGCCTCTGAAGGATGCTGGAGCAAGCTCAATTAAGTGAGCAGGGATCACACCTAATATACAACAGCAAGAAGGGGTGGTGATGGGAAAATGTCAGACTACTACCACAGCGATCATTTTGCCAAGCAACACGTTGCCGTAACGTGTGTTACAATACATTACCCCACGCTCCCTACAATGGATAATGAAAATGCATCAATGATCTTGTCCTCACACAGACATAATGTTCATTGTCCTCATGATGTCCATCACCCCCCATTTGTTTGTTGCACTCACTTGCACAAAGAATTGCAACACAAACGACCCAAATTGGATAGACTGGATGTTAGGTCCAAAGACCCAGAGTGGGATGAACGCACCAACAAACACACACGCTACCGCAATGGTCAACTTTCTTCCAAAATAGGTCGAGTAGCATCCTATGTATTACATTACGTATATCATTATGCATAATTGAAATGGTCAAGATAACTTAAAAACTTACCGAGAATCGTGCCACCAACAATCGCTTCATGTATAACATGATGTCGTTAATATTATAGCCATGCTTTGATAATAGACAACACCTTTTACATACCGCCAATGTTGTAAATGACGCTCGTCACCGTTTGCTCTGTGGTGCTGTAATTGAGCTGCTTGATCAGAAAAGATGGATACAAGTCTTGTGATCCGTGGGAGAAGAAATTGAACAATGCCATCAAAATGACCATATAAATCACTACAACATAGCAGCGATCAACATGAGCTCCCCCACCTCTAAGTCTTGTACACCTCATCATTCGTTGTATAACATTACCTCGAAGATAATGATTCTTGATCATGTACCAAATATCCATAAAGAATGATCGTGACAGGATCTTGCGTGCTTCTTTTGTCTTTTCAAAAGATTCGGTTTCAGGGACGAGGAATCTAATTGGTAGGATCAAGAGCACAAAAGCACTGCTACACCAAAACATAATGCGCCATGAAGATCCTGTGATTTGCACCGCATAGTTGACCAAAGTGGCAAGTAGGTAACCAGCAGCATAACCTTATCATCATGTTCACGTGTAAAAAAGATGCTTGTCAGCAAGGTTTTGGATCAGGGCTTTTCCCTTTGGTAATGTTTACCTTCTTGATAGATCCCGGAAAACAAGCCCCTTGTTTCGATTGGCAACGATTCGAGGGCTAAGCTTGCACCAATTCCCCATTCGGCTCCCATAGCTATACCGAACAAGGCACGTAGGCCGATGAACGTTGAAAGGTTGGGTGCAAAGCCGCTGCACATGTTGATAACAGAATACAGAAAAATGTCAATCATCAAAGGCCATCGACGTCCCCACTTGTCAGCCATGACACTGTACATGCACATGGGAAAACAATCAGCAATTCACACGCACGTTATCATTACTGCTTTTGCTATTTTACCCAAAAATGAGAGCACCCACAGAACGCAACATCTGGACTCAGGGAATTTAGCTCAACGTGGTAAAGTTAACAAGAAGAAAACGTTACCAGTGTTGTCGTAATGGCAGCTACACGTGGACAATAGTAAGAGGAATACCATGTAACATATGCAGCATTGAATCCTTACATGTAACATCCGATACCTCGACACCAAAATCTTCGGCTATATATACACACATTGATAATGAGCCCACTGGTGCATAAACATGCATCTCTAATCTCTTCCCAGGCACTTTACCAATATAAGGTGCCGACAAAGACACACAAAAAAAGTCGTACGAATCGAAAAGCCAACCACCAAAAGCTTGAAACAATGATGTTAAACGCCAAATAGTAGTAATACGATACACAAAACTTACCGGCAGCGAACGCCAGCCGTTGTTTGGTATTGAGGCTAAGAAGCTGTTTGAAAAGGTTAGGTGGTCTACCTTGTGGCTTTACGAATATGGTGCTAAAGATGTGCTTGAAATGATTTCTAATGCGTGTGCTCAGATCAGGTTTGCTGGCATGAACGCTCTTGGTAGCACTACGCTGACTATGTTCATCACCATCATCAGCGGTTGTCACAATGATGTTATCCTTATCATTGGAAGAAGATGACAACATATGATGGTTGTTGTTGTTGTTATCACCATCAGGGGCAGCAGTGTCATGATTGCTCGTGTGAGATGTCATGAAGGACTTTGGCAGAAAAAAAAACGAAAAAAGATGTCAAGAAGGTGAGGAGAGAAAAAGGCGGGGAGATCAAGGAAGCATGAATACCTCTTTTATACATAAAGCTCAAATGGGGAAGTAACGTGTAGCCCAAAAACTTACAGATATGGACAAAGTCATTGGCTTATCTCATACCACCAACCACACAACCAACCACAACCACAACCACTAGCCACCTTTTTTTCTCATGGATCAGGACACATCACGTTCACCGGAAAATACGGTATACAATTTCGGATCATATCCTTTTATCCATTCATTCAAGAAGAAATTAAAGAGCCTTCTGCACCTGCAGCAAGTCTATCACCATCTAACCTTGAGAACAGCGCCATGATCAAATGACAACATGCAGCTATCTTGATATGTACGCGCCAACGTATCATGCAAACCCTTACACGTTGCTTTTGTGCATACCGCTCTGTTGGTTCAGCAATATGAATGGATACGGGTGGGAAATCCATTATCGTGTACATGCTTACCCCAAGAGCCTATCAAGATCTTGATCGTTTCACTTGGACACCACGGTGCACATCACATGTCATCTTTATAATAAATGCTTATCAATGGATGCTTCTCATTGTGTTCGGTTCTCGTGGAAGCTTACATGAAGAGGGGTCTTTTGTCAAGCATAGGATCATCTGCGCTTTCATTCATGTGTCAAGGTGTCAAAGACTGGTTGCATGGCAACGTATACTTTCCAGCCACCTCCATTTGCATAATAACTCAGCTTTGGTTGGGTGGGCCACAATCAAATAGGCTGGTTGCTCCTCTCCCGACTATTTCACAATGGTAAAATTGAAAAGCGATCCCTCCCACGCGTCCAATGCAGGCCATCTTGTTGACCAATGTTGTTGTAGCTCTTTTATTCATTCTTCAAGACGCTCGTCGATCAAAAAGTCACCGTCGAACTCAAGAACGATTTGGCGATTACGGGCACACTAAAGTCGGTCGATCAGTTCCTTAACATAAAGTTGGATGATATCATGGTTGTCGATGAGGAGCGATATCCACATATGGTATGGCAACAGGGTTAGATGTGATTTATGATGCAAAGAGAGTAACCAAGGTATCATCATCACCATCATTGTAGGCCTCTGTCAAGAATTGTTTCATCCGAGGATCGGTTGTGAGATACGTGCAACTTCCGCCACAAGCTGTTGATACTGCCCTTCTTCAAGATGCTGCACGACGTGAAGCTGCTCAACCCACCGCTGCTCAACAAAGCAATGTCCGCGTCAAATAAACGACAATGTGAATGGAAAAAGAGAAAGGGAATAAAATGGTTTGGATTTGGATTGGTCTTGTGAGCAAAAAAGTGCAACAAATGTGAGGACCGCCACCATGGGGGACGAGGAGGAGCGAGGGGATGGCTTTATATTGCGATCGTTATTTGTCCACTCACACGTACACACACCTGTTTCTTTCTCTCTCTCTCTCTCTCTCTCTCTCTCTTTCATTATTTCTTTTTCCACATGCCTTCCTTTTTCGGTTTCAAATGCTTGTCAATGATGAGCATCTTCAAACGCAAACGACGTCAACCATCCGATAAACCTCGTCGATCTGCATCCATTGCCACCACCAGCCGATCCAGTATTTATTCACAGCCTCATCGTCCTCGACCTTCCACAGCTATGACCATCGATCCCAAAACACCTGATGCTTATGACCACGATATTGCAACCAAATTTGGTGACAACGTTATGATTAATGATCTGGAACTGCTCTTGTCCATGGAAACCCAAGCTCGAATGGATGCCCTTGAAGAACGCGAAGAACAACTCCAACGCAGGACAACCACTCTCAAATTTGAATTGCCACCCACACCACGTACAATCATGATTGATGATACCCCATCCATACCCAAACGCCCTAATAGCGCTCCTGTCGTCGATTCATCTACTCCTTCTACAAAGGGCTGGAGACGCAAAATATGGATTCCATCAACAACGACAACAACAGCATCACCCGTAAAACGTAGCAACAGCGTGGCAACGAGTACACTATCATCCAGACATGGCGGCGAGTTAACCAACAACAGCACCACCAATAGTACAGCATCGAGTTTATGTTCAAAAGAAGAGGCAGAAGATAAGACTTGCATATCCCAAACACTGGACTTGGGCACCAGAGTGCGGTTGCTACGACGACCTTTACCTACTTATGGTCATGTTCGATTCATTGGCACTGTTGATTTTGCACCTGGTGAAGAGTGGATCGGCGTTGAGCTTGATAGCCGAGGTAAGCCAACATTGGACGTACACACACACACACATTTAATTTCGATTATTCACTTATTGAGTTATTTAGTGGGAAAGAATGATGGTTCAGTCAAAGGAAAACGCTATTTTCAGACCGATCGGGATCGAGGTCTCTTTGTTCTTCGTGAGGATTTGGCAGTTGTTGAAGCATAAAAGGGAGGAGGAAATACGATTATTATGATACACACACCATCACCGTCAGCATTACACACACATAACAACAACGACCATAACAAATACCAACACACACACACACACACAACATATCATTAAAGTGCATGTACCACCCTACAAGGTTTTATCCTTTTTGTCATGAGCGACACCCCACGTGCTTCCCAAAGCAGGTTTCATCCATTGTGACAATAAAAAGATTCTGGTCAAGAAAAGGCAAGGGCCAGGATCATTTGTGAACAAAAGAAGAATTGGATCTTGATGATCGTTTATAAAAGTCGTTTAAGGCTTGTTGTCGCCTCTTACCATTGTAATGTATCATGTGGTTTTCGGTATTGCACCAATAAAGTTCTCTCAAACCAGCCATTACACTTAAAAGGAACGGTATAGTGATGGGGAACAACGAGAAAAAAGATCGGCAATGGTATTGTATGTGCAACACAAAAGATCTCCACATGAAAAAAGACCACCAAGATCATCTTGCATTTCCCTGGTTCCCCCATATCTGTTAGAAGAGTCAAAGGATAATAAGAAAAAGCATGATGCAATTGTGCACATTTGGTTTTCCCCCATCACAAGATACTTGTTCCATGTTTTCTTGTCTTTATTGGAAGATTAAGGGGGTGGTTGACGGGTAATGACATGCTCGGTTTGTCCTAAAGAGCACACGCGGACTTGTTTGATGTAACACACAGACAATACCACTCCTCGGATGCATAGCTTACCCTTATCCCCTCCCCCCTCCTCATCCATTCATGCAGAATAGGACTTAGATGGTATCATCCGCATACAGCCTTCCATGTGCATAAATGTAGATCTAATGACAATTGATAGATTATTTGACAGGAAGGAGATGTGCATGGTCTAGCAGCAGCATCATGTATGATTCGGGGCGGTAAAGCAATAATTATGCAGAAAAGCTTCTAAACAGCATACACACTAAACTTAATTGCAAAATGGGAAACATGAACAAGGATATTATGGGACACCAAAGGATTGTGCTGCCAACCTGTCGTATCGATGAAACGATGATATTGGGTTCTTTATACATCATTCTCATCTTCCACGTTATCATGAATCAACCACCAGCGGCATCATGGGCCATTTGAATCTATACCCAATATACGAAATTGCGGGGTGCATATACCTTTTTTCATGAAAGTACCGGGATCTGATCATACAGCATTGTTTGTACAGCTGCACACAATCCAGACCAGAATACCGGCTAGCCATCCGCGCCTTTCCTTCTTTTGAACCCCCCTTCTTTTTTCTTCTCCGTCATTTCCTTTTTCCTTTTTCCTCTTTTTTCACACAACACAAAACACTTTGCCATGCTGTACGATGATCCTACCGCCCTATTAGATGATGATGCTGTTGATGACATCACCTACAACAATGAGACACGACGACAACAAGCCTTTGACGAAGGCAGGAATTGGTTGTACAAGAATCCCCATTTCTCTTTAATCCACGTGGAGAAGCACAACGATGATGACACAGTTACCATGACAATGGTGGATGTTACCACAGCAGATGCAAGATGTCGACAACAACTACAAGAACAAGGTTACTATTGCCTGTCTCACTTATGGGGACGCGACGCGAAGAATTACACGTGGGACGATAGCGGCGTTCTGACAAAAAAGGGAAATGCCGATGATGATGATGGTGGCGCTGTATTGGCACCTGCTGTACCTATGCGTATTGAGAAACGAGCCACTTTACTTGCTCTACTAGAACAACATCCAGGGTTTTGGTGGATTGATGTGTTTTGTGCACGTGTCGATACCCCTCTCAGGATCATGGGTAGCATCTACAAATATTGCACTGCATGCTTTGCCATGATGGATTGCTCATTTCAAACGCTCAAGCAACTGGATCAAGGTTTGCCTTCGCTTATGCAAGAGGTGTCTTTACATTTTCCTGAAAAGAAACGACCTTCACATCGATTGCCTATCTTCATTGGTTATGTGGATGACGATGAAAAAGAAGAGATGGATGAGGATAAAGCTTTATTATTTAAAACAACCCTTGACAAGTATCCCACCGAGGTACAAGCATTGCTGGATCTCACACAAAGTACATGGTTTACGCGTGTATGGACATTGCAAGAAGCTGTGTTACCTCGACAATTATTCATGGTGCCTGAAACAACACAATCATCAACAAGCAATCTTGATACTGATACACTCGACTTTTCTCTGGTTCAGAAAGTCTCTGAAAGATTGACCACTGTGGGCAACGCCATCATGAAAGGAGGAGCATCAAAGGCGATATTGAGTGATCAGCATACACATCTTATTCAACAACTGGAGACGCATGTACAAGAAATCAGCGTGGCCCAAGAAACATACAAGCAAGCGGATGCCTTGGATGAACATGATCGACTTCCTTGTTTGCAGAGTACATTGCACAAATTTGCAGAGTCAACAAGAACATGCACAGACCCAGTAGATTTTGTTTATGGCGTCATAGGATTACTCGATATTGGTCTTCCCCGTATGAATAGTGCAAGTGATGTATGGTATGCTTTCCAGCGCAAGTTTAAGGATATGCGTGTCAAGCAGCTGGATTTGCACTACTATTCCGTTTGTAAATCAGCACCCTTTGATCTATCACAAGCTAGTACTATGAAAACAGTCTACTCGTCATTTATTAGAGAAATGAATTTGTAATACTATAGAAGCGTCTACTTGATATCCTTTCAATATATAAAGTAATACCAGTTGCAGGATCATCATCATCATCATTGTGGTTGCCATGCAATCAACAACGCAAAGCGCGGCATTTGAATGTAAAGCAAGTAAAGCAATCGCCTTTGGTGTTTCAAGTCCTCGCTTGCTCGAACGCACGCCGTCTTTTTTTTCTTTTCTCCCGTAACTCTCACTCATCCACAAATGGCATCCGCTCTTTTCTACAACGAGAACGACGGCTTCATTGACGGCATCCTTCGTGGCTACTTTGCCGGTGTTCTCAATTCCACACAGTACCTTAACTTTACTCAATGCGAGACTCTCGAAGGTAAACGTAAACCCAAGTTGGATAGCCATGTGCTCAAGATGCTCATCCCCCTCTTGTTTAGACTTGCGTCTCCAAATTGGTGCTACTGATTATGGAACGTTGTTGCAGAATGAACCATCGCCCATTGCCACGTCTGTCATTGGCGAGCGATTGACGCAGCGTCTTGTGGAGGAATTCAACTATATCCGTACCAATGCCGTTGCACCTCTTTCCAAGTTTTTGGATTATATCACGCAAGTATCGAAAGCTATACGCGATGTGTGTGTATGTATAAGCTAACATGGGTTGCTATAGTTACCAATATATGATCGACAATGTCATTTTGCTTATCACCGGTACCTTGCACGAACGTGATACCCATGAGCTGTTGGAACGATGCCACCCATTGGGTTACTTTGAATCAATGCCTGCTTTGTGTGTGGCGACTACCGTGTCCGAGTTGTACAATACTGTGTTGGTCGAAACGCCACTCGCCCCTTATTTCGCCAATTGTTTGAGCGCACACGACCTCGATGAGCTCAACATTGAAATCATCCGCAACACACTCTACAAGGCTTATCTCGAAGACTTTTACAATTTCTGTCAAGAGTTGGGTGGTGCCACCGGTGAAGTCATGGGCGAGATCTTGCAGGTAGAGAAGGATCATAATACTAATAAGAGGTGTATTATACTTATCTTTTATCTGGATTAGTTTGAAGCCGATCGTCGTACCATCAACATCACCATCAACTCCTTTGGTACCGAATTGCCCAAGGAAGATCGCAAGAAGCTTTTCCCCGTGATTGGCAGATTGTATCCTGAAGGTAACGCTAAGCTTGCCATTGCCGATGAATTCGAACAAGTCAAGGCCACCTGTGAAGTGTTTCATGTAAGGATTAGAGGACATATTGAGAGAGAGTGTGTGTGTGTGTGACAGCATGTTAATGTAAAATGCTTTTAGGAATATCGATCTTTCTTTGACACATCAGCTGTTGGCAAGACATTGGAGGACAAGTTCTTTGAGCATGAGGTGTTTTTGAACCGCTTGGCCTTCCAGCAACAATTCAACTATGGCGTGTTTTATTCGTACATCAAGCTCAAGGAACAAGAGATCCGAAACATTGTATGGATTGCAGAATGCATTGCCCAAAACCAAAAGGATCGAATTAACAGCTATATTCCCGTACTGTAAATCAATAAACACTAGCCTGATGCATATCAATGTCAGTATAGGATTCCCCCTACATATCTAGATGATGGCTCCAAATGTAGTTGAATGGATAACAACATTGGCATGGTAGTTTATGATCGAGAGTGTGAGTCTTGGGCGAGTAAAAGGGGTCACTTTGATTGACATGCTCGTATTACATTACTTATGGATAGCATTGTGATCACCCATCATAGCTATAGAAATCCTTGGTTGCATGTTCCCCTTCCCATCCACAATACAATTGGCCAACATCATGTAATAAATGCATCTTTATCTAGTAGACTATATACAATATTGCATTTAAACGGGTGCAGCACGATCGCCTGATCTCTTATTTTCGGCAGAGAAGCCGGGTGGTTGCTGGACGTTGTCTTCTGGGGCATCATGCTCTTGCTCGGCAACAATCTTCGTCTTGATATCGTCCTGTGAATCGCGACGTGTTGCGGTGGCGGGTGGTAATCGTTCATTCACAAGATCGGTTTGTCTAGCCTCTTCAAAGGATGTGATAGCATTGCGAATACCCTCCGAACCAAGCATAAGTGTTCCTTGTGGCAATCTACCACCTGCAGACAAATGCTTCAACTCGCTAACAAGCTCCGAGTGTTCCCGTAAAACTGTATAGGCTCGTGACATGCGTCCGATAGCCATAATCTTGCGCTTGATAATCAATCGACGGTGCAAATCATGATCTCGTTCACGTTGTTCTAAGGCATGCTGATCTTTCTCAGTGCTCAATTCAAGCTCTTCAGCACTGCAAATATTGAGGATAGCCAATAGCATGGATGTGATCTTTTCACCAACAAACGGCAAGCTCCAATCGAAGACATTCATGAAATTGGGCAACCAATATGGATGAGGGCTTGAGTTGAATTGCCGGATGTTGAGGACATTCTTATCGTATCGTAGGACAGCCGCTTTGTTGTTGTAGACATCAATGTAATTGGGTGCTGAAAAGATAGTCATCAATGCTGGAAAGCCTGTGCTTTTACTCTTGCGGTACATGCGATAGCCATTCGCTTGAGCTTCATGTGCACGAATAATGGATAACAAGTGATTCTTATCGAGGAATTGACAAGCTGCTCGATAGCTGAAAAAGTATGAACAACCGCGTACTGTGTTGTGATCAAACTTGGGATTGTGCTCAGCGTCGAAATCTTCATAGGGGTCAGCCCATAGTAAATCACACATCAGCCCACTCGTTGGTGTTTCACGGAATCGATCAATCTACAAGTTTCATTTCCCCTGCTGTATTAGAATAGAGCCATCCTTTGTTGCTGCAGCTGGTCATCGCATATACCTCTTCAATATCCTTCAACGTTTTCAATGCAGGTGATATGCCGCCATGCATACAAAGAAATTGATCATTCACAACAGCAGCCAACGGCAAACAATCAAAGCATTCCATCGCAGCATTGTAGACTTCCTCGGAGTACTTGTGATTACCTAAAAAGGGTCGTGTTACTAGGGAACAATGAATCGATTGGTATCACCTACATTCCATTTTGAACGTAAAGTAGTCTGTCAAATGGCGACATTCATGGTTGCCTCGTAGCAGAGTGAACGTTTGTGGATACCACATCTTGAAAGCCCATAGATAAAGCATTACCTATTGAAATGAAACATTAGACACCATTTGTGCAAGGGATGTGGGGAATGGGGGAGGTGTACTTGCTTCAATGGAGAAGTAGCCGCGATCTACATAGTCGCCGAGGAAGAGATAGCGGGTGTTGGCTGGATCACCGCCCACTTCAAATAGCTTCATAAGGTCGTAATATTGTCCATGAACATCGCCACAAATAGTGATGGGTGCTGGTACACGCACCAAGGTGGGCTCAGTGCGTAGAATTGATTTTACAGTGTTGATGATTTGCAAGGCTTGGTGCTCTTGCAACCTTCCTTCATGCAAAAAGTGCTGCTTTAGAAAATTGAGATTGGGACAACCGGGTCGTTCTTTGCTCCACAATTGTTCATCTGTGGGTATCTCGACGGCAGGTGGTGGAACACCTACATGGTTTTAGAGTCAGTGCTATCCTTTATATTAAGGCCGATTATACATACTAGTGATGATGCGATCATGCGTGCTGACCACACGACCATCCTCCATCTGATACTTTGAAAAGTCAACGGGTGGCTGTTGATATTGCGTTATCGTTGGTTTTTCATCCATGCTTGACAAACAACCAAGAAACGGAAAAAGAGAAAGAGGAAACAACAACACGCGATCAGTCAAACGACCCACAACGTCCCGCAAATTATAATTTGAAACCGCTGCATAACATTTCCTAAAGGGTCCTCCTTCATCAAGCACGGTCGTGATAATCCCCATTGTTGATCACCATGCTTATTATACGCCACCCAATAGAAACCAATCACGCCTATTGAAACCTATACACCATTATCAACAAGTTGATTTATTACAAGAGCCAGGCTGTAACAGGTGGATTCGGCTGTTCACTAATACAATCCCACATCATCTTATCATGCCACGACGAATCCGTATTATCAAATGCTCGATCCAACATGGATGTCATGATGCAAAAGATCCTCACGTTGTCCACCATAAACATCGCTTTATTATCGCACATGAACCAAAAGGCATCCATACGTGTCTCCACCAGAGACCAAGTGTTGGCATCATTTAGGATCTTCATTGCTCACGACCTCTTCTTTCGCGTCTTTCCCTTGCTCTTTGATTTTGAAACCATATATTGATGCGCTTGTATGTAGTACCAAGCCGATCGGCCAATCGCTCCTTCACAGCATGACAAGGTCTTGGGTTACGACGAAAACTTCGCATGAGCACTCTTAATTGTTCTTGAGTGTAGCGTTGACGACGAATGTATCCTGCACCTTCACTTCCACCTGTACTGCTCATGGTGCTACTATCAGAAGAAACAGACCCTTCATTATCGGCCATGTTGGTATCCATAATGTATTGTTGGATCTGTTTATTATGTATCTCCTTTATCCCTTTTATTAAAGGTGCATTGATTTATCAATACATTGGTGATGGGAGCTGCTTGGTCACACGCACGCAAACACATAATTGATTATAGGCTTCAATGATAAAATATAGGAGGGACAGCAAACTTTGTTCCTTTCCTTCGACATGTTTTGTGTGTAAAATATGTACAAGAAGCACAATAGCGTCAATGGGGGTGGGAGGGATAGATAAACAATGTTGTTGGTGATATAATAAGCCAATGCTTACTCTGACTTTTTCTTGGAGACAGAGGCCATAGCCTGGTTATAGAGCTCTTTGGCCTTTGTGGAAGCTACAGAGCCATATTGTTCGGCAAGATCCTTTGCACGTTGTGAATGTTGTGCCACCTGGCTATCAATGACCTGCTTGTGTTGCGAGTAGACTCGGGGCACTGAAAAGACCCCGACGATAAACACACCAACAAGATACTTGGTAGCCACGTAGGTTGCCAAGGTCCATACAAAGTAAGCGATACCCACTGCCCATGCTGAACGCCAAGTATCCTCAATCAGCACAAGCTTGGTGACTTGTTGTACCACTGCTTCAATAACATCCACTGCTAGCTGAGCTGATTTCACCACTCGATCGCGTGGAATGTACGTGTCTTTGAATCGTTGGCTATATCCGTTTTTGAGTCATCCACCTTTTTTATCCTTTCCCATGATGACGGCATTACCTGTGTGGATGAGACAGCTGATCCGTAGACTTTCCAGAAAAGAAACGTTGGCCTTGTTTGTGAGCATTCACATATAAAAGGTTGATACCAGTGACAAGGGTGAAGAAAGCAGCACCGAGTTGGAGCACCGAATAGTATTGTGTCAACACAAGAGCACCCAACAAGCCGGCAAGTACCGCACCACTATGAACAGGCTTTTCCCAATACACCAACGAAGTTAGGCATTGCTTAATGTGCGTCGTCGGGTCTATATTGATGCATGATTTGAAACGTCAGAGGACCTCGAAATATGTTTCTCGTGATAAACATCATATCATCACACCTCCCATACACACACAAATGTATACATCTTACTCACCATTGTCATCTGCTTTTTTCGATGGCTGAGTGGATGGTGCAGGTGCAGCAGCGGTAGTGGTAGTAGCAGCAGCAGCGGGAGTAGTATCCTTGGTGGGTGCTGTAGTAGCACTTGTTGCTGTAGAAGTAGACGTAGCTGATGTTGTTGTTTCAGGTTTGGCAGCTATGTAAGATAAAAGTATCGAGGTTAAAGCTCATATCTCACCCAATACTTGATTATCCTTCACGTACGAGTACCAGCGGTAGTAGAGGTAGTGGTGGTGGGGTTGTTCGTTTTGTTGGGTTCTGGTGCAGGTGCAGCGGGGGTATCAACAACGGTGTTGTCGGCAGATGCCTTGGGTCCAAGGTCGGTCATAATGTCGTTGTTACAAAAATAAAGCGTGTTTGGAAAAGAAAAAGAAAGAAAGAGAGCGAGCGTGAAAGAAACCAGGTGAAAGGGAAAAGAGAAAGCAATGGTGTAGTGTTTCACCTCGTCACATGATCGTGTCTCTTGCATAAGAGTTGCAAAAACACAAACCCAAAAAAGGAGATCCCGCGTCAGCCTATTCTTTGTTGGGAAAAGCGCATGCTTCTCTCACTCACGCTACATGTTTTTATTGCTTATCTACAAAGTGGCCTTATATACTATATACAGGCCCATCAAAGTGCACAATGAATGATGGGATGGCTGTAAGCAGTGGCTGTGGGGGTAGTGGTGGTGTTGCTTATATAGCTGCTATTGCTGCTGGTGCTGTAATTATTCCTCCTTTGCATTGCAGTGGGCCTCATATCATCAGCTCGCTCGATCCACTTTTCGAGCACACTTTTTGTTGTGGTTTGTAATGCATGTATCCACCCTTCTAGCTCTTGCTCAGTGTCCGCTTTCAAGAAAAAGTCGACGCATGATGTCTTATCATTGGCTGCCAGCATAAAGGTGTAGGGATGTTTGATGCTGTTGAGAACTTGATAATTCTCCAAATAAAGCGTATGTTGGGGTACCACGGCTTTTAGGCTATCCATCTTTGTAAGACCCATTCACCGCATTAGCGACAAAAGTGTGAATGATGTATCTCTGTGATCCAGATACCTCGGTTTTGTAATAGCGTAGTTCATTGCCATCGAGCACAAAGTAGCGTCGTACCCAGGATTTCCTGATCCCATGGCTTTGTTTCAACAGCCAACCTTGTTGTGTCACGAACATGTGGAAGACTTTTTTTCTCTCTCTCCTCTACTCATCCATCCCACTGTATTATATAGGCTATTTGTAAACGGATTCACGGGGTTGCCTCCCATCCCATTTTCCCCCTTGGGATTTGCAATCAAGCGATTCAGGGATATGTGAATAGTACTCCTTTGCAAAGAGATAACGAATATCAAATCGTTGGCGTGCGCAGCTTTACATGTGGTTGTTTGCTGCGCATTGGTGATCTTTTTGATAACATTGACCATTTCCTTTTTCGATAACAAACTCACATTCATTCATTGAGACCTTGTTTCTTGCTTGTCATGAAGAATTCAATCGCTCAAACATTACACGTACGTATGTACCTGCATCAAGCTACATAGCCCGCTTCAAAGGGATGGAGCACATGTTCATGTATGTACCCTGCAGCTATCACTCCCTTATACAAAAGATGCCTAAATCCTGCAACGCAACAGCCAACTCTATTTGTATGCACTTGATGTGTAATGGATAATAAGATAAAAGAATGCGCGAGAATTCAGTAAGAGGTGTTGGTATGCGTTTATGAGAAATAGCACAAAGAGCAACAAATCTAATCTAGACACCCCCACCTATATACCAAGCGTATTGGGGTAATCGAGCCATTTGATACATCACTTCCAATAACGGTATCGCCATCCTCCTCCGTAATGATGATGGCCTTTGTTCGACGATGTCGCTTGACAGGAGTGAACAACGTATCTGGATTCATGGAGTGTTGCCTGTGCGTTGCAACAGGCTCTAATAAAATTTGCTCGCGAGGCGTTGATGATGAAGTTTGAATGCGAACAAGAGGTTCTCGAAGCCGATGATGTTGAGGAGAATCTGTGGAAGAGTAAGATCTCCCATGCGGTAAACAAGAAGGTATACAGGACCACTGATTCAATGCAATCATGTATCTAACATAACCTATATACATGTTGGAAATTAGCTTACCGCCAATAATCATCATATTATGCTCTAATAAGATCCTACCAAGCCAATCCATGCCGTATACAACCAAGTCATTGCGACTATCTTCATCAATAGGCATTCTTCAGGTGCAGAAAGGATAGCTCTGTTGGTCCTAGCGTTCTTGTTTTGTTGCTGCTTTCCCACTGTTGCCATGGTATTCGCTTTCTTCCACTCCGACGGTCCAAGCTCAATTCCCTTATCCACTATATCATATCATGAGTACAATTGTGGTTGGTACATGTATTCAAAATAACCTACTCCTTCTTCTCAAAGTTGATGCCACGGAAAACAATATCCAACAGCATCCTTGTAATATTGTAATGGACCTTCTCGCAAACCCCGCAAGCTTGCCATGAAAATTGCAGAGGTGGCCAACAATTGCATGAATTCTCTTTCTTGCTTTCGCCAAAGAGGTAACCCTCTCAAATGACCAAAAGGTCACCCACAAGCGACCAGCGACAAGAGGGATTTGTTTTGTGCCACACCGCCATCGTATAATCTTTGGAGCTGCTGGTGTACCACCGCTCTCACATATCCAAAAGCGAGGTGCTTTGTGAAGGCCAACCAAGAATGTTGCCAGCTTTGATCCAACGGGAGTTGCCTTTTGCTTGTAGAGGTACGAGGCATGCGTAACACTACCCCATTTTAGGAGACACATCACTACCCAAACACAGCTCAATATGCAAACGATGCGAATGATACAAAAGGACAATCATACATACCATAAAGGATCTCTCCTTTATAGACGGGATCAAAACATTGTAAGACCACAATGAACACCAGTGATAAAACAATGAAAGGACTACGTGGATGATGATGACCACAATCAATACACAGCGAGCAGGTCACATAAAGGATCCTCTTGGCCCTTACCAAAACCGCCTTGGTGGTATATACAATCAAATAGACGAAAGAGACGTGTGATGATGCTCGCGACAACATCAGCTTTGTTTTTATAATTGGTGTGGGCGTGGGAGTTGTTGTCCGTGTTTGTGATTGATAAAGTGGTCATATTCGATCGAAGGTGATGGCAACATCGATAACTGATAAATCAGCCCATCCATGGAAAAGTATACATAGCGTAAAAATGCACATCTTGATCAAACAAGGCAATGGCATACACACGCGCGAGCGCTGAGTCGTTCATTTGATTGTTTCAGCGTCTATCTATGTACTATCAATGCAAGGGCGATCCAATACATGTTTACTCCTTGATGATACATAGGGATTAAAGGAAACCTGCTCTCAGCAAGGGGCACGTGGCATAATAAAGACAACGAGGAGTGGGATGGTATACATGCTTTATGATGATGAAAAAAGAGAACCCATACAACAGAAAAGGAAAAAAAAGATAATCAACTCAGAGGTGGTAATCATGAAATTCTATTTTCCAAAACTGAGGCTGTTGGCCAAAGTGCTCGTCGTTGTAGTAGTGTTTTGATCAGACACCACACCTTGGTCATTGGATGGAGTAGTATCAGCAGCACCAGAAGAAGCCACAGGGTTTTCGATAATAACGGCAGATGAAGGAACGTGTTCAGCAACAGAGACGCTCATAGCAATAGTGGGTGTTTGAGGACCTGTGGGTGAAGGTCGTGATCGTTGCTTATTGTTGTTGTTGTTGTTTGATGTTGTAGGGAGAGGAGAAGAAGTGACAATAGGAGGAGGCTGTGATTGTTGCTGTTGCTGTTGCTGTTGCTGTTGCTGTTGTTGCTGAGGAAGCTGTTGCTGGGCAACCTGCAATCGCAAAGAATCCTGTCGAGGAGGAACCACACCTCCTGTTGCTCCATTTCCACCACCATTACCACCTCCTGTTGTAGTTGTTCCTTTGGTAATAGCAGGTGAAGTCTTATTACTGCCACTGTCAATAGGTGAAACAGGTGAACTTGTAGCTACAGCACCTCCTTCATGGGATCCAATAGTAGTTGTTGTAATCACAGGTGGTTTTTCAGGTTGAGATGATGATGATGTATTTTGTGATCCACCACCACTTGTAGCTGCATTCGATTCATGCCGTTGTTCCAAGGCTCCTGACATGGCAGCCATACCTATCCATGTTGCAGCATCAGATCGATCGTCGTCAGGTGAAGTGGGTGATTGATAAGAGGAGGATCGAGTCGGCTTGGTAGATGTGGGCTGTTGCTGCTGCTGTTGTTGATGAGATGTTGATGTTGATGATGTTGATGATGCTACTGCCAAGGATTCATTCTTGCTTTTATCAACGGTGGGTGTAGCAGGTGATGGTTCTCGGTATATATCGGTTTGGATTTGAGGCAGCTGAGGTGGTTTATTTGACGACGTCGACGATGTTGTTGTAGCCTGTGATTGTGTAATTGTTGTCGATGATGGCTGTGGAGAAGGATGAGTTGGCTGTTGTTGAGGAGTACCAAGTGATTGTGGTGTTTGGATTTGCGGTATCTGTGGAGGCTGTGGTGGTGTATTTTGATACTGCGATTGAGCTTGTTGATGATAAGGGGGTTGTTGTGATTGCATTTGCAGCTGAGGCTGATAATGTGGCGGTGGCGCATGATGATGCTGTTGCTGTTGCTGCTGCTGCTGATGTTGTTGTTGATTGGCGTATTTGGGTTGATTAGCAGGCATTGGACTAACACCCAATGATGTGGATCGCTGCTGCTGTGGTACTTCTTGTACACGTGGAGGAGGTACGTGATGATGAGGATCATGTTGTCCTGTGGGTCGATAATCACTTTGGCCGGTAAGATTGGCTGGATACAATGGCGCTGTAAGTAGCATGTTTTTGTTTCCTCCTCCTGGTGTTTGAGCCGCTTGTGCTGAGGGTGATTGGACAACTCGATTAGCTGTGATACTGGCAGCGTTGTTGTTTTGGCTTTCAATCTCGGCATTGTGGAAAAGAGGCTCGTGATAAAGAAGCATGTCTTCAAAGACACAATCCGTATGCCATTCACCAGGCACACCGCTATTGTTGTGGTCGTGGAAGATGGCTGGTGTGAAAACAACCGACAAGTTTTGGATATTCATCTTGTTGACATTGCTGTGTTTGTTCACACTATACACACAATCACGTGAATATCTTATATATCCCATTGAGGTATGTATTAACTTACTTGGCTAAATGACGCATAACAGTGTGAAGCGTGTCGCGATGTATCTTTGGTAACGAAGAAATCTTGCTTTGCAATCGAGTAAGCCGTATCTGCCTGTCAAGGGCTGAAATGTTGTATAAGCTACGCGATTCTTTCTTGCATAATCCAATACTCACTTGCATACTCCATACGACTTTGTACGCTGAGGCCGAAGAGGGGGTGCTTGAGCTCCCGAAGATAAACCTTTAGAATGGCTGCAATGGTGGTGACATCGTATTTGCTTTGGTGCAAATCCATGGCTTGCTCGTTTTGCTCAAATGCGCTCTTGAGGCTATCCACATTACTCTGTCGCCCAGATACACGGTAGATGCCTTCCTTGTGTAATCCTCCCATGCGTTCCACAGCTTCAATACACTTGAGCACAATCAAAGGCACCGTACGGTTATGCTCAGCGGCATAGTCATCCAAAGAAGTACCAAAGATCAGATCTAGTAGTAATAGCTCATGTCAATTTGATGATCATCATGATCAAGAATGAGTATATAAAATTACCTTTTGCCTCTCCATGGTAGTAGTTGGTGTAATATATAGGTGATGGGTTAACAAATCCCCTCTTTTGGTACTCCTTGTTGAATAAGAAAAGATCTCGGTTGCTGTCGATCTCATTCACCGATTGAGAAAGGTATTCGAGGATCTATGCACACATCACATTTAGTAAACGAAAAAGCCAAGCTGTAGGAGCTTACCATTGATTCTTCAGAGATCATATTCTTCTCCTTGAACACCAAATCACCCAATGCAGCCTTGGTTGCTTCAAACTTGTCCTTGAAAACCGTTTCCACTTGCTATGACAACATCCCATTACTATACCATCCATACACAACCTTGAAATGATCCAACTCCTTACCTTTACGGATGTCGATGCTTTATCCACTTGCTTCCGCCGCAGCATCTCCAACGTGCGAATACCATCTCTGTATTCCATATCTATGTGTATCCACGACGTGAATATGGCAATCCACCCTGAAAGAACCATGACATACATACCTGCAGTAGCGATTTCAGAAGTGATTCTTGCACATTTTGCATTTTGTCTCGTGACTTCTTGAACAGCTGAAGCGGCAGCAGCGTTGGCGAATTGAGTGCGTACTTGAGCCATGAAGCTTGCCATTCCTTTCTTCACAGGGGTATCATTCAGTGATGAAATCGAATCATTGTCGGTGGATAAACGTGGTCGAGGTTCATCAGATGAAAGACGTTGTTGATGTTGTGAATCATTATCGCGTAAATCAATCTCACTCGAATTGGGTGATAAGTTTTGATGCGGCTGTTGTTGTTGTTGCTGCTGTTGGATTTGTTGTTGAAGCTGATGTTGGGCATTTTGTAGATCCATGCATCGACCGACGTATGATTTATGAAGCTAAACCATGCAAGAAATGAATTGTCTTGCCAAGATGTCAATGACCCACGTGATGACATACCTTGACAATGTCGCGTGTCCTATAACCAATGTAGGCGCTGTTGGCTTCTCCTAGTATGGTCTTAACTTTTTTCCTCCGGTTTTCTTGCTTTTCCTAAAGAGTCGGAGGAGGGGTTGGTGGAGATATATATTTGAGCTGACTGATGATGATGATGATGATGATGATGATGATGATGGTGACACTATTGGATAAAGAGAGTACTTGCCTTGACTTCAACCAACATGTCGATTTGTTGTTGAATGGATTGGATCATCTTTCGCCTCACAACAACCAGCTGGTCGAGGGATCGTTCATATTGCATTGTTGCTCGATGATACGTGGTGTCCGTATGGGCGACATGTTGGTGTGGGTCTGCTTCCGGTGCTTGGTGTGCCTTGCTAGTGATCTTTGCAAGCGACTGCACATAGACTTCTTCAGCTGCGACACTATGGATATGCCTGGTTTCAGTTTCATATGTTCGAGTCGCGTCATGTCCCTAGCCCATGGATGGCAAGGCTTACCGTGCACGTAGTAGTCCAATGAAGCGATCAAGGTCGGCAATGCTCCATTTCAATACTCGGTTAATGTAGTCGTGATGGGACTCGATATTGGGGACCTTCAAAGTGGGACAAAGAGAACAAGAATTGGACCAGGGTGAGTGACTCTGACAAGGAGTGAATCGAGATATAGAATTACCTCCTCATCTTGAATTTGAGACAGGCTGATGACTCTCGCTCGAGGCATCTTTTTTCAACTTGTACACGCGAGAAAGGTGCTCTGCCTTCTTTTGGTTCAAGCAATTTGGTTAAAGGACCGCTGACACTTTTCCAAGCAATCCAAAGTGGTGGGAGAGAGACGGATGATGTTGCACGCTGTGGCGTATAGATAAAATTGTACTCTTTTTTGGTCAAGGATGAGGCTGAAGTAAAAGAAACCATGTATCAACACCCAATACCCTATACTTGATGTCTATGTTGTACCTTGTTATGCTATCACTTACTTCTCGAGGAGAAAGGAGGAGGGTGGAATGAAATGAAAGGCACATTTTTCATGATGGCTCCGATCCAAAGTAATAATGGGATTATCCTTTCTTTAGATCCTTTGCTCTAAATCCATGAATTCTATCAACCTAATAATAGCAATATTCTTCTTTGTTTGTTTACGATCATTTTTATCCTCATAACCCACACACACCACCTGTCGTCGTTGAAAGATGTATTATGCACAGACCTCTTTGTACCCCTTGTTGTCGTTTTGATTATTCCCTTTTGGCAAGCAAATATTAATGCACGCGTCATGTGCATTGAATGCACTTTGCATGCTGTGTACATACATCACCCTTCTCTTTTTACATCACGTATGTTCTTTCCTTTGGTCATAAATGTCATTCATAATACATGCCAAGTTGTGATACTCTAACCATTTACACCACGTAATTTATCATGGTCTCATTTGGGAGGTTCGTGTATCATTTGCTGCAGTGTGTATAATATGTAAGCAAAGTCCATCATCCTGAAAGCAGTAAAGATATGCATGTTGCGGCTTTGTTCTTGTTTTCGGAACAAAGAATGGCATCGTTGATAGAATGAGATAGCAAATCTACCATGATAGTGTTATCGTTTGCTGATCATCACCCTGCTAGTCCGCATATCTTTCATGGTACTGTCTCACAAATTCAAAAAAAGAGACGAAGAAATATGTATGTTTGTGGTACATTGCTGTCGGATCACCCTTTTGACTCTTGTGCTGCCGCTCACTAGTAGTAAACATCTCTAAACAAAGATTACTATCGACACGGGCTGTATCATCAGAATTTATTCTCACTGGGATATCGGCATCACCGGATGCAATACCAAATGACTCTTCTGTATGCTTGTTGCAATGCATTGTTGCAATTACAGGACCTTTAAAAAGGTGGATGGGTGGATGTAGGAATGCACATGATGACATGAGGAGGAGGGTTGTGAGCAGCAGCAGCAGCAGTGAAAAGATTGATCGGATGACGAATTCGCGGAATAGTGTCATGGATGGGCCATAATCATGCTTTGGCTATCCCTCGGAAAAAGTTCGAGTGAAACAAAAAAAGAAACAGCAGCCAGCGGTTATTCCTTCTCCACATGCTACCAGATGGTGCAATCACCTGTTCCACTGATACAATCCCATTCTATCTACTACTATTATTATTGCTTCTACAAGGAGAGTATAACTGATATTACGGTCACAGCAAAATAAACATGCCCTTTAGCTCATAAATCAGGGCGTGCGAGAGTAAGGGAATGTGTGACATGACCAAACATGGTGGTATGGGAATCACGCGCACATGCTTGGCAATTGTATAGTAGGAATTGACTTTTTCGAGATGGAAAGTGAGTGCCGAAACCGAAGCGTCTTTGATCAGCCATCCGTTATCAAGTGGACTGTCATTGGTCCCTTGTCCTCTGTATCTTAAATACATCGTGTAACCCGAATGGTGTGCTTGATGAAAAAGCGTGCAAAAGCCCATCTGAGTCGGCTAACATTCCCACAATCTTTTTTTTATTTCAATCTTTACTCGCACGCACACACACGCATTTCTTTTTTTTCCCTTTTTTTCATCTACTTACACATTGTGCACGCTACACATATGCCGTTTGATACGCTCCAAAGATCACATAAGCGTATACGATCCAACACATGTTTTATTGACGACGATGCCGACATTTACTATTATTCCCCGCCGAGTGATGGGGTTGGTTGCTTTTACGACAACAATGCATGGCCATTTACCACCACTACACCGATATTACCAGTGACCCCTTACTTGGATAATCATACTACGACGACTGATTTGGGGTCATTGTCGTCACCACCACCTACACCCTTCGAGACATCGAGCATGGAGGACAATAACACCATCATTCAGCAGCATCACGAGCCATCGTCACCCTCCTCCACCAATGATGATCCATCCATGTTTTCCAAATTGAATCTGTCATACACTGAACTTGGGATCAACATGGAAGCACGATTATCAAGTGCCACCGATCTACGTATGTTGATTGACACATTCAGCAAACTTTGCACCATTGGTGTGGGGCAGGAGCATAATCGAATGTCAACAACATCATCCCCGACTCCAGCCGACAAGAAGGGTATTATTTTACCTCGGAATACCAGCTCACGTACACGACCCGTGAATCATTTCAAGCCTGTAACAGGGCCATTGGTGCTTGAATTGCCTCAAATGATAAGCTTGAGGCAGGTGACAGATGCATGTGTGCACACGTACTTTGAATGCTGGGTGCGATACATGCCAGTGCTGCACAAGAATGAATTTCTAGAATGGTACCAATCCCATCCATCACCCACCGATACGCTTATTGTCAATGCATTATGTGCCTTTGTATTTAGACATATGGTCATTCACCACAACACTTTACATCCCGATTTACAAGAAGATCAGGAAGCATTCTTCCTCAGTAGAGCACGTGATTGCCTTGCTCAATCCTTTGATTGCCCTGATCGACATACAGTAGTCGCATTGCTATTCATTGGTCGCAGAGCAGAACCATCACGACGACATTATTATGCATCCATGGCAATGGCATGTTTACACGAACTCGAAATTTATCCACGCATGATTCAAACAACAACAACATCAACACCAACAACAACACCAAAAGCAATGGATACCATGGCAACAGTAACAACAACAGCAACCAATGATGATTTGGATGAGGAGGAGCAACAAGATGATGAAAAAGCATATGCAGAGGAAATGGATACACGGCTATGGTGGTACGCATGGGGTGTGGACTTTTCACTCTATTCTAGCGGCACACCAAAGAGCACGCCACAACCTCGTTGTCCAGGTCAAATTGATCTTCCACGCGTATTCGAACAAGATATCGACGATGGTGAATGGGGCGTCTTGATGAACCAACATTGCTTGCGCTTTTGGCGTATTCAAGCCGGCATTGTCCAGTCATTGTACGCCAATGACGATCGTGAGTTGACGGTGGATGAGCTCCATGCATACGACAAGGAGATACTGGACGTGTACGAGGGATTACCAGCCTATTTGCGATTAGAGAGTGGATTCGAATATGGTGACGAGGAGCTCTTTGTAGCTTGCTTGCGCGTGAATGTGGAATTCAATGCAACCCGGCTCATCTTGCATAATCTTTTTATGCCTGAGGACAATGATCCACACCCAAGCCCTTTTGCTCTCGAGTCGCTCAACATTTGTCTCTCCATGTGCCTACGTCAATTGAGAACACTCAACACCTACTTCAAGATCAAGACGGGTCATTGTGGATTTGACAGGGATGAACTATGGCGTGCAGCTGAAGTCATTACTACGGCGATGGATATTTATCGTGCTACGGGATCACCTGCTATTGTGAAGAACATTGATATTGCTGAATTCAACGATGCTCTCGAACGTGCACTTGTCATCATCAAAAAGACAAGGGATTACCAGGTCAAGAGAAGGGATTGGCTTTTATTGGCAGATTGGTTGCAAAGCGAGATTCAACGGCATGAACGACAACAACGTCGACGGCGTAGTAGTAGCAGTAGTACTACTACAAGCAGCAGCAGCAGCAGCACCACTAGCCAGCATCGACGTCGACGATCTTGTCAAAGAAGAAAATCCAATACCCCTGATCATTACTTGGCCAATCTCAAATATCCCTTGTCCCCTCCTCCACCCACCACAGCACAAACTGCACAACAATACCAACAACAACAACAATCAGCATCCACAACTACATTTGTATCATACCCTTCTTCCTCTCCACAACAACAATCACAACCACCACCAGCATCCAACAACAACAACAACAACAATGGCAATCAATCATCACCCGTAAACACGATTCCTGAAGATCCATTTATTCATTTTACGCCAGCTCCACCTCCAACACCAAAGTCATCATCACGATCCACACCACCCAATACAACCCCATCATCAGCTGTCTTTACTACATCCACCAAAGGCCAAACCCGTTTTCGATATTTTAATCCACGCAAGATGAACAAGTTTCTCTTTATCGATGAAAATCCTGCTCTTTCTCTATAAGCCGTCAAGTACATGCCATCCCCTCTTTTTGCTTTTTCTTCTTCTTTTACATGCCCCACCCCTTTTCTCGCTCTCTCTTGTAACATATGATCACCCCCAACAACCACAATCATGAATAATATTAATGAGTAATAAAAGCATCAGATGATGTATGTGTATTGATGTTTGATAAGCAACAAGATAACAGCAACAAACGATATACTACATGTTGTATATGGATAATAGCGGGAAACGACGGGATGCGTATTGATATTTACAAATGGGGTGCGGGGGGGGGGAGTGGGGTATGTGTAGATAAGCTATTTGGAGATAAGGCTCATCAATATTGGTTGATAGGAACACCACCACCACATGCTTGAAGTTTTTGTTGTACATCATCGTACGCACTCTCGGTTTCTGCATGCTTGATTTTGAGATTCACCAACATCGTTTCCAAATCCGCCAATCGAGTCGTGAGCTGATCGTTTTGTTGCTTTAGGTGTGCATTCTCACGCATAAGGTTATCCACCACAGGTGCTGTCATTTTGAATTTCTCAAGATCGCCTCGCGATTGTGCTAGTTGGCGTCTCAATTGCTCATTTTCATCATCCATCCTTGCAACATGCATCTTGGCATCAATGACCTGACTTGCGACTTCATGATGATCCTTTTCAAGCGATTGATATGATTTCTCGAGTCGACGTAGCTGGTTGGTCACCTCGGCATTGGCTCGACGCAGTTGTTCCTCTTGCGATTGGATTTTGGCATCACGAGCAGCTTCGTTGGCGTATTGCTTGGTGAGCCGAGCAAGTAACTTTGGTGCAATATCCAAATGATAGGCATCTTGAATAAAATCATTCACATCGTCCTACAATATTATGCCATTAGAGAGAGTGTATGCAAGTACAACATAATAAGGAAAAAGAATTACCTTGTAGTCGTCATAGATTGTATTGTTGAGAAAGTGGATAAGACTTTCAAAGTCGTCGAGTGCAAGGATGGCTTCTTGATTGCGAAACACAAGCGTCAATGCAAAGCGGAGCATCATTTGAGCACCTTCGATGAGGACCACATCCAATACACGACATGCCAAATGCAGCGGGCCTCGAAAAGCAAAAAATGTCAGGAACCATTGCGACGCATACATGCTGGGTTGCACATGTTGTTTCTCCAAATGTTCATGCACCTGTGGTAACATTTGCTGCAGCAAGTGATTGAATTGGTATAATCGCTCATGCAAAAGTTCAGGTTGTTGCAAGGTGTATTGGGGTCGTAAACTGTACTGGCTCATCAGCTTCACCAAGACACTAAAGGCATTCTCATCCGGCATCTAGTATGTACATCACAATGGGTGTCAAATATCATATAGAGGGATCATCATCATCATCATGACTTACATTCGAAACAAGACATGCCACCAAATAAAACAATTGTTTGTTGTATCCCACTTGCTGATCAAACAAGCTATAGGCTTTGATGACATGGAATATGGAATCAAGCCCTTCCGTCACTGGATGTTGAAAGAAAGCGGTGGCGGGGAAATTGCGTGCCAAATCACGTCGAATGGATTTCTCATGTGGACTCACGCGTTTGAGTAGTTCCCTGTATTCAGTCTCAAGCTCACACATGTTGCGGGACTTGGATAGCAGTTGCCATAGGTGACCACGTACGGATAATGGGATCCCGCCTGCTACCATGTGTTGTCGTACATTGTCAAGTTGAGATTTGATCACATGGTCGGTGTCTTGAATGAAGGCCTCCCAAAATTCTAATTGAACGATGATATTAGCATCGTGCATATAGTAGTGTCAACAATAATAATAAATACCTTTATCAGGGTCACTCAATGTCACTTGATTAAGACACTCCTTAGTTTCCTCCTTCAATGCCAAGTGTCTCATAGATTCACGTAGTTGATGATGTTGATCTTCTGAATAGCGACCACCACCACCTCCACCATTAGAATTGCCACCACCCAATTTGGATCGGATCATGTCATAGTAGCTGCTGCTGCTGCTGCTAGTAGTACCACCTGCATAAGAGAATCGCTTGGGGTTGGCGGAAGAGGAAGGGGATGTCACAGCACCAGCAGCACCAGCAGCGGCTGATGTACATGATGCAGCGGCAGCAGGAGGCTGGGTACCACGAATCAACCCTGACATACGCTTGCTTTGTCGTTCCTGAAATGCTTGTGAAGGTCGTTCCAAAGGTCGTGATGTGGATGTACTAGTACTGCTATGGCTGCTGCGTGATGATAATGAATCCGTTCTCTTGAAAAAGCTAAACGAATGGAAGGATTTTCCACTCTCGGATCTTGTACGCGCCAAGTTGCTACCTTGTGAGGAGGTTGTCGTTGTTGTTGTTTCTGGTTCATCTTCTAAGGGTCGAGGTGGCAATGGCTTGTGACGCACCACTGTAGCTGCTCGTCGTCTCTTTGGAGTCTTCATGGTGGTGTTGGATGATAATGATTGTTCATTTTCATTGTCGTATTCATTCTCTTCTTTGTCATCATCATCTTCTTCCTCTACTTGCTCCTGAAGAGATTCAGCCACGGTGGATGATCGACATCGACGAGGCGTATCCATGGTGGTTGCTGTTGTTGGCAAAGGAAACGGGTGTTTGAGCATAGTAGGCGTTGTCATGGCTGTATCCACTGATGCATCATCCTCTTCACTTGATGTGGTAGTAGAATGGGTGGGTTGTAATCGTCGAGGAGGACGTCGACTGTTGTTGCTGTTGCTGTCGTTGTTGTTGTTGTTGGTTGTGGTACCTTGATGATGATGATGTTGTTGTGCAATGCCATCTTCTTGATCACTCAAATCCGAATCCGAATCCTCACTGCTGCTGCTTGCTTCATCTTCATCATCCGTCTTGACTTGGATATGGAATCCAAAATGGTCACGATATTCGCCACGAGTGGGATTGTTCAAGGCGTCATCAACGACATCGAGATCATACTCGCACAATGAGAAGCATTCCTGGTCGGTGTTGCCCAAATGTGAGTCATTGGCGTCAACGGCTGCTAGTGTTGGAGAATGAGGCATTGGAGAGTTGTTTGAAGAAGAAGGGGATATAAAGAAAAGGGGTACACGGGAGGAAAAGGAAATCAGAGTAAATGTACGTGTGGAACCAGCAAGTCATGCAGCTCAGTCGTTATGTACCACCTGCCTAACATCACCATAGGCGGCTCACTTCCGATCGCCACTTACGTAATACCTTTCATAGTCTACTTTTCATGGCTACCACTTGTTCATCCCCTGTCTTCATTATTTCATTTCATTCTCTCATTCAGAACAATGACACCTCCTAAAGATAACCTACTTTATAAGGTTGAATAGATTATTTATCCCCATCAATCATTGTTGTGGTGGTGACCAATAATGCTACTACTATAGTACTTCTCGGATGAACATGATGAAGGATAATGCGTGTGTATTCAACAACGGCCTAGCTATAGCTCTCGCAATGTACATCTCTTCTTTGATGTTGCCTATTTTAGGTTACTATCCAATCGGATGCATGTATGTATTTGGCTTTATGCATTTCAATGGTCGGATTTGGTGGATCATGCCATCATAAGGTCTTCCCCATAAGTAATCTTTCATTCATTGTTTTCAATGACTATTTTGATACATTAAACGAAATCCATCTATATTAAACACCGCCCATTCTATCCTGTCTTTTGATGGATAAACTTGTAAAGCTTCCTCGCAGGCTCGATGCCGATGATCTTTGCAATATCGCTTTCTGAAAGTGCAAACAATTGCTCGAGATTCTCAACAGCGTTGATCAATAACTTGTAGTTTTTGGAATCAACACCTGGCATGCTCCGTAGTATTTCCTATTATAGTTGCATTAGCGAAGAGATCATGCCACCACCACTCTAAATCTCTTGTACCTGAGGAGTCATGTTGTGTGTTTGATTGGGATCATCCGCATTCTCTGCTCCTACCATCATCGCTATGTCAGCGTTGGGTTCATCTTCGTTTCTCTAAAAAAAAGGTCCCATTAGAAACCCTGTGAATCCAAAAATCCCATATTCCTTCCTTCCTACCTTGAGCTCTTTGAACACAGCCGCTGTTTCATGAGGACTGGATGACCATATCAACTTGACTTTGGGAAACGTGAGTGTCAAGAGCACCAACTTGGATGATAAATCGGTAGCAACGATCGTGTCCTTCATATCTGAGAGATTCTGCAAAGAGAACGATTTGCCTTCGTCAAACTCGATCAACAGTATCGGCGTCTTGTAATGCAAACACATGTTTTCACATTGGGTATACCTATCAAGCTTCCATCAGGCACTTTGTTCCTCTTCCTTATCCATCCTTAATAACACTTACAGTCTTCCTGAAGAGAAGGACGAGATAAGATCTGATATGGATTTACGTTCAACGCACATGTCCGGGCTAAGCACATAATCACCGATTTGAAGCGTGCATGGGACAATCTTGACTTCTTCAGCGTATAAGATAGGTGGTAAAGAACTTCGAAATTCTCGCATATCGACGATGATCTAAAGAGGTAAAACGCATTAGTATGGGTCATGAATGTCAAAGCTATCATGGTCTTACAGTGGGTGGTCCTTTGTCTTTGATTTGTCCTCCTGCAATGCGTGAACTGATGGCTCGTGCAAACTGCTCTTGTTGTGGATTTTTCTTTTGGGGCATTGGGATCGCCATAATCTGAAGCATTTGAAAGGATGTCAGCCATGGATCCATTATGTTCACGATTTGACTATTACTCACCGACTTTTCACGAATTAGCTTCTCAAAAGCATCCTTCTCCTTACGGATCATGCTCAAATAGTTTTGTTCCTCAACCGAATTCTCATACAGCATGAAATAGACCCGGATATCAACTTCTTGGTGCGTTGCACGATAAATCTACTCAATAAAAGATCAATACGGAATCCTCTTTTCAAGTGCTATCATCCATTACCTCCAGGCGGCGTATAAATGTTGGATCAGGATCGTACATGATCACAAATAAAGGCTGTAATTCTTCAAGAACATGTGCATCTCGATCATCCTCATAGCATTGTATTGATATAATCGATGTAGCAGGGATCTCCTTGAACTTTGGTAAAATATCATCTTCTCCCAGTTCAACTTCATCGTCCACTTGGATGGGTATCTCAGCTTCGGTAGGTGTATCCAACCTAAATCAGCTCGTTAGTCTACAGAAGGATTGCGTAAGCGTGGGGGATGTGGGAAACTTACATTGCAATGGTATCTTGCACATCATCTTTGAAGGTTTCTGCTAGCGGTGGTCGTGACGACGATGATGATGCTGCAACTGATCCACCACGAACACGTCTTCGTTTATTAGGCGGTGCACTTCCACGAGCGAATCCACCACGTTGATTGGATGATTGTGAAGGTGTTGATTGTTGTTGTTTCTGCTGCTGCTCCTTTTGCTGTTGTTCCTGGATATTGGTAATGCTTTTCCGGAGACTGAAGAATCGCCTGATCAATCTTTCCAATAACGGTGATGATGCTTCGGTGTCGCTTTTTACTGATCCCGAAATGTACTCTTGTAGCTGATAGATCGTTCTCCTCTCCTTCACCATAATCAGCACAGGCGCACCCTCTATACATATCTCGTCATTAATATATATATCCACATCCAAAGTCAAAGCATGCTGCTACCACTTACCCTTAGTATGGGATTCCAAATCTTGCTCGATCTCATCCAATACTTCTCGCAAAAGATGCCATTTGGGTTGTTCTTCAAGCACCAATCGAATGGGTGTATTGCCTTCCTTTATAGTGGTATGAGAAGCGGTCTGGTATTCTGGATCCTTGGGTCTGACATACAAACGTCGTCGAGCTGCCTAATCATCCCTTTCTTAATCAATCCATTCTATAACCATCCCCCATTCCATACAATGCCACTTACTGAAATTGCCCGTTCAGCAGCATCTAAAAATAACCACTGGGATTGTTGACCATGTCGCACATCCTTTGGTGAATTACTTGCAATCACTGTTTCAAGGAAGCTGTAGAATGAAACTGCATCATAGTCTGCCAGATAGCTAAAAACAACATTTTTCAGTTCTCGTTTAGTGTATGATGCTTATCGAAAACTACCTGAGCAATTGACGAAGAATCTTGAGATCACCCACAAGTTGTTTGGTTGCAGGGCTGACACGGTGCCAGATGGGATCGAGTTGCCGTCGAATAATAGCATCAAAGGACTTGAAGAAGGAATTCTCGATCGTAAACTCTTCCACGTCCACCTATCATCATCATTCAATTTGTCAAAATAGCTGTCAAGTATACTTATCCACTGTATATTGCTTACCATAGCACTTTGATGCCGCCGTACTTCAGATAAGGTCGCTTCCATACATTCCACTAGTCCTTGTTGAATCTGATCCATCTTTTCAGTCATTGGCTGTCGCAGCTCCACCACATCCGCTTTTGCTTTTGAAAGGTTGTCGGCGACAAGGACCTGGAATCTTGCATAAAGATGTCAGCCATACTTCCTTGTATGCCATATGTACGTATATACCTTGGCCACAAATGAACATGACGCAATTGAAGTGTCTTTAGCGTGTTTTGAAGAGGAGCAAATCCAGTTGTAAATGATTCAGGTTGATCCGACATGGCTTTGATGAATCCTTGCTAAAACAACCTTCCTTTAGTAACTATACCAAAAGCACAATCACCTTCCCTTTTTCCGGTACCTCGTTTCCTTTGCGATATATCCGTAGGATCAATTCCTCCATTGAATCGGGTCGTATCCTATCCAGACCAAAACCTTTGATGAACATCTTGCACGTGACTATTATCCTTCATTCCTCACATACCTGTGTGCGTTATACACTATGATGCCTGATATCATTGAAATAGGTACACGTTCCAGCAGCATGTCGACCCCCAAGATGCGTGAAGTAACAGAAAAGATGCCACTTTGTCGATACATGTTGGCTCTAATATAACCGTTCTTTAGCAAGACGTAAAGCGTTGCGTTGAAATGACCACTGGTATTGTACCTTGTCTCTGCAGGCGTTTCGGCCGTGATTGTCTGCATGCGATTGGTTGGCGAAAGGCCCATTGAAGCTTGGTAGTCGATAATAGCCGCGTCCTGCGCTTGAGTCGTGTTGATCACCAGCACCAAGTGGTTGTCCTTTGTATGGAGATCCAAGAACGAGCATAGAATGTTGAAGAGTCCTAGTCCTCGAGCGAGAATCAAGAGTGCATCCTGATCCACCAATTCTGTAAGGATCTGCTTCTGGAATTCGAGCATAGCGTGAATGTAGGTGCTGCGCAGGAAAGAAAGACAAAGATGCTAATCCACCCGCTCTAATCTTCCTAATTAGGATCGCGCCTTACACTCCACATTCATGCGGACTCCTGTATGCCGTACACATTCCCTTGGATAGTTAATGCATGCTTCAAGGATTAAAGGAAATCTATAGATTGTACGCACGCAATAACAAACGCATTGCCTAAATACAAATACCCTTTAAAGAAAATGACATCAATGATGCGTGCAAGATTTACAATCACAAACAATAAACTTGATATTAGCTGCTACCATGATGTTTTCTCAAATCGCCTCTAAGGTACATCATAGGTAGATCCATCCAAGTCTAAAGAATCGATAGCTTCCAAGAACTCGAAGAACGCTAATCTTATTTATTACTTGTATCATAATCGAGAACATTCAACAGAAGAACAGCTAAAGTCTTTGTGCAATACCGGGAACCAACAACATGTAGAATCTCTAAGCGGCAACATCCTCTTCCTCTTCCATGTCTAATTCAGAGGCTGTTTCCTCTTCCTCTTGTTCCTCTTGTGGCTGCTCTTCCTCTTGTTCTTCTTCTTCATCATCTTCGGCTGCTGCTTGCTGGTCCATTTGATCCACCAGTAGTTCTGTAGCCTCTTCCTGTTCAGCAATTTCCTCAGGTGTCATTTCTACCTTCTCGGCTTGGTTCTCAACTTGAGCAATTAAATCAGGGTCGAAAATGTCATCGATACCAGCATGCTTGAATTGGCTGAGTTGGTTTGGAGAAAGATGAAGAATAGGTGCCATGTTGCTGCTGCTTGATGCAGCGCTTTCAGATACGGATGCTACAGCTGGAGCTAATACGTATATGAGAATAGGTTAGCTATTCATATCTCAAGATGGCCTGTGCCTTGTTTCTTTACCTGTCCAAGCGTTTCGAATAAAGAATGCCAAAACAACGGCGACAAGTGATGTATGATGGACCATATTGAGATAGCTTTTTAGCAATGCTGCAGATGATGAAGATACCGATCATGGATAATGACAATGTACCTTTTTATATACGTTATCCAAGGCAATGTGTTTTGTTGACACCATGTATAATTGGGATCACAACCGAGTAACCAAGATTTCCCGAGGCCGTTTTCAAGGTTTGGAGGAGCGCACCCACCACCACCACCACCACCACCACTTGACCGCTTTAGTCTACCGCTTTTGACACGCTTTGCTACACCGCCCCCTCCTTCAACCGTTGCCATGCCAAAGATCGTCTCGTCATCCATCGTCTCTTCCTCCGATCACTTAGTACAGCAAGAAGACCAACGAAGTGCATTGCATGTCTACTATTGCCTATGTTCAGAATTCCTCTTGGTGATCGACGCCGATCTTCGGATATTACCTCGGAGACGCACGGATAACGCCATCATTGTGTCAAACACAAAGCGTACATACAAACTGACGGCAGAGCCAGGGCAAACAGTCGTTGTTCAAAGGTGAGGTCATGAACGAAGCTCTCGTAAAAAATACAAAACACGTGCTGATGTCGTTTTTTCCAGGAAAGAGGGATATGAAAAGCAATATCGATACCATTGTCCACGTAAGAAAGAGTCCACACAAACAACATGAGGGTATGGATTAACACGACCATGATGATAGGATGTCAATTGCTGATAGCTTATGAATCGACTGAGGATCGTAAATCGGGGCCTTACACATACATTCTGGAAGGTGCATTAACTGAAGTTCAAGGGAGTGCTCCACCCAATGCCATTCAAGAGATCGCATGAAATAAAAATCCATATATGTATTGATATCTTAAAACTCAAGCTACATGAAAAGGAGGAGGAGGTGTCTGAAAAAGCAATGGATGAGGACTAGAATAGACTTCATTTTTGGGATTGAGTAGGGAGCTTCTTGTGAACGCTATTTCTGGAATCAGGCATGATCGCTCTTTGTCCTCTTTGATGTGATATGTGTGTGATTGTTCAATTCTTTCCCCTTTCATTGCTTCTTTTTTCTTCTTCTTTTTCTTTTACTCTTGCTTCTTTCTTGTATTAATGGATTCCTCAGGTCTCTTATCATCTCTTTTACCAGTGTCTTCGTTGAATAATAAGCCATCGAATGATCATAATGACCCATCCCCATCACAACCACCTCCACCTCCACCACCTCCTGTGTCATCCTCGCCACCATCACCTAGCCATAGCCAAGAACCAATTGATAGCCAAGCAAATACAAGCACCACTCAAGCATCAGAACACCCATCCCCACAGCCAACGCATTCCCCTACTAATGATAACAAGGAGGACAACAATGTGAGTGTATATACGTGGATGTCCTAAACATTATAAAGCGATACCCTAATGCGTTCAAAAGAAACCAGGGACGACGTTAGCACCGGAACCAACGCCTGATACGAAACCATCAAAAGACGATCAAGGCAAACCCACGCCAACAGATGAATCAAAGCATACACAACATAAGACGGTGACGACTTCTAGCGCATCAGCTGTTATCCAAACGTCGACAATGGATGATGGCAAAGTTCATACGTACACGTTGACATCTTTTGTGCCTTATACGACCACTGTGCCAGATGATGGCGTAAGTTCAGGGAATAATAATAGTAATGACAAGCATAGTAGTGCAACCCCTATCATTGCTGGCACTGTAGTTACCGCAGTTATCGCTGCATCCATCGTTGGCAAGTAAATGAATGATCCATTCCCCCCTCTCTCTCTCTCTCTCGCTTCTCATGTTATCCTAATTTGTCCATTTCTTCTCCTCCCCCTTATTATTCGATACATAGGGCTCATTGTCTTTTGCTGCATGAAACGTAAACGAAAGCAACGGATGCGACAAACCATTACCGAAAGCTCTCTTTTGAATACGCATGATTATACGCCTACCGCCTCTGGTACTCCCACCTTGGACGCAAGTCCTCGACCTTTGGTTGCACCTCATCACTCTTACTACAGTGCGGCAGCTTCAGCTCATAATCAGCAACCACAATACGAAATGGCTTATGATAATAATGGCTATGATGTTTATAACAATGGTGGTGGTGGCGGCGCAATGTTGGTCTCTGACAGGCATTTACCCAATCAAGTTGACTATCACAACAATGATTACTATGGTGGACATCATCCATATCAACACACACAGCTGCCTCATCAGCAGCACGTGCCCACTGATGTGCCACATACCAAAGAATATTAGTATCCTTAGACACTTCGTTTCAAATGTCAACATGATGAACAAAATACAAGTCTCATTCTTAATGTATGTTGTTGTTATGTGTATGTGTGTGGGAATTGCATGCGATGGTATTATTTATCCTCCTCGCCTGCATGTTTGATGACAAGATGCGACACATAAAGGAAAGGATTTTTGCGTATAAAGAACGTTGTCAGCAAGTACACGGATGGTGTTACTAGATTGGCAAATAGTGAATGTCATGTGAAATCGCATTGGTGGTGTGGTAGTAGCGATCAAACAAGGGGTGCAATGTCTCAAAGGGCAAGAAGCCAGGGACCAGTGAGAATGCTGCGTGCCTTTTCCATCATCATCACGAGCAGCAGCTCGAGGCTCCGACATGCAAGTATCATCTTCTGCTGCTGGCTCAAGCAGTTGCTATTTTTCTTTCCTTCCTTCCTTTCTCTTCCTCTTCCTCCTCCTCTTCCCGATATGCCACCCAACACCTCGAGATACCAACACACTACTGAGGATGCAACTCACATTCCACCAAACGAATCGCTCAATCAGCTCATTGAAGCAACTCCTTTTATTGATTACGAAGTCGCCAGCTCAAGTCTTTTTGACGGTGCCTTCACCATTGTCTCGACGATCTTTCCTTCTTGGCAACGACAAGATCTCAAGCTTGTTCAGTGCAAGGATGGTATCACCAACCAATGTATGTAACTAGGGCTGATCCAAATACCTGGGTTTATTGACTGGAAACTGATCTATGGGCGGGGAATGTGTTGTATTGTGTAGTGGTCAAAGTAACCCATTTACCAACCGATTTCTCGGTGCTTGTTCGAGCATTTGGAAGAGACTCTGAAATCCTAATTGATCGAAAGCAAGAAATCATCGTAAGTGTGTTTTGTGTGTGTGCTTGGCATCCGTGTTAGAGTGTCGACCTAACTCACGAGATATCCCCCTTTGTGTGTATGTAGAATCTCGTGACCTTATCAGCACAAGGCCTGTGTCCTCCATTGTATGCTCGGTTTCGGAACGGCTTGATGTATGGATTCATTAAAGGACGAGTATCCACGGCAGATCAGTTGTCACTCCCACGAGAAGCATCATGGATCGCGAAAAAGTTGGCTAAATGGCACAAGGTTCGTCTGCCACAGGGCCAAGATGACAAGGGTGAGCCCAAGCAAATGTTGTGGCATACGTTGCGTCGATGGATCTTGGAAGGTATAGGTTTAAATCCAAACAATGATATTCTTGTACTCATCATCATCATCATCATCATCATCATCATCATCATCATCATCCACAACCTTAGTGCCTACCAAGTATAATGATCCCACCAAGCAAAAGTTGTTTGATTCTCGATTCGATATCCACAAGATGAGATCAGAGGTAAGGGAGATAGAATACTACAAGGTCATGTGGATATTAACAAGGAACGCATTTGTGTTACATAGATGGAAGAGCTTATCACACTCCTTGAGCAACTTGATTCGCCCGTTGTGTTTTCTCACAACGATCTGCTGTATGGCAACATTATTTTTGATGACGAGAAAGGTAAACATGATCTCTGCACGTGCTGACATGGGCTAACATGTGCTCGGTAACAGAGGATGCATCCTTCATTGATTACGAGTATGGCTCATACGCCTTCCGAGGATTTGACATTGGCAACCACTTTAATGAATTTGCAAGCTTTGATTGCGATTATTCAAAGTATCCCTCCAAGGACTTCCAGCTTCAGTGGTTTGAATGGTACTTGACAGAGTATAATGGAGGTGAGTGATTTTGATTGTTTGAGATAATGCAACAATATCGATACTCATATGTGCTGGTACTAGTCAAACCATCCCAACAAGAGCTTGAACATGTCTACCGAGAAGTTGAAGGGTTCTCACTGGCATCTCATTATTATTGGGGTTTGTGGGCACTCGTTCAGGCCACCATCTCGGATATTGATTTCGATTATCTCAACTATGCCATCCTTCGTTTCAACGAGTATGAACGTCGTAAAAAGAACATTTTCCCTTCCTTGTAGAAAACAATCCCAGCATCATCCCGATCCTATATACATATACCAATCTCGCTCACACACTCAACACACACTCACACACACATATACACGACGTCTTGTTTGTTTCAAATCTATTTTGGCAAGAATTCTATTTATGCCACGATTTCGTATAAAGAGTAGTAATCAACATGTATTTCTTTGTTTGTTGAAAAGAATGATCATGCATACAAGCGTTGGGATGGAGGAGGAGCATGCTATTGGGCGGGGGTTCAATGGTCGATGAGGAGGAGGGTATTCATTGTATGTATGTAGGATGTGCCGTTGTTTTTACATGCCCTTGATATACTCGGGATGTTCCTTGAACACGGCGTTGATGGTTGCAAGGATGGTTTCCAAAGCCTGCAACCAAGCCTTCATCACTTCAAGCGCAGCATCAGTGAGCACGCCAATCTTTTGGTAAAAGTCCTTGCGGTAAGGGCATGCTTTCATGGCAAGCTGGATTTACGAATGTAAATTTAGTGTCAGTGTACTACAGCTCACTACAAGGCCAATTTAATACTTACAGCAAAGACAGGGCGCACCATCATGTTGTGATGTTTTCTGAGGGTGGCTTCATAGGCCTTGGTAAAGGAGGTGTTGAGCTCTTCTTCAGGATTCTCAATGCTGCGACGAAGAGCTTGAGCCGTGAAATCCAAACCACTATGTATTATCATCATCCATTAGCATCCTTTGGATTTCTATTTCCTAGTATGTATCACTTACCGAGAAAGCCACAACAAGCCTTCAGTGGCAACGCGTTTCTTTTGTGGTGCTTCAGCTGCCATGAGGTTTTGAAGCGTGTTGTTGGTGGCAGCATCGCTCTGCAACTTTTCACGGATTTTCTATATAGATATTCAAAGCATTGGTAAGTCGACAACAGCAAAATCATGTATGTAAACCAATCTATATATACCTTAATGTTGCCGTTCATATCATTTTGGACAACCGAGAAAGCACTTGAGCCGAGCAAGTCTATTCTCAAATGCGGCAGAGTCAATCAGTGATTACTCTATGAACCTATAACGTGTGAAGGCCTACGTACCAAACAACTTGACCACGCCTTCAGTGGCCTCCAAAAATTGCTCAGTGTTGATACCGTTGGAAGTATCGACGTTGGTGTAGGAAAGTTTCAAGGTATCAAAATAGCTCATATTGTGTGCGATATGAAAAAGAGAGATGAGGAAGAGCGAGACCTTTGACAGTTTATAAAGTGGTCTTATAGTGCGGGGTGATTTACCACGAGCGCATAGCGACCACGTTGCCATGTTCAACGGCCGCTTCACCCTGGCTAGACCAACATGATAAAACCAGGAATAGCTCACTGTTCTTTCAAATGAGGACGTGCCTAGAGTGCACCCATCACATACAAGTTGACCTTTTTGTAATAGGGTATTCATATACATTCGCTTGCATATTGAGAGAGGAATAATAAAGCATCATCTACTATCAAGATACTACGTCAACCTTGCATTCAGGAACCACCATGCACTTGGTCTTGCTAAAGTCGGGGTTTCCCTAAAAAGCAGCATTGCACGCTGGTCTAATTGTTCGCAAATAGGGCTGCAATGTTGGATGATGTCTCTAATAGTGCCCATGAGGATAAAAGAATACGCATAACAAGATGAGAAATGACTTTTGAAGTACAATTTTGTTCACCAGTAACAATAAGATTTTTCTTTTTATAGATGCATGGATCAAAAGACAAATAAAAGATATAACTACAACAAGGTCTATGCATTGGGAAGGGATATGAGAGGTTCTTTTTAAAAGTGGAGACGATGGCGTCGTTCGGGACCCATTTGGTATTCTTGAGGAATGTCATTGTGATATTCGAGCGTTTTGGCCATGAAGCCCATGAATCGGTTACCATATTCCAAAGGCTCCACTGCTGAGATGGCGTGTTTGTCTTGGGTCATTGATTTGAAAAAGTGCTCGGATTTCTTCTTAGAGTCGTATGGTGTGAGGATGTCAATGATGCCCATGTAGTACAGTGCCGATGTGGGCCGATCTTCTTCATCAGTGGATCGGAAACCACCTTCATCCGAATAAAAGATACAGTTTCTACGTCTATTATACAAGAGATTATAAGTCATTGGGACATCGTCATTGAAGGGATGGGTATCAAAGACTTACTCATGAGGATCCTCTGGTAATTTGGAAGAATCAAGACGCTCTGGATTTGTCTGTGCGATCGCTTTACGTACAACTTGTGCTTTGGTTTGTCGTCGCTTTAACATGGATGCATGACGCTCAGCACGTTTTGTGTCCGGCTGACAAAGAATGGATGCCATGTGAGTAACGCATATAGTAATGATCGCAGCGGCGAGAGAAATACTGTACCTGGAAGAATTGCAAAGTCGAATCACGAATGTTATCCTTGTTGCCACGCACCATATTGTGAATGCCAATCAGTAAGCTGTAATCCATAATGTTGAGGCGTACAAGGAGCTATTCAATGAATGCGAGAGTGAGTGACGGCGTGTCATTTTTGCATTAAACCTCCTTCCCCCCTTCTCCTTTTTACCTTGACATCACGCATGAGTTGGCCAATAAAAAGTTTTCTCTTTTGTGGTCCCATTTGTAGCTTGCGATTGTTCTTTTGGAAGTTGAGATCCTTCATCACCGCATTCTTGGACTTTTTGATTTCTTCTTCTGGTAGTAATCGTCCCACCAGTGATCCCTAATTACAAATGTGTGTGTGTGTGAGACAACATGCAATGCCATGTGTATGTGTGTATGCGCCAAGTTACCTTGAGATCATAGGTCTCGTGGATATCCTGTAAATAAACGCCCAGATGCATTAGCACTTTAGGCATATTATCACATGTTGTGTATATATCACATCGTTTACCTTGTTTGGCGGGAATACATTGCCCATGACAACAAAGTGAATCTTGCGTCCTCGAGGTTGTTTGACACGATGTAAACCATAGTATCTGCAAAGCAGTGTATCTGGGTTGTTCATAACGTGCTAATGCACAATACATGTAATCGATTAGCCCAATCGGAGCAACAAACAAGGGCATCCAAAGCACTTACTGCATGGTAGTCTTTGAGGATTTTACGCAAATACTTGTGTTCAGAATGATGGATGGTCTTGATGATGAAACGATAGTCTCTTGAATAATAAAAGAAGCTGCCACTCTTGCCGGGAGAGCCCAACTCAGAAAGGATATACTTGCTTGTCAACGACACCTATTCTATTTTTAGTGATCCACGATAGAGAGAGCAAAAGGGCGCAAGAAAGCTTACCAGATAATCAGCTGGATCGATACCAAATTGTTCACGAAGTTGTCGAAAAGCCCATGGGGCGTAATCCTTGAATTTAAAGTCGTATTTGGCTCCTGGCGTCAATTCATCACCCGTACTAGAACAAGATAAAGCTAAGTTTCATGATGATAACAACATCATTTCTCTCTCTCTCGTAATGACTTACACATTAAAGGCAAGCTTATGCGCAGCAGCAAAATCCTCATCGGTGACAGGGCGATTGGCCTTGGCAGACACACGACCGACGGCAATACGGATACCCGTTAACATGTTGTACATGAGGACATAGTCTCGATGATCCTTATCCACGCGTGTGCCGACCATCACTCGATCATCATCAAAGTCTTCTTGACGGCGAGAAAGTCGTTTGAATGCTCTTCGTCGTGCTGATAGTTCCTTTGCAAACTCTTCAGAGATACCAATCTCGGGTTTTGGCTTCTTTTTGCTGGCATGTCCTGTTGTATGATGTCGTGCAAGGGATCGTCCACCACCACTTTCATTAAGGATGCTATCGCTCTCCTTGACAGAATGCAGTGTAGAGTGTCGTTTCAGCTGTGAGTTGTCTTCTTCTAAATCTTCCTCTAGAGAGGATGGCGTGGGGATATTGGCAGGTACCACGGAGGTCGTAAACGAACGTTTGGTGTGAAGGTCTGATGAGGGAGAGCGATTCCTGATGGGGACAGGTGTTACTGGTGGAGAGAAATCAGATGAAGCTTGAGTGCCATCATAAACAAGGCTGTCGGTGGTGCTCACAGGGTCATCGACCATGGGCCCAAGCTTATAGAGTGATTGCGGTGTTCCATTGGCAGCAGCAGCAGGTTTCATAAAGTCGGTATCCACAGGACGGTCAATGTGGAATGTGTTGGTTTTGTTGCTATAGAGATCAGTGTGGAATGGTTGTGAAGTGCTGGTCATGGCGAAGAAGAAGAAGAAAAGGAAAAGGAGAAAGGGGCACAAATGGCTAAGTGAACGGCAACTGATTTGTTTTAGTAGTTGCTCACCACCATGCCCTACGTTACACATACAGTTGCCCGCCCAACGCAGCCCATTCTCTTCCATCTCATGCGTCCACATATTCCTGATGTAGTAATCGTATCCCATTGTACACAAGCATGTTCATTGTATCGTGTAACAATGCATATCCACTTTCACCATCTATGCACATTATCCATGCACTGAAAACGTTCACTCATGCAATGCTTAAGTATACCCACCACCGTCATCAATGCACCCAAGGTACAGTACGACATGTTGTTTTCATCATGTGATGTTGCTCACAAGACACTGGTGCCATCAATGCAACTCGCCCCACGTGGTATTTGAATTCATAGAGTAGGTATGACGCGCACTGCTGAGCCCGGTCACTTTTGATTGAAGGCGCTAAAGTAGATGGCTATGAAGCGTAGTAGTATCTCGATCATGAGATCTTGTGAAATAAGGATGTCTTCAAACATAATAAACCCAGCTTTACTATATAATGATCCGCAATTGCACATCACAAGTAGTATTATCGGACACTTGGCTTTCATAGGGAGGGATTTATTAAAGATAACAACATACATCATAGCTTGCACTTTGTGGTAGAATCATTGACGTCCCAATAGCAATACTACTACAATTTTGACGAGAGGATCAAGTTCTCAGCCTTGGCTTTTTGATCCTTCAACTTGTTGGCAATGGCTGTGGATCGACGCAACTCTATTTTGCCAAGCTGGTTCTTATGGACCTATCATAATACCAAAGTCAATAGTCATATACGCACAGCAACTTTAGCATGTTGCTACTATAAATGCTTACCTCATCGGGACCGTCGGCATATCGCAAGGTGCGTGCCTGAGCATAAAAGAATGCGAGTGGGGTATCTTGAGACAAACCTGCAGCTCCGTAAGCTTGCATGGCACGATCAATGACACGCAAAAGCATGCTTGGCGTAGCAATCTAATATCGAGTCATGAGTATTCAAAGATTGAAAAACGGTCATACTACTATTACCTTTGCCATGCTAATCAATTTCATAGCACCTTTAGCCTTTGCTTGATCGATCTTGTGAGCGGCACCAAGAACCAAACTAATCCGAAAGGGTGGGTGGGATTGTTTAGTTGTTTTGTTATTAATGCAGGAGGTTGTTGATGTCTTTTTTATACTTACTATCTGGCCTGATCAATTTCAATGCGTGACATGGCAATGTCTTGAACAATGGTACCATGCTCAGAAAGGTTCTTTCCAAAGGTGCGACGGGAGGGATCCGTTACTCGAGTGATCATAAGCTCCAACGAGCGCTCTGCCATGCCGATACATCGCATGCTATGTAGTCGAGATGTCAATGATAAAGGATATAGATACAAACATACATACACAATCCTCTTTTCTTACCAGTGATGGATACGACCTGGTCCCAAACGACCTTGCATCACTTCAAATCCACGTCCTTCACCAAGGACGATATTATCAACAGGTACGCGCACGTCTCGGAAGATGATTTCACAATGGCCTTCAGGTGCATCATCATAGCCAAGCACTTGCATAGGACGTAAAACGGTAATGCCGGGTGTATCGGAAGGCACAATCACGAGACTTTGTTGCTTGTGGATGCTTTTGTGATGGGGATCAGTTTTGCCGACAACGAGATAAACAGCACAACGTGGATCACCTGCACCCGAAATCCACCATTTACGACCATTAATGACATATTCATTGCCCTCACGACGGATGTTGGTTTCGATATTGGTAGCATCAGAAGAGGCCACGGCTGGCTCTGTCATGGCAAATGCCGAACGAATCTTGCCCTCCAAGAGAGGTGCCAACCATTTTGCCTTTTGTGCTGGCGTGCCATACTTTGCAAAGACTTCCATGTTGCCAGTGTCGGGTGCTGAACAATTCATGGCTTGTGGTGCCAAATGCGGTGAACGGCCTGTGAGTTCGGCAATCAATGCGTATTCCAAATTGGTCAATCCTGCTCCTTCAGGATACTCTTGTCCAAGAAACAAGTTCCAAAGTCCAAGGGCACGTGCTTTGGCCTTGAGTTCTTCCATCACTGGAGGTACAACCTATGTAACATAGGTTAGTGTACCCCTGTGTGTATGTGTAACATCCATCCATTAGGATCCCCTCTTTTGTACAAACCTTCCAGCGATTGACGCCTTGACCAAGTTGGGCATAAAAAACAGGTTCTGCAGGAATGCACTCATTCTGATTGGCATAGCAACAAGCATTAGCAATGGCCCATTGTGGTCATGGACGCACCCAATTTACCTCGACGAAATCTTTAGCTTTGGCGTAAAGAGCTTGAAACTTGGGAGAGAGCTTGGAAATATCAACGAGTGAGGAGTTGGTTGCCATGATACAACAATTGTCAGCAGACGAAAAAAGGAAGGAGACAGCGGCATTTTTATCACTTTAAAACAGCAGCGACGTGTGTGTAATTATGATGATCAATCAAAAACTTGTACCTCTGGATATTAATCATACGATATACAAAATGTGTTAATGCTGTTGCATGAACTACCTTTTCATAATACATAGCATCCTAATTTATCACGTCAATAAACACCGAACCATTACTCGCGTATTGATGTGCCCTGACGGCTCGTCGATCATGCATCGATATAATTTATTCATGTATAATGATGACTAAGGTGAGGAACATGGATACGTGTCAAAAGTTACTGCATTTGAACATAGTTGGCAGGGAACTACATAACAGGGAAATAAAGATCAACGTAAGCAACTCGTTGTCATGACATATTATACACATAAAGAAAAGAAAGCCTATTACCATTCCTTTTCTAGCGCCAATGCTCCCTGTCCACCAATCGTCTTGGCTGTTGCTCTTCTCCACAATCGTAATGATATCTCCTTCACGGAAACTCAAATCCCCTGCTTGTTCACCTGTAAAATCATATAACGCTCTTGCTGTTTCTTGACGTGGCTTTCGACTAGGAGGAGGTGGTGGAGGAGGAGGTCTTTGTACAGATGCAGTAGGGGTTCCATAAGAGGATGGGGTCGAATATTGACTGCCATATTGATTCGAAGGCGTAGATGTATACGAAGGTGGTGGCGGTGCTGCATTGCGTGTGATGGGTGGTTGTCTTAATGATCCAGGTGCTGAAATATTGGTGCTCTTGAATGTTTGAGAACGTGTTGGCGATCCACCATTATCAATACTTGCTCGTCCTGCTGCATACATGGCACCTGTGTTTCCAAGGTTGTGGAAGCGAGCATTCAATGCACGATACAAAGCATCTGCTTCAGGGGGTGGTGGTATCTTTCCTTCCAGCAAATCCTTGGCAGCGACCTTTTGACCATAAAGCTTCTCATTGGCATCACCACGGGTAACAATGACCGATCCTTCCAAAGACACACCAGCAAAAAATCCACGCGTTTTGCTGTATGAATAGACAGCAGAGACTTGTTTTAAGCTTGCAGAGCCAGCTGCTTCAGCATTGCGACCAATGGGACCTGCCGCAACTATAATACATACCCCATACATATCAGCAATGATGGTATCTCCCTTTTCTTCCCATCCTATCCTTTCCATACCTGATACATTGCCACCCAAGGTCACATTTCCAAATTGACTAAACGTCTTGACAGCTTGTTTCGTGTTTAGCACCAAGACAAAGTCTGTGAGCTCCGCACCTGTCAACAGGGTTTGTTTTAGCGTATCTTTATATACCTCCATCCAACAACAACACACTTACCTATCTGACCTCCCGCACCCACCCTTTGTGGTTGGAAAAAAACACATTAAAACATGCTCATCATAATTCTGAAGCTGATAACCTTACCCTCCAGTGGCAATAGCAGATGGGGCAGACCAGCCTATATGATGATGATGATGATACGGCATATTAATCAGCTCCCTGCGTGTAGGCGTCCTCATGAATGTGCGTATTTACTGTTATCGTCTAGTCTACAAATGGAGAAAATAACCGTTGTTAGTACTACACGAATAGGTAGAATGTTATACACCGTATATTAACCTTGCAACGACCAAACCGCCTCCAGCTCGACCTGAGAAAAGGAATCCAGCCTTCAATACAGTAAAAATGGCTAATCCTTGAGCCTTCTCCAGGATACCAGGAGGAATCACTTTATCAAGACCTTGACCAGGGTCTACATACATGTCCCTTTAGTTATCGTCAATGATGTTCATAAAAGTAGAATACATACCAACAAAGCTATTGAGGATCTTGGCGGCTTTCTTGCACTCGCCTATTGGCCAACGTAGTAGCCTACTGTGAGTAACCCCAACCTCTCTTCATGGTGAGCATTACCTGCCAAGCTCGTTGGGATGGGAGAGTTGATGCTGATGTTGGATGCTGCACTCTTGATTTTCTGCATGAGCAATTCTAAAGGGAAAGGAAAACAAGTAGAGTAAGTAGAAAGTGAGAGTGGAAAAACGACCGAGCTCCTTACCGGCAGTGCCCGCATTTAGCATGAATCGCCACGTTTATCAGCCAATAGCGTGAGATGATGTGAAGGGTGGGGGAGGAGGAGGTAGCAGCAGCAGCAATTGCAAAATGAAGCGAGGCCTTTCCTTTTTGAACCAATCTTTCTTTCTTTCTATTATGCTCATAGATGATACATACAATGCAAGCTTTTGGATAGGGATAGGTGTGTCACTGATCACCAACCTCATTCAAGCCTTCGCCATGGCATTCCAACGCAAATCTCATATTCTCAACGATCACCTCTATCCTCGAGAACTCAGAAAACCAGCCTATCGACGACCACTTTGGCTCACAAGTTTTATTGCATACCTTGGCGCTAACATTACTGGCACTGTATTCTCTGTCGGATATCTACCCGTGGTCATTTTGGCTCCTATTGGCGCTATCAATCTCGTCTTTAATGCCATTGCTGCAAGAGTGGTGTTGGGTGACCCATTCACTGTACGGAGTGTAGGCGGTATATACGATATCATTATTATTTACCCAACAAACAATATCATTGACTTTTACGTAGGTACATTACTTATCATTGTGGGTGCATTGTTGGTGGGTCTATTTGGTGTCATTCAAGAACCCAATCATTCATTGGAGGCATTATTGGCACTTTACAAACGACCGGCATTTATCATTTATTTCAGCATCCTTGAATCCTTTATCCTGGTGACCATGGTGACCACGCATTTATTGGAACACTTTTATCACCAGTGGGAAGAGGATATGACCCCTGATCAAAAACTCCTGGGCTCCTGGCTGAGCATGGCGGATCTCAAGGTGTATATCGGTATCAGGTATTTGTTGCACAATGCACATGTGCGTATGTACGTACATGTTTACTTACTCCAGCATGGATAAATTAGCTATGGTGTCCTTGGAGGTAACATTAGCAGCCAAAGCTTGCTATTTGCCAAGAGCGGTCTGGAGCTGTTCATCCTCACCATCGTCTATGGCGAAAACCAGTTACAGCATGCATGGACTTGGGGTTTGGTGGTCATGACGGTTGTCACAGCTGCATTACAGGTATGTAACGTGTCACGGGAGTCATCCTGCCAATCTTGTGCACATCACTCACACTCGCTATTATAGCTTTATTACTTGAATAAGGGTTTACGTTTATGCGATACAATGATCCTGATCCCCCTCTCGTTTTGTGCATTCAATCTTTCTTGCTTGTTTAATGGCCTGGTTTATTATAATCAATGGGACCTGCTACGTTGGTGGCAATTGCTTTACGTGCTGCTAGGTGTCGCACTTACGGTATCCGGTGTCCTTTGCCTGTCGTGGCGTTCAAGCTCACCTGCCATCAGTCGCCAAGAGGAAATCGTAGTCGAAAATACTCCCGAAGGTTATGGCACGATCCCAACATCACACATGGACCACGATCACCCAAATAGACAATCATCAGAGACATCTCCACTACTTTCATCATGATAGTAGTATTACCCTTTTGTATATATAAATAGCATCCCTTTCCCTTTAGCATTACATAAACATGCATAATCCATAGACTTTGTGACATGATGAATATGATCCTTATAATGATGCAATGTACAATGTTGTATTTACAGGAGGTAGTTAATATGTCCATTACGTTAATAGGATATCGGATTTGACATGTTGTGCTAAAGAGTCGAGCTCATCCACATTTCTAGTAAAAAAAGAAAATGGTATATAAGCGAACAACAGCATATGCATAAACAAGATCCATGCTTACTTTTGTTTCCATTCACGTAATCGAATCAATGCTTGGTGTATGTATGCAATCGACGAGCTTTGCTTTGTGATAATCTCGCTTTCATCGGATGTCTTAACATGGGTAACACCGTATTTCGCATCGTGCATGTCGTATCCTACATTCGTAAATGCAATGGCCTGAAAGCGTACATTAGCATCATCTCCCTCCTTTGGGTATTTGCCCTCTTACCTGGCCTTCGATATTTGATAGTGGTCGGATAGGTATGCGTAGTTTGATTTGAACAAGTGCCTTGCTTTGGTCTGTCACCAATAACTTTTGATGATAGACAATACGATCTCCAGGTTGCGAATAACGTTCCACGGAGATGACGGCTAAAGGTGACATGTCAACAATCAATCCCACGTTCCAAAATTAGAAAAACTTACATAGCACAATGACAGCAATATCAACATCAGAGCTTGGATCGATATCGACAAGAGAATTACACGATGTGATGCAACGTGGTACATAAGCAGTGTTTGCTGTCTCATCCAAAGTACAAGTGATAGGCTCCCATCGTGTTCGTCTGGTACTTTTGAGATAAACATCGCATCCTCTCCTCTTTTTGGGCTGATACGGCGTGAGGAATAAGACACGATAACGATGACCTTCGCAAATATCCATATACAGCACTTCATTCGCATCCAACAATAAAAGCGTGGCAAGCGTCGATTGCTTTGTTGCATCATCATCACCACCACCAGAGGAGCGAGTATAGTCACAGACCAAAAGCTTAAAGTATCCGCTCACATTACGTTCTTCAGTAGGCGTTGTCTTGGATGGTGTGGCTCCTTGTAGCAGGCCGTCATGTTGTCCCAAATGCTGTGATAATAAAGCTCGTGGATGTTCTTTGAACGATGGCATGTATTCACCCAAATGTGCATCGGCCATGTATTTGTGTCTCATTTCCTCTTCCTCACGAGCATTACGGATCACCACCGTTCCATCTTTGAAAAGTTCCCGGTACATCATTGGGTATTTGCGACACACGATGATATCAAGAGCTGTAACAGCACCTCCATATTCATGCAACGTGCCCAAAGATCGAAATCGTAGTCGTTGCTTTTGATATCCAAGCTTTGCATCCCACCGAGCTATTTGACAGCTATTGCTCGAGATCATCAACGTCGTCATTCCGGTAGATGATGGTACTTGTTGAGGATTAGCAAGCTTATTGGGGAGAGAAAAAACGTGTTAGTCGTCATCAAGGGGTAAAATTATGCAAGCTTTTACCTGTGCACCACATATAGAAAGCTTGTAACCAACAGCTAATCGTCCACAAGATATTGCATGCTCCATCCTGGGGTCAGCTACAGCAGGGATTTGATACCAGCCATCCGTCAATGTCAATTGGTATTTTCGGGAACCTGTTATTTGGTTATTAGCTCTCTCTCCCTCTCTTCCATCATGAGATCAATTGAAATGACATACCTTCTGTTGTGACCTTAGAGATAGATGCCACTGCCAATATCATTTGTCTCCCAGGTGAATCATCTTGCTCCAAAATTCGTTTCAAAGCAGAACGCTGACCAAGATTGATCTCTCTTTCATATCTAAGATGAATGTCAATATCAACAAGAAGGAAACAAGGCTATTACCACCAACCCCCCCCCCCCACTTACCGATACAAAAGCTGCTCCATGACTTTTTTGGGCGTCCACCATGATTTGAAGTGTTGGGGATATGAGCATACCATTGAAGCAATCTTCCATACGATCCAGCCATAATGATTTTCCACCCATACATTCGGCAACAATCTCTCCAAAGCACCCGCTTTAATCATCTCTGCACGTGCTTCCATTGTTCCCCATAACCCAAACTTGTAGTCCTTGGCAGTGGTAGCAGAGATATCAATGACGTCTTGTGGACTATGATCACCACGTTAATTGATATTCATAGATGCTATCGGCTCCACTTACATATCCATCTCTTTCAACTCCTCCACGTTGTAGCGTTGAGGTAAACCAAGATCTCCAAGTGATTGACGTACACCAACAGCTAAATAGAAAAAGATTAAACCACACGATCCAAAAAGTAACGTCCATTCAAATTACCTTTTAATGAAAACACGGATGGCCCTTTTCCACGAATGGCCGATGATGATTGATTATTGACAGCTGCCTTGGTATATTCCAATTTGTCTTTGATGATAGGTGATTTGAAAGGTCGTACCTTGCCGGGTTCAATGTTGGGTTGTCTACGTCGTCGCACAGGAAGAGATTTTGGTGATTCATTGGTGATGGTGGGTACAGGCGATCGTGGTGGTGGTGATGATGATGATGGTGCATTAGCACGGGTGATGGCATTGATGGCAGGTGCTGCATATCTTGGTTTCCGCAATGGTGGTGATGATGGTGATGAATTGACAGCATTGGCATTGGTATCATTATAACTCATCTTGGACAAAGGACTTCCACTCGAATTGCTGCTATTGCTACTGCTTCCATGTTGTGATGATACACTATCGCGCATGGGACTTTGGGATTGTGTAAGATCACGAGTCGTTTCGGATGCATTGAAGAGTGCTACTGCTTGTCGCTTCGCTTCAGCTGATACGGTAATCCCAGCTCTCCCACTGCCCATCTTGAAACCGCCAAATTCAGACAAGATGCTCTCGTATTTGAATTCAGGAGATGGCTCTTGGTCCTCATCCAACGCTCGCTTTTCACCTTGTTCAGGCGTTCTATCATGTGCAATAGCTGGAGTTGTTGTTGCTGTTGTCGAGTTGACAGCTGACGTGGATGGTGGTGGTGGTGATGGTGATGGTTGTTCAATAGGATCCTTTGTAGATTTGATGTGCTTGGATGATGATGGTGGTGATGTTGTATCATTCTGTAACGACTTCGCCGTATCATGAAATAAAGCGATAGCCTTGTTGCGTGCTTCACTATTGATATTCAAATTCTTTTTGCTGCCTGCTGTCATGAAACCACCGAATCGACCGAGATTGTATTCAACTTGTGCATTGTCTTGATAATGATCGGGATTCTTTGTCGTCTCAGGGGTGGTGTCTTTCCCATGTTGTTCTTTGTTGGTGGGTGATTGTATAAGCTCTTGGCTGTTGAGATCTTGAAGCAATTCAGAAAAATCAACGTCAAAGTCCATCCACATGTAGTCATCTTCATCATTGTTGGTATCTTTGGAAGGATCATGTGGTTTGCTGGGTATAGGTGTGCATTGTGCATCATCCTTTGTCGTTGTTGTCCGGGTATCATAGGAATGAGCCGATGTGCCTACACACACGTACACAATCAATTAGTATCTACAATGGCTTCTTGCATGTTGGATAATAATAAACATACATGACGCTTTCGATTCTTTGTCGGACACTTTGATGCGTTTTTCAGCCATGTTGAAGGTATTATCGACTTTATGATTGGTGGAAAGCTCGCGTAATGGGGTGGATGATCGGTTGGAAGTGGTTGTGGTGGTTGACTGCGGAAGAGGATCGCGATACACTTGAAATCCATTCTCTTTGATCAAGGATGATGTTTTTGATTGAAGCGAAGTCTCCTTGAGTGATGCACGTAATGGCGAGTGAACCTATCCATGTTTCATAAGACATCCATGCACCATACACGTTGAGTCGTTATCCTTACTAATGAGTGTCGTTGACGTGCCAGATCAGCCGCCTGTTCAGCGAGCGCGACGTTGTTGTAGAGTTGTTCTTCGAATGACGGCGATAGGTCACCCCACAGATCGTCGTCACCCGATTGCGACATTAAATAGGTGAGCACAAAAGAATATGAGAGAAGAAGGGTTGTCGAGTGAAGGAGGAGGGAACCCGTTTGAAGATTGCTCAAGTCACACAGAGCAATGTAAAGGGCCGCTGTGTGCGATGTTCTGTGACACTGGTCCTCTTTCTGAAAAACTCTTGTAATGGCAACGAGCAGGCCATCGTGGCGTACTTCTCTCCTTGGGATACTGGGGTTCATTGACCTTCCTGTCAAAGTCAACTGCTGGTATTGCAATCAAGACACATGTCTCGTCCCTGGAAGTCGACAAACAGAACGCTATTGGCATTGCAACATTTGTGAAAACACCAACATTCGAGACGAGGTACGTAGAAGATCTCTCTCTCTTTATTGCTTACTTGTATACTAAACGAGTATCACGTCATGGATAATAGCATGGTGAAATAGTCGATAGCGTACCCGTCATGTTTGATGCTTCCTTGAACCGGCCAAGTAAGCGATCCAGACGACAACCCTATATTACATGCGATACTCAATCCACCGCCCTCTCGAAACAGTTACACCCGTTCAGACATCGACTCGTTCCACTTCTACTCCATCATCATCAAGAATGCTATGTGAAAACTGCCAAAGGAACCAATCCCTTATATACCAAATCATGAGTGACTATATTCGTGATGAAAATGTAAGTGCATGGATGGATAAAGAGTATCGTGTCCCAATGCTTATATGGGGCCATTGGACAGGATCCCGAGTACAACTTTTATGTTCGTACAGCAGACGATTATCAACGATCCTTGCATGAAAAATATCCATTGTGTGATGATTGTCAGGCCAAGGTGGATGGCATTGTCGCCGAACAAAAGGCAATCTTGCAACAACGACGCTTCAATGAAAAGTTGACTCGCAGCATGACAACAAAAGCACCACGAAAGCCATCCTTCTACGAGTACATTTCAAGAGGTTCATTGTGGGTCTTTATCCATGTTCTTTTTCTTTTCATCTGTGCAGCAGGTAAAGTAGAATCATGCGATGGGATATGCGTATGATAAAATGATCTGATTTTCTTTTTCCAACAACCCATAGCCTACCGATTTCCTCCTACACGACCCGAGCCCACCAATGTATACTCTGATCTGGCAACTCGATGGCACAACATCATAGCAGCAACCGTAGCAATGACAGCGCATTGGAAAAGTCGATATTCATGGGATTCAGCCATCGTCGCTATGGTGCATGATAGTATCAGCCATGTCACCAATGCATTGACAACAATGGTACAATGGCTGTTTCGATTGACGATATGCTTTTGCTACAACGACATTGACAATATTGGATGCAGCTGGAATCTATCCGACATCTCTATGCTGGTGGTCCTGTTCTTTACGTTGTCGTTCCTATGGATGGATTGGCACTATCGGGCATCCAAGACTTTCTTTGAGCCTTTTCGTATCAAGCGATGGTCGTTATACAAGGTACCATATCATTGGTGGATGTTTAGTGTGGGTGTGTACATGTGGCTAAATGGGCTATCATCATTAGCTTGCACAACGTGTACTCTATGTCTGGCGTTTGGGTTTTCTAGGCGTGCTCGCTTATGCGGATGATCGGTGGTTACACATGACAGCCTATGTGACCCTTATTGCATATCCATTGGTAAGAGAAAGGGAAAAGTTGGCATGGCAACGTATTCAATGGGAATGTTATTTAGATCCTGGTCACATCCATGTTTGTCGTCAAGGTTGCATCAAGCAGATGGCCATTGAAGCGAGTGGGCAGCCGAGGGACGTTGCATACTTTGAAAAAGACATACTCGGATCTTCACAACTTTGCAGCTGATCGAGTCACCAAGATTGGCAAAGAGTCTTTGGAGGCAGCTAGATACACGCCACCTTATAACAGCCAAGAAAGCTTTGACAACGACAATGAAGAGGATGATGAAGTGGTCGCTGCCGTCAAACGTGCCATTGATTCCAAGCGCGAGAAATACAACCTGAGAGCACGATCCTCGACAACTCAAAAGCCTACCAGCGACTCGTATGATGACAATGATGTGGAAGGCCTAGCAGCTGGCATCTTTAAGATGGATTTCAACAAAGCCTAAGACAACATCATTCACCTCTCAACCCCACCACCACCACCACCACCACCACCAACACCCATCTCAAATCCATTTCTCGCCATGTATTTATACATCCTATTACCGATCACCTTACTTTTATACACTCACACGCACGCACAATCATCTGCATTTCATTTTATAATCCATCAACTATACTAATAAATCACCACACGCACTCATTTTTCATCCCCTTCAATATTGAAAGCAATATGCAAATATACATTGATTCAATTATTACATGATATCAGCGGTGGCATTATCCGTCCCATCGGGGTTTTAGCAAATCATCGTGCAAATAGCAAAGGGGTGTGGTCTTTGTAGTTGTATGACGTGGTTGTCATGAATGCTGTCAATTGATGGCTTGTGTGTGTGTGTGTGTGTAATTATCATCACCTAGTAGTCATAGCGTGTTGAATGTTCTAGCATGATTTCATAAAGTCAGCGTAGTAGAATGACGTAGGAGGATGATTAGGTTGCACGCATTTATCAGGTATAGCACACATTTTCAGACACAAAGCTCTGTCGTACTGTATCGGCTAATTTACGGAAGAAGTATAAGCTTGTAATCAAATTATGACGATATTTGAGCGGAGGGAGAACAATGGCTCACCAGTTACACAATCAATTGCGGGTTTGGGAACCAATCGGCTGATCTCAGCCTCAACAAGACACGTGTAATGGCTCAAGTGGTACAAGGACGCGAAAACCAATGAGACCCGAAAGCACTAAGATTTGGTGGCCTGAGCTGATGACTGTGCTACAAAAGCATTGCCATGAAAGGTGGGTGGTAAATATAAAGCGTATGTGTGTGTGTATCAATGTGTGGCGGGATATACGCTGTGACCCAAAATGACGTTTCTTTCTTGGCAAGCTTGTCCGTCAGAGAGAGAGGAGAGGAGGAAAAAGGAGAAAAAGCGATTTTCCGTGGATGGATAATGTTTCATCAAGGCTGCAGCACCCACTTTTAGAGTTTCCGCTGCATTAAAAAAGTGCTCCCTTTTCACCCCCTCTCTCCTTTTAATGAATAAAGTGAATGATCTGGGCGGCGCAAAAAGTCCCTCCATTTAATGCACAGGATATTTATTCAGGCACAACACCTCCAAACATACTATGCTATGCCTTTTGCTCTCAAGAGCCCTAATTATGGGTCAATGTGATGTCCGATTATTTCCTTGTGACACGTACACACGGTGATGTACCAGTTATTCAGTAACAATAGAAGCTTGCTTTATTGTTTCGGCTCGCATCCTTCTTGGGGAGTGAGCGAGAGAGAGAACAAGATGATACATCTAATTTTGCTCTCCAGCAGGGTGATGTGCATGTATGTCGAGACCAATATGGTCACCCATTTCCTCTTTGGGTAACGATGCGCAAATTAGTTCAACGCATGCATTATTATGCAAGCATGGATCGTTCCGGCAAACAAGCCTGTCAAAGGATCACGGTCGTTTGTTCCAATTCCATGAAATCCAAGTTTACGTGCATGCATCTATAGAAGCTACCTTAAATAAGCTATTTAGTGCGATAAATGGATCGCGGGAAAATGGCAATATCCAATCATCACACCTTTCCTTTGTTGCTGCTGCTGCTGCTGCAATTTGTTCTTTGAGAGTTTTCCCTCTACACAAAAGGAGATGCAGTATAGATGTGATCTTCTTTTTCATCTCATGCATTGTAATGGATACATGTATACATCATACGATCATCATCATCATCACAAGCACTCGTAAAATGCAATAGAAGAGGAGAAGCCATCACGAGTTTGTTGGGTGGGTGTAAATGAGTGTAGAAATGCAATCGTTTCCAAGTCTTGGGGAGCTGGTGGATTTTGAAACCCAAGAAACTTGGCACCAAAAGATGAAAAGCTAAAGCTCAAACATAATAGGAATTGACTGCAGCCGATGATCGGAAGACTCTTTTTCTCTCTCTCTCGAAGATTCCTTCCAAACGCTACTTGTCATGCTTTGTAAGCTGACTTGCAAATCGTTCTCTTCTAGGCACACCCATATAAAGGAAGTACTTTAATCATCGAAGGAAGACAGCACGTTCTTGGTGACCATTTTATTACCTGCTATATAAACCTCACCCAGCAATTGACGTAAGGCTCCTCTTTCCTTTCTCTTTACCTTTACTACTATCACTCACGCTTGGTTATTCTAAGCAGTGTTCCCAGCCCGTTCCTTCAGCTCTCCCTTTATCACATATCCATACGCATCATATATACTTGTCAGCCGCCTTTTGTATCTTCACCAGGCTGTCGACAATATATTTTACGGCTTCCTTAGTTACCGCTCTCAACGACAAACGAAAAACGAAAAATCGCATACACTCGACGACGCATACTGGACCCTGTAGCCAGGCTGACACGCACTTCTCCAATCCCTCCACCCCCTTAAAACAGCAGTTCTACTCCCCTTGCCGACCGTCAATAATAGCGTACACAAAATTACATACACCAACATGATGACCGATTTTAATCCTGCTCCTGTGCTCTTACGAGATGCCGCTTCAACTGTTGTAGCAGATGACCCAATGATGTTTGATAAGGTAAGCGTACACAACGTGGCTCAAATAGAAAAAAAAGGCGGGCCCCGATTGTAGCACAAGAGGCACGGTCCTCTCTTCCTCTCTCTCTCATTCACACATACACCATTATCACACACACACACACACACCTATCTTTTCCTCCCTCTTTTTTTCCCATCACCTGCCTCCCCCATTTGCCGCCGCCCAACCGCATGATTATTTTTGGAAACTCATTGTCCTCTTTTCTATCGATCGTGTCATGTTCCTATCGATTAGCATCCCTGCTACATTTCAGATGAAGATTGCAGCGACACAATGGAAGTGCCTCAAAACTTGAATCCTGAACAAGTGCGTTACGAGTTCCCTCCAAAGTCACGACTCCAAGAATTGGCGCAATACTATGACAATGATGATTGTTCCTTTTTCGATGAATCTTCATTTACGACAACGTCGACGTCAACAGCTGCCTACAACACGAGTATCACGGAGCAACAGGATTATTACGATGATGATGAAGAGGAGACTTTGATGCGTTTGAATGCCGCTCGTCGTTCCGCAGATTATGCAAGTGATCATCTGGATCGGTTTTTTCATTCGGTGTCATCAGCATGGCAACAAGATGATGTGATGATGACGATGATGGATGATGATGATGATGAACAACATCGCGCATCCTCCATGTCACCTTTGCATTTACCACAACAACAACAACATCGACCACGAGAAGAATCGTGTGATTCCACAGATACCGTTAAACAATGCCGAGCTGCGCGCGATCATCTTAGCAAAGGCATTGCCCCATCTGCACTTCTCGGCTGTGTACAAGAAGAAGGTAATATTTCTATATCTTTTTTATTGTTGTACAGCAACAACTTATATTCATGTGATGATGATGATATAGGTTATCGCAGCACACGGGCCAATTCGGATGATCTTGAGCTCCCGGTTTTCCGCAGCGAATCCGCCCTACGTCACTCAAGTAGTCGCACAGCAAGCTTGTTGCATAGCGACAATGAAAGCACAGCAAGCAGTGCCGTTGTTGTCATGCGCATCCGTAGAAAGCCAAAATCGCCTCTTCTCGCAGCAAGAATGGTTCCCTCGCAAGATGATGATCGTATGACATGGTCTGATAGCAGCGATGAAGGCTATGTGGATGAAGAAAAGCCCATGGATTCTGCCTCTTTGTTTTTGCCACTTTCGGATCATGAGCAACATCAACTGCAAGACAATGAGATGCTTCGAGTCACCGCTGCCATTAAGATTCAAGCCGTGTGGCGTGGGTATCATTTCCGTCAACAAATGAAAAAGCACACGACGACAACGAGCAGGGGTCTCAAGCCCACACAACGTTTGATGATGGATATTGTAAAGCTATGTGGAGGTGTCCATAAACGCCAAATGACTCGTATGCGTCAACGCCTTGATACACTTGAAATGCATCTTGAAGAAGAAACAGCCATGCGTATTGCATTTGAGAAGGCCATGGAAGATATGACTGTTATGATTGATGAGCAACACAAGGCATTGTACGACCGCATTGAACAAGAGGCGAGCATGCGGCAATATTACGAACGCAAGATGGATGATACTTTGGGTCGTATCAAGCCGTTGGAAAGACAATTGAGACAAGAAGCGCGTGATCGTACCGAGCTTGAATCCATGATGACTTGTGTTCTCGAACAAATGCAAGACATGAAACGTGAAGCCAAGGCTGAATCGGATGCACGTAGGCGTTTGCAAGCTGAGTTGGATGCAGCTCGTGATGAAATTGCTCGTCTCAAGCGACCCAATTCTACTACTGCTCCTATGGCTGATAGACCACGCTCATCCATGATGATTTCTACTCAACAACAACAACAACAACGTCAAGGACTGCTGCGCGCGGGAGATACGAGAAGCGTGTCAGCCATGGCAAACAAAAAGTCTATGACTACAACAACTTTACGTCGACCCACTACTGCGTCGACTTTGAGCACCAAGAAAACAACTACAACAACAACAACTTTAGGAACGCCACAACGAGGGAGCAGCCGAATGGAAATGAAAAAGTCGATTATCCCATCGACTCCATCACTCCTATCTCGAAAGAGATAAACAACAATCCGTTTTTATTTTTCTCCTCCATATTCCCTTTTTTCACATACATCTCCTCTCTCTATCTCTCTCCTACATTCTTCCCTTACTTTCGATCGTCTATCCAACCAACCACCAACCAACCAACCAACTAACCCCCCTTTTTTATATTATATACCTTCTTCTCACGACTACTCCCCCTTTTCCCTTTTCAAATCTTCTTGTTTTCTGTTTGAAAAGTGTCTATGTTACTATTAGCGCCCTTTTTCTTTATATCTCTTCTATGGACTTTCTTCTATTGAAACTACCATTTTCTCCTCGTTAGTAATTAAAGGATTACTATGTTTTTCTCTCCTAACATAAATGTACATATTGCCCATGATGATGAAATGTGATGACAAATGACTTGCGTACTAGTAAGCTTATGCAAGAAGAAGATCTCAAAGTATAAATCGCTTAATGCAGCTCATCAAAGGCTGATGGAAGCACCTTGGATCAAAGTTTTTATGCATACTTAAGCATTGATGTTGATCTTCGTTCTTCAATTGCCACTTTAACATGACCACATGGATAACAACGTGTAAGCGACATCAGCAAACAGCTCCATTTTATTTTAGAGTAACAGTGAAGGGATGGTGCTGTCAAGGAGCGGGGATTGACTTTTGATCCCGACAGCGAAATGTAAACTGACCACACTTTTTCTTTCTCTTTCTCCACGACTGCACTCTATACATACACGACCACAGTTATGCTACGAATACGCCCTACGATCGTCACTCGTTCAACGACTTCTTCAAGTGGCCAATGTCATTATTCAATCATGTCACGTGCCAAACAGCGTGCTGGCTTATCCACCAAGGGCGATCGAAGCTCTGATCAGACCGGCATTCCTCGTAACTTGATCAAGCCAAAGGCCAATGCTCAGCTACCGCCTTCTCGTCGTCGCCAAGTTATCCATCCTGAAACGCCATTGAATGAGAGTAGTAGCGGTCGTGGTAGTAGTACCAACAAGGAATGGACGACAAGGGGATTAGCCAAAAAGTCAGCATTGGGTGAAGCTATGGCCATGGCATCCAGCAAAAAGAGTATACCTTTGGGAGCACCCAAGGTGACCACAGCAACGACTCGATCACCTCCGTTTCCAATCAATCCTAGGCAACCAGCTGGTATGTTAACTATTGTTGTACACGATGAAAAAACACAATGCTGATGATGATGGATCTCTTAGGTCTGGCTGAACGACTTGTCAAGGTGCACAAAGATATTCAACAACCACCGAATCCACACTTGCTACGTGTAGCCGTGATGGGTGCTGCCAATGCTGGAAAGTCAACGCTTGTGAATGGTATTGTGGGTGAGGATGTAAGTCTTTGTGAATGGAATATGGATTTGGACACCTCTTAACAAGCACCATCCTATTAGATATCAGTGGTTTCACACAAGGCACATACCACTCGTGAACGTATATTGGGTGTGTTAACAGATGGCGATCATCAATTGGTATGGAATGGAAAACAAGGTCAAAAAGAAAACAAGGTTTTATTGATGATGTTTGGAATCGATCAAAGGTGTTTCTGGATACGCCCGGTGTAGTGCCTGACAATCGACATGCAAGAATGAATCGCACATTGGTTACATCATCCTGGCGATCTTTAGATGAAGCGGATCATGGTAAGAAGTGGGAGGAGGCAGGTAGCAAGATGCGGATGAAATGCTTATGGATGACATATGGGACTAGTTATTCTTTTGGTGGATGGATCATGGGCATTGTCAACGGAGAAGCAAAAGGCTGATGAATTGATCCTGGCACGATTACGGGAACTCACGCTGCCTACAACATTGGTGATCAACAAGGTAACGTCCTTTATCTACTTATAGAACCTGTGAGTCGCTGACACACACAATGAATGAATGATAGATGGACAAACTTGATGAGGTTGCGGATGAAGAACGTCTTGAAGCCATTGTTGCCAAATACAAGGACGCTTGCCCTTCCATTGACAATATCATTTATACCTCTGCGTTGCATGGTGATGGATTGGAATCGGTCAAGGTATGGTATCAAGAGGGAAAATGGGATGAGCAAACGTTGATCCTCCTTTTGTATATAGAACGACCTCTTTGTTCGAGCCAAACCAAAGCCATGGTTATATCCCAAAGACTTCAAGAACGACATGCCAGATTTGAAACGAGCTGAAGAGCTTATTCGAGTGGAATTCTTTAAGCGACTGCATCAGTATATACCTTACATGTTGAAACAGGTACGTATCCCCATCATGGAAATCATTGAATTTGATGTGTGGTGAGGCTTAAGTATGTATATAGGAAAACGTGGGATGGACGGAATTACCCGATGGAAGTTTACGCATTGATCAGCATGTGTATGTGGAACGAGAGAGTCAACTCAAGATTGTTGTGGGTGCGAATGGGGCAGTGATTGATCGTGTTATTGCCGATGCACGTGTTCAAATAGCTAAAGCACTCAAACGCCCTGTACATTTATACATTCAAGTCAAGACCAAGAAAAAATAAAGTGTATTATTACTGTAGAGAATTATGCAAAAGACTTTTGAGCTAGCACTGTATCAATTTCACGCATGCCTTGGATAAAAGCGGCCTTGTTGAGCATACCACAACCTTTGGGATCACATTGTTGCCATATCCGAGCTAATACATCATCCGGCACTTTGCTCCTTTTCCAAATCACTCTTGCTGTTTCTCCATCGACAATCCCATCATCATTAATAGCATTGAATAATTCTTCGTATCGATAGGTGCTTTGAACAGGTCGTGATGGAGGTGGAGGTGGCGGTGTCTTTTTCTCCATGATGGATGACGGTGGCGGTGGCGGTTGACGTTGTGCAACAGGAATAGCATTGGTCCGTGCGGGTAGTAAAGGTGGTGTGTTGGTGGTGGCAGTAGTAGAAGGTGGTTTCCATCCATTCGATTTGGAACGTGCACGATTGGTAGTGTTCTCTGATTGTTCAAATTGCTCACGTCTAGCAGCAACAGGTCGTACAGGGAGTGCTGGTGTTGGTGTTGTTGCTTGTGTTGGTGGCGGTGGTGGTTTACGAATGACTTCTGGCTTGCTCTGAACAGGCACCTCTGGTTTGATAGCATGTTGTTTGGCTGAAAAAGAGGGTTTTGGTTGAAGGGGTGGTGGATTGGATACACTACGACCCTTAGCACGTGGTGATGTTGGTGAAGAAGATGTGTCCTGAGATAGCTGTGGAGGCTTTGGATGTGGTGCCGGTGGTGTTTGTTTCTTTTCTATAATAGCTGCATTGATTGTTGGTGAAGGTGTATTGGTTTTTGATACGGATGGCGTTGTGGATGTAGATCTAGAAGAACGTGGCCGGCGGCTAGCTGTAGACGTAGGTCGTGATGGTAACTTGGGTGCAGGATTCGTAGCTGTAGGTAAATCTGCCAACTTGGATGATTGTTGTTTTCCTCTTGTTGGTGAAGTCACAGGAGTCGGCTTATGCGATGATGCTGGTGATGGAGAAGAAGAAGAGGAGGGAGCAACAAAAAATGGCTTTGTATCAGACATGATAGGTTTGGAACCAACAGCAGCAGCAGCAGCCATCTTGGAAGGTGTAGGTAATACTGGCTTAGTACCAAAAGGTGCTGATTTGGTTGTAATCATGGATGATGGTTGACGTTGTCGAAGAAGTGAAGGCGTAACAACCTGGTATCCATCGTCATCTTCCACTACATCATTATCAAAGATCACCTTTTCCATCCGCTGTTCTCTGTTTGATGTACCATTATTCATCTTTCCAGGTCGATTCACCATGGTGCTGCTAGCAGTTGATTTTGTAGCGTATGGCTTTGGTCGAATGATGGGCATCGCGTTGCTATTGTTACGTGGTCGCGTTGTATCCGAAGTATCATTATGTTGTGCTGCTGATGTAGAAAAGGATCGTACACGTGATGCTACGGAAGAAGATGGTGATGATATACTGGTCTTTCGCAATTGAGCAGGCTTTGGTGCAGTAGCTGGTTTGTGATCCTTATCCTCTGTCAATGTCAAAGGTACAACAGAAGTACCTGCTGCTGGCTTGGATGTTGGTTTGAGTGTTGCTGGTTTTTGTTGTTGCATCATAGCCTTTTCAAAGGCATCAGCTGCTTTTAATGCCTTATCATTGTTATTGTTGTTGTTGAATGATGAAGTTGGTGGTGGTGGGGGTGTTGTGCTGGTTGCTGTCATGGTAGCAGACATGGGTGGATAAAGAGGACGTGTTGCTGATGAAGAAGACAAGGGTGGTGCTGGGGTTGATTGATGATGATGATGATGATGATCAATCGTATCATCATCGCGTGTAGAAATAACCGACCATGTCGAAGATAACGTCGAGTTGGGAGGTGAAACGCTTGCACTGAACTGGTTATCCATAGTAGCAGTGTTGTTGTTGTTGCTGCTAGCACCTAGCGTCGAACGTGGAATCGCTTTGGAGGTTGCAGACTCGGTAATGAACTTGACATAGTTGTAGGGAAACAGACCTCGAGTATTCGTGGCTTCTAATCGTCCTTCATACCAGCCATCCTCATTGGACTTTTTCACATCGGTCAAAATATCGCCTTCTTTGAACGAGAGCTCCTCATCGTCGTCAGCTGTACAGTTGTAGATGGCAATGGCCTTCATTTTGACTTGTCCTCGGAATAAAAAAGAGCAGCTGCTGCTGTGTGTGTGTGCGAACGGAGAATACCAGTGAAGGAAAGAGAGGGAAAAGCTTAAATGGGTACACAAAGGCACATTCACACCCATCACTTTGCCAATTGATAAAATGGATCATCATCACTGCGTGTACTTCAGTGTTGGATGTAGTCATATGAAACATGAATGATAGATAACGTTTGGTAGTAAGGGACAACAAAAGAGGTCTTCTTCATCGATGCAATACTATTGGTGCCCTATGAGAGATAATCATCATTAACGGCGTTGAGTAAAGAAAAAGGCTATTCCTTGTGTATACTTGAGACACGCCAACATGGCACTGAACAACCCCCCTGGATCACCCAACCCAATTATCACAAGACAAAATGCTCAGACCATATTCACTTTTGTGGGTGCGTGGTGGTGGGGGTCAATGTCGTCATACTAAGAAGGTGATTAATCATTCGCTTGTTCCACTACAGTACATACACAGCATCGATGTCAAGTGAATGAAAATGATTTATGCAGAGCATTCCATTCGTTTACACAGTGCAGCACAATGCAATAATCCCTTTAATGTTTTGTGTTTTTCGCCTCACTAAGAATGGACATCTTTGTCTTGAATGCGTTTGATTGTGTAAAAGAATGTTTGTTACACACATGGCAACCACCAGGAACGGGATCAGTTACACATTTTGGATGTGATTTCAATCATGAGTCAAAGACAACAATCATTTACATCATTGTCGCTAATTCTATTATGTACATAGAAAGCTTGTCAAAGAAAGGAGCGATAGGGTTATTGGGGGGGGGAGAGGTGATGTTGAATAATAAAGAGCAGAACGTGAAGGCTAACAAGCGTTTTAGTGCTGTTTTTCATTTCCCTGCTGCTGCAGAAGCTTCATTAGCGCCAAAAAGAAAACAGGATGAACGGAAATGATGCCGATGGGCACGCCATTGTCTCAAGTATTCCCGAGGATCTATTGAAACACAAAAGTGCCGAAGGTGCCAATGCTGCATGTACGCGCAGCTTACTAGCCGTATAACGACTAAATCAAATGGATAAATCAAGACAGCAACGAAAAACTTTTTCCCTTCCTATACCCAATTGTCTCCTTTTTTCCAAAGACGCATAGATTTATTGCTTTGGGGGATATCAGGGAGGGAACACGCTCTCTCTCTCACTTTCTCTCATAAGCTGCCATTCTCGGTAAGGATACCGGGCCAAAGTGTATTGTAAGCGATAACAAACATACACATACATGCGCCACGATGACCAACGAAGGAAACTTGGTTTGGTCATTTTGGGGGTTGGGGGTGAATGAGGTGTGGGTGACAGAATAAACCCATTGATATAAAAGCAAACGTCTCGTGGTGATGACCACCACCTTCACACGCTATCTATCTCTACCCTTTTTTTCTTTCTCTCTTACTACTACTCTCTATCATGTTGACCATACGATCCATGCTTGTATTATCTGCAGCCTATCTTGCTGGTTCATGCGTACTTGCACTACCAGTGTTTGACGCCGAATTAGCAGCAAGTCCCTTTGTACACGACTCGAGACTCAACTATTATCAAAAGCGAGCGTTTGAAGAAGGTCCTAGGAATCCACTCGAAATGAACAAGCTTTTGGGTATGGCGGATATCAATGATTATCCGATGTGAACAACCATTATTTATCTATCTGCATGATGTACAAACCCACCATCCATCCATCCATTTCCCCTCCTCCTTGTCGATACATACATTCATTCATTCTCTATCGCTTTTTTGTGTACAAATCTCAAATTCCCTTTTACATGCTGCGCTTGCGCATGCTATTCCTCTCTTCCCTCACCAACCCCCTCCCCTTGTGTACAAATTTTCATACATGCATCGATTGCATCAATGGGAGCAAGAAACATTCCCATGAAATAAAGTATATGCAAAGCTTGAGAAACAGCAGGAGCATGTGGGCAATACAAAAGAGGGAGATCTTATTTTGGTGTCACAGCGCTTCTTCATCTTTCTTTCATCTTTATTCATCATGGATTCAGCTATCGATGTAGACAACCTAAACTTCGACTATGGTGGTCCGGCCATTCTGAAAGATATGAATTTGAAACTTGAACGAGGCTCACGTTGCTTGTTGGTGGGCGCCAATGGTGCTGGCAAAACAACCTTGTTACGTATCTTAGCAGGCAAGCGCAAAGTACCCGGCAATGTCCATGTCTTTGGCAAGAATGCATTCCTCGACGCACCCTCTGTAAGTACACAATTGACAACAACGTCCATGGCGTCGTCAACGATGTGCTTATTAACAAGCTGCTGATTAGGGAGTGACCTACTTGGGGACTGAATGGGCCAATAACCCCATTGTCAAGAGCGATCTCACGGTCGAGTATCTTCTTATGAGCATGGGTAGTCATCGTTGGCCCGAGCGGACAGCCAAGTTGTTGCAAGTGCTTGATGTGGATATCCATTGGCGTATGCACCAGCGATCGGATGGCCAACGTCGTCGTGTACAATTGGTGATGGGTCTTTTACAGCCTTGGGATCTCTTATTGCTTGATGAAGTTACAGTCGATTTGGATGTTCTTGTTCGTGCCGAGTTTTTGAATTATTTACGCGAAGAGACTGAGCAACGTGGTGCAACCATTGTAAGTAGGGAAAGGGAAAAGGACGCGTGTTTGCATAAATGAAACATTGAGACTCATCATCATGCATATCAATAATTATTAGCTTTATGCTACCCATATCTTTGATGGTAAGGAATACCGAAAATTGAGAGACGTTATCCATCGATAGATAACAAGGGATGCTCTATAGGATTGGCACAATGGCCTACTCAAGTGGCTCATGTTGCCGATGGTACCCTTCTTAGCATGAATGACATGGAAAATTGCCAAGAATTGGAGGATATCAAGCAATACCATCGAGACAATAACATTTTGGATTCACCCCTGATGGCTCTTTGTTACAAATGGCTACGTGAAGATCATGCTCGACTCAAGGCCAAGCCTGTTGATCCATCCACTGGTCAGCCACATACGAAATGGGACGATCTCAGTGAGGACATGAAGCTACATGGCGACAAGTATTACAATTACTGGAAATAGCCATCATCAGCATCATCATGATCCCGTTACTATCATTATTGTTGTTTCAACCACCACACACACACTACTACCTACACCAATTTTCATTATCATCATCATCATCATGTGTATATATAGACTTTTCAACAAGTCCGTAAGGATATAAAATAAATGCAGCTTTGCGTTTGTGTGTATGTATATGTGATAGCAAACGAATTGGGTAAAAGTGGAAACGAATGTGGATATGTGGACAAGATGCATTTGATGAATAAAGTAAAGAAAGACACGAACGCAAATACTCTCCCACCACTCTTTTTGATATACTCTCTCTATCGAAATTAGAATGTGGTGCCTTCAGCAGGTTGGGGTAACTTTCTACCAACAGTAGCCATCTCCCTAACAAAGAAAATGTTCATTATCCCATTCCATAATGAAAACAGATGGCTCATTTTACCTTCTAAGTTCGACCAAAAGAGTTTCAAGAGTGTAGTTACGTCTCCAGTGGGCAAGGCAAGGCAAACGGGAAGGTTCCACCTAGTCATTTCATTAATCTATATACTGGGTATCCATTGCATGTTCATACCTTTCCAGTTTGGGTGTTGACGCTTGGGAGGTTGATGCGCGAAACAAAGTGGACTTCAGGAGGAAGATCGGGATACTTGTCACCACACATGATTTTAAGGCTGTAGATGCGATTCTCGTGAACAGACTATATACACAAAAGAAATAAAGCATGTCAATGCATCATGGTTGGGTAGGGAAGGAAAATTGGGAGTAAACCGGTGGTGGTCAAGGAAACGGGAGGAAAGGGGATGATGTAGTCACCCAAGGTACGCACACACACACACACACGCACCCACACCCATACAAAGGGTACTTACGTGAGGAGGACCCAAGATAGTAGCATGCCAGTTGTGCATAAGCAAGTCGTCATCGGCCAAACCGTAGCTGCAAGTACCGTCTCCAATACCCTTTTCGCCCTTTTCGAGCTCTTCAAGTAGGCGGAAATTGCGAGGGACTACATCGTGTCAACACACACACATACATACACATTAACGACTGGGTTGTCAACTTTAGGTGCCGTGAAAACACCCATCAAGCATGCCATGCCATTGAGAATGCAAGACCATTGCAAGAAAAGAGTGTCCATTGAAGCATTGTCAAGGTCACCTACCTTCAGCCATGATCGAGTTGAGTTGGTTGGTCGTTACCGTTGTCCTCGCTGGATACAGCCCCAGTTGTCCATTCTTACCCGAAGCTTAACTCGCCTCCTCGTGACTGGCTAATGTCTCTCATTACGATATCAGATCAGAGATAGTGATGATGATGATGATGATGATGGATGATGCATCATCATATGATGAAGCTTAATGTCACTCTTTTTTTTTGTCTCGCATCAATGATATTCTTGTGTGTTCCAAAGCATAATAAAATGTTCGTTATCCACTCATTGTTAGGTACAATGGTTCCCCTGATGGTATCCATGATACGACGATGATTGAATGTACCCACCAGATTCCCGAGTTTATATATAAGACAAAAAAGAAAATGATATGTACTATACAGGAGGGATATGTATATATACAATATATATAGAGAGAGAGCAGCTATTCGAATGTTGTTGCATCCAGCATATCTTGGTCGCTTGTTGGATCCACCTTGCTTGTTGTATGGGGAGATAGAGCGATCCACGAATCTTGATTGAGCATTGCCGCTGAAGATGAGGATGAGGATGGTGTAGGTTGACGTGCTGGTGGGTAATGATGTTGCCTTATTTTTGCATGATGATGATGATGGTGTTGATGATGATGATACACTTGTCGCTGCTGCCTATTACTATTGCGGGATGATGATGGCCATGAAGCTGTGGGTGTGGGTGTGGGTGCAGCAGCAGCAGCAGCAGCAGCAGCAGCTGTAGGCGCTTGAGCAAAACGAGCCGATTCAATAAAATACCACATGTTGTTGTTATCATCATTAGCGAGCGTGCTGGATTGTTGTTGCTGTTGTTGTTCAGTGTTGGTAGCTGTGACGGTTGGGGATGTGGAAGCCGTTGATGAAAGGAACGAATCCATCATAGCTGCCGCAGCCGCTGCCGTATTGCTTGTATGACCACCTCCACCTCCCATATGCAATGTCTCCATCATTGATCCATGAAATGGCTCCGTTTCCTTTTGTTGTCCTGCCCAGCTTTTACGTACCGTTTGGACTCGTTTCTTGGGATTCGGTTTTGGAAGCAATGGTGTACTATTATTGGTTGTTGTTGTTGATACTGTGGCAGCTGCCGGTGGACCCATAGAAAACATGGCAGGGCTACTATTGCTGCTGCTCATTCCATTGGCTACTACTGTGGATGATGAAGGTGCCATACTACCTCCTCCACCCGCTGCTGCTGCCGCTGCTGCTGCTGCTGCCACTGTCAACGCAGGCTCAGGCGTGGGTGGTGGTTCACTCATGTCCATTAGTTGAAAGTAATCATTCGTATACATGTTAAAGGCCACTTGATCAGGATACTCGGTCATGTTGGTGCCACTACTGCTGCCATATGAAAAGCGTCGTGGCGTGGTAGGTGAAATAGCTACTGCCGCAGCAGCAGCAGCAGCAGCAGTTCCTCCTCGAAGATAATTCATTGGCATCATTGATTCATAAGATGATGTGCTGTGACCACGTATCCGCTTTGTTTGGTATTGTTGTTGCATATGCTGTTGTTGGTGTTGCAAGGGATGCTGTCGTTTTTGTCCCGAGAAATTGTGGTGATGATGATGGTGCAAAGTAGTTGGCATCGCTTGCTGTTGCATGGTTACTTGTTTGCTAGTGTTACCAAAGTACATGGATGAAACTGGTAAAGGCGGTGCCGGAGGTGCTGCAGCATAAACACCAAAGACGTCCATGGATGATGACAATGTACTCGTAACACCTGTGGTATTATAGTGAAGATCGCGTTTATGTGATAACTTTTCAAGCTGCTCACGGTCGATATCATTGCGTCGTGACATTACATGCACCATCCCACGTGAAGTCATTGAATCACTGTAAAATGCCTGATCCTCTATTAATGCTGCCGAGTGATCGAGATCAGCTGTTGTTGTTGCTGGCCATAGTTGCTCGTTATGCCGTGGTGGTGCTCTCATCATCATCCTCTGTTGTTGTTGTACTGAAGCAGTGCTTAACATAGGTGTTGTAACATCCATTGAACATCCACTATCAGCAACATGTTGATGACCCATCTCTGTTTTTGTCGTGGTGGTGGTGGCTATGTCATTCGTTGTAGCATGAATTCCACCCAATGGACGAGTAATCACGTTGGCGACATCGATCTGCGAGCAAATAGGATGCAACAATCGTTGTAGCTTGCGTAGAGGTGTCATTGTCAGGCTCTCCTCCTTTGTCGCTGATGTGGCAAATTCCATATCCTCATCCCGATTTCCAATAACCTTTGTATCACTAGCGTCTTGCATATCAGCTGTTGGAGAAGGTCGCCGTAATTTCAGGCACAACACACTCATGGATGCTGCAAGGAATATGGGGTATAACACAGCATGTGCAATCGGTTCACGAGATGCCGTTCGTGCATTCTCATCAGGTGACGTGGTTGGATATTCAACAGTAAGGTTATCAACGATATGTACAATCTCTGCTGCTGCCGCGTCGCATAAATCAAGCATGTAATTGCTGCTTTCATTGGCTGGTGGATCATCATCCTGATTCATCATCGTCTTTTGTTGGTGTATGAAGAATTGCAATGATTGTGGTATCTGACAAAAATAAAGTTGAATGGCGAGCGTATGATGGTATAAAGCGAGAATCGATGTTGGACTTGTGGTTGGTAATATCTGCTGCTGCTGCTGTGGCTCCTCATCCAGTGATTCGTTGCCTGGCAACGAGGTTGGTGGTTGCTGTTGCTGCGACCAACACGCAAGATGATTGATTCGTTGCTATGATACATATAATCGTTGGTACAATTCTTTTCCCCACATCTCCTCATTCATATACCTTGATATCCTGAAGCGTCATATTTGTGCTTGATACTCGCTTTAAAAAGTCCGTATACGCTTGAGTGGCATAGATAGCCCATGACTGGTTTCCTGGATTACAATCAACAGCCTTGTTTTCAATGGGTGGGTCGCTGCTGCTCCCGATTCCAGTTAAGCTTTCGATGATCCAGTCGTCTCGATGCAAATAAAACGATAACCAGGTCTGCCATGCATCAAGCACGCTGAGCAATCTCTTGACTCGTTTGCATTCGTCCACATCCAATTCAGCATCATGCATCATGTTGTTGTTCGATGATGTCAATGAACATCGTGCTGCATATCCAATCCCCAGTCGCAATGTCATATAAGCCGCCTCCTCATCAATGGCCGTACACGCGTAATGGGTGAGCAATACTGATACACGCGTCAATTGCAATAACCATTCACGATCCAATTCTCTTGATGTTGACATAAAAGTATCTCGTAAAAAGCGTCGTTGGGCTTCCTGGAAACATAGATTTGCACAATCCTCCAAACGTTGAGCGATATCTTGGTATGAAGTGGCGAGTGATTGAAAGGCTGCATAAAACACGAGACTCAGGATAGCGCATAGGATCATGGTGTTGGGAGAATCCTCGTCTTGAATAGCTTGTACCTGCATCAGGAATCCAGATGTGAGGCTATGGTTCAATTCACCAAAATCAAACAGGGATCCATACAGGAGATTGTGTTTTGCAAACAGCGCTAATGCTTCGTGTGTCACGGCATCACTAGTCTCAATCGTATTCAATCGCATCCATTCACGAAAATGTCGAGTAAATGATGTCCATATTTGAAAGGGTTGAGATGTCAGATTGAAGAAATCAAGCATAAGAGGGGGGAGTGAAGTGGCGAAAAGATAGCTGCGTGTGATAGCATTGGTGCGTGGATGTTGTCGCATTGATTCATACATTGCGTTGGTAAATGATATCCGTTTCAAATGCTTTCTGATATATTGCTCGTCCAAATGCTGCTTTTTTGATATGGGAGATGTTGACGGTATAGGTGATGATGGATGATGATGATGATGATAGCATTGCTTCGTATCGGCATGATTGATACCATGCTTAGATTCTGCTACTGCTGCTCCACCTGCTCCACTAGAATCGCTATTTGAAACGTCGTCTTCGTGCTTAACCTTTCGTGCAGTGGGTGTACGCCGATTGGTTTGTTCGTCGTATACACATGGGCTATCATGTTGATCGCAGCGTGCACATGGCTTCTCTAATATGGAATGCCGATTAGCGAATGCAAGAACAAGGAACACAACAAGACGTACTGCCGTCGCACCGCATTTTCTTTTGTCGGCATAGTTGACAGGCTCGAGATACTTTTTGTCGTTTGAATGGGAACTCTTCCACTGAGAATGAATGCCATTTGTACTTTGAAGATGCCATGGGCAAGTTGTATAAAAGAAAAGGACAAAAAGAAAAACGTGACAAAGATGGGCTTGAGAAGGGCGGTTTTGTTTGCATCCAAAGATGGGGGACACACACACACACACGCACTACACACACCTTTCCTTTGAGAATATACACACGCCTCATCGTCATTATTGTTACGCAACATGCTTATCATGGTCTTGTTTGAATCGATTTATATATAAATGAATACGATGGGTTATTGGCATCACCATGTCAAGTTTGACAGATACTGTTCCAGGATTGTATTCTCTTGTTCCTCTCGTAATATTCCCATCTTCCTTCCGCCTTCCGATTCCGCGTGTATGTGTTACATGAATTCTCTCTCGTGGGTGTGTTTTGCTTTGCCCAAAAGCATCATAGACGTTCTACCCGCCAAAATATATATGTTTACTCTACATGGTTCATCTTGGCGTTTTGGACTGCGCATAGAGTGTGACACTGATCGTTGCCAGATGCAACATGTCAGGGGTTACATTGACAGTGACAAAGTTGAAACCATCATCCCAACACATTCCACACACACACGACCCAACGCTATAATACAATATCACCATCTTTATCCCTCAAATGATATTACACCTGATCACCCTTGGTCTTTTTGGTAGAGGAAATGATGTGATAGATCTCATGAAGTTATACTTGGTGGTGGCACAATAACGCGGCCGTATTCATGATTAATGACACCTATAACACCCCTCCTCATCAGTTTCCCTTTTATCACCCATGTTGCATGGTTACAGCATCAAATGATATAATGTAACAGCCGATAAAATGTCATTGCTATCCTTGTTGTGCACATGATTCGGGTCGGATACCGGGACCTACATCATCATCATCATTAGCGTACAGTAGTAATCACGATAGCACGTTTGTAAGAGAGGCAATGTGCTACGAAGTCATTTTAGACTCAATGTTACGGCAACTCGGGTCTTGTTTAGCTCCCTGCTGTTGAATGTATGTACATGCAGATTATTGAGCATCATGTGATGAGCCCTTTTATGCACCACAACCAACACCATCATCTCCTTCCTGCTCGTCTTCTTCATCCCTTTACATACTAATTCCTCCCAACGTGTGCACCATTGGGTGTATATTATATACCCCTACGCCCTTGACCCGAATACTTTGTGATGATAATAATGAGCAACATGCCCTTGCTGGTGTACCCTAATGGTGACCCCCGTTATAATCATCTACCACGTCTTACCCCCCATTTGCCATTTTCATGCGTGATGTTTTTTCTTCCATCAGTTGCACAAATAGGTAGCTGCACTAAGGATGGGTGGGAACGACGCCGGCGGACTACAGATGTATAGCCCTGGATACGTTGATCGATCGTGTGATGAATACAATGCACCAGGACCACGGGTATTTCCTTGACGTTTCAAAAGTCGTTACATGTAGCATCTTGATAATCTCTGTGAGATCGGCCGTAAAAACATCCATCATATTGTTCACGCGCACACACATAATACATACATACGTATTACTTCTTCTCTCCTATTCAGGTCAGCAATCCTTTGCTATGAGCGTGCGTTTATCATATGTGTGGTGTTATTCTTGTGGGTATACCTTCTAGGAGAAGGGTGATGGAAAGGAGTTGGCATTTGCAGTAAATGTAACTACATGATACCATGGCAACCAAATCCATGGCAACGTATATCATTCATCCGGGCAAAGACTGAATCCAATGGATCAAACGTATCCTGCTTCTGGTACCATTGGCAGCATAGCTGACAACAAAATAAAGTTATGCTGTGTTTCGGGTGCCAACATTGTTCGTGAAAAAGTATCTCGGCTGTAGATCCAATATGCAGATCATGGATATCGGGACCACTAGGGAGTCAACAACCGAGATACAGGGTGGGGGTGATGATATGGGTATGTGTGATGTGTATACATGGCAACAAGGGATATTGAAATGGAGAGAGAGAGAAAAACACGGAACAAAGCACTTGCAATGATGATGAAAAGTGCCTGTATCGAGGAGAAAACTCGACACTTATCGGAAGGGGGATGAGTGATATTGTTTGGAAGGCATGTCGCAAGAAGTTGTATCGGCATAGATACACCATGCTCGAGCCACATGAGCAAAAAAGGAAAACGCAAAGCAGTAATCATAATGCAATGTATGCACGTATAATCAAGCATGAAGTTGTTATATTGTTACGTGGCCTTGTGGTACATCAAGAGCAACAACCAGGCACGGTGGACCCTGGAAAAGGAGATCTCCCTTTCTTTAACAATCATCCTTTCTTTTATAACTTTGATGCTTGATTGTATTTTGACCCGCTTCTCTTTCCTCTTCTTGATCCACATCTCTCTTTTGCACAATCACAACAATGAGCATGGTTGATGATAGGGATGATGACAGTATTCTCCTCCCGCCTGAAATGCCACCACCAGCCATGGAGCAACGACCTACCACCACTTTTCGTAGCCCCAAGGAAGCACTCAACGATCTTGTCCATAAGGTGGATACAACCGATTTGCGACATGCTATGAAAAACGAGATCAAACGTCTCATGAACGACCATGATCGGCTTGTGTGTATGCTGCAACAGCGTTCCGAGTTGCTTGAAAATGAGAATGGTCAACTTAAAATGGCGTCACTCGAAAGTCAAAGACGCTATGAAAAGGCTGTGCGTGAAATGCAGTTTTTTCGTCGAAAATGTGAAATGCAAAAACGACCTCGTAGTTTGTCGATTGAATCCGGATCATCCTCAGAGGCAGCTGCTGCTAATAATAAGAACAAATTTCCATTGACACCCACCAGCCCACAAAATTCGACCTCAATACTAGATAAGAATTCACGCTCTTCATCTCAATCAACAAGCACTTCGGCTGAACATCAAAGAATGTTTGCCGAACAACAAGAACAACATCCTCCACCTCCACCTCCACCCCCTCCTCAAACACCACCACCTGCTATTCCCCACCAACTTAATACAAGTACAACCACTACAACACTTGCCAGCACAACATCATCAGCACACACAGTGAGCAGTAATAACACCAATACTAGTACTGGTACTAGTAACAGCAGCAATAGTAATAATAGCAAATCAAACACCACTCCTATTGCAGTACCACCACCATCACGATCTACGACTACTACAGCTTCAACAACAGCAACAACAACAACTTCATCTTTAATTCAACAACGTCGTGTGGATCCTTTAATTTTTGGTGGCTCAGATGCATTATGGGAGACCATTGCCAAAAGTAAAGGTAGTGATGTCACTGTGGAGAAGATCATTGGTAACTTTTTACGTCGTGGGGGATCGCCCAATACTGCCAAGCAATCACCGACAGCGCATGCTGTCATGTACGGATACGGCATGATCCATGCGCTTATTGTCACCAAAGCCCCTGGATCGCTGGATCTGCTATTAGAGCAAGGAGCAAATCCCAACGTCATGACCCTAAGCCAAATTGAAGATGACAAGGTAGAATGTGACTAAAGAGGATGTTACCCACATGTAGCTAAGTCATGTATGCTATGTGTCTACTAGGTCACGCCGTGTTATTTGGCCGCTAGTGTGGGCTGGCTCCCAGGCTTACAAAAATTGGTACAAGCTGGTGGTGACTTGATGGCTGCAAGAGGTGCTGGTATCAAGAATAAAACAGCATTACATGTCGCTGCAGAGCATTGTCATGCTGCTGTTGTGGAGTACATTGTCAATGAAACGGAAGGTGCTCTTAACCTAGAAGAGGATAGCAATGGTAAGTGCTATATGGGCTCCTGTTTTTACTCTCTTTCTACAAGGAGTGTGATTGTAAATGTAAAAAGGAGAAGCGTTACTTATATACACAATGATGACAGGTGCAACCGTGCTTCACTATGCGTGTGCATCAGGTCACACTGATCTCGTCTCCTTTTTGGCACGCTCCTGCCAAATCCCAGTCAACCAGCCAGATCATCGAGGTGAATTGCCATTGCATTGGGCTGCAAGGCATGGTCGTCTTGAAGTTGTCACCTTATTGATTGAACGTTGTGGATGCGATATGAACATTTACGTTCCTCGTAAAGTGGGCACACCCATGGATTTGGCAAAGAACAATAATCATCGTCGTCTCATGGATTATCTAAAAGGCTTGGGTGCATTGACAGCAAAGAAACTCGAAAAGCGTCGTGAGGATGAAGCTGGTGATAACGGTAAACCTGAAGTTCTTGAAAACCGATTGGAGAAAAACGGGTTCTTTTTCAATGATGACGAGTAAAAAAGAATGGAAACAACAATGATACAACAACAACAATGAAGCCTACAACAGCCATTTTCCTAATCTTGCTCTCTTTCCATATCAGCATCATATGGCATATATCGATCATAATAGTTTGCTCCCGCTTTCTTCTCTCCTCATGCTCCTCCTCCATTGCATCTTGCTTACACAATGGATTCCTCTATATAGTATACATTTTTAAACGTTAGTTCCTGTGTTTTGCTTGGTAATACATAATCGTGTCATCGTTGTTCTCTCGCACACACTCTCACACACGCTTTTCTCCTTTCCTCCCAGTCTCCTTATCATGATGATGAATGTAGTAACATCCCTTTCCCATTCGAGCAGAACAAGTAGAATTTACGTGAAAGATGATTGCACATCACTTTATTCATGGCATCATTAAAACAAGTGTTGTATGAGCTGTGATTGAGTTGGGGGTGGTTGCTATGGTAAATACATGATGGCTGCCTGTCAATCGTTGTCAGGAGGAGGAAACTAGAAATGCCCTTATACCTCGAGGATCAGCTTCAGACGTTGGTTACCACACACACACACGCACTTTTACCTGCTGCTGATAAGTCCCAAGCTGTCAGCAAGATTTCCCTTATTTCACCCTTTCTTTCTTGTACAAATCCATCCTTTTTGTTGCTACGCTTTCCACTTTTTTTCTAATACCTTTTACAATCGAGTGAAATGCCCTTGTTGCATGTGACCGATCGCTTCCGTTCCAAATGGCGCAACAAAGGTGTCGATCTTGACCAGCATCAACGACGGCAATCGATGCCAGGGCGTGTACAAACGATACGAACCCCTCCACCGCCACCGAGTGCTGACAGCTTACTATGTGGTATTGGTGAATACATCTTTCTTCAACGACTTGGCCAAGGCAAATTTAGCAAAGTGATGCTTGCTCAGCATGTACGAACAGGTGAAAAGTACGCTATCAAGGTAAATTAGAGTTGGGGGTTGGTGGATGGGCTGTTGAGAGAACAAAGATAATTGTGATGAGGAGAGAAAGTTGTAGTGCGGAGCTACGTTCGTTGCTGAGCAACTTTGATTATGCAGATTATTGACAAGCGAATCCATGATTATCGCATTGTGTCACGTCTGGCGAGGGAAATCAATCTCATGGCATCTTTGGATCATCCACACATTGTGCATCTGTACGAGACTTTTGAGACTGCAGATAGCCTGTTTTTGGTCATGGAGTACATCAGGGGAGTCAACCTTGACGAGCACATGCAACAATGCCGTCATCTGGATGAGGTCGAAGCACGCAAAATATTTCGTCAACTCGTATCAGCCGTCGACTATTGTCATTCGCAGCATATCGTTCACAGAGATCTCAAGGTAAAACATAGTGCATAGTACTATACATGGATGCACATACATACATCATACTAACTTTTTATATATCTCAGGCACCCAATGTACTATTGACACCAGAGGGCCAAGTGCATTTAGCTGATTTTGGTTTGGGTAATCGGTTTGGGCTACAGCGTCTCAAGACCATCTGTGGTATGTATTGTTGTTGTACACAAATGCCTATGCAACAAGTATTAAGTCGCATGGATTTAGGTTCAATGTTGTATTACAGCCCAGAGATCATCACTGGTCAAAAGTATGTGGGTCCTGAGATTGATTGTTGGTGCCTTGGCATTCTATTATTTCGTATGGTATCCGGTTATGAGCCATTTGGACATGCACGTAGTAAGTGTCCTTGTTAACCCCCTTTCACATTGAGGAGGTTGGAGGCAAACAGGAGAAGATCGCTTATCAACCTGTATTTAGCTGTTGGCGAGCTCAAGCACGATGTAGTCAATGGATACTATCCCATGCCAATGCATCTCAGTGATAGCTTACAAGCTACCATTCGTAAATGCCTTGCTTGTGACAAGAAAGATCGCATGAGTATACGTCAAGCACTGTATGATGATCCCTGGCTCAATGATGATGGTCATTTACCATCCCCTTTTGCCACCACCTCCACCTCCACCACCATCAACTCCTACAACAACAACAACAGCAGCAGCAGCTATCAGCACCCCTCATCCTCCTTGCTTATGGAAGAAAAACAATTCAATGTTCACAAGACCATCGTGTATCATCCAATCAACACCTCTATTTATTTCACTGGCAGTGCTACTACGACACCTTCTCTTGAAGAGAATGCAAAAACAAAGGAAATGCTGCGGGCCGAGCATTATCAACACCTGATAACCACGTTGAATGAAACACAATTACGACCCATGACGCCCAACGATTCATCATCGTTTCGTTTGAATCATTTATTTTACAAGCTTTACAAACGAATCACCAAAGCCGATCATCTTACTTACTACACCATGAATACGTCACTGCTACCCTACCGTCAACCTGCAGACACGCTCTTGATGTTAGTACGCTTAGCTTGTGAATTGCTGGGGATCACTTATCGTTTCACGTCAACTTCCACCACCGAGCTAGTATGCGTGCTCACATTGCGCCAGGATAACAATAACCATGACCTTGCATGTGATCCACCCCCTTCACCCGTATCCTTACCACAGCCAAGACATAGCCAAAGCAGTGCCACGAGTACAACGAGCTGGACGAGTCGACTCAAACGATTATCGCATTCACAACGCATTGGATCAACGTGGATCTATATTGGTGGTGGTAGTAGTGCTCTTGCCGCTGGTCATTATCAAACTTCTTCTCCGCCTTCTTCAACAACACCCAACTTTGTAACCACACCACCATCATCCTATGAGGATGGCACAGTGATGTTTTCTATCGAGACATTGTCTTCTTCTTCAGTAGCAGCAAGTGCAAACAATAGCATGATGGAAAGCATCGAAGGAAATTTTACATCATCATCAACCTTTCAACAGCAACAGCAGGAAGATGTTGCCGCCTTGCGCTTTTCCAAGATCAGCGGATGCAGCAAGGTTTTCAAGCTTGCAACTGGATGGATCAACGGTGTACTTTTAAGCCCTTGAAAAACATGCATTCATCTCATAGCAACATACCCAACAACAACAACAATCATCATTGTAAACCAACACACGCACACACACACACACTTAGCAATTGAACCCCTCTCTCAACTAGTCGCGTCCATTTCCCGCCCCTTTTATCCTCACCATAATGATACCGCCACCAAAAAAAAGCGAAACAACTTGATTGTCAAATCACACGCATGTTGCACATTTATATATATAATCATCAATGATGAGAGGTTCGTTTGTAAAGTTTGGAGATACACGCAACTTTATATTTGTAAGCGTGATGCTATATGAGAAGTGGTCTTTGTTTAATGTAAAGTAGCTAGACCCTGACAGAGCAAAAGATGCAGAGGGTCGTGTTGTGTAACACAGCTACGTTTGCATGAATGAAAGGGTCCATGTATAATTACTTTATGGATCATCTAGGAACAGGCATGTATTGCTAGCTAACGGCCACTTTCATCCAATCATCATTGTTGCGAGATCCACTGCATGGGAACGATGCCCCTGCTCTAGACATTCACTTCCATGATTAAAGTAGGTTGATCCGAGCTGATTTGACTGAGCTACGGTCAAAGAGAGTTTACATCACTCTGGACATAGAGCACGCTCGATGTAGCTCAACCGATGTAATCTTGTGTGAGCGTACAGGATTTCCCAAAAGAAGTGGAACACGAGGATAATGATTTCGTGGTTAAGGTGATTGGTTTCGTGGGTGATGATTATTTGTTCGTGGCTAATGACATATGAGTTCGTGGGTGATGGTTATTAGTTTCGTGGGTAACGCTTTTGGTTTCGTAGGTATCGCCTTTTGAATTGGTGGGTGACGCTTTTGGTTTGGTGGGCACGGCTTTTTATTTCGTGGAGGATGACTTTAATTTTCGCGCAGGATGACATTAATGTTCGTGGGTAGCGCTTTTGATTTCGTGGGTGATAATAAAGGTTTCATACGCTGTATTGCTGGTCAACATTGCATACGACTTGCTGATTGATGTACGCTGTTGCATAGCATAGTTTATGATCACCCACGAAATCAAAAGCGCTACCCACGAACATTAATGTCATCCTGCGCGAAAATTAAAGTCATCCTCCACGAAATAAAAAGCCGTGCCCACCAAACCAAAAGCGTCACCCACCAATTCAAAAGACGCTGTCCACCAATTCAAAAGGCACTACCCACGAAACCAAAAGCACTACCGACGAAACCAAAAACCACCACCCACGAACTCACTTGTCATTAGCCACGAACTCACTTGTCATTAGCCACGAACAAATAATCATCACCCACGAAACCAATCACCTTAACCACGAAATCATTATCCTCATGTTCCACTTCTTTTGGGAAATCCTGTAACTCAACCAAATCAGCTCGGATCAACCTACTTTAATCATGGAAATGAATGTCTAGAGCAGGGGCATCGTCCACCTACAATAGAATGCACAAAAGTTGGGAATGCACAAAAGTGGCTATTAGCTGCCAATGTATGACATCAAAGTGAGGGTTGCGTACCTTTCATGCATTGTCCCTGAAGTCCTGACTTTTTAGCTGAGTTACCCAAAGAGGTCCTTCTGCATCTTTGGCTCTCCAGGGTCTAGCTACTTGACAATGAACAAAGACCACTTCTCATATAGCATCACGCTTACAAACATAAAGGTGCCTGTATCTCCGAACTTTACAATGAAACGTGGGATTTTTATTAGAGCAATGTGCTCGGCTAGGCCAACTGCACCTTGGGTGCCAGTTTGACGATCAAGCTTGCCGATCCCAGATTTCACAATGTCGCCACCAGCCAAACTGGATCCGGGGGTCGACCTCTTGAAACTTTTTTCGACGACCAAAAAACATTTTTTTGGGCTGTTTGCGACATTGAATGCGAAACTTTCACACAAGGTGCAGTTGGCCAAGCCGAGCCCATTGCTCTGTTAAAAACCTCACGTTTCATTGTAAAGTTTGGAGATACAGGCACCTTTATGTTTTCATTATGCTGTAAGCGTGATGGAGTTGCTTTTTCCTAGTGGATGGTGTCGGCTGCATTAACGGAAAGATGAAGAGCTGAGTGAAACCGCAAGTGGTGGTTACACAGACACGTCCTTGACAGGTTGCTACACAAATGGATGATGATGATGATTGCCTTTTGTGAAGGTACGTAAGTAAAACAGCATCCAATAATGAAGGTGTGTCAAGGTATGCATCACATTTGCATGTAGAAGAAAGTCAAGCTGCATAAACCAATTTGTATATGTAAAAAGATACGTATAATGCATATTGAATGGATCACTCATCCTGAAACTCAATGGTGGGATCTCTTCACTTTTTCTCTTCTCAAGCTCATCCCACTTCCCACTCCTCCTTATCGCATCACAAAAGCCATATACGTCTTGCATGACCGATAACCGGATCGCCTTTATTATTCCATCTTCGAAGCAATAGTATGTAATCCACAAGCTAGCAACCTTCAACAAGTGTGTAATAAATAAACAATGCTTTATTCCATCTAGCTATCTTGCTATGTACTGTACATTGCCACCACCATCGTCGTAGTCGTCCTCCGTCATCATTCCTACTCGTACTCGTCACCAGTCGTCAATCTCATCCGTCACATCAACATCCAAAAATACACAAGTTGAAAAGAATGGGATCTTGCAGGCTTCCTTTTGAATCTCGTTGTCGTCATCATTGTCATTGTTGTAGATGGGGTGATCATCGTAATCGTCATTGTTGTGTATGTGGTAATCATCGTAATCGTCGTCTCTACAAGGATGAAGATACCATCATCAGCAATAGCTTTGATCTTGACGGCTATGGTTGTGCATTGACTGACGGGTTACACAAAGGATGATGGTAATAGCTGGCAGGGAAGAGGGTGAATGTACCAAACCGCTCAGGATGATAGCGTAAAGCGTAATGGCCAAGCTGACAATGGATCCACTCTTTTCCACCATCCCATGTACCCATATCCATAGCCGTACCCATATCCATATCCATATCCATATCCATATCCACAAGAAGTCGTATGTATTGAAGCAAGTTGCTACGCATAAATAAAGCTGCATCTATACAGTGGCTAACTGCTGTTCATGTGAACGGTGGCGCAAAAAAGGTTGCTGCAACTAGAGACAATGGAGCAAAGACCTTGATAATAGCAACTGGTATTATGTTTGGGTCGCAGCAGAGAAGTATGCAAGAGTGTGTGTTGTAGTGAAATGACGCGATTGTGGACGCTGTTTGAGGCAATGAAGACATTGCTAATAGCAGCTGCTGCAATGAGTGCTATCACGTTGATTGCGGTAGACGATTGTACAAGAGAAGGTGTAGTGTCAACGCGTGTGTTGTAGTGGGGTGTACACGCCATGGACTTGCCATTCAGTCAAATGCAATCGGATCGAGAGAGTTGTAGGATTGACATGATGGGTTGAAGCAGGACAATCGTTCGCAGGTGGTGGTTGTATACTTGAATGGGACCAACAGATGAGAATGGGAGGAAGAGGGAAGAAACCGAGAGTGGAAAGAACTGGAAATTAAATGGGTCGGACACCTCTTGTTAAATGCATGAACACTGCATATCAATCCTTGATATTGAGATATTCCCTATCGAACCTGAAACTTTCACACAAGATGCTCTTGGGCATGCTGATCAATTTGTTCTAATAAAGACCCCACGCTTCATTATAAAAAGTTTGAATGGGAGCGGGTGAGACTATGAACGGGATCAAAAGTAAGGTGTGGGGTTCATGAGCTGACATGTTCCCTGTTCCAGCATAGGTCAACCAAATCCTCTCGTATAAAGCCAATAAAAGCACGGAGATGATGAGCTGTAGCAGGAGCATCGTTTACATACGGTGGATTGGGCAGCAGTTGGGAATAGGAGGAGAGGCTATTAGGTGGTAATTTATGAATTGGACATTTTTGAGGTAGCCTCTTATTGTAAACATGGATGGTAAAGGGATTGCAGGTTCCAGTAAAGATGAACGCAATGTGATTGCGTAAATATGTAAGTTTATTACAAGATCATTATTCCATAGCTAATCAAGTTTACGAACGAAGCGAGCAACCTTGGCAGCTGGCATTTTCGATAACCTGTTCCAATTCACCTTTCCCATATTGCCCAAAGCCATCATCCATTCATCCCATCCAGTTCGATACGAGAGAATCACGTTAGGGTTGGTAATAGCATTGTCGCGTTTATTGAATGCGTGCCACCATGTTGGCCGTTGAACAATCGTTGGATGAGAGTAATCTAAGGGCCCTGGGTAGGAGCAGGGTTCATTCTGCGCTTGCCACCAATAGCAGTGGTAACGTTGACGAAGCGACGGCTGTAAAGAAAAGCAACGCGTAATCAGTTGACAGCTCTTGATTTGATCTCCCAGGATACAATCCGTATCTCATTGACATGGTTTTCAACTACTTACTTGTACACTTGTCTCTTCTTAGCACGACCAGTCAAGGACTTCTTCTTTTCTTGCTTGGCAACCTTGGGGGTTTGCGACTTGACCTTACCAGCACGAGCGAGCGAACCGTGGACTTTACCCTATCCCATTGCAATGCATTTGAGTCGATACAAGACGATACGAAGCGGTGAATGGGTGCATTGAAAGTTGGCGTACCATGTTTGATTGAAATTGAGCGAAGGAGGAAACAGCAAAAAATTGCGCCTAAACACTGCTTGTAATAGATCCGACAAGCCACCGCCACCACGACCATCATTATCATTGACCCAAGCATTCGGATATGACATTCACATACGGTACTCAATTTTTATGTACAAACTATTCAATAAGGAACTAATCTTGACGTATCTTCCCAATCTTCATCATAGCCTATGCCACTTCGATTCCAAAAATCGGCTCCACCAGCTTTCTTTTCTTGGTCTGATACATACAACGTCAAGTCAGCTACTCGAATCCATGCCTTTGCAAGTGGAGAATCATGAGCATAAAGCATTTGACCCACAGCCAACGAATGGATTGCTTTGATTTGATGCACCTCATGTGCTGTGATGGCACGATCACAAAGACTTAGCCATGGATTGTTGCACTTGGTATCAAATTCAGGTGATTGGAACTTGAGCAATAGATCCAATTGCAAACTAGGACGGCCCAGTGACACAAAGAACGTGAGAGTAGCAGCTGCATGAGCCTTCAACAACTTGGATGATTCGACATACGACAAGTGGGGGATCAATGTATGGATAGCATGGATCGAAGTGAGGGCGTGTACAAGGAAGAAATCAAGCTTGATGCCTTGCTTGCGAATAGCTGATGCACCATAGATGACCATGCTTGCAGTATATAGCTCTTTAAGCTTTTCCCACACATCTTGTTCGGTTTCTAAAATAAAATGCATCATGAGTCGATCATCATTATTACATATGCTTTGCCTTGTTGTCCTACCAGAGATACTCCATCGTGACAAATAAGTGCGGAGCTTATCCTTAGCCTTTTTGCTCTCCAACACAGCTGTGATCTTGTTCTCATCCGAGTACTTGACCACGTCATCGAAATCAGCATCACGACGAATTTCTTCGGCAAGGTCAAGAACAGCGTTATTGTTGAGTGCATCCTTGAGTGCAGCATCCATATCCACAGCCGTCAAACTACTTGCTGAAGGTGCATCTCCGCTTTGGGGTTTGCCGAGATTAAGCCTTGTAGCAAATCCAGTTGTCAACTGCGACACCATATCACGCGCCGTCGATAGCACACGTTGACTATTGGCAGGTTGACCTTGAGGAATGAAATCGGCAAATCTTGCTTCTGTACATGCCATCATAGCAAGACCTTCAGCTGCTAAAGCAGGGAGATTGAATTCAACACCATAGCCGATATGGATGATAGGGTGATAGGCGCCACCCATCACACGAGCCAACAAATCATCGCTATAAATCCAATGACGGATGGTGTTGATCATGCCATGTTGATTAATCTCGCGTTGGAACATGTCACGATAACTGGTATATGCATCACGGTTGCCAATTTGCGAGCGATAGTTCTCACGGTTCAACTCGCCCACAGAGGGAGGCAAGGGTCTTTGATAAGAGGCATGTTCGTCATAAATGGCTTGCAAACGTTCAGGGTTGGCTCCCATAGCATAGGCAGAAAGGTAGTGGTGGGTCAAATGGCTATATATAAAGTCCATCGATTAGTCTATATCATGGATCCGCCATGTCCCGGCATACACACTCACTTGTGGAACCCTTTCGGATTGAAAAAGATGTTGTGCTCCACGTGATTCTTTTCAAGCAGGTGTTCTGAAAGTTGCTTTGCTTCAGGCGTAATGCCCGGAAGAACAAATGCATACTTGAGTGGCTCAAGAGGAGTTTGTGGTTCAAAAGAAGAAGACATGATGGGGTAAAGAAAAAAAGTGGGATTGCATAAACTTGTGCGCGTCTTTTATTCATTTATTTGAAACTGCGTCATACAAGGTCGGGGTACTCGGCACCGAATTGTCCGAAAAGACATTACATTTTCCCATCGCGTCTCGTCCATGTCTCATCAAACCCAACCCCTTCAAACTCCCAGTTGCCTCGACTAGAATCACCACCAGCATGATCAAGAGTCATTTGAGCAGCCTTGAGCCATACATTAGGATATTGGTCACCATACATCATTTGTCCAACAGCGGTAGCACGCACAACCTTGATGACATGTGCTTCATGATAACCCAATGCACGATCAAGCACTTGCAGCCATGGATTATGCTCATTGGTGGAAACGGAAGGGGACTGGTAATGAGTAAGCGCCTCAACATCCACACTTGGTTTGCCACGTGCCAAGTACCAAACCAGCGCCGTAGCAACATGAGCTCGCATTAACTTGGCTGCTTGAGACCGATCCAAGTATTGTTGTACCGTGTTAAATACAGCATGCGTCGAGGTCAATGCATGTGCAAGGAAAAAGTCAAGCTTGTATCTGTTGTTGCGTACACCTGAGCCAGCATACAAGAGCATGATCGACACAAAAAGGTCTTTCATTTTGGCTTCCAAATTACGCTCTGTGTCACAAGTCATTATACGTAAGATTAGTATGGTTGTTGCAATTCATGCATAAATCATCATCACCACCACTCACCATTGACATTCCACAAGGTGACCGCTTCACGGATCTTTTGAACAGCTGTATTACTATGCACGACGTTCATCAACTTTGCTTCATCGCTGTACTTGGCAACACCATCCAAATCGGGATCCTTCCGGATTTTTTCCACGAGATCAAGTAGTGTGTGTTCAATGGCATCGGTATTGTTATTACTTTCTTCGACCATCATAGGTGCTAAATAACCTTGTGCACATGCAGTTGATGCTAATGCTTCTGCTGCCACATAGGGGATATCAAATTCAGCAGCATAGCCCATATGGATCAAAGGGTGGATCGCGGCTCCCACAAAACGAGGTAACATGTCGTCCTTAAAGATCCAGTATTGAACCGCTTTCTCAACACCAAGTTCATCAATCTCCTTTTTGAAAAATTCCAAGTAGCTTGGATACCAATCACGGTTGCCTAGATGCTCGCGGTAGTTGTCACGCGTCAACTCGACTACCTTTGAATGAGGAGGCAAAGGGCGTTGAAACGATGCATGTGCATCAAAGATTTCTTGAAGGCGTTCAGGTGTAGCACCAAGAGCATAAGCCGAAAGATATTGATGCACCATGTGGCTATGTAAAACATCGATAAATAAATAAACTGCAAAGAGTATAGTATGCTTACTTGTGGAATCCTGCTTTGTTGAAGAACATGTGATGCTCTTTGTGGTTCTTTTCAAGCATTGGGTGTCGTTGCTGTCCCTTGACAACTCCGGGTAATTGAATTTTCGAAACGCTGGGTGAAACAAACTTGTCAACAGCCATTGTAGTAGAGTAATGATGTGCTAGTTGATGATGAACAAGACTCTTCTTCTTGTTGTTGATCTGATGAAAAGGCGATTGACGTGGTTTGATTATTCTTATATATTGTGGCGAAGATAATGTGGATGTCGATCGACGGATAAATAAAGAACACATGTTTGGTATGGGGATATATGGAGTGGGTGAATGCGTGCAGAAAGAAGAGTGGTGGGAAACCGAGAACTTTTATGCATAAGAATGTCGGCCATTGGCTGCCGAGATTGCTGACAAAGACAGTCATTACACTATCTCAATGGTTGGCTGTCATTGGTTCTTTGTTACACTTTGCTTTTGTGAATCTCGGAATGGTATCAGCATATGTCAATGCCACGTAAATCGTATGCATATTGCTCTATCAAAAGGGGAAATTGATGATGGTGAGAAGGGGTTACCTTATGGCCACAGCCTCGACTTGCAAGATGACTAATCCCACCCATCCAATCTTTGATCAAGGGGTTGAGGTAAGCTGGGCTCTGCATAGAGCAAAACGAGCCAATCACGCTTGAAGCTGACGTCTTAATAATCTCATTGTTCATCATTGTATAGGATAATGGATAACAAACAAGGCGTGGGAGTCATTGTTTTTACTTGTAAAGTGTCGGCTAATGTAAAAAAAGTAACGTGTCGAGCTAGCTAGCATGATGGCTTTAACACTCAGTTGCCAACCAAATATTTTCTCTTCTTCCTTTCACTGCCGTTGCCAGGCTTCAACCTTTATGCGTCCCGACGAGCACAAAGCAAAGGAATCACGGCGATACCAAGCACGTAAAAAGAACCAAGGCGATGCTACAGCAGCTCAAGTAGCAGAACGACGACGACAAGCAGCCAAAGCGCGTGACAGTGGCAACAGCATTGCAGCCATTCGACGACGTAATGGTGAATTGCCTTCCTTACAGCAGCAGCGTGAATCAGCCGAAGCAATAGCAAAAGCACGTTCGAGCAAGTTTTCTAAAAGGAAGATTGTCAGCAATCGTGATCGCTACAAGGAGATATCAGTGCAAGGTTAATACCACGTTACGAGTACCAAGAACTTGTATATTGACTGCATATGACACCCATAGAGCAACTTGAACAGGATGCCGAGTTGGGTATTGATCGTGAAACAACCGATTTAGTGTCCATGTTGGAGAAGACAGGCAAGTCAAATGGAATGAGGCATTGACGTTGTTGATATTAACGTAGTGAAATAGACGACACTGTATCTGGATCCACGTACTTCAAGTTTAAGGATGAGCAAGAAGAATTGCCAAAGCAAGACCGTTCCTTGTTCCGAATTGATTTTGATGCGTTCGAAGGTGTATTAAGCCAAGGCGATTGCAAAGCTATTTTGGATCTCTCGGAGGAAGATGTCGATCTGGTAAGGATGCAGCTCTAAAGTGAGAAAGGGGAGGGCTCAATCATTAACCTGGTGCATGACCTTTGTTAGATTGATGCAGCCTTCGATCAACAACCTATGATGCCACCAAAACCACTTGTGCCTGCATTTGTCAAGACCAGCTCGGGTACTGTTCTCTTTAGCAAGCAACAAGTCATACCAGAAAAGAAGGAACAAGAAGATGGTATCTATGTAAGGAATGATCCTTCAAAGCGCACAGCAGCAGCTGCGCCGAAACCTATGGCAACAACAAAAGCGAATGGTAAGCGTTGTCATTTGACTAGCAGGAAACAAAAATATTGACATACACGTGAACGGCAGATGATGATGGTCTTGATGAGTTGTTGGCTATGACCGGTAAGTATGACAAGTGACATTGGGATAATGATATGACGAATATTGACATCACATTGCATTAGAGAATGGCAAGGAAAAGGAAGAGAGCAAGTCATCGTCATCAGCAATCCGCGAGGCAACTTCATCATCATCGCCATCTCGGATAAGCCTTCCCCGACCTGGATCTATACCCAAGAGTTTACCACGACCAAGTAAAGGCAACACAAAGGCAACACAAAAACCAACATCAAAGGTAGCTGATGAAGATGAAGCTTGGTTGGACGACATGTTGGGATGATCTGGACCATCATCATGCCATATACAGGCAAGCCGTGCAAGGAATGATGAACAACAATGGACGTGCATTTGTGAACCTATGTATAAACATCCCATATATGGAGAGTGCACGGGAGTGGCGAACCCAGGGGATATGTATGATAAGGTCATGGGTGAGATACCCGTTAAAAAGTCTCTGTATAATAAATAACAACCTCTTTCAAGCGTTCTTTTCCTTCCTTTCCCCCCTTTTAATAATCACTGGGAGCTTTAATGGATTCAACACTGGGTAATGAAGGTTGTATTCGTGCACAGTGTATTGGTTGCCGTGTACGTTGGCCTCGCTTCTTTTCGTATTTGATATGGCGATACAAACAATGGCAATGGCTATCGCGTGTACCTTTGGTGTGGTGCTTTCGTAACAAGGAACAACAATGGCAACCATTTGAAATGAAAAATCAAGCCATTCTTTGGCAATCTTATAATGAACCACAGCATCCTTATTACAGCCATGAATGCCATATACGTGATCGAGCGATTGCATCTGGAAGGGAAGTGGTCCGTGTAGTTGTACAAGAGCATGTGGCGTTTAGTATGCACCCAGATTGGTCGGAACCCATTGTATATGAAGTCCAACTGTGTCATGCACCTCCACGAAGGCATCGACCCATTCGTAAATTTTGGAAATGGCGGAACCATGGAAACGGAGCCAAGATAAAAGACGAGGCACTACTTGCAGAAGAACAGCATCCATCAGGAAAATGATATACCACATCATCCACATGCCATCATTTCATCATTCACCCACACAACCAATGCATTCACTTTATTAAAGTTATTTTGAAAATGAGGAAAAAGAATAAATAAAAACAGGGACATCTATTCTTTGTTGACGACGATGACCTTTGATCATGCCGTTCACGAGTTAAGAATGCTGTTTGGTTGTCTATCGCTTAGGTTGCCATGGTGATGGTTTTGAGTGGTTGTTGACGCAAGTATTTCGTCTCAGCAGCTCTCTTTTGTAAGTGACTGACATGGTGTGGTAAATAGCAAAAGCCTAAATTTCGCGCTGACCTCGTCGTCACAATTTTGACAAGCCCAAACTACGCTGTTACAAAGACGAGTCGACGTTTTCAATAGACAAGGGGGATCAACACTGTGGAATACATTGCCAGTTAAAGCGCACGCACACTCGACGTTCCATTCCTCCCGTATACCATCGACCTTACATTATTCTTACTCGATCCCCCTCACCTCCCTACTCTTTTTTCTTTTTTTCTTCAACACGCACACGAGAAGCTACACACATTGGCAGCGTTTACATGTCGACCACTCGCTTCTCTCGCGTACTATGGCCAAGACAAGGAGCTACCATTCCTCTCATGTTGGACCTGGCTGGTACCCATTCGCAACGCCATGGGCTTCGATCGGTCAAGGCAGTATCGATGCATCGCTTTGTTTTCTCTTCTCGACCCCATTCACTCTTTGTGTCAACAGCTGCGACTGCTGCCCAAGTGAGCGACCACGTATACAGCAACAACAACAACAATCGAGTCGATAGCAACACTATACGAAAGCGTCAAAAGGGAGGGCGTAGACGACATGGAGCTCGTGATGAACCATCATCATCATCTATATCCAATGCCAACACCAGTGAATTGAAGCGACGATTATCCACGTTACGAGTGAGCACAGCAACCGATGATGACGTACAATCGATATGGCAACTGTATATCAACGAGTATGAATCGACAACACTTCCGCCGGTTCTTCAAACCATGTTGTATCGCCTAGTGGGAACCAAAGGAAGCAATGGCATGATGGAGACCCTCTTTAAGCAATCACCACCACAAAGCGTTGAAGCCATGGAATGGGTTATTTTGGTACACGTGAAAGCCAACCGACCGAGATATGCCCATCGATTGTTAAAAGACATGTATGCTGCTGGCCAGATACCAACATCCAACACATTCAGACACCTCATCAAGTATAATGCCAAAGGATTCTCCAAACCCAATCGACGAAGGATGGCTGAAAAGTTGTTGAATGATATGCTCAATCTTGGCGTGACGCCTGGTACAAGTATATGGATGGAATTACTGATGGGACAAGCGGTTCATGGTTTGCCATTAACGTACCTGGATCCTTTTTTGGCGGCGGTCGCTGATTCAAAACGTGGAGCACACAGGATCAACAAAGTAGTACAACTATTGGCAGGTCATGGACATCCAGCATTGTTGGCGGTGGTGGAACGTACTCAGGACTCAATAGATGTGGATACGTGGAACATGGCGATCAAGTACAGTGTGTTTGCAGGCAACATGATCACAGCAGAGTCATTGTTCAATACAATGCCCCATCGCAATCCTACTTCCTTTCATACCCTTTTGCGTGGATACCTCGAACATCGTGCTATCGATCCTGCCATCCGCATCTTTCGCTCCATGATTGAACAAGGCATCTCCATTGAACCTGATGTTTATGACGCTTTTATTATGGCCTACACGGATACTTCAAACCATCATCACACTACACCATCAGCATCATCATCATCATCATCACCACCATCATCATCATCAACCACACAAGAAGAAGAGGACAATATAGAATTACGGATAGAGACATTACGGCGATTATGGCGATCGATGCGTGATCGTGATCATGTGCCTGACGATGTACTTTCAAGGATGTTTGAATTCTATTTACGACACGATGCACTGGCAGATGCAGAGCAATTGTATTGGGATCTAAGAGAACATCATGATCGTCGCCGATTTGGTCGAAAAACAGAAGGATGGGTGTCCAATATGATTATGGCATTTGCTGGAAAACGACAACTGTTATCGGCCATTTCACTGACGTATGATTGGATCGGCCTTGGATACGCACCCAACAGCAAAGCGATCATCAAACTCATCAAGGCATGTCACAAATGCAATGATCTCGCTGCAGCCAAGCAATTGTTAAATATCATGGAAGAGGTGTCCGATCGACCTGTTAGCCGTTCTTGCTATGTAGCGTTAGAAAAAGCGTACAAGAAAAAGAAAAAGTCTTGATAAACTATTCCCTACTCCATATATTATTACATCTCTTTATTGTGGGCCCTATTATGAGGAGTATTGGATTACATAGGAGGAGTGTGTCGTCTACGCTGGGAAAGTTGGGCAACGTATAAACTGGGTGGATTGACCTTGGTATCAGGATGCTCTTCCCAAGCCCATGGATGCTGTGGCATACGTGCTTTGGCTCGTTTTGAGGAGCTGCCAACTATAAGATCGTAAATAGATAAGTCAGCTATACATTGCAACTCGTCAAATTGATAACTTACTAAGGAAGTTGTGACCTACGGGTGGCTTTTGAACAATCATACCAGCATGGGCAACCGTATTCCAGACAACGCTATGCGCCCCTGACCATCCATGGCCTGATCCAGCATCAAATCTATCTTGAATGATCATTTGTCCTTCGATGTTGCAATCTATGAAAAAGCATGATGTAAGACAATGATCCATACTTCTTATCAAGATGATGACTTACTATCATACAATTGTCCTGATGCTACAATGCAAAAAAAAGACATTGTGAGCTCACACGTGACCACAAGTCTTTATAATAGAAATCACTTACACCATTTCATATGTGGACCAACATCACCATTTCTTGCAACACAATCGCTTTGATACACCACGTTAGGACCCGGCACCCGACCCTTGTAAGAGTAGGCATGAAAGCTGTACTCGACGTGGCAATGTTCAATGAGGATAAGTTGTCCCGATATCTCAAAGGCAAATTGGCCGACCAGCGGCATAGGTTTCTTTGGATCATTGGAAGGAGGTTGTGGAAATGTGTGATGACATTGCTATCAAAGCCATGTTAATCTTCTAATTGAGTTCCTTGAATAATAACTTACATGCATGGTTACTGCTACAGTATTAGTGCCAAGACGTGCATAATTGCGCCACCATACGGATCGCACTTGTCGAATCCAACAATTCTCTGCATGATCCATAGCCACCATGAGGTGATCAAACATCTCATCTGCAAAGCGATAATCCTTGACCTTTTTGTTCTTTGGTTGTGAAGCTGTGATGGCGTCTGGTCCTCGATCCCGGTTGGCGGGAAATCGACATTCGAAGTATTCGAGACCCACATGGTGCACACGACGATTATCATATTTCTCCACAAATCCACCACCGAATTCTTTGGATAAGCTTGTTGTGAGAGGTGCATTGAGGGTGATGACATCGTTATCGACTCGAATGACACGACGATGATGTTCAAAACGACCTGGTTTCCATCCATTGTTCTTGGCGGTGTTCCCTTTGGGATGAATCACATCCATGCCAATAGCCTTGATGAAAGTGTCATTGAATGCCACGCCCACCAATACAGAGTCACCAACATTGAATCTTCCCTTGTCGCGAACACGTAGCTGATATGCACCTGCAGGCACATAATCATCCACCACTGGTACACGTTTCTTGGCCATGACATTGGGTTCTCCTTGAATCTTGAAAATGTGTGGTGTGTTAAGTGGATCCGTTGTCGCTTCCAAAACAGTGCCACCTTGAGGATCGCCTTGTAGTACAATGCCGGATGCATTTATCTCAATTGGGTGTCCAAGACGATAGGTACCTGGATTCAACCGCACAGCACCACGAAATCCAGTTCCCTGATCCATAGGCATCGTTGCCACATCATTGATAGCATCTTGAATACGCGTAGCATCGTCGTCGTTGTCGTTGCCAGGATTCGGATCCAGGATACGAGCCACTTTGACGTTGTCGGGTAAAGGTGTCCATCCTTCATTGTATCCAGCACTCGAAAAGTCAATAATCCTATCGCCCTTCTCGGTATATGGCCTGTATACGAGGTTGCCATCAGGTGCAGGATATACCAAGGACGAGAATGGTGCATTGTTAAAGTACTGTGGAATGGGTGCACTCGTTGTTGGTTGTGCTGCTACTGGTGGGTTGTAATGCATAGGTTGCTGCTGATGCACATTCGAAGAAGAAGAAGACGCATTGTGATTCTGCGCATTGACGGCAAGTTGTTCTAGGGCGCCAACTGTGGTTCGTAGAAATCGCTCGAAGCCTCCCATAATAGTGCCAGGAAAAGGTAGGTGAAAGAGATAGCAGTATATTCAGGCTAGTGTGCTGCAAATGACACTTTTCCCAAAATAGCAGCGCTTTGATTGATATCCGACCCGGGTGATGGATGCACAACAAGGTTGCATAAAGCTTGTACTAGCTCGATTTCTCGTTGAACAGCTTCGGTTTGTGCTATGATCTTACAACGCTTATATGCCATAGTATTATCAACGTTAATAGAAAATTACATCCTTCGCTTGACATCCATGTCTACAATAAAGACTACCTCTCCTCTAATAATAGTGACCAATCATGGTGGGAAAGTTCATCGAAGCGAATAAGAAATGAGCTTAACATCGATGGCAAAGGATACATCTAATTCATGGGATAGGAAGCTATGTATATCACCCACATGGCAGAGAAGATTTACACGTATTATGCTTATCGATGAACGTGATGACCCAAATAACGTCTTTGTTCAAATTGAGCACATTTTTGATAGCAGCTGGATGTCATTGTTTGATGATGGTCATTGATACCTTGATTGCATATCCAAATGAACAATAACCACACACTACGAAGGCTCGTAAGATATGAAGGCTCTCCACCAATTCATCAGCTCTTCACCATTCCCAACAATATTTATCACTCTTTCCTGCTTTTTTGTAATGATAGAAAATACCCACGCCCATCGTGCAGATATAAACAAGATGGATGTTGTCGCCCATCGCTTCGCCGCCGCCCATCTCTTCCTTCAATCATACATACCACTCTTCTCATTGCTGACAGCTCCAAAACCCAAAATCGATGTGAGTATATGCCATGGTGGATGACCTTGTAAACGATCCATGTATTCATACCCGTTATTATCTTTAGCGTTTCATTGTCATCCCATTTTGATTGTCATTGTGATGCTTGGCTCTTTTATTGAGGTAAAGCCTAATCAGCTTGCTTGATAGATCACATACTCATATACTCTTTTGATGTAGCTACCTCCAGAATGTCTCTGCAGAGTTGAGTTGGGTCGCATACCACTAATTCACGGCTGCTGTATCCCCTCTCTTGTTGCTCTTTTACCGATCATCTCGGGAAGCACCTGGGTTTTTATATATTCCCTTGGTATTGTATCCAATGTCAACATGCCCATTATGCTTCTTGTAATCATGCTGAATGTTTTGAGTCATATCATAGCACATCCAATACCCTACTTTACATCCCTACTTAATGGCCATTCTTTGTGCAACAATGTACAACCATGATCCAGCTGCATAATCTGATACACCAACACCCACTTTATTCTCTTTGTAAACTCCCAGCTTCTTCTTCTTCTTTTCTCTCCTACATTTGTGCAGCCTACGAATTCCAATTCTTGTCCCATTCAACTACCAGCTGTCTCTTGCGAACAATTGTCGTCATTCAACCCATCTCGTCGAGCCTACAATTGTCTTGATCCGAAAGTCGTTGACCCAATGGCAATTCCAGGGCGCGTACACTCTCTGCCTTCCTTGACACTCCCCAAGGTCTTTGCGTCGTTGTCTCAATAGCTTGTTTACCTCCCGCAACGTGAACAGCAGGTGTCATTGTTTGGTGTACCACCATGGATGGACATGCTCTCAAGTCATGGTAAGCACATTCAAGGAGGCACTCATATCACTCGATTCATTCATATTGACAACAGCCACTATACATCCAAGGTTTTTCATTATTGTATCAGCGGAAGCAGCTTGACGTTACATCATCCGACGACAAAGCGATTAGCAACAATGCTGGCGTTCACGAGCTGGGAGAAAACTCTCCGTGTTGGACAAGGACATTCTTGGTGTATCGACACCCGACGTCTTGTACGTGGACTACGTAGCCTGTTGTATGGAGCGCGCAAGATGCTCACATGGAAAGTGAAAGTGAGTATTGATCATTGATCGTTGCATCCATGAAGCTTTGTGTTTCACTACCTACTTTAATTAACGGCATTTGCATAGACGAACGTGTCCAATGTAGCTGATCATGTCCACACGGGAAGTTGAAAATGGTGAGTTTATATCATTAGTGTTTTGGCTACTTTCATTAACGACGTTCATACATAGTGAATGACTCCAATGCAATGCGTGCATTCACAAGAAGCTGAAGGAGGGTGAGTCTATACCATGCATTGGTGCCTTGACTACTTTTATTAACGACATTCACGTAGGCAAATGTGTCCGGTGCACGCCTTGTCCCCACGGCAAGATCAAGAAGGGTGAATCCATATCATTTGTACTTTGACTACTTCTACCAACGACATTCACATACGCAAAGGTGTACGTACAATGCAAACCATGTCCCCATGGCAAAGTAAATGGGTGAGTTTATATCATTGGGGCTTTGACTACAGTACTTTTATTAACGGCATCCACGTAGGCAAAGGTCTCCAACGCAATCAATCCCCATATAAAAAGCTGGGGAAGGGTGAGTCTATATCTTCATTGGTGCCGTAACTACTTTTATAACGACGTTCACATAGGCAAATGTGTCCGATGCACTCCTTGTCCTCACGGCATGGTCAAGAAGGGTGAGTCTATGTCATTGGTACTTTGACTACCTCTGCTAACGACATTAACATAGGCAAAGATGTACAATGCAACGGATGTCCCCACGGCAAACTTAAGAAAGGTGAGTCTATATGATTGGTGCTTTTTTGACCACTCTTCTAACGGCATTCACATAGGCGGAAAGGAGTACAATGTAATGGATACCCGCATGGCGTGGCAAATGGGTGAGCCTCTATATCATTGGTGTTTTGACTACTTCTACCAACGACATTCACATAGGCAATCTTGTAGAATTCAGCGGATGTCCCCACGGAAAGCGAAATGGGTGAGTCTATATCATTGATGGCTTCATGAGTACCTTTATTAACGACATCCACATAGAAAAATGTGCCCAATGCAAACCATGTCCCCATGGAAGGCTAAAGAAGGCGAGTCCATGTCATTGGTGCTTTGGCTACTTTTATTAACCACATCCATACATAGGCAAAGGTGTACAATGCAACGGATACGAACATGCCAAGGTAAACGGGTGAGTTAATATCATTGGCGTTTTGACTACTTTTATTAACGACATTCACATAGGCGAACGTGTCCAATGTAGCTGATCATGTCCTCATGGGAAGTTGAAAAAGGGTGAGTCTATATCATTAGTGCTTTGGCAACTTTCACTAACGACATTCATACATAGGTGAATGGCTCCAATGCAATGCGTGCATCCACAAGAAGCTTAAAGAGGGTGAGTCTATATCATGCATTGGTGCCTTGACTACTTTTATAACGACATTCACGTAGGCAAATGTGTCCAATGCGTCCTTGTCACACGACAATCTAAACAAGGGTGAGTCTATATCATTGGCGCTTTGACTACTTCTACCAACGACATTCACATACGCAAAGGTGTACGTACAATGCAAACCATGTCCCCACGGCAAGGTAAATGGGTTAGTTTATATCATTGGTGCTTTGACTACAGTACTTTTATTAACGGCATCCACGTAGGCAAAGTCTCCAATGCAATACATGCCCGCATAACAAGCTGGAGAAGGGTGAGTCTATGTCTTCATCGGTGCTTTGACCACTTTTATAACGACGTTCACATAGGCAAATGTGTCCGATGCACTCCTTGCCCTCACGGCATGGTCAAGAAGGGTGAGTCTATGTCATTGGTACTTTGACTACCTCTGCTAACGACATTCACATAAGCAAGGTCTCCAATGCAACGATGGGAAGCTAAATGAGTGAGTCCATATCAATGGTACTTTGACTACTTTTATTAACGACATTCAAATAGGCAAATGTGTCCGATGCAAATCATGTCCCCATGGAAAGCGAAATGGGTGAGTTTTATATCATTGATGGGGTTTCCTTAGTATTTCTATCGAACAACATGCGATTAACACAATGATAGAAGCAATTGTCATTTGACAGAAGGGCTTTCAAGAGGAGATACCAACAACGATTCGCCGTGGACCAAGAACACTTACCTCGCTATCACATTGAGTATCCACCATCTTGGGTTGTGCTACCATCGGTCACCAAATCGCGTACAAAGAAAAGCGTTTGTCATTGGGTGCGAAACATGATCATCCTTCAGCAACCATGCAGCCCCACCATCTGATCAAAAGACTTGTTCCACTTTCAAGATCCATCCTCAACGCGTCTCTCTTCCTTGTTATATCACTTCCCTCATACATGTATATTTTTATTCATTTACATATTGCACATGTTTATACCATCATAAAGAATCATAGGTAGCAAAAATGTTATTGGTATTGGCATGTGAGAAGTCTAATTTCGAGTATCAATTGCTTGGGCGTGACCAAATGATGATTGCTGCGTCGATCCATATGTGTATAAATAGATACAACTTCTTGTAAAACCTCACGAGGATCGATTGTGTAAGCAGTCAAAAGCGGGCGGAAGATTCCTGCGGGATGAAGCAAATGCTTTTGACATTGCTATTTTCAGCTTGAACTCTATTTTCGTGCAGCAGGTCATCTTAAAGCCATCCGATGAACATTTCACCTCCCTCTTTACTTTTCCTTTTCCTTTCCCCATCCACATTGCACCAATGTCATCTATAGAGCCCACTGAAGATCCAGTAACAACTAGTGCCGCTGATGACAATGAGCCTATCCCAACCACGAGCGAAGAATCAGACACAGCATCATCATCTCCTCCTGAAACATCATCGAACGATGATAATACCCCTTCACAAACTTCTTCAGAAGAGCAACCACCCACACCAACAGAGTCTGATTCAACGACCACCTCAGAGTGAGTGATTATTGATATCCTTCAAAATGGAGTACAATCTCATATAGAAAGGATGACATAGGCCATCGGATTCATCACCACCTCCTGAAAGCACAACCGAAGAATCATCACAACCACCGCCATCTGACACAACAAGCGATTCACCACCGCCATCATCATCATCAATATCAGAAACAACGTCTGAAGCCCCATCTTCTACTACTACTGATCCAGGAGAAAGTAGTACAACACAGCCACCTCAAACAAGCGACATCACAACACCTCCTCCAGAAACGACATCATCATCGCCATCAGAGCCAAGTGACCAAAGCAGTGATCCACCCGAACAAACATCAACCAGTGCAACGCCACCACCATCAACAACCGATGCAGTATCCCATGATCCCACGCCAACTAACAAGCAACATACCACGTGGATTACAATATCCACCAGCATCACGACGGTGTCCCAGATTGTTGATAATGGAGGTGTTACTCGTACAGTGACGACAGTGATTCCAACCACGTATGTTGTTGTAGTAGTATTGGATCGGAGATGGATTACTTATGCAAGCATGTGGGGGCTCATACTTTTTGTTGTACTGTATAGAACGGTTGTTCCCTCTTTGGCAGGTGGAGATATGCAAGGGGATGATAGTAATGGTAGCGGCAGTAAAGTGAACACTGGAGTCGTTGTCGGCAGCGTTATTGGTGGCGTAGTCTTTTTAGCCATTGTGGTAGCATCAGCGGTCTATTTTGTAAGGCGAAAACGACGTTCTGGAATATTATTACAACGCAATGGTGGTGGAAGAAGGAGTCGACAAATGGATGACGATGATGAAGATGATGATTTTTATCAAGATCCATATCATCATAATACGCGTTTCCAACCTGGTGGATTCCCTGGCACAGGAGAAGATATGGGATTTTCATACAAGGAAACGAATAGCAGTCGATCTTCATGGTGGTCTAGTTTATTACGTAGATCTGTATAGAGATGTACATCTATCACATTGGGTATAAAAAGACATGCTATGTATGTAGAACCCAAAAGAGAAAATGCCAAGGCTACATACATAATAGATGATGGGGGTTGGGTGGGGTGGGTGTTGTATGTGAAGGTAGTGTCTCCGAAACAAGGATCGACAAAAAAGTCCCGGGCCACACGAGTGCACGCGCCTTTGCCTTTAATTTTTCTTTTCCTCTTGTCAACTTGCTCTTGTTGGTTGGGCATTTCGCTTCTTCAACTCAATGGGCTCACCTTCTTCGCCGCCCTCTAAAACGAATGAGCAGCAACCGATATACTCCACTTCACCACAATCCATTCGTCACGAGTCACCAGCTTCATTCGGTCAACTTTTTGACAGGCATGGCATTTCACCTTCATTGACAAGCGAGATCGATGTTGTGCTTGATGACGGAAGTCTTCAGCGACGACGTGTCTCATTGACAAGCTTGACTGAAGGAGCAGCTGCAGCAACAAGGTAAATAGGGTTGGGTTGGGGGATGTGGCTGGGTGGTAGTGCATGTTGCAACGTTACACGCATCACAATGGAAACTCATGCATGTGGGGGATTACAACAGCGCCTCATCAGCGACTGACACGACTCCACTCCTCCTGCATAATAAGCATCCCACGTATATGGATCAAAGCCGTTCTCCAGCACCCTCGACGACATCCTCCTCCTCTTCAACTGATGACGACGATGATGATGACGACGATGATGATAGCAGCAGCGAAGATGATGATGGTCATAGCATCTATTCCACCTTGTTCTCTTTCAAATGGTTGACTTGGTGCCGGCAACATTGTATACCCAACGTTAAACAGCAACGTGTACTCAAATGCAGCTTTGCGTACTTCCTTGCTTCTCTTTTCACCTTTGTCCCAGCACTCAATGCAGCTATCGGTTACAATCGCACATCAAGCCATCTTGTCGCTACGGCAACGGTCTTTTTCAATCCTGCAAAAACACTCGGTGGCATGATTGAAGCAGCTGCGTATGGTTGGGGCTACGTCTTTTTCGCTCTCACCATCTCATTGGGTTCCATGGTTACCACCGATTTCTTTGTGGATCGCAACTTGTATCGCACAGCACATGCCATCTCGTTGATGTTTTGGTTAGCCGGCGCCACTTGGATCATTGCATTTTTCAAAGCCTATTGGAACAAGCCCCCTGTGGCAACAGGTAATCATCAATTTGCTCCTTTTTCACTTTAGCACTGCTGGACTCACATGTTGACTTCCGTTCATAGCATCAAGTCTTTGTTTCATTATCATCTTCATTGTTGTCGTGCGTGAAGGATCAGCCAATCGAGGTGATTTCGACACCACTCGTATCGAAGAAATCAGCTCAGCCGTTGCAATCGGCACCATCATTACCGTGCTATGTTGTATTATCTTTTGGCCAGTGTCAGCAGTGGGAAAGCTAAAGTAGGTATTGGATACATAAATAGATCATGTCACGTTTATTAACCCCATGTTCTAGAAAAGATATCGAATCAACCTTGATCTCCTATCGGACCTTATTGAAGCTATTGACCAAGACCTTCCTTTTGGATGATGATCTCCCCGAGTTTGAAGCCAACAGAGAACTTCATTCAGCAATCGAATCCCATCGTGCCAGTTTTACATCGTTGCAAAGCTCGTTGCATGAAGCCAAGCTGGAGATGTGTTTTCATAAAGGAGAGAGACAAGCTGAAAAGTATGATCAGATCATTGCATGTATGCATCGCCTTGCACAATACGTTGGTGGATTACGAAGTAGCTGTGGCATCCAATTTGAGCATATCAGCAACACAAAAACGAATCAGAAGGCCATGTCTGCCAGCTTGCATCAATCCAACAAACGATCACGCAGTGTGGATGGTGGCATTTGGAATGTTCGAGCAGGATACCATTTGCGTAAGCTGCAGGATGAGATACGCCGCCAAAAGACCATGATATTGGATGACAGGGATTCCAAGAGAAGAAGATCAGATGATGAAGGATTGGAAACGAGGCGATCATCCATTCGACGCCATCAGCAACAGCAACAACAAAAGGAGGGTGCCACGTTGATCAAGTTCATAAAGACCATTCGACAGCCTCTCAAATCACTGGCTTTTACATGCAAACGCACCATATCGCAATTGCAAGAAGACTTTGGTACAACTCCACCTGCACATCAAACCATCCCACGTTGGAAGCTCAAAAACAACCTCAACAAGGCAATGGAGCTATTTGAAGTGGCGGAGCATAAGGCTGTGGCACGACTGTATCGCCATCGCAACCACTCGTCGTCTAGCAACGCGGATGAAGAAGCATCGACTTATGTGCCTGCAGAGGATGTTTTGCTCGTGTACTTGTTTCTCTTCAACATGCTTGAATTCGCTCGTGAATTGATGCAGCTGGTGGATGCTGTGGATCAATTGTCACGTGTCGAAGAAATACAATCCTCATCGGCTGGTTGCTGTCATGGGTGGTCACTTTATTGGTTTTGGCCCAAAAAGGAGAAAAAGAACGCGCACATAGCTGAAATGATTCCTAATGAACGCAACACGGCTGAGACGCTTCACACTCGTACACCTAAAACACCATGGCAACAATTTCTATGGCGGATTTGGAAGTTTACTCAATTGCTCAAGCAACAAAAGTTTCGTTATGCTACTAAAGCTATGGTGGCAGCTGTATTGTTGGCAACACCTGCTTTTATGGAATCCACTGGCGACTGGTTTAGAGAATGGCGAATGGAATGGGCCCTTATTACAGTAAGTATACATCGCTTGACGTATGCATGTTCCTTGTTCTTATATGGTACTTGCTATTAGCTTATGGTCGTCATGACACCAACAGTGGGAGGCACCAATATCGTGGCAATCTATCGCATATTTTCGACCATTTTGGGCGTTTCAGCTGCAGCTTTGTTTTACAGCTTGTTCCCTGCCAACATGTACATCCTACCAATACTCACGTGGCTATTCTCGATACCGAATTTTTGGGTGATCCTCAACCACAAGCATGGCAAATTTGGTCAATTCACATTACTAGCTTACAACCTGGTGATGCTCAACAAGTACAATGATCGTGAGACAAATCGAGTGGACGTTTGGTGGTTAGCCCTGCAAAGATTTCTTGCCATTGTGGTCGGCGTAGTGGTTGGGTTGTTTGCGACAGGCTATGTATGGCCATTTGAGGCACGTGTCGAATTGCGCAAAGGGCTATCCGATCTCTTGATCCGATTAGCATGGGTGTATCGCAAGCTTGTATCAACATACGCCAACCACAGTGACATTATTGTCATTCCTTCCGACGCTGATGGGCACGGACCAACACACGAAGAGATTAAGGAGTTAGCAGCCCAATCATTTATGGATCTCGAGCTTGATATTCAACGCACACTCACTGAATTGGGCGTATTATTGTCACAAGCACCCAACGAATTTCGACTCAAGGGACCTTTTCCTGTTGATACATATCGCTTGATGTTACGATCCTGCAGGAACATTACCGACAAGTTCATGGCAATGCGGACTGTTATTTTTAAAGATGCATGGATCGAAAATGTACATCATAGCCTTGTGCTTCCAGTGAGCCGTGAACGGCGTGAAATGGCTGGCAACATTCTCTTGTACTTTTATCTACTCGCATCGGCATTAAGATTGAAGACGCCTCTCCCGCCACAATTTCCCCCAGCTCATAGTGCATGGAAATCGCTTCTTACACGGATGAGACAGCTACCCATTGGACAATCACAACAGCTATTGGATATGGATCATGTGTATATGTTTTACTATGGTAAGTGGGTTCTTTTTCATCTATGACACGATGTGATCTAACATGATCTCTTGGATAGCGTACATCATGATGATGGAGGACGTGATTCGTGAATTGGACAAGGTAACATCATTCTTTCTTTGTGGAAGCATCATTTTCTCACGGTGGTTTTTTTCTTTATAGCTTGGCGATAACATGAAGGAATTGTTTGGCGAATTGATACCACAGAGCCAATGGAATGAAATGTTTGATACAGTATAATGAATGTAGTATATTGACAACTTGTACATATATATAACATTTTTACTGCGAAGATGAACGAACGAATTCCTCCAACTTTTGAGCATCGGCACAATCCTCTTCGACAAGAGCAGCGCCAGGTCCCTCCTATAAACACACACATGCACAAATAAATGATTAAGTAAATCCTACTATCGGCTCTTTGATTATGATCCTACTACCTTGGTCCAGCGGAAAAGAGTGGGGATGGCAGACAAATTGAAACGGGTACGATAAGGATGCGAGGCGTTTCCTTTCCAGTCTTCACGATGACCCACAGGTGCTTCAAGCAAAAGGGCATTTTGAGGAGCATGAGTGAGAATGGCCTTTCGGATCAAGGGATCGGCAACCACGCAATCAGGGCACCAAGATTCGTTAGTCTCTGGTTTCTCGGTACCAAAGAAAACGACATAGACAGGGCTATGAGACTCAAGTCCCTCTTTCAATGCAGCATCAAAATTCTCAAGAGTAGCACGGACAGCTTTCATAGTTGAAAAGAAAACAATAAAGAAAAAAAGTAGTGCATAACCAACCACCACTCGTTCACCCCACTTGAACCTTCTCAGGAACCCCCGACGACCGGGAAATGTTTAGCCCCACCTGATATGGTGAAATACATTGAGAAGTGATGTGATGCTATTATTGTTGCAAGAGGAGGTTTATTGGTCAATGAAGTTATACGAGCATTGATGTACGATATTCATAAGGGAAGCTTACTAATCATGTTGTCATGGAACGAGCAGCTGACATATCTATACAAGCATCCTGCACATACCTCATCTTCGTACGTTGATCCCTTGGTTGTCTTGCCGACCACTTAATGTGGTATCCCAAAGGTCTTATTTTTTTTACTTGACTTCGTCCACTGATAGCATCCATGTCCAAAGCTATCATTCCTACAATCATCATCCATCATCTTGATCGAGCTACTGCTAGTGGTAGACGTCGCTAGTGAACATGTCACCCTTCGTACGTAGGTCATTGATAGGTGAACAAGATTATCCATATCAATTAAACGACTTGCTGCATTGTGTACTCGAGGTTCCATAAAAAAGTGTGGGGTTGATCCTGAACGGGGTGCTGCCTGTTGCTTATGTATAGCATTGTTTACAGTGTAACTGGTCTATTGTTGTTATCAAGATGCTTTGGTTGTCCTACAATGTCATTTCTTTGAAGCGTGGTTGGTTCACTGGTGTTAAAAAGTGATAAAAGGATAATTGTCATAGCAACGACAAAGAAATCATGGTGGCAAAGAGACGCAGTAGACATCACATGACTAATTTAATCGCCGTTTGAAAGAAATAAAGACGCGCCCGGAGAACGCGCAGCAGCCTTTTCTTTTTCTTTTGTTCTTTGTCTTTGCAGGCTCATTGTACCCTGTAGTGGATATATTGGTACCCGCCGCTTACGTTGCCGTTGTGAGTATCTTCACCATACATAGCGGGGTGCGACGGTTCCTTTAGCTCGCGGATGATTTGGCTCTGGGTGGTTTGACCGAAGGTGAAAGGACCTTGGGTTTCTGGTGGAAATCACTCGCAGCGTAAGAGAGGCGAACTCATGGTTGTATGGTGGTCCCCCTCCACTTGCAGCCTCCTCGTTTGACACATGTTGAAGGTGCCCCTTGTGGAGAGGAAGAGATGGATATGTGGCGGCCTTCACGCGGTCATCTCTGTAAGTACTTGGGTCTTTGGGCTTAAGGAAACCAACAGCCACATGCTAGTTTAGCTTTATTATCAATAAAAAAGAGATTGTTTTATAATAGCTTGTCTACTTTTCTTGCTACAAATGTCTATGGTGGTTGCGTTGTTGGACGATTGGGGCCTTGATCGTGAGCTGTGTACATTGATCGATCAATAGAAAGCTTTTGAAATGGGGTGTCCACGAGGTCAAGTCCTGGTAAAGACGTGTAAGCTAAAGTAGTTAATAGCTTTTAAAGATCTAGACGTCTACTATGAACAATAAAAGAGTGTAAAGTTGAAACATACTTGCTGCGTTGCCATGGAAGCCGAGTCGTGTTCGAATTGCGCGTGTTGTTGTTGCTTTTGGAATCAGGAGCGCTTGGGATCAAGAACGACGTTACCAATGGTCTTGGACTCCTTTGTTGGTTCTCTTGTCTTTGAATCGTAAGCGTTATGGCGTTGTGATTCGCAACTTGGGTTGCCTTGCAACGCGTCGTTTTCCTTCGTGATAGTATCTTAGTATGTAAACGGCCGCCTACGCATGCTTCCAGATATCACACATATTGTTGTGATCACAGCAAACACACCATTAGCTATTGCTTGAATGAATAAAACGACCCTAATTGTCGTTTCAGCGTGCAAACATTGATGATAGCGTTGATCCACTCACAGATGATAATTCTGCATCTCCTTGACAACGTGGTCCGTGCACCGGTTGGCTGACCTTCAACAGTAAATGAAGCACACAATGCACACGAATCATCCGCATGTGCAACATACCAATCATGTCTAACCTACTCACCCGATGCAGCAGCATCATTCACCATGACGTATTGATCCAAGTCGCTATGAATGACCTACCGTTGGATGGGTAACAACAACGTTACATCCACCTGTGGCCCGCTAATAAGTTGTTGGGATTATATTTTTGCATGAAAAAGATACTGGTAGCGTGTCTCAAATACAGGTACGCTTTGTACCCGCATTTCTTTTCTCATTCATAACTTCATTTGTGCCTGTACTTATGGGTACGTACTCGTGTCACATTTTATCATAGCTCACTCTTTGTTAAACGAAATGACTGGGCAAAGTTTACTGTAACAAGTACTATTGTTGGGTGCATCGCTAAGGGTTTATATCTTTTAAAATACAAACGTCTATTCAAACCTATGTACAATCCTGGGAATTGCCACGGCCTTCCATCGTCTATCAGCATATGAACAAGGAAGCTTCAATTACGAGTGTAATATGACATAGGAATAAAAGCGTCTCTATACAATGATGTGGGTGATCCAATATCGTTTTCTAGAAACCAACCAGTGGATCGCATAGAATCAGTGGGTATTGTTGTGTCATTGTATTCTTGGTTGCTGCCGTCATAACCATCTTCATCCATGATCGTAAAATAGCCACTGCATGCATTGACTTGCGTATACCAAGCCTTATCCATGTCATCCAATCCATCATCATCCTCAGCCGTATCCACATGACATGGTACATCCCTGCTGACAACGCGACAGGTAATCACCATGGTTCTCATTTGCAGCCATCCATCCACCATCACCATTCCAAATCCAACATGTTGGTACAAAAGTGCCCCAGAGATTATTGTTGATATGCTTCCTTCTCCATCCGGTCCTTGGTCTCTCTCTTTGTTGGTCGTTTGCCATCGCAGCTCAACCAGCTGGAGCTTGCTTATACTGATGGCTGATATGGTTTCATCAAAACCAGATACCACGACGCGTTGTGTATATCCAATTCCTTCCATCCCATATACCAAACCAATATTCAGATCCATATCCATATCCACAAGAAGTCGTATGTATTGAACAAAGTTCCTACGCGTAAATAAAGCTGCTTCTATACAATGGCTATCTGCTGTTCACGTAAACAAAGCCGTAAGACAAGTTGCTGCAAGTAAAGAACGCTGTTTGAGACAATGGAGTAAAGCCCTTGCTAATAGCAACTGCTGGAATGAATGCTGTTACGATTGGTCGTGGTAGAGGAGTGTGCAAGAGCGTGTGTCGTGTCAAGAGGCTCGTGTGTTGTAGATGAGGTGACAAGAGGGCTGTGTATACGCCATGGAACTTGCCATTCAGTCAAAGACAATCGGATCAAGACAATCGTAGGATTGACATGATGGGTTGAAGCAGGACAATAGTTCGCAGGTAGTAGTTGTACTTGAATGGGGCAACAGTTGAGAATGGGAGAAAGAGCAAGAAGCCGGAGTGGAAGAGCTGCAAATTAACTTGATTTTTCTGTTACTTGGATGATATTTCTGTGCTTGAGCGTTGTCCAGTCAAATCATCTCGGATCAAGAAAGTTGAAGGATGGAGATGATGGGCTGGTGCAGGGCAATCGTTCGTATGCATTGGATTGGGAAACAAAGGTGATTGGGAGGAATGGGCTGCTAGCTGGCAGTTTACATATAACTTACCAATTTGATTCTTCTGATATTGGATGATGTTTCTGTGTTTGAGCGTTTTTCAGTCAAATCTCATCGGATCAAGAAAGTTGAATGATGGGCATGCTGGGCTGGAGCAGGACAATCGTTCACATGCATTGGATTGGACAACAAAGGTGAATGGGAGGACTAAGGTTATTAGCTGGCATTTTGAACCATTCCTAAATAGTGTGCAAGAATCATGCATCGCCTGTGCTGAATCACTCAAGTTACACAAACACGCCCTCTGCATCTTTTGCTCTATGATAGTCATACTACTTTACATTAAACAAAGACCACTTCTCATATAGCATCACGCTTACAAACATAAAGGTGCCTGTATCTCCAAACTTTACAATGAAACGTGGGGTTTTTATTACAGCAATGGGCTCGGCTTGGCCAACAGCACCTTGTGTGAAAGTTTCACGATCAAGCTTGCCAATCCCAGATTTCGCAATGTCGCCACCAGCCAAACTGGATCTGGGGGTCGACCTCTTCGACGACGACGACCAAAAAATATTTTTTGGGCTAGTTGCGACATTGAACGTGAAAGTGATTGGGAGGAATGGGTTGCTAGCTGGCAGTTTACATATAACTTACCAATTTGATTCTTCTGATATTGGATGATGTTTCTGTGTTTGAGCGTTTTTCAGTCAAATCTCATCGGATCAAGAAAGTTGAATGATGGGCATGCTGGGCTGGAGCAGGACAATCGTTCACATGCATTGATTGGACAACAAAGGTGAATGGGAGGACTAAGGTTATTAGCTGGCATTTTGAACCATTCCTAAATAGTGTGCAAGAATCATGCATCGCCTGTGCTGAATCACTCAAGTTACACAAACACGTTCTCTGCATCTTTTGCTCTATGATAGTCATACTACTTACATCACGCTTACAAACATAAAATAAAATAAAACGTGACACAGCAATACGCTGGCTTGTTAGCACCTTGTGTGAAAGTTTCACGATCGCTTTAAGCCAATCCCAGATCATCGTCGCCACCAGCCAAACTGGATCTGGGTCGACTCTTCGACGACGACGACCAAAAAATATTTTTGCCAGTTGCGACATTGAACGTGAAACTTTCACACAAGGTGCTGTTGGCCAAGCCGAGCCCATTGCTCTAATAAAAACCCCACGTTTCATTGTAAAGTTTGGAGATACAGGCACCTTTATGTTTGCAAGCGTGGTGCTATATGAGAAGTGGTCTTTGTTTAATGTAAAGTAGCTAGACCCTGACAGAGCAAAAGATGCAGAGGGTCGTGTTGTGTAACACAGCTACGTTTGCATGACTGGAAGGTTCAATGGATGCTATCGTATGCATAGTTTAGGAACAGCCATGCATTGTCAGCTAATAGCCATTCCTCATAAACGGAGCTGTCGTGTATTGTAAGACATGGGAACGATGCTCCTGCTCCAGACATTCATTTCCATAATTCAATTGTCTTGATTCGAGCCAATTTGGTTGAGCTATGGTCAAAGAGCAATTACATCATCTGTACATCGACCATGCACTATTTAGCTCAGCTGATGGTTCTTGGTTTGGTCGTAGCTCAGTCAAATCAGCTCAAATCAAGGCAATTGAATCATGGAATTGAATGCCTGGAGCAGGAGAATTGTTCACGTGCCACACAATACACAACAGTGCCGGTTATGAGGAAATGGCTGTTAGCTGCCAATACACGGCTGTTCCTCAACAATGCATAAAGGTATCATACATTGACCTTCAGGTTATGATTTCCTGGCTCAGTCACACAAACACGCCCCTCTGCATCTTTGACTCTGTCAGGACCTAGCTGCACGATATTGAACAAAGGTCGCTTCCCATACAACATCACGTTTACAGCATACGTAAAACATAAAGAGCCCATATCTAAGAATTTTACAATCACGATACTGCATGGATATTTAATAGAACAAAGTTGCCGTCGAGGTGCAGGAAGCTTGTGTGCGAGCTTCACGATCGAGGTGGGCAATACGAGATTCGCATTCTCTGGATTTGTATTGGTTTGTACTTTGTAAGGAAGTGTACGAAACCCTGTGATAGACAACGCACCTACATGTGATGACTCCAGTCAAAAAGTGTAGTGCACCCTCAAGTGATACAAGTAGAGCCTCTAGCTGAAAGATGTAGGGTATCCAATTAATCCCAACCTCAATTCCCTTTTATCTTCAAGTGCATAGACAAAGTAATGGAACTAGTTTAATCACCAAGCGATAAGGAATCATGATTGATACATAAGGTTGTGGGCTACATTTATTACCAGAGCTATCCTTTGCAAGTAGGAAGAATAGACATGGGTGGAATAGAATGGGGTGATGCTAAATTCTTCGTGCGTGTGTGTGTGTAACACCGGATCCAATATCAGATCTTCTTGGGCTGGCTATTTCACAGCGCCGCTCTTCTCTTTTCGCTGTATCATGTTTGAGCTCATCACGACTGGTAATGACCTTCCCGCTATACGCTCGTTCGCTTGCATTTCGACCTTCGTTAACATTCAACAACAGTCTTCTTTTGGATTGGCGTGCTTGCGGTTGTCCCGTATGTGGCACTTGTTTTGTACGGTGCTTATGGATGCAAGGAACAAGACTTGAAGAAAAAGTATAACGCCCAATGGTAAGTTGGTTGTTAATTCGCGTCATGTCGTGTAATTTGGTGTGACGAATGTCGTATAAAAGGGCTCTCGTTACTGGTGGCTCCTCTGGTATTGGTGCTGGTCTCGTACGCAAGCTTGCAAGTCAAGGTCTCAATGTGGTGGTGGTTGCTTTGAATGATGCCTTGTTTGCCAAGTTTAAGGAGGACATTGTCAAGGAGTTCCCCAACCAGGAATTCCGTTTCGTGCCATGTGATTTGTCTGAAGCAACTGGCGAGACGTATCTTGAAGCTGTCAAGAAGGAGACCGATGATATCGATGTGCAAATCCTGTGCAACAATGCTGGTTTCATCACTACAGGCTGCTTTGCTGATACAGCTGTTAAGCGTAGCATGGCCAACTACCACACCAACGTCACCGCACCACTCGTCCTCACTCATCACTTTTTGAATCGCATGTTGGATAAGGGTCTTAAGGGTTTGGTTACTTTTACTTCAAGCAGTGCTGGATTCATTCCCAATCCCATGGGTGCTTTATATGGTAAGTTGAGGATGCATATGGAATGGATGAGGTGAAAAAGAAGTGATGGCTCACCATCATCATCATCGTATAGCTTCCACCAAGGACTTTTTGACTACCTTTGCTGCATCCATTGCTGCTGAACATGCTGAGGATGGTATCAACGTGTTGGTTGTGGTAAGTCATTGGGGACGGGGTGAGCACATTGGGTATTTGCATGTGAATGACTAACGATGATGTGTGTGTGTGTGTGTGTTTGTGTGTATGATAGCATCCCTCGCCTATCGATTCGAACTTTTACAGCAATGCTGGCAAGATGTCTGCTCTCACTTCGGCTCAAAAGATCTCCTCTCCTCCTTCAGTGGTTGCTGATGCTATTTGCCGTAACGCTGGCAAGGTGGTAGTCACGGATCAGGGTATCATTACTGTTTTGATGAAGATTGGTCTTACCAAGGTGTTGGATTGGAACGTGCTTACCGAACTTATGAAGATTGCTATTCCCTTCAATGGCGATTACAAGGCTATGAAGGTGCGTCGTGAGATCAAGCGCGATTAATATGACTCTAGTACTATCATTGTAATCCCCCCATTGTTTACTCTACTCTGTAATGAACAAGTTTATTATAAGGATATCAATCATGTGGTGTAATAAGATGCGGATATGAATGTGTAGCTTTTTACAAGACGTAATAGTAGTTGTTACTTGCAGCATGTAATTGGGTCATGTACCAGAATGCGTTCGAGACTTCATGAGGAAATAGGCTGTAAATCAATGACCAAGCCAAGACGCAGCGGTATGCAATGAGCGTGATTGTATCGTTTGACCAACAATATGAAAAAGGAAGGTAAACAAAGAGCACTGTTTGGATAAGAATGAACCTAAACAAAGCACCAAACAATGAATATCGACTCAATGTACATAAACACAAATAGCCAAATGCTTACGCTCTACTATGCCATGTATGAATATTGGTGTTTGCATGAATGAGATAAACGGATACTGCAAAGGCTGAATTCGGAATATTATTAGCCGGGTTACATAAGATGATGGGGAGCTGCATTACCTGGAAACAGCTGTTGCAGATGATGGAAACCCAGCTTCAGACGTTGAGATAAGGTTGGATGAAACAATGCTGTGGTCCGGACCACCAACTCTGGAATGACAAAAGAGTACAAGCAAGCCAATGCCAATGAGGCAACGCCGAGATCAGCAGGAATGCCGCCATAGCTCATGGTGCATTGATGAGTGAGATGAGTGACAACTTTACGAAACAGGCCCCATTCGAGGAGAAGGGGGATGACTGTTAGGAAACAGATATAAGTGGTCCAGACAAACTGAGTAATCATGCGAAGATCCTGGTTGGGCAATGTTGGATGAAAGAGAGAAAAAAAGGAGCGATCGCCGGTGTCAGATGACGGTATGGGGGGCAAGAACAAGATTGATTGACCGCTCGGTGAAATGTCACAAATGACATTATCTTGATGGATGCGATGATGGCAGTGCACAGACCATACTTGTATGCTGTGAAACCTTCCCGTCTCATCCTCATTGCAGATGAATCACCACCTATCCACGCATCTCAAGATCACACGATATAGTCAACACCATTGTGGGAGCATAATGAGAAACTTTTTTTATTTAACCAATAAAGGATTATATACAAAGAAGAAGCCGATGATTTGCTATCATGTTGTTATATGTAAAAAGAAAGAGAGAGAATGTGCTGATGCGTATTCGTACAATACAAAGAAGAAAGAATAGGTTAAGAATAGGATGGGGATGGTAGGTAGAAGAAGGTGTGGGAAACATACACACACACGATTGAAAAAAAAAGTACAAGGAGGACGTATAATAATGATATGACAAGAAGGAGGAGGTTGCTTAGCACTTTTTGGCCCGTCGTCGGCGTAATGTACCATTGGCCACTTTTTCTTGTCGTGTGACGCGACGAGATCGCATGTGTGCATGACGATTACGATACGAGTCGACAGCCCGTTGAATTAATCCACGACGGCCACACAATTGGTCTTGGTTGAGCCAACATAGTTTCCAGCCAAGTTGATTACAGCTTGTCTCGTACTCCCAACGATTGCCATCATAGTCTTCTTTGTCAACATTGGCTCGTGGATAAATCTATTTTTGGGAGGGGGGCATTTCTCGTAAGCTAAAGAAGAAAATGGAAAAAGGGAAAAAAGATAAAAGAAATTCTATACTCACAGCATTCATCATGCGAAAATCACCAGGAATGTCATCCAATGGACAATTATCGACATCGGTACGTACGGTGTATTCCTTAACAAGGCGATCGTGTGAATATAAAAAGGTGATGTGCTCAACACCATTGATTGTATGTGCCACAGGCTCATGAGCAGAAAGCGAAACCACTGACGCAACCGATGGATGAGAAGAATTGCGGCGGCGATATGGGCGTGCTGGAGCCGAACGTCGGCGACTGTTTCGGGTTGCATTGGTGGATGATGCATTCGTGGCACCATTTGCTGCTGTTGCTGCTGTTGTCGCGTTATTAGCAGTAGGATGAGCTTGATGGTGTTGTTGATGTTGCTGGAAAGCAGATGGCATGTAACACATGAGAGGATTCATCATATGGGGTTGTGCAGAGGTTGCTGCTCCCACTGATGAGGGTGATGTCTCATTAAGCGTGGCACCAGGAAACTGCATTCCGAACCATGGAGGGAACTGTGTTGCTTGTTGAGCAGCCATAGCTGCTGCAGCTGCAGACATGGGCGATTCATCAGGTGGAGAAGGTGGAAGAAACATGTTATTGGATGTTGTCGTGTAATCACTAGCACTTGGGAATTGCCAAGTATTCATGTCACCATATTGCTGTTGTTGTTGCTTATCCATGTTTTGGCCATTATTCGTTGTAGAAGTCGATGCTGAGCCAGTGGCAGATGGAGGTGGCGAAGCTGGTGCATGCATCAATGACAATGAAGGGTCCATAAGAGTAGATGATGGAGGTGGTGGTGAAGCTGCCGCTGAAGAAGGTGCCGTTGTAGCCTGATCAAGAGGGAACAATGAATCTGAAAAGGTATTTCCAGTATCCGATGGATTGGTGGCAGCAACGTGTTGAGCGGGAGACATGAATGATGAGGAAGGCCAATCGAGCTTGTAGGAAGGCTTAATAACATCTTCTTGCTCCATTGCCTTTACAAGAGCAGCCGCAAAGTCAAAAGAGGGATCTAGTGCAGTGTTTGGATCCATGGTAGAGAAAGACAGAAAGAGATGTTTGTTGGAAAGAGGAATGTTTGTTAATTACAAGCAAAGAAAGAGAAAGGAAACCATTTACTGTGATCCAGATTCTGTACTCACTTTTGGCGGGAAAGGAAACAACTGAAACATCGTATTCTCATCATGCACAATGAGCTCATCATTTATGTTTTTTCCTCCGAGCAATCCGCTTTGGTCCTTGCGCATGTTTGACAGCCTCTTATCATATGTTTCGGGCTGTAGATTGCGTGACTATGATTGAAAGAGTGGGCGTTGTTGTGGTGGGAGAATACAAAAGATGATGATCAATAATCATACGCTTAACTATACCAGGTAGTCATGTCAACCGTGATGTGATGATGGCATTATTGCGCTGTTCACTATTGCTAGTTCTTTTCCTTTTGAGTCATATAGTGCACCCAGGAAATTCGTTTTACGCCCCGACTCCAACAAACCTGTCATGCGAATGAAACTTGTCGTGTATTCGATCTCGAGAACGCTCCCTTAAAGGAATTTGATCTTTTTGGTAACACTGATGAATACAAACACGTAGTATAGGCATACCTTGATGTAATCCATTGACCATGGATACGACCCTCCTCATCCAATAGTAAAGGGAGAAAGCTACTAACGACGTTAAGCGATCAACATGCGAGCGACACGTATACATACATATGATCAATTACCTTGAAAACATGCGCTAAATGGTACGTCAACTGTAAATAATGTCTTTTAGCAAGCCGTGTAAGTTTACCACTATTCTTGTACATCCCACGAGAAAGCGTTAAGAATAAAGTTGGAGTGGTAGTAGCATGCATGAAGCATCCACAAGTACTGCTTGTTGATTAACAACCATTATGCATCATAAATCAGCTTTCAATAAGTGACAAGTTGGGTTGCATACATCATGTGATCATTTATTGGTGGACTATGGCAAAGCTACATTGAAATGGAAACAGCAGGAAAATTGTGTTGCAGTCTATTGCCTCTTTCTCACATGCCACGCTCTCCGTCACCTTATCGTAGTAGCAGTCGTCGACGTTACCGAGACCTTGATCGTGCCTCTGTTTCTCCATCCAGATCGCCACCAGCACGTCGTTATCGTTCTCGTTCACCACCTTCACCTGGTGGTCGCTATTATTCTCGATCGCCACCAGCACGTCGTCCTAAACGCTCTCCTTCAAGATCACTATCTCGTTCACGATCACCTCCACGCTATCGTTCTCGTAGACGATCACCATCCCCTCGTGGAAGACGAGGTCGTCGTGGCCGTAGTCCTCGAGGTAAAATCGGCTTCATTGGACTTGCATTGAACCATTACAGGATGCTTATGGATTGGTATAGATTATGACAGAGGAAGACGTCGTTCTTGGAGTCGCTCCCCATCACGTCCTTCTAGAAGGTATGTTCAATATGAGAGGAGGAGGAGAAGAAAAGAGAGAGATAGGTTTTCTAATAGTGGGATGGTTGAGATAGATACAGTCGTGAAGCACCACCACGTAGACGATCTCCATCAGCATCTCCACCTCCACCTGCTGACGATAAACCCGCTGTGGAAATCAACGACGACGATGATGAGGAAACCAAAATGATGAAATTGATGGGTTTTGGTGGATTTGATACAACCAAGAACAAGCATGTCCCAGGCACTGATGCATCTGCAGCCAATGTTCGTAAACCTCTAAAGTACCGTCAATACATGAATCGTCGCGGTGGTTTCAATAGGTACGTATATTACATGGGATGTTGGTCATTGACTTGATTGCTTATGTATCTTTTTTCTCTTTCTAGACCATTGGATAAGGTATAGAACTGATAGCTTGTGCATGTGAGGAGCAAAAAGAAGAGTTGTTATGGTAAGTTGGATCCATGGTTAAAGGGGGGGCCTATCACTCATCACAAATCACAGGTAGAAGAACATTTTGGCAATGACGAGGTACGATGCAGAAGATAGAATGATGATCGAAGGTTTATCTTGTTGGGAAAAGAAATAAAATGGACAAAATGAAGAAGAATGAATGGTACAAATACTTTTGATATACAAGAATAAAGGTTGGCTAGTAACTTAATCCATGAGAATGTCGCTGTCGTAATCCATTTGATCAATGGCATCACGGGATTGTGCGTGTTGAAGTTCCCGGCGCACTTCAGCAGCAATTTCGGGATGATGCTTGTGTTTAATAACGTCATAAAGGATCTCTTTTTGCTCGGGGACAAGGTCCTGCTTGTATCTGGAACAATGTACACACACACACACACATCAGCACCAATACCACTTTTTTCTTCCCAATTCCCATCCTTCCTTACCTTTGTACGAAAACAAGCAATGATTGATGCCATAATACAGGCATTTCACGGGGATCGTTTCTGAATTGCTGATAATGTTCAACCATTCCATCAATGACCTTGTATGGCAAAGCATATTTCTTGTCGAGGAGAACACGGATGAAGAGAGAATTGGGACCGGTGTAGTCCATTTGAGCGAGACGGAGCAATGCAGCGGATGAGTGAAGTACGGGAATGGAAACCTTGGACAAGACACTACCAATGATGGCAGCTTCTCTCAATGTACATGTGCCTGATTCGCATAGAGGGAAAAGGAAGCCCTTGAAGAAAGCAGATGGCTTGTAGAGACCTTTCTTGAGTGCCATATACAAATGGTAATTGAGCTTTTTGTTCTCTTGGATATCATCACGCACACGATCGAGGAGCACATAATACATGAACCTAAAACAGAATAAGACTTGGGCCCTTTCTCTGCACCTTTGCATACTTACTTTTGTGCTTGTTCAGTCTTCAAGTTGGATACAAACATACGAGTAGCTTCATAAGTGGCTTGAGGGCTCCAATTCTCGGGCTGTGTAAGAATGATGATCTCTTCCCAGTTGCCGAGTGATGGAATGATCTTGAAAGCTTTGGGAAGCTTGCCAGACTTGTACCGTGAAAGCAATTGTCCAACCCTGATTTGACCATTGTTATCACACACACTCTGATCCATACCTTTTATATCCTTTACTTACTTTGTGTACACCTCTACGACCTTTGGATTCATTGCTGGACCTTGTTGTGCTGTTGCATGAAAAATCGGACATGAGTCATCCATATCTCGCCTCTTTGTAGTAGTGACAAACTCACCTTCACCATTAGCAGCAGCTTCATCCTTTGCATTCTTTTCCTCGATCTTCTCCATGATAAGATCAGCCAATGTGCGTTTCTCAACAGGAGCAGCTGGCAAGAATTGCTTCAAGATCTCATCATCCTCTTCATCCAATTCGAGCTCTTCGTATTCGCCATGCATATCCTCAGCATCCAAATCGTCGTCACTTGGATCAAATCCGAGAGGGAATCTTGACTCAAAGTTGTTGTTGCTAGGTTCATCAGGTTGCTGCTTGCCTTCGATTTCTTCTTGCTGCTCACGTGCGATCTTGAGAATCTTTTTGGAGAGCTTGGGATCAAGGTATTCCTAGTGACGATCTAGGGTCAGCATAACAATGCATAATAGTAATAAAGGATCGGTTGGTACCTCGACGGTCTCGTCTCGTTGATTACGCTCGACAAACTTTTGACGAACAGTCTTACGACGCATGCCCTGATCAGGATTGTCGGCAAGTTCAACATGAAGAGGATCGTGACGCTCGACGTTGCGTTTGCTGGTGGTTTTTCCCATTGCTGTGTGTGTTCAAAAGAGAGAGAGCGGCGAAGAAATTTGTCTGATGAAAAAATCTCGGAAGAGAGGGTGGCGTAGACTAAAAATGCCAGCCCTTTATGCATCGTGTGCCTAATGCGGAAGGAGCTTCTTTTACGCTGTTGATGCTTGAATAGTACTTGAGAGTGAATAACACATGGGTTGTCAGCTTGTTCAAATGACCTTGTCTAAGCGATGTCGCCTTTAATGTGGTGGCCCATGATATAGTAGCTTCATACTTTACATTGCGCTTTTATTCGACAACGCTATTATCATATTCAATTAGAGTATGCAATCAGTATGAGATGCGTATGAGATAATAAGAGTACAAAGAGACTGAATTTATTAAGATCGTGAAGACAGTGAATGTGTATGAGGCTGTACAGAACATGCAAAAGATAATGAAAGGCAATATAAGAGCGGTGTGTAAAAATGAATGAATGAATGACAATGTAAATGGGTTGATTATTGTTGTTCTTCGAAATATGGATGATCCTATACCAAGGAAGAAAACGTTATGCATACATGCCATCATGTGTGTCCCAAATAGATAAACTTACCAGTAAAGTGGATGCACTGCCACGCTTGGATGGCTCACGACTGAGTAGCATTTTGATCAATTGACGTGTACGAGTATCAGGGATTTTGCGTTCGAGATTAGGGATGTAGAGTTCTTTGTGTTCGTTCCAACGTAGACCATTGTTGAGAATAGGCGTGGAAGGTGATGGATGAGATATAAAATGAAGGATGGTTTCATCTTTGATGTTGCCTGCAAACAATGCGTGCTTTGTCTCCAACTCGTAAATGACACAACCCAGTGCCCATAAATCCACACTCGGCGTAGCTACGACACCGTTGGCACCTTCGAGACCGTATGTTGTCGCACGTGCGACCTCGGGTGGGCAATAGCGTGGCGTAATCACACCCACACATTCCTCACCAATGGTTCGACTTGCTTCAAAATCAATCAACTTCCAAGATGCGTCTGCACTACGTCGCATAATGTTACTCGGCTTGAGATCACAAAAGGCGATTCCTACACATACATACATCATTTAGTACCATATAATACCATTGGCTTCCATCATTATTACCTCGTGAATGACACCATGCAAGACATTCAATTACATTACGAGCAATGGCACGGGTTTGTTGTGTTGTCCACGCATGTTTTTCTGATCTTGCACGTCGAATAGCTGATCCTAATGTCTCATCCAGACGTTCAAGGACTGTGACATACTTGACTTGATCCTCGTCATCATCATCATCTTGACTACTACTGGTAGCAGCAGCAGCAGCAGCAGGTTGCTGTATCGAAGATGGCTGTGATGTGGATGATGATATACTTTGTCGTCGTCGAGGAAGAGGTGTACGGCTCTCGTCTTGAATGGTAAGAACTTCAAGCAATTCCACTACGTGGGGTGACTTGAGCTTGATCAATGTGCGACATTCTCTTTCCCAAGCTTCACGTCGACCAAATGATTTGATGGCCACTTTGTTCGTTGTTGTTGCAGGGGATTGGCTGTTGCTGTTGTTGATTTTGTTGATGAACAGGATGCTATTCATGGGGCCAATGATAGGTGTCGTTGTTTGATCAAGTTGATATCGTCGAGGCAGCATGCTTGTGAGTGGTGCCAAAGCTGAAAATGCATCTTCCATAGATTCAGGACGATGTCGTGACGAAAGATCTCTCTTGGTGGTGGCCTCAACCATATGCTCACGACTGGTGCTATCGGTGGCATTTCCTAATGAACTTTGCGCTGGCGTAGCAACCGAACCAGAGGATTGAATCTCATTCGAGTCAACTGCACTTTGGCTGCCAGATTCTTCTTCATTCACACGTCCAAGAGCAGCGAGCATTTCCAATGGACTCACAGTCTCATAAATATTTTCATTGTTGTTGTTGCTATTGCTATTGCTTGTGTCTTGTTGGAAGCGATGCATGGAGATGCGATGTGTTGTATTGTTGTTGTCGTTGTCATGGTCTGGAGTGATTGGACGTGCCATTGGTACACTGCTCATATTAGAGGATGGATACTGGTGATGAGTGAGTGGAATAGCTGCATTGGATCCACGACGAGCATCATTGGTAGCACCACTTGCAGAGGCCGATGTTGTCGTTGCCAAGCTGAATTGTTGACTGGATGGTGGAATGTAACGTATGGGGCCCATAGAACCTTGAGCTTGATATGAGATGGATTCGGTATACGTGGTGTTGTCTTCATCATGGCTCGTGCGTTTGATTGCAGGATTATCGGCGTTGTGTGTTGCATGTGTTACGGTGATACCATCACGTGAACGCATTGCTTGTTCAGTTGGGCTTAGCATGCTACTACCATAGCCAGATCGCACACTTTGAAGCACATCCATGCTACTGCTAAGAGGTGCACCAGCACTTGCAGTGATTGACGTAGGGCTCTGTGGGCTGTAATGCTCGATTGGAATGGTCGTTGTAGCCGTTTGTCCACTACCATTGTCGTGTTGTACAGCAAAGCGTGATGCAGGAATGGAAAACTCGTTGGGCTTTTGTGATAGTACTTCATTGGGTACTTGATTGCCACAGCTACGTAAATGTACATCTGAAGGCGAAGTGGGTAGCAATAAGGCTTTGCTGTTGTGTGCCGAATCACGATAGCTGCGCGTGCCATTCGAATAAGTAGCCATCTCGCTGCCTGAATCGGTCACCATAGGTGATGGCAACTCCTCTAATACGCCTGTCACGACCCTTTCAGTATCACCAAGTTCTGATCGGACACCATAAGAATCGCGAAAGCTAAGCGAATTGGTCATAGCTGTCATTGCTTTGGATACACGTTTGCGATTGGGAGTGCCGTTGGCCGTATCAGATTGCTGATCATCACCGCCATCGTAATACCAATAATCAGGATGTTGTCCCGCATAATACTCGTTTCCACTCTTTTCGGACATGTCATCTTTGGTTGCATTCTTTTGTTGTTGCTTACGACGCCGTCTCCATAACAAAAAGAGTAGTGCTGCAATAAGTGCTGCTCCAACAACACCACCAACTACGCCACCAACAATGGCACCTGTTTTGCTGCCACCACCATCACCATCACCATTGCCATCACCGTTGCCAGAGGAATCGCCTGAGGAGGAGAAGCCTGCTGTAGGTATCTTGGACCAGCTCCATTTAACAGCATCCAAGATGTACATGTGGGTGTCGCTTGTAGCAGTAGCTCCCCATCCACCAAAAATATACAGCTTCTGATTTGCCTTATCCAAGACGGTTGTGTGACCTAAACATGAAGCACTCTATTTTCAGTACAAAAAAGTGTGTGATGTGGATTATTTCCATCCCCCTTTTTTTTACTTACCCATTCGAGCACTTGGGCCCTGGCCGATATTTTCCATTTGCTTACGCTCCCATGTGAGTGTGGGATAACTTGATGCATCCAATACCCAAACGTCTGAATCAGAAGGACTTGGTGAACCACCACCATAAACGATCATCTTGTCATCCATGCAATTGGCGGTATGCAATACACGACCACCAGGAGGGCCACTCGATCCACCACCCACTGCTACTTGCAAATTCCAAGCTCTTTTTGTCAAGTCGTACACGATCACATTCTAGTAGCAAATTTAAACTTATCAGCGCGCATTGTTATCACATCACACGATAAAATTACTACTTACTGCATTGGCATCTGCTCCATTTCCCGTGGATGTTCCACCAAACACAACGAGGCAGTTACATGACTTGATGTAACAAGTGGAATGACCCGTGATTGCTGCACCATTGGAACCGGATGTCCATCCAAATGAATTCGCATCCAACATGTAAAGGTCGTTGAGGACAGCATTGGATTGAACAAAGCCATTGGTATCGACAGCTGAACCGCCATAAGTGTAGATTGTGTTATTGACAGTGGTGATAGCAAATTGAGCTGCACGTGTGGGTGATGCTGTGTCTTGATGATGAAGATGAAGAAGAGAAGAAGAAATCCATTTGTACTATTTTAGTTGGAGGGGGATAAAAGGAGAGGGGAAAAAAGAGATGAGAATGTTCGACCACTTACTGGATGATGGGAAGCTCCAACTCCAATTATTGATATCCAGTTTCTGAAGCATGCCCGATGTACCGCCACCTGTGGTATTGCCACCCACTACAATCATTTGCCCTGAACTTGGCAGTGTCGTCGCTCCAAAGTACACCTGTGGCAACATATTCACGCCCGATTGCACCGTCGATTGCGCATTGTACCATGATCCGTTACGAGAATCCCACACCCAAAGGCTGTTTGAACCGTGCACAGTGCCGCCATAGCTTTCAGACGTGTCTTCAGATCCACCATACAAGATCACGTATGGATCGAGGTACACTAGGTAGCCGCATTGTCAGAGAGAGGGGGGAAATGCTTGTCAACAAGTGAACACTAATGATAATAATATACCAGCAACATGACCAGCACGCCATGGCACATTGGTTTGAATGGTGCCTAGCTGAGCTTCCACGACGATAGATATCCCAGCAAGAAGGAGAATGGCGATCGTCCACCTCCGCAACATGAGTAGTCAAAGTAGATATACAAAGAAAGAGATAAAGCTGGTCCTATTATGCGTGTATGTGTGTGTGTGTGTGCGTGTGTGTGATAATGTGCGTGCGTATGCGTATGTATATAGGATGCTTAAAGAGACGAAAATAAAAAGACAAGGGAAGGCTAGGAAGGGGTATCGCAAAACGGAGTTTCCCTTTCTCGTCTTACAGTGAGTGAGTGTGATGGTGACCTTTCATCCTCCCTTTCAATCATTGTAGTACTATTATATCTCTTTACTCTATTTACCTCCTGAATGGTATCATTGTCATGGGTTACTTTAAATGTACGACATTGTACACTGACGCGGATGAGGATCATTCTTTATGTTTGTTAGTACCCAATGCATGGGAGAAGCAAGGAGATAGGGTGGTGCTTGGGTTCTTTCTTTTTCTCTGCTCTCTCTTTTTTCACCCTGAAATTTCCCGTAAACAGCGTCATGCATTCGTTCGTGTCACTCTGTGTCATATGCTCCCTCCTACTATATATCAACAACGCTTTATTTGTATCATTGCTCTCCTTGACGTAAAGTGGCGCGCGCTCCAGCGCACGGATGATATTCTTTTACTGCTATCTTGCATATCACGTATGCAAACAGTGATGCACACACACATCGTTTCGCTGAACAAAGAATTGGCTCGGGCTTTTAGCGTCGACAAAAAAGAAACAACGCTTTGATTATGTTACAATATTAGTGTAACCATTGATCCAAACAAGGTCAACCGATCTTATTTTGTTTCCGAACTACATGTCAACCATTCCACTGGAATCCAAGTCCATTTCACGCATATCAATATCACATCCAGCTAAAACAACACGTGGACAAGGTTGAGAGGGTGGATGAAGGGTGGATGTTGTCACTGCATTCATGCAAAATGTCGTGGTTTGAATCATAGCCCTCCCGCAATGAGAGCTGGCGGCTCTTATCTCTTGGGCTTGGCATCATAAATGAACCTTTGGCTGACAACACTATTTTCCCACACGCTATTACAATGCACATTGGCATCTTTTGCGTTGATGATAGATTTCAAGATCTCCGTATACCCAATACCATCGTTCGTTTTCATATTAACCCTCCCCCACTCATGCTCCAATTTCCTCTATGTTATCATTGTTTCTTCTTATACTACCTGCAAGTTGCTGTTGTATGTTGTTACACCACCACCAAACTTTTTTTTGCAGAAACACGTCTACTTTAGATTATTAAGTTCTTATTAGTTGCTAGAGATGGATTGGGAGATATTCTTGTGAACTCCCAGGAGGTATTTTAATTGGTGGCCATCCTTTTACTACTACTTGATGATGATGGGTTGGCTTAGTCACATCACAAGACTGACATGCTTCTTATTTTTTACCACAAGGATGTGCAACACAACTCAATGGGTGGGGAGCTTCTTATCAGCTACCCATAAGGGCTTTCAAATGTATAGTACACGACATTCTGCTGGAGGCCAAAAGCTACAACCCATTGGCAGTCATCTTTATTGACATCAACATAGCAGCTATAAAAGGCTGTCAATCTGAGCTTCGAAAACATATGTAACGGCCACGTGGATTGTTTTCGAAACGTATTCGCATACAACAATACATGCACATTGACAAGTTGCTTAAAGCAATCCAAGTTTTCTTTCCTTGATCGAACTTTGTAAAGCGGTGGGTAGTATAGCGACATGTCAGTCATCCCCAAGGCAATGCCCTCAACACTTAAGATATCCTCTTGTCATCAGCGAGTATTCATGCAACGATGCTGTTCTTTACGAATTGAAAGAATTTTCGATTTTGGTGAATGTTGTCATGGTTACACCAACGGTGACGGGGGCTGCATCCCAATGTCGAATTGATGGATTGTCGTTTCGGTGAATAATTCAAACATCCCGCCATCATGCATGAATGGATGGGGCGTAGGAGATGGGATCATAGATGGTACGTATGCTAGCTGTATGGAATGGTGATGGATAATGTGTGGCACTTTTTTTAAAAGATGAGATGTGGGTGCTTCATTCAAGGAGTATACTATGCTGTAAGACTGAAACACATCGTGTTGCACAGCAGCATTGTCCATGCTGACATGTGATTTTATGTGCCAAGATGAGTTTTTACATGAATGTAGATATAGGGCAACGAGTAAATCTTCTCAACAATGGAATAATGTGGGTGATAGGGTGAGTGTGAGCGAGTGTACATATGAGTGTATGTGTGTGTGTGGCGTTGAGGACTGGTATTTGATTGTGTGGATCACTGGAGCTGCATGCAAGATGAGAGCGAGAGAACTTGCTTCAAAAGAAGGAAATCTCAATTTGACAGACACCGCTTGTTTCCTTTTCTTTCCTTTCCTTCTCTCATGTTCTTTGAAACAACCTATGTCCCATCGCCTCAGCTATCAGCCACGAGCACCGTTGAAGAAGGTAAATGCACATTGCAGTCTTTCTCGCATCGCTAATGCGCATTGCGTTGCTCAATAGTAGATGAATTGAACCCTCCACCACTTTCACCTTCCGTTGGACCCGCTCAAGGCGACTCGTCTTGTGACGAAGGCATGTCCGATAGTCCCGTTGACCATGTCATTTTTGTTATTCATGCAAGTATTGATGACGATTATACATTCGACTATGAAAGCATTTGGCTGACATTCTTTATATTACACAGGGGATCGGCCAAGTGAGTATTTTTGATTGCATAAGGGAAGCGGAATATTTGGATGTCTCACATATGAAAACAGCAAACGGAAGAGTATGGTCATTTCTACGAGCATAGTAAGTGTGTGGAATAAACGCGTTGTTGTATGCACAAGCTATGCATGCTAATGGGTGGGATGTCCTATGTAGTTGACAATTTACGAGAGACGACACGCCAAGTATTACAAGCCAAGGTCCCTGATCATGCAGTGCGAATTGAATTGATACCGATCGAATGGCACCGGCACATTCACGAGCAAACGGATCCTACCATGGGCCGCATCACTTTGAAATCCATACCAACCATTCGACTCATTGAAAACGATTATCTTGCCGACATCTTGTTTTATTTCTCCAAAGAACGGGGTCAAAGCATCATTGATCATGTCACCCATTTATTCAACACATCCTATCACAACTTTTTGGAGAAGCATCCTGATTTCGCGGGTAAAATTGCGATCATTGGCTATTCGTGAGTACACGTGGTCTCATGGAAGGGAAAGGAAAAATGATCTCTAACAGGATCCCTTTTTTAGTTTGGGTGGTATTATCACCTATGACATCCTCTCGCATCAACGTGAACCTTCCTCCCCTCAAGAAGAAGCTGAGTATCGCAAGATTGACGTCAAGTTTCCCAAATTGGACTTTAAGCCCAATTACTTTTTCGGCTTTGGATCACCCCTTGGTGCCATGCTTACCATCAGAGGCCAATCACCAAAGTATTATCACATCGATGAGGATATTGTCTTTGAAAATGTCTTCCATCCATTTGATCCATTGGTAAAGTTCACCATGTCCTGTTGAAATACGATTGTACTCAATATCATCATCGTCATACGTAGGCATATCGATTTGAGCCATTGTTGGAGGATTCATATACAGAGGAACCTGCCGTACTTGTGGATCGCTCGGTGCCAATAGGACCCACATTTTCATTCCCATCCATTCCATCTTTACCTGGTGCTAGCATTTTTTCATTCTTTTCATGGCGAGGATGGTCTCAGCAACAGCAAGAACGACGTGAACAAGGATTACCAGAGGAGAACTTGCAAGATACAGCGGAGGGGATCCAACGTGGTGAACCTATGCTTGCTGAAAGTAGACAACAACAACCACAGCAACAATCAGACTTGGATACCAACAACACCAGTGATCAAGCTCAACAGCAACAACAAGAAGAGACCAATCGTTTCATATCATCCGTCAATGCCATGTTTCAATATTTCTCTTCCTCTCCATCAAACAAGACCTTGAATGGAGATGATGAAGAACGTATTCCTAGCAATGAACCAGGCATCATTACGTGGGACCCGCTCAAAGACCAAATTAGGAATATACCACCATCATCACTTGAAGATCATCATCATCTTCACCACTCGCAGCAACCGCAGTTAGCCAGCAATGAGTATGATGACCGATCCAAATCAGCAGATCAGCTCAACGCAGCAGCTAAAAAACAGCGCCCAGTAATGAGAACTCGATCCATGACATTCGATCAAGCGTATCCCAAGATCCATAACAAGCGTTACATGGATAAGCACATGGAGACGGCTGATAATAATGTGGCGGCGGTGCCTGATAAGAAGGCTAAGCATTTGGTGGAAGTCTTGGGCATTGATGGCGTACGAATGGAATCATTTGAACGGGCAAAACAAAACTTTCGACCCGCTAGCACTGAAACAACACCTGATATTGTCATTGATGATCCACAGAAGAAGCCGTCAACGGATAATGAAGATAATGGAGAGCAACAACAACAAACATCATCATCATCCAATATGGAAGAAGGGGAGGAAGGAGAAGAAGAATCACAATCTCAACGGCAAGAACAAGACCAGCCGCCGCCACATGCCAAATTACCAGGTGGACGACGCATCGATCATGTATTACAACCAGAAAGCTTTATGAGCATGATTGCCAATGAATACTTGGTGGGATTGAGAGCTCATTTTTCATATTGGACAAACAAGGATTTGTTATGGCACATTGTTCGACGTCTTGAAGATTTACAAGAAGCTACGGCAGATACAAGTAGCAGCAAAGAACAAAAGTCTGTATAGAAGAGATACACACACAATTTAGACCATGTATTCCCTTTCCCTCTCATTCGGCATTTGGATACCCGAACAATTCACATGATGACCGATTGATTTCTAAAACTTGAATGAAACATACATGCAACTTATCCAACCATGCACAATTCATCATCATCATCACATACGCACAATGAGGCATTAAGACAAAAAAAAAGAGGACAATTGTATTTTTACAACGAAGGAGGTCGAAGAGGGGCTATGGATGGATAATGTGAGGAGTTGAAAGGGATGGCAATCGTGAGAGAAAGCGAAAAACAAACAGGTGTGAGTTGTGTGTGCGTGTATTCTCTAGAAACCGTGGACCTTGATCTCTGACTTCTTGGCAATCTCTTCCTTGACCAAGAACTCGGCAATCTTCAAGCGTTGATCGCCAGAGAGCTGAAGCACTTGACCTAGCTCCTCATCATCCACAATCGTACCATTGCAAGCGAATTCCTTCTTGAACACCTTGAGAATCTTCTTGTTGTCGTATTGCGTGGGAAGGCCCTGGAGCGTCGTCAAGGTCTTACGACCATTACGTTGCTGGATGCGCAAATCTAGAAGGAGCATGAGTATCACAGATGGTGGGGCATCTCTCTCACTCACACACACACACATTGTCTCTCTCCACTGTATATACTTACGAATATGGTTGGCAGCCTTAGGAGCCTTCTCCTCTTCAACGTCAGCGAAAGGATCTACGATAAAACGGTTTAGGACGGCTGCCTGGATACGATCATGTTGCCGTGGAGCTTACCAAAAGGGGTGTTCAGTTCTTCCTCGAGATGAGACATACAACTATCAGGCAAGTACAGAGAAAAGAGAATGAAAAAAAAGTTTGTGTGAGCGCTTGGGGTTCAAGTAAAGCACCCTGTGACGCCCGTTGGATAGTGGGTTCTTTCCTGACATGTCATTGGTCATGTCTGCTACGAGACACTCCCCGCAGCAACCAACCAACCGCAGCAACTCTCCCTCCCCCCACCCAACCAACCACCACCACCCCTTGATTCCATAGAGCAGTTTAGCCATGTACAAATAAAAAAAACCATCCTTTATCTATTGATTGATTCCATCTTGTCATGTGCTGAACATGGGTTGATTCTATCTCTCTCTCATACATCCATATGCGGCATGGGTTATTATTATCATAATGGATCAACATTTAAAAGGAGACAAAGCTGCTTGCATAGACATTATTGCGGTGGACCATTGCTTTGTGATTCGGTAAAGGTGCTCACCCAAGCCTGTTCAATTCGTTCTTATTTGCTCCATAACACAAGATGATGGTTTTTTTTGGGCGCTCACATTATTCGTTGGATATGGAAGTAGCGACACCCATCCTGCTGGTGGATCCAAATCCCAAAACCACAACCTCTCCTTGTGCCTGTATCATCCACGCTATACGGTGTGCTCACTTGGAAACTCATTTCCATCATATTATGCGTCACAACATCCTTTGTTTTATGTGCATCATGTTCGGCCTCCTCATAAAGAGGCGATAGTTGACCAAATCTCTGTTGGGGATAGTGCATGGATCGACAAAGAGTGCATGAGTGGCAACTGACATAGAGTAGCCAAATTAGTCCTGGCGGCTATACACGTATCCATCATCAGCAAAAAAGGGAGCAGAGTTAATAGAAATGGTTGGCCACTGCAATCTCGTACTTAAAGTCATCCTTTTTTAATCCAACATCATTCACAAGAGATAGATTGAGAGGTACAACAGATTGCTTCAAACGAAAGTACATCGATTTGGAAGCTTCTATCCTTTGGGCGTGCATTGTGACAAGATGAAGGGATGCATTTGATGCGTGGTGGCGGACTATATGCATGGAGTGCCAAAACATGGAGTTAGATGACGATGGTTGACAGGTTGCACAAAGGAGTGGTTGCCATGGAAAAGGGTGTATAGTAGTGGTAAGAAGCCATGCAACGAGCGAAGCGAATGCAACCTAGCCTTATTACAAGATCATTTAGGAACGAAAAAGCTCGTGTTATTTGTAGCCATGGGACACTTACAATGCAAACCAGGTAAACATTAGGGATCAACAAGTAGCAACCACGAGTTAGCATTATATAGGCACCAAGTCTACTGTGCCGTGTCGATGGATGAGACAATACCGAAAATGGGTGGTGGTGGTGGTGCTGGATTTCCTCCTTCTCTAGACATCCTGCCGACTTTTTCTTTGTCCCACAAAAATGTCAACCTCTGCCATAATTGCTGCCAGGAAACGCATCGAGACGAGTCTTCGCAATTACGACTTGCCCGCGGATAAAGAGCCACAGTCGTCAACCATTGTTCATGAGAATGCGAAAAAGTATTGACACGATTGGGTGGTGGGGGACATGTTGACACGAGTATTGATCGTGTGTCAAATAGTGGATCGCTCTTGTTGTCATTGCTCCAATCGCGGTTGAACTGGATGCATTCAGTCTTTGTCAAATACCGTGCCGACACCACACAGCAGATACGACGAGCTCCCAATACACGCAAAAAGTGGCCCAACATGCGCTATCTAGGGACATGTACAGTAGAACTCGGCACGCACCTGTTTCATGATACGGCATTTTATGAAGCTGTACGCACCGAGCCATGGTCAGCATTAGCGGAAGCAGCCGGTCATCCAATCCCCAACATAGCAATGCAGGATGATAATAGCAACAACAACAACAAATCCAACCAAGACACGAATGACAATGATGTTGTCATGGAGGAGAAAGATGGCAACAACGCAACAATTGATCATCATCGAAAGGAGCTTGTTTATTCGGATATTGTCATGGAATTCAAAGAAGTGCCCGGTGAACGAGTATTGTTTCCAAAAGATATCATTGTTCAGGTCACCTCTGTACCAGCACCATTCGAGGTCAGTGATCATTTTAGTGCCTTCGCATACATTTCAATGCATTGATAGATTTACTAGTTGATGGGCTCATTTCTACTGCCGTTGGATCCTCATGTTGCCGATGATTTCTTTTTGGACCCCAAGGAAAAGTTGAAGCGATGGGGAAAAGATTCCAATATACCCGAAGTGCGTGATTTGGCGGATCTTCTCAACAAGACAAGGTCAAAGTCGGCTTCACCACCACCACCAGCACCACCATCAGAGTCATGTCAACCTGTCAACATGCGCCTACGCAACGTCGATGCTGAATTACTTCATGCAATATTATCCAATGTGCATCCAGCAGAAAAAGTGCGTGATGAAATGGTTGTCAGGGTAAATAGCAGCAGCGACATGCTTTACATAAAGATGCTAAAGGATTATTTGATAGATGAAACAAGCAACACCCAATCGATCGTACTTGCAACACAGTGAACCATCTTCGGATAAATCAATTGAGGTGCATATCATGTGATTAGACAAGGCGACAATAAATGGCTAACATGAATGACAGGAACTCATACAAAAAGCAAACACCGTACCCGAGATTGTGTCAGGGCCTGTCCTTGCCGAAAAGAAGAGGAATGAATTGCTCAATGCGATAAGGCTGGGCAAGCGACCTCGTAGTGATCAGCCTGATGAAGGTAGGCAACCAACAATAATGCAACCTTCCGATATGGTAATTAACCAAGAATTGATACAGCATCACCTTCAAAGGGCAAGCAAGCTGCTGTCAAGGATGATGGTATACGACGTTGTTTGTATTGCAGCACCAAGGTGACAGCAATGTGGCGACGAGGACCCGAAGGAGGAGGAACATTGTGCAATGGATGTGGTTTGCTGTGGGAACAAGGAAAGATCCTCAAAGGTGCACCTGTCATTAGCAAGGAAGAGGAGCGGCAACGATTACGAGAACAATGGGAAAAGGCACGAGAACTACACGAGGAAAAGGAACGAGAACGAGAATTGCAACGACAAAAGCAGGAGGCAACAAAGGCTGTCAAAACTGAAAAAGCGAGTAAGGTTGGATTATACGCTGCACAAATCCTTCAAGGTAAGGTATACACGCTTGTTTGTTGTTGCTATACTCGGTTGACATGTCATTATCATTAGCCTCAACTCCCACCTCCACATCTCAAAAGACCATATCACCTATACAACCAGCACCTACTACTACTACAACTACAATTACGACAACGTCGACATCTGATATTCACCCACCACCACCAACAACCGAACCTAAGAAGGAACGACCCTCACTACTATACAACAGCCAACAAGGGATACAGCTACCAACACTCGCCATCCACTTTACCCCATCGCTTACATTTGCACACCCCAATTGTTCTGTCACTTTGATGGAGAGCTGTTTTTCGATTCGATTAGCTCGCGAAGGATACGAATCGGCCACCTTTGAAATATCAAAGAAACATTTACAAGAATCCCAATTCGATTTATGCGAGGATGGATCAGGAACGACAATGCAGCTTACAATGACATGTATCCCTACGGGTGGTTCCTCTGTTCATCTCTTTGACACTGATCTTTTGATACCCAACGATCCATCCCACAAGATGGCAATCAAATTTTTGGAGAAAATGGACCCCAATGAAGGCGCCGTTGTTAAACGTATTCTACAGAAGTGGCTAGAGACACCAACCCTATCAGATTGTACATAATAAACAAGAGAGCATGACACCCGCATAAACAACGCCTAGAGTGGTCGCTTTTGGGAAAAAGGGGTTGGGGGATTGTGTGGTACATTCACATCTGAAAGAAGAAGCACACCAATGTGCGTTGCACAGACCAGCACACATGTGCGCGTGTATCACGCCAGCGCAAGGGGACGACAACGCCATCTCTCCTTGATCCCAAGAACAATCGCCGTTACACTAAGAGCAATTCATTGTCGATCACGGATTGGTTCACTTGATAAGTTAATGTTGTTCTAAATGAAAAAAAACAAAGTTTGGAAAATGATATGAGGAGATGGATGACGACAGATGCGTGGTTTGTGCCATGAGTGCTCGATAACTATCAACAACGCGACAACCTTCTTTTTGCTCGTGTCTTACTCCTTTTTTCATTTCATTGTGATGTGATGAGCGTGCAACAAGAGGAAGGTATGTCCAAGAAATCATGCCCAATATGCAATAAAGAAAGTCCAGACCAACATCCATGATGATATCATGACCATATTGTTGACATTCCTATTGACATGATGAATGTATCACAAACCAGCTCTAATCAGGTAAGCATGCGAATTGTATGTGCTATTCCCAATCCACCGGATTTTGCGATTTTGCGATTTACATGATCGGAATCGAGAAACAAGGTGTGTTCGTGTGTGTGTGAACATTGTTTAATGCATGCATGTCACAGGGATTCATCTTTTTTTCTTCTTTTCTTCCCTCTCACTTGAATCAACCCTGTCAACAAGTTGTTTCGTTTGCTGCAAGGACCCTTTTTTTTTGTGCCCTCCATATGCTTGTCAACCCATCGCCATCATCCTTTGTTTTTGTGCAAGAGTGAGCAATCTTCCTATTATCGTTTACCCCGTGCATAAAAAAAGGCCCATCCATACATAATAACCTCGATTCTTTTATTCCAAAAGCTATCACACGGCTCTTTCACAACATCAACGTTCCCCCTCTGTGGATAGCGCCATCTACTGTAACACGCCATCTCCATCAATCAACAACATGGAACAACCTACTACTACTACTACTACTACCACAACAACAGACGTCCTTTCAACGCATGCATCATCCTCATCCTCATCGTCATCATCAGCATCATCTACATCGCCTTCTATCAGTTGCCCATCATCAGCACCGACCTCGGCTTCTGCAGCTGCAGTTACTTCAAGGTATGTGGTGCAGTATAAAGTTCATCGTGGTGTAACCCATGCACTTTTTGCTACGCGTGTGTGCGTGTGTTTTGATCTATGTGTGTGTGAACTCATCTTCCTCTTACTTAGTAATCTACGCTTCAAGGCAATATTAGAAGGTGAATAAGAAAATGAGATCGATCATTGAATTGGACCATCACTGATTCTTGATTCATCATCAATCATGCACAACAGCGCCAACCGCCGTTACACAAAAGAATGAAGAATCGCCTTTGACATATCTCAACAAAGGCATGTGTCATTGTTTATGTTTTTTTGCATCTCCATGTGACTTACACGCTTATACGTAGGCCAATACTATAATGTTGTTATCGGCAAATTGGATGATTGCGACGACGACCAAGTCATTACCAGCTCTATCAGCCTCACGTTCCACGATGAAACGCATCGAAAAGATGCGACCAACTACTGGAAATTTTGGATCAGTCAACAAAAACACGTCAATACGGCTCGTGCCATTGATATTGGTACGTAATAATTAGGGGTTGGAAGAACGCTGATAGTAATCAATGACATGGCTACAGATACCCATCGATGTCAAGGTGTGAAGGATGTCGTAACATCATGCTTTGACAGGGTTACATTCAAGTGGGATGCCAAAGTGGGTGCCACGGTCAGCATCCGATTCAATTGCTTGTCCACCGATTTTTCAAGGATCAAAGGTGTGAAAGGCATTCCTTTGCGACTTTGTATGACGAATCAAATGGATGATACTATCGAGCAAAGCTATTGCCTTGTCAAATTCTTTCGAGACAAGGTATGTATTTAGAAGCATGTTACTTTTGGTAGGGTAACTAACAGCAGCATGTGCTGCATGAATAATAGGGTGCTGAACGTAAAAACAAGGATGATGCACGCCATGTGGAGAAACAGCTTGAGAAAATGAGAGGTAAATGTACGTATTAGATAGGTACATGTAGGATGGCACCCTGTTTACTCAAAAACGAGTAGGCAAGAATGGCGAGATGCATCCTCTTTGGCTTGCATACACACAAACACAACCACACACCATGTTTCTTGCCGCATCTGATCACACGCCATCATCCCCCAATCCACTTTTACAAGGTCATGGCACAACCAAATACAACCATGAACAACAACAACAATGCATGATTCATCCTTCACCCTCACCTTCTTCATCATCAGCAGCATCCAATCATCTCCTTTCCACATCAGCCTATGGTATCAAGCGTTCTTACTATGACTATGTTGCGTCTCAGACAGAATTCCATCATGATCGATCACTTCAAACATTAGCAACGGCAACGTCTTTATCATTGGGACGACCTATCTTGTATCCATCAACGACATTGCCTGCACCGCCAACGTTGATATCGCACGGGACAACAAAGCCAACGATGATGTTAGGTGCCGATCCACTTTATGTGCCACAAAGACGACGCCGAGCTGCAAGTATGTTGTGTGTACATACAAATCAGGAGATGATCCATGGTTTCGGAAATGCTAATGATGATGTACGTGTACGTGTACGTGTAGAATTGTGTATATTTGTCAAATTCGGCAATGCCAACTTGTATCGCGCTATCTATCTTGAAGAATTGACGGTGAAGGATTTGCGAGAAAAGCTGATGGGCAAGATGAACATGGCTCCTCATCAAAAAGTCAAGTTGGTACGACATGTGGCAAATAAAAAAGATATGGTGGCGGTCAAGATGGAGGATAGCATGGTGCAAGCTATTCCGGAAGAACAAGATATGCAGGTTGATTCCACTGTATCCAAGGATGATCAAGATGGAGCATTCACACTCGTGTTACGTTATTGATTCTTTATGATGTTTTATTCCTTTGTAAGTAAAATTCATCTTTACAATGGTGTTGCTGTTGTTGGTGGTAATGATGATGATGCGAGTCAAGGGGATGAAGGGGACATTTGGAGCAGACACACAGTCACTTGACCTTATTCCACTTTTATCTTCTTGCATCGTTCCCTATTCTCTCACTCTCTACATATCCCAGCGTGTGTGTGTACGTGCGTGCGTGTATTGAGTGTGCCCTCTCTTTCTTTCTTTCTTGTGCATATACATCTATTCTTTCTATCTCTCTTTCTATTTTTGCCACCCCTCCCACCCCCCTACTCGCGTAACTCTTAATCACCCCACTCTATACATGTCTTACGTGAAATCAAGAAAGAAGGCACGTATGCCTCATGACCATGAGTCTGACAGTGAAGAAGGAGGAGGCGATGCCGTCAGTGACACCAATTCAGCAATGACCTCTGACGAAGACTATGACGACGGCTCGTCAGACGACGACACTAGCAGCCAGAGCGACGAGAGTGGTGACGAAAGTGCCAGCTCAGACGAAGAAGAAGAGAGTGACAATGGCGAAGACTCAAAGGACAAGAAGGATACTGCTGTTGTTGGAGAAGAAAAGCAAAATGCGTCAACGTCAACGGCATCAGACATAAAAGAAGAAGAAGAAACAACGCCTCGTAAGTAATAGTAGTAGTATCCCCATCATGTTCTTTTTATGTATGATTTTGACATGAATGTTGTTTTATAGGTCCACCAAAGATGGATAATCTCAACGAGCGTGAAAAGCAAATCATTGAACGACGAGAATATCGAAGACGTTTGGCTGAAGATCCCAGTTTTGTACCCTACGTTGGCGGATTTTGGAGTCATGACGATCGATACAGGAATGATGCATTAAAGCCCACTACCGATGATAAGGATCAACAACCTTCATCAACACCTCGATTCGTCTCTCCGCAACAACCAGCAGAAGCACCATCACAACAACAACAACAACAACAAAGACGACGTTATCAACATCGCAATGTTCATCGAAAGGTCCCTGAGGAAGTATTGAATCAACGATGGGGTCATGATGGATACGAAGAATTGATGCGGATGGAGGAACTTGAAGAACGTGAAGGACGTAAATTCAGCACATTGGATGAATATTATCGATCAAAGCGTCATGGTGGCAATAAGCAGCAATATCAATCTCGTAATCGACGTATGAAAGCGGACATTCCTGATGGTGCTGGAGCAAGTAGTCAATGGCAGCAGGCTGAAACCATTGTACAGAGCTTTGATCAACAATGGCCAACATTGGAAACCACTGATAAGGAAGATACGACTGCTAATAAGGGATGGGGATCGACTACGAATGAGGACAAAGAGAATGAACAATGGGGCTCTACTCCAACAACAACAAAGGAAGATGAGGGATGGGGCTCTACAACAACAGCAGCAAAGGAGGATGAAGGATGGGGCTCTACAACAACCACAACAACAAAGAAAGATGAAGGGTGGAGCAACATTGAGCAACCCCAGACGACTGGATGGGATCCAAACAATGCCGCAGCTGAATGGAAACAACGCTTTGACACCAAACCACGTAACGACAAAGGTCAACAATCCAAATCAAAGCAACCCATGTCACGTGGCACCAATGATACCAAAAAACGCCCACCAGCATCCAAAAAACCAGTTGCCAGCAATGAGAAAGAAGAAGAAGGAGAAGAAGTTGAATGGAAGGCCTTGGCATCATGGGATACTAAGAAAGTTAGCAATGATGTTAACTGGAAAAGCGATGCTATTGCACAAGACGAGAATATTAAGGCTAACGATGACGACAGCTGGAATGCATCTGTACCATGGGAAGAAGAAGAAAATGGAGCAAAATCGACAACGGACAATGGTTGGGGTGATGTCAACAATCAAAGTGCTGATGATGGTGATGATGGATGGAAAAAAGCTGCTGATTGGGGTCAAAGCACGGGTGGATGGTCTTCGAAATCCTCTGGTACTGCTAATGGATGGGGTGGTGATTCTTCTTCTTCTTCCAACAAGGCCGATGGATGGGGATCAAGTGCATCTGGTTCATGGCGTAAAACAGACAACAAGGACCGGCAGCAACAATCACCTCGAGATCAACAACGTCGTGGTCGAGGTTACTTATCACAAAAGAAGCCATTGGAATCGACTACCACCACCACCAAATCAAAGCCCATGTCAAAGCACGCCAAGCCGTTTTCACCTTCACAGCCCATCCATACGACACCCACGCTACCACCAGCAGCAGCATCAGAACCAACATCTGCTCCTGAAAACGCATCCTCATCAGTATACGCATTTGCAACAGAGCCATGGCAATCCTCTGGATCCCCACGTGATGATGCACGTGGTCATGAGCGTTTTATTGAGGATCAAGAAGACCAAGAATCGGATGTTGAGATTATATTGGAAGCCGATACATCTGCCAGTGCCAGCCGTAGTGAAGTGGATACTGCAACACCACCACGACAACGTGATCTAGAAGGCAATTGGCGAAGACGTGATCAACAAGAGCCCATGGTTGGTGGTGATGAAGGTGATAAGGATGATATGATGGCAACGCAAGCAGCTCAACAAGCAGCAGCAGCTCAAGCAGCGGCAGCAGCGGCAGCAATGCAACAAGGAATACCCTATTTTTATCCACCTGCTATGGGAGGTTACATGCCTATGCCACCGTATCCAATTCCAATGCCCATGACATCTGCTTCTGCTGGCGTACCACCCTCAGCTATGATGCCAATGGTCACTAGCGCAGCTCCTACCTCTGTTGATGCAGCTCCTTCTCCCGCTCCTAATGCAACATCCACCACTACACCACCCAATGGATCTACAAGCACAGAATCACCGGACAATGGATCCTATATGCCTTCTAGTTTTGAAGCCAATGGAATGGTTTATTATAGTGTCAATCCATCTGCCATGTATCCTTACTATTACTATCCAGCACCTATGGCCATGCCCATGATGGCAGCACCACCTCCACCTCCACCTCCACAAGCTGGCGCTGATTCTCCGCGTCAACAAGGCACCAATAACTCTGTTGACGATGGTTGGGGTCCTGAACCAGATCATAGTGCTCAAGACAGTGGATGGGAACATGACAAGAATTCACAACAAGCTTCTTCTTTCAATCCTCCTTTTCATTACTATCCTTCTTATTCATAATCCCTTTTTTTCCCTTGCAAACACACACAAACTCATATACTCACATTTATACACGCACACACACACACTCCCCTCCCCCTCACAATTCCCCCCCCTTACCATCACACACACATACACACTTTCTGCTCTGATCTGCATCAATTCCCGTTTTCTCGTCTACTTTGTAAATCATGCATCCTTTTTCTACTTTTTGACTTTGGAGGAGGGGTTAAAATCGATCATATATACTATTTTCTTTGGTCCCAACATTGCATCTGAAATAGTTGTAGGATGAGAGCTGCTTGCAAATATAATTATATTGGTGCCAACTGCTCGCTTCGCTCGTAAACGTCGATTTTCTGTGGAACGACTTATCGCTACGTGTGCTGCTAATGACCCACTCATCCCCAAATAAGATTTGCTTTGTTTTTACATATTGGCTTATCTGCTGCTTTTATTCGCTTGGAAGTATACTGGAAGATGGCTATCAAGATGGCGTTGTTTAACTGGGTTTCTTTTTTGTATGCTTGAAAGAGCACGTAACGTCATTACAGACCTCAATCATCTTGTATGAATGCGGTGTGGAGGAGAAATTCGTTGAACATGCATGCAGTGTAACATATCATTTGCTTGCTTATGGCCTCCTTTTGACACGCCCATACACTTCCACCACACTGAATCATGCAATAAGTTTAATGAAATGCCATTCAGGCTCATTGATCGTTGTTAATAACTGCTATAAAATGAATTCGGTTTATTGACGATAGGGGAAGGGAAAATAATCAGCGAACGTAAATCTGATGGGTCATTGTGATGTAGGGGAAAAGGATCCTATCATTTGGCCACTTGCAAAAAAAGCGCACGCGTAGAGAGGAATATGGGGGAGCAAACAATGGTTCCAATTTAGTGCGTCATTATGATCCGAGTAAAAAGATCCTTCCTTTGAGAATGTGAAAAAGAACGCCCGTGTATGAGACATCCACCTGATGTTGATGATACTGGTGTTCTGGATCCTCGTTATCTTTTCTACTTGGATCTACTCCTTTCCATTATCATAGCCCCAACCCCATTTAAGCATGATTTGACACGGACCATTTTCCATCACTTTCTTCTCGCTCTTCTCTCTTCTCTCTTCTCTATACAATCTTACTCTCTCGCTCTATGTATTGCTCTATCACGAAGCGCTGTTCTTACAATCAAGCCTTGCTGTTACTCTCCAAGACTGCTGTAGTACTTTACTATCACTCGGTGGTCCTTGCTATTACTTTCAGTTGTGGGTGTCATGTTCTTTGATCCATGGTCCTTGCTCTTGCCATATCATGTCATTGGGTCTGACAACAGGCAGCAGTCATTGTTGTCGCGTCATCATCAAGCAGAAAGCGTGGGTGGTGTCATGGTCTCTTGGTATTGGAACCTTGGTACATTTTGTCTACGGCTCTTGGTCCTGCACACTATTGCACTGGTCTGACAACATGCAGGCGTTATCTTTTCTGGTGTTATTGTCATCAAGTGAAGGATTCTTTTTGCTCAAGTCGACGGTCAAGTTCCTTGTTCATGGTCCATGGCCAAGATGGTGGTCAAGTTCCTTGTTCAGCAAGGATTGGTCTTATTATTTATTCGGTGTCCCTCGTCTCCACTCGCCTCCGCCTTTCCCCTTTCCCCCGGTATCCCTCTCCCCAGCAAGGTAAGTCTGTCAAGTTTGGATCTTGATGTATGATTTATACTGACATCTTGCAATAGTAGAGAACATAAACAACGGCACAGCCATCCACGGCCCCCCTACGCTAACCACGTAGAGGGGGTCGGAGCCGGGTTTATCCCGGCGTTCTCTACTTGCTGGTCGAGTAGGGGTAAGTAATGGCATTTGGGTGTTGTGATCTTTCATTATTGATACTAACAACCTTCTTTTACTACGGTTCTTCTTCCGTGATCTCTTTGGCTTTCATTTCCTTTTTGGTTATCTTTTATTCCTTTCATGGATTACTTCATCTTATCAACATTCACTTATTTTAATAATAAAGATATTGGTAGATAATACGATAGAAAATCAAAAAGAATTATCGAGCATTTGCAGATGTGGCAGCGGGAGCAGAGGATGGTATCAGGTCATTGTTGTTGTTGCAAGTAGGTGGTGATGTGGAGGAGGAAGAGGGAGGGGTAGCTGAGAGAGGAGGTGAAGCCATTGTTGTTGACCCATTTTGTGTTTGTTTGTGGTGGTGGCGAATGTCAATGGGTGATGATACCGGTAAATCTGGTCTTTTAGATGATGTGTTTTCATCCGTGGGTGTTGATGTTGCTGCTACTACAGTCATGATGGCTGCTGGTGAAGAGTTTTGTCGTGGAGGCATGGAGGGAGAGGACGATGATCCAAGTTCACCTGCAACCCTTGATTTCTTTAATTGCATGGCTTCCTCACACTTTCGTAAAATGTCTCGAGCACTCGCTTCCATGTCCTCTTCGTCAAATGATAAGTTCTGTAACGGCACAATGATATCTTCAGGAACCTATCATACCAACCATATTAGATTTCATGACTTGAATACACACACACACACGTGTTACATACCGCACAAAATTCTTCTTGATACTGCAAAAGCATATGGATGGTATCAATGACGGTGGCAGAAAACAATTCATCTTTGAGTGGATCCTTGTTCTTGGAATACAGTACATTGGGTGCCAGCACCGTTGCAATGTTCATCAAATCCATCTTGCTTCCATTTCCATCCTCAGTCTCGGCAAAAGTCGACACCCATTTAAGAAAGAGAAACAATACTTCCATCGTGTCTCGATTGGGTTTTGGTAATAAACAGCATGCCAGATGCAATACCCGCTTGCGATCTTGCTCCGATCTGATTTCTACATAGTCATCACGCGTGTGAGTAGGCGTCTCTTTTTCTCTCCCCCAATCCATCTTTTTAGATACTCACTGCTCACCACGGTAAACAACTTGTACAATTTGTAGGTCAACAATGGCTCTGGCAGCTCACGTAAAAACTTTTTAATAAGAGCAGCCACCTGCACCGGGGTCTCGTTGGATAAATGCACATTATTCGGATTGGCGTCCATCTCATCGCTCAGTTCTTTTAATCGTCGAATGTTGCCATTTTTACGGAAAATGCCTTCCACGGACATGTCTACATGTACATGATTTGTTAAAACACCATCACATCCTTCTCCTCTTGCCATCCATCATTGAACTTACCCATCCGCTTCATGGCTGATATGCTATCATCAATAAATGTGGGAATACGGATACGGCTTGGCCCAGCGCCCAAGTTCGACTCGGCGCCATTCTTTTCAACCAGCATATCCAATGGCACGCCAAAGGTTCCCTCTATTATCACAATTCAGTATCCTTTCCCACACAATCAAGATTCACCAATTTACCTTTAGATTTCTTGTTGCCTCCAGCTCTGAGACTAGTGACAAACTTTCCCCATAAAGTCGAATTCTTTTTTTCATCAATCAAATCCACCAGCTCTTCGAGCGTAAAATGATCCTTGAGCAAGTCTTCCAAATAAAGCACGGCAATGTGCTTCACCATGAAATGATTCAAGGCACTGAGCTCGGCAATGTATGTAAACTTGGCCACAGGCTTCACCTTTGCATAGGCTGAAATGGAGGTGTGCATAGGAGGACGATTTTGTTGTTGTTGTTGCAATGATTGTGTCGACGGAATGGGTTGTGCTGCTGTTCTTGGATCTCCACTATCACTAGGGCTGGGAGTGGGTATAGCTGTTCTTGCTGTCTCCAAGGCAACGCTATCATCTTGTCCGCCCTGATTTGCCACATAGGCGGTGTTGGGACTAGGCGTTTCCATCAACGTGGATCGTTTGGCAATACGACGTGAATCAGTGAGCTTTCTACCGGTGCTGGTGGATTTCACACGTTTGATATCACCCAAGTGAATGGTTTCCTTGTTGGTATTGTCGTCTTTGGATGGATTGTTATCGTCATTGGGCGTTGGATTGGTTGCTGCTGACATAACGGCTGCTGCATTGGCGACATTGGCTGGTGGTTGATTTTGTACAGGTGGCGTATCTAATGGGATCCAATAGGTTAATACATCTCCCTTTAATCCATCCATCACGGTACAACTCACCTTGCAATCCCAATAACTTGTAGAGTCGTCGATGTGTGAATCGAAGCAAGAACGAAAACTGCTGCAATTGTGATACGCGTTCAAAGCCTTGTTTGAGATCAGGTCCAGGTGTTGTACACAGCTTGCATAAAATGAGTGATTGCTTTGTATCCCAAAAGGCCGATTCATATTCGTCACGAAGAGGTGCACAGCACTTTGAACATGCAAAACAGCGATCGTGCCAACGCATATGCATCAAACGATAACATTGATCATCGCAAATGGTGTTACACGCGTGACATTGGTCAGTTGCAAGGGGAGAGTCAAGGTCACTTGATGTGTAGCGTTGCTTATTGGCGAGTTCAACCAGCTGACTTAGGAAGCGACTGATGACAATGGATTTTGTATCTTGCTGCTTTGCTTCCTGAAATAGAGAGAGAGAGAGAGAGAGGAAGATGTTAAATATAAATGCATGATAAAGCATCATAGTAGACTTACCAATTTCAAAGCAGCCTTTAAACCAACACGGATTAATCCCTTGAGAAAATGAGCCAAACGAGTGACCAATGATAAAAGATCTTCGGTGATGCCCATTCGCCTTAAGCCGGTCTCTTGCGTTTGTGATAGCAGGGTGAAAAAGTTGATAATCTTTCTGCATAGCATGCGTGATTCCCGCTCGTGTTGAAAGTCCGGTAGTGATTTGGCGTGGTATTGTGATACGAGATCGTCAATGGCAGCAAACAACACCTCGACATGGGTAACAAAGTAATCAGCCATCCTTAATCCATCACCATAACTTCCTTGAGAGACGTGGATCAACATGTCAGAAATGCAAGCTGCAGCCGATTCTATTAAATTTGTGTCTGTGAGTACATGCATAACATTGCATACCACCACCATCATCCTGAATCCTTTACCTTCAAATGCTGAAAGCACGGTCCATATACGATATACTTTGTCTTCCATGGCAATTTGAGAGTCTCGAAGCTCATCGATCGTCATTTTTGTAACATCTAAGGAGAAGGACAATAAGTCGCTTTTTTTTTCTTTTTGACAAGAACGGGGGGTGGTGGTGGTGCAAAAAGTCAATACCTCGATCTTGACGGTCAGCTTGTTCGCCGTCTTGTGCCACCTTGACATTCCAAAACTAGAGGAGAGAGAGAGAGAGCAATTAAGCATAGGTTGCGTGTGTGTGTGTGTGGATAGGTATCTTACCTTATGGATCATGTAGCACTCTGGATGCCAGTGTTCATCCACGTTGTTTCGAGGGATCTCCACAAATTGCTTAAGGATGGCCGTTTCACAACCGGAGCATTGAATAGCGAATTTGATCGAGTAGTGATAGTGACAATAGACATTGTTGTCATGTTCATAGTATGAATCTTCAGGACCAAACACAACAGAGCAAGCGCTGCAACAGAAATGCTCCAAATGGAACTTTTTGCCAACTGCCGTAATATAGGGTCCCCTGAGAGCGTCCCCGCAACTTTCACATACAAGGTTGAGTCGTCGAAAATAGTCTCGTTCACAAAGCGGTTGCTGTACACCATGGTCGCCTTCAATGGGAAAGAATCGTGAAGCAACAGGCTCATTGCAATCCTACATTGAGAGAGAGGCTGTCAAAAGGTGTGTGCATAGGTTTTGTATAGACTGATTTGGACACCTACGAGACAACTGAAACAATCCCAGTGAAAAGTGCCGTCTAATGCGCGTACATATTCGCCTTCAATCAAGTGCTGGCATTTGGTGCAATACAGAGTAGATGTTGGGCATGGTGGAGCAAGTTGATCACAACAAGAAGCGTCAGTGGATGAGCACTCTGGCGGTGACATTTCACAAGGACAAACGGGCGAGGGTCAAAGAAGAAAAATGAGCGAAGGGGAGGAGAAGAAGGAAAAGGATAAAAGAGTAAAAGAGAAATAAAACGAGGGCGAGGGGTGGGGGAAGTAGATGTGGACCTGGCGTATAGACAAGATAATAAAAGAGTGGACAAAAAAGGAACGAATGTTAGCGAGGTTAAAAAAAGGTACAAATATCCAAGAAGAGCGAAAGAGAAAGAGAGAATAAAGGTAGCTGATTTGATGCCTGAGAAGGAGTCAAAGGCACACACACACACACCACACACACACATATTGTGATCCCCCATTCAGTCTGCCTTTTTTTTACACTCAGCAACAACCATGGATAGGATTCAATAATAGATACCATTCGCTTTCATGCACACGTCTCTATTGCCATGGAGATGTATATAGTTGCCATGTCATTAACAACATTGGTGGTGATCGCATGGTTTCGCCATGTGTTTTGAGCAAATCATTGTGTTGCACAATTATCGACTCACATAATAACAAACAAAAGAGATTGCTTTACATAACCAATATACCCCATTCATGATGACCCTATAGTAAACTCATCCAGGTTTCAATCAAGGATAGGATGTTGAATGAGGTCACTAGTATGCTATTTCAGGATAAGTGAGTACGAATCCCGCAACAAACCTTTGCGGAAGAAGAGAGAGAGAAAAAAAAGACTCGAGGTCGAGATCATGCGTCTGATCTGTGTGACAAAAAGGTTATCCCTTTTTCGTGCAACATCAGTAAAGTTTACGGATCACACGGCATTATACAGAATTCTTGACAACAATGGTCGACTATATATGTATATACATTCAACTTTATCACCACTACCATCCATCTACTCATTGAGAGAAACGTATAATACATGGGATGTTGATACAATGGTGATGATGATGATGCTATTCTTCTTTAAGGGATGAAGAGGCGAGGAGAAGGGAATTGTACAAGGTGATGATGATGATGATGAGCTAATCAGCTAGCATAGTATCGTGCCAGGTGAACAGGATGGTATTTCGTACTTGAAGAGCATCTTCTCGACGTACTTTAGCGAATTGATTGGTCAAATCGATGCAACGTTCAATATTCTCAGGGCTGACAAAGTCGTATGCACATTTGACTGCACTATGGTAATTGGCAACTTGATGGGCACATCCCGCTGGAATATACACGGCATCACCGGCATTTTGATAAATACGCCAACTCGAGATCCCATATTCTTGTTGGAAACGGTTACGTAGCTCATTGTTCAAATACAGCCATTGGTCATGGATGGGGTCAGCAATGGGTCGTTCTCGTTCCGCGGCAATCTTGGTAAGAAATTCTCGTAGCTGGGGAAGCGCTTCATATGGATAAATATCCCACACGGCACCGGCATCTTCATTGGTCGCATACGCGTAACACATGATGTTGACAGCATCGGCCATGTCACAGTGCAGGTTTGTGGTACCCACTCCATCATCTCCCTTTTCGGATCCATAGGCGATAAACATCTTGGGACCAAGATCAGGTGGTAGCTGGCTCTTGGGAACACGATTGCAAATGTTGAAATAGCCTTCAGGTGTGCTGTACTCTTTGACCGGCAAGCTCTCCATAAATGAATGATGAAGATCCGGAAAGCACTTTTCAAAGTCGTCCTTGGGTGGCCAATCCTATGTAAAATAGAGTCAATCCTCCATCCATCCATCTATCCCATATTCAATCCCCCCCCATCCTTCCTTTACTTGCCTTGATTTTATACATGGGCGATGTTCCAGTCACAGGGTCATAATTGGGTCGTTTCATTGGATCATCAAATCCACGAAAGAACGTCTCCACTTGCATGTCTTGTCGCTCTCCCGTATGGCAATCAATCACCTCTGCAATCTGTTCCCCATACTTTTTGATAAAGCTCCTTGGTGACCACGATCGCTGGCTGTTGGACATCATGGCGTTCCGTACTTGCATAGGCTTCCCTTGTTTCCAATATTGCTGAAAGACGTCGAGTGTGATCAAGATCCCATCAATATCAAGATATCCATTCTTTGAATATTTGTCAATAACAGCTTCCACGATGTTGATGTTGTTGATGCTGCTTTGATTAGGTTCCTTCTTGGCGTTGCCATCATCATCATTCTTACAATCGGCTGTTGATATGATGTTGTGTCCATTGTCATTCTCCTGCTTCATTGGTATGCTCTCCTTATCGTCGATGGTGGTATCACGTGCTGCGTCATGGTCATTTTGACATTTGACATTGCTGCTGCTGCTGCTTCTGGTAGATAATAATTCATCCACATCCATGTCACACTGCTCCAAGATGTTGTCAATCATGTCGCTGTTCAACTTCTCCATGGGAACCATCTGGCTCTTGTCGTGAAAGCGTTTGTATGAACATCGAGAGGCTTTAATGCTCCATTTTTCTTGATTATAGCACCATGGACACATATCCAGACCGCATACGGCACACATGTAGTGGGCATTAAATAGAGTTGTTGAACATAAATCACACATGTGCCTGTCGTCTTCGGTTGGAGGACGTCGTCGAACCTTGTTTCCATGTTGCTTACGCTCCTTGACGTCTGCCTGCAGAAGTTTGTAGAGCCCTTTGCGTATATTGGAAAGCAAGTATTTGCGCTGCCTTTGTACATGTCGTATTCGTCCATGCTTGAAATACTTGCTCAGCGTATCAGGTCCATGATAATTGACAAAGCGTGGTGTCCTCCCTGCTTTATCGCTGCAATCAAACCCACGAATGTTGTAAAAACGGCAATCGAGTGATTTGGAGTTTCTACAGGCTCGGCAGATATTATATGGCTTGTGATCATACGGCTTGAAAGATCGGCATTTGGTCGATTGCACGGTGATACTGGCAGTTGTGTCTTCAAGTGCTTGTTGAATGTTTGCACCAGCCAAAGGATTCCTTGGCCTTATCTTCATTGGATCAGCAAACTGTAGGAGCGTGGACGAAGCGATGCAGTCGGGTTAAAGGAGGCGTAAAGGGCGTGCTATAATAATAGCTATGCACCACCACCGTGCACCACAATTCGGAACTCCTCCCAGTCAAAGCGCACGCAGCCGTTGACAAAAGAATCAGCTGATGTTAGTTATCGATCGTTCTTTACCCATCAATTTGGAACCATGTGAATCAGGGACATGAAACCTATCACTATTCACCATGATCCCTTCCATTTATCCCTCGCTACACGGTTGCCATGGGCTAAACCTTAAATTAACGTGGCAATCTGATAACAGATCAGATCTCTCCTATGTAACGCTGATAGACATATCATCCAATACGTAATCATCAATAAACCAAAGCACTTTAAACCATCCATAGTATATCTATTTAAACAGCTATTTGTCAATGCGATCATTTAATGTATACATTCCTTGATTTGTATGGTGCGTGGTTGCTATGTTGTCTATTTTGACAAGGAAATTGGTTGCCAGGGTTACCCTATTGTCACTTTCTTAACCACCTCCAACAATCCAAATCATGCTGTATCATTATTGTATCAACTTCCAAGCATATATTTCAACGATATTGTTAAACAGGCCAACCACTAGCTCATCTTGTCCATCTGCATTCACGTCCCCTACGGTGATATCTTGTGGCCAATCGCTCGTCTTGATTTCGGAAATCAACTAGATCCTTTATGTATCAATTGATTGTGACAAACAATGAACTCCTTCACTTACCTCGCCATGACTATATATCCGAATGCAATTTGCAAGCCCAACACAAGCTACAAGATCTGGTTCATTGTCTGGTAAGCAGGTCGGCCGAAAAGTCATAATCTTGGAAAGACCAAAGCCAACTTTGAACCAAGGATGAATCTGTAAGGTTTATACAACGTCAATACCGTTGCTCCCACTCTCTCTGATTGCCCTTTGTATCATACCTCTCCATCAACCATAATATACACAGATCCATCTTGACCACCCAAAAGTACTTGATTGGTGTCAATCACAATATCTGTATCGGCATGATATTTTGGTCTTGATGTTTCAGATGATACTCGAAAACGTCTTGCAGATGATGCGGATAAAAAGCGACCTGTTGCCATCTAATATACCTTGTGAGTGATTTCCCTGATAGAATCAGCATTTCTTACCGATTGAATGACCGTTGGCACACGTATTGATTGGATTCTTTTGCCATCTTGGATAAAGTGTACAAAGGGCCAGCCATCACACACCAAGAGCGTACGTTGAGGATTGTTGAATCGATCATTGAGAATGGCAGATAGTATACAATGGATGCCTACAGCACGATATCGATTCTATATACCAAAGGTGTTAGATGTTGGATCATTGATCTCTCTTTGATTCTAAACTTACCATGCCTAGCGTTGCTGTTGTCTTTGATTCTCTTCCAATATCCAATGTCCAAAATAGCTCACGTGGATGAAAACTCGTCACTTGACCATTCATGCTTCCGGCAATAATCTCGTATCCCTGTGCTATGCAAAGATGAGACCTCGACATTGGATAGAAACGTGTATCATTTTACCTTCCATCTCATGTATACAAATGTGTGTTGCTGGTGAACCGATATCCAGTTTACTCAGAAACCGTTGACGCGAGAACATGGTCACCACACCGTTCGAGTCTCCCACCACCAGATCTTGAGCTCGTAGGCCTGTCAGATCGTATAAATGCATTGCCTGGATCGAGCCACCTTTGGTTTCCATGAGCACTTCAGGAGGCTACCAAGACGAGAATTGAGCGTGTGCGTATGCGTGTGCATGCATGGGGGGCGTACCTTGGATTGATTCAGAATGAGGATACGACCTGCTGTACTTCCAATGAGGATATCATTTTCTTCTATAAGCTCTTCAAGGAAAGGTTTGCCGACTGCCAAACAATTGATTGGATCCTGAAGCTTTCGACTCCATAGCTTTTCATATTGAAGTTGCCAACGAGTGTTCATAATGATGATTGTCCAAAGAAGAAGGGGTGCGTTCAATCAATCATGCTATCTCAAGTCCGCATCATTCATTCACCACAGCACAGCAGCAGCAGCAGCAGCAGCATAAGACACGTGAATCCTCTGGGAGTCATCTGCCATCTTGCACCCACAACATATGAAACACATGGAAACACCCATCATCATTCCCTCCAGTAGCCAATACATGCCATTAATACCTCTTGTTGCATCATGCACCGTTGTATACCTCATTCACCATGCATGTTTAACATTCAGGAACAACACTCTTTTTATAAAAGATCAACTTTATCGCCATCTTCTTCCTTCTTTCCTTTCCTTTCCTCCCCCACCCACTCAAAATCTCCTCTGTACACCCATCTTCTTCCTCTCTTTCACTCTTTCAAAATTATGATACCCACTGAACATGATGCGTTGATAGACAAGACTATAAAAACATCCACTCACGACCATTCACAACAACAACGTATCAGTCATTGGCGTTGGTTTGTGCTACTTGTCTTTTCACTATTGTCGTTCTCAAGTGCACTCATGTGGGACACATTTGCACCATGCCTCTACATTTTCGTCGACTATTACTTTGGATCGGTGACACCGGTTACGGTCAATGCCATTAACGCCATGTCGTTGGTGTATATGCTTCTCTATCCTTTTGCAGTACAGCCGACGCTGCATTATTTTGAGGACAGCAAAGGAGCCGGTACAGGCCTCAAGCGTGGAGTCATGATTGGTGCGTCCCTGAATGCTTTGGGTGCTGCTATACGTTGGCTAGGCCGATCGCCCGATCGATTCATGGTGCTCTCCGTTGGTCAGGTGGTAGCTGCATTTGGCAAGTAGTCTTAGTGACAACATCACCACCATCATCCATCCATACATGTCCTGAGATGCTTATACAACATGACATCATCATTATCTATCTAGGTCAAGTCTTCATCTTATCGATCCCACCGAAACTGGCAGGTGATTGGTTTCCTGAAAACGAAGCCAACTTGGCAACGGCTATTGGCGTATCAGCAAACAATCTTGGTGTGGCAGCTGGATGTATATGGAGCCCCATGGCTATTATGCCCGATACCATGCAGGAGGATATCCCTTGGTTACTATTATTACAGGTACACATTAAACTCGATCGCCGCCCATACATGTTATTCACGCTAATGCGTCTCGATGATGCATATAGTTTCTCCTCGCTACATCGATCCTCATGCTCACTTGGTTGGCATTTCAACGAAAACCAGATGTACAACGGTAGGATTTATCCTCTTGGCTGCATGAGTGTCTCAACATCATCCTAACTCATTCTTGATACCCAGGTTGATTCCGCATGATGCAAGGGATGATGGAATATCGCATGACAATGATGACAGCAATGGTGGTGGTTGTGGTGGTAGCATGCTTTGGAAACAGCCGTCGTTTTATTACATGCTGGCATCTTATGGAGTCATTATGGGTGTCCAATGTTCAGTGATCACGCTCCTTGCTCAAATTCTCATGCCACCCTTTCAGGACACGATCGATGAAAGTTTTGTCGGCTGGCTCGGTTTTATCATGCTTGTCATTGGGTTCCCTGCTAGTTGCATCATTGGACATTACTTGGATCAGACGCTCCGATATAGATTGGTATCGAATTTCCTTACAGCATGCATGGCTTTGAGTGGTGTTGGATTATACCTATCGATTGAATTCGATTCCCTCATTGGTGTATCCGTGTCATGGTAAGCGTACATGGTTCCTTTGTGTTGTTAATGTCAGCAATGTAACATGGCCTTTTTCTTCTAGTATTGTCCTTGGCATCACCACATCAGGTAGGATGATGTATATACAACAACGCAGGCTAGCTACTAATCAACATGTCTTTATAACATAGCCATTACACCTGTGCTCTTTCAATACGCTAGTGAGCTCTACTATCCTATCAATGAAAATACACCCGCTGGTTATTTGCTTTCGGCAGGTAATATTGGAGGCGTCTTGCTTGTTACGGTGTTGGGATGGAGCGAAGACATGTCGAGACGATTCTCTATGAAGATACCCATGCTATTCCTTGTGGCAGTTTTGTTTATCACCGTTGTCTTTATGGCTATGATCAAAGGACCATTGAAGCGTACACTCGCCACCACGCAGTATTTAACGTCTTTACCAGCATAATGATATCATCATCCCCCCTATTCCCATTGTCCTTTTTTTCACTTTCAACACTGTACAAATTACATTAGATCTCGTATATATGATTCATTCAACATGTCTATATTAAAACTTCTTCTTTGGCTCATCATGTTTAATATCTATTATCATTACGCTTGTGCTCCTGATAAATCATGAAGCAAACTTTGTCGAGAGTGTACACCTTCCTGTCGTCTTCGCTTTCCTTCTAACCAAATCATGGTCTCTGCATAGGTCTTTGGGAGGATGCGTCGTGGGGATGCCTTGTCACTTGTGGCAGCCATGGTGAAGTAGAAAATATTGGTGGTTTCACTCTTGCCTTTGTTGATATCAACGACCTCAGCAACAACACGCACTTGGAATGACTTGTGAGGATGACCTTCGGCATAAATAATTTCAGACTTGAGATTAAGCAATGTACCAACGTGCACAGGTTTGCGGAATACACATTCATCCATTGCAAGGAGCATGGCATCTCTTGACTTTAGGTACGTGATGGAGTTGGCATAGGCGACCTCGTAGGCTCGACGCATCAAGTAACCACCGAAAATGTTATTGTGGATATTACGATCTTGGGGCTGCATCAGGAACGTGCTATCAAGACGTGTATCCTTCATCCATACCACATCTTCAGGCAATGGCACTCTTTCCTCGATTGAGACACCACTTGTGAAAGAATCATCTTCACCGCCCAAGTACTTGCTATATTCAAGGTACGTATCGTGGATGGCAAGACGCTCACTTGGTGTAGGTGGCATTCGGCTCAACGACGATTCAACTGCCTTCTTCTTTCGTGCCTTGTTGGCCATGGCAAATTCGAACAAACGTTCTTCAGCAGGCGAAGTTGTTTTCAATGGGTTGATTTGGACCGATTTACGGGTAACGGAATCAATGGCAACCATGGTAAAGCGCGTTGCGAGCACCGTATTGGGACTAAGATGACCAACAAGATCTTGCGAAGTCGGGGTATGTTGCTTCTCCAAATCCAGATCCTGGATGCCTTCAGGGATGGTCTCGGCCTTAAGAAAGACTACATCGAGTTAACTAAATGATAGTTGTAGAAGTTGTAGCTTACTTACTTTCCATGGAACTTCTTCCCACATACGTCACTTGACCTGTCAACTTGTAATCTTCAACCGCTTTTGGTAAGAATAAATCAAAACGATCCACGCATGCTGTAACAATGGTGACGGGACGTGCTTGAGGATCACCATTATCAATATGTTGATAAGCAATAGAGCCAGCCATGGCATCAAGATCTATTAGAGAATGCAAGGACGTTGAGTTTCTTCTTTCCTCCTATGACACTGTTGTGCTTCCTTTTTACCTTCCAAAAGTTTCCCGGTGCGAATGCGACCATCCACGGTGATATAGTCATCCAAAAGAGCGGGAGACGATTTGAATGGCAAGTATTCAATCATGGCACTGTCTGCAATCTGTCAACATTGTATTTCATGCGGCAAAATAAGAAACAAAGACACGTGTGTGTAACACGCCATCGGGCGTTTTTTCTTCCAGCACACTTGCCGTCTTTTCGATCAATTTGCGTTCCTTGCCGGGATGAGTGGGGCAAACGGATTTTTGATTTTCGCGTTGTAGAATCTTGTCCATCCAAAAGCGTTGACGTCGTGTACCATAAATTCGATCACGCACACCTGTAGCATCATCATCATCATCAACATTAATAAGGTGTCCTCCTAGTCTGTAGGATCATGATGCTGCCAGCTAAACGTACTTTGTGGGTGAGGATGTTGATGGCTATGATGATGACTATGGCTATCGAGAAGTTGTCGAGTGGTTGAAAAGGATCGTTTTGTAGTTGCCAATACAGGTTGTTGACGTGGCAAAGGTTTTATAGAATTGCGTAGTGTAATACGAAGCATCGTGATCTTTGGGTTAGGGTACAACAAAGAAAGAAGAAAGGGAAAAGAAAGAGGAAAAGAGAGAGCGAGACTGAAAAGCAAATACCGCGGAGATTACCCATGCCGTCATTGATGTTATCCCCACACACATATGCATGCCCACCCACACACACACATGGTGTGCTCTTTTTCTTGCCTTCCCGCTTGATTGTTTCTCGGATGAATGCGGGTGGTGGGTCCGTGTCCATATTTCAGAGGGAAAAATGAGAATCCGCAGACATGTGTGTAACCAATCAACCATCAACTTCTTCCTGCAATTACTGTAAATGAGACGTAGAGATATTCTTACATCCACACGCACAGTGACAATGGCCCCATTCATATGCAAGGGCTACCACCTGTGATGCAAGCTAAGTAGCTGTCAATAAAACATAATTTGGGTTTTGTTTATCATTGTTTCTCTCTCGTCTCTCTCCCTCTCTCTCCTGTTTGCCATATGGCGTTCGTTTGACAAGTCACTTCAGGTCCACCTCTTCTCCTCTCTCTCTCTTTCACTCTTTAAAATGAATGCCCCACTTCCCGATGCCCGTGTTGGCAGAGAAAAGCAGAATTACGATGCTCAGGGTGCTCGACAGGTCATTGCCCCATGCTGTGTGCTCTCTCCAATGGCAACGAATGACTAACAAAACGTATTACAACAGGTAGCCGTCGCTATCCCTATCAACAAGGAAACCAAGCAAGTCCTCATTATCACCAGCAGCAAATATGCCAATGTGTGGGTGTTGGTAAGTATATATAGGATGGTAGTAGACTCAACGCATCATAACACGTTATCTTTATTATATAGCCCAAAGGAGGATGGGAGAATGATGAGACTCAAGAAGAAGCTGCCAAACGTGAGACATACGAAGAGGGTAAGATTGATCTTGTTCATCCATCATCATCATCATCATATAACATGGCTGTTCCTGGATAGCTGGTGTATTAGGCGATATCACTGGATTCATTGGCAACTACATGGATTATACATTCAACGGTCGTCCAAAGTCATACTTTTGGGTCTATGAACTCGATGTCAAGCAAGAACTACCAACATGGCCAGAAATGCGTGTTCGAGAGCGTCGCTGGGTAAATGATAAAATGAGTTGGGGGACGGAGGGGGAGAAAAGGCAGCATGCAAGGATTAAACAAGTTCCCTCTATAGTGCAACTTTGATGAAGCCATGAAGGCCTTGGAATTCAAGCCATTTATGCAGCAAGCATTACTCAAATCATCCATTGCTCCAACACCACCATCATAGTTGCCCTTTTTTCGGATCCATAAAGCTCGACTTGAGGAAACAATGACATGCACTCATTCATTGATTACTGCCTTTCGCTATATGATGCTCATTGTTGCTGCTCGCAATACTCGATCCTTGTGTCCACCACCTTTCGTTTGGATGTCATTAAACCAATAGCTGTATACTGTATCACAATGAACCATAACGTTGACATGGGGGTAATGGTGATGGGAATAGGGTGATAGTGGTGATAGTGGTGATTAAGAGGATCATGGGAATGTGGCGGATCTAGCCGAGGAATCTTCCAGCATGAGAGTAAACAAGGTTTTCAGCGTACCTTAATGGTAGTGGTGGGATGAAATCAATAAACGTCATTTGCCTTGAGCGCACACCAACATTAGTACCACTCACTAGATTTTCTTTATATGTCGAGTGTAGCCAATGAGTGTCACCTATCGAGATCATTTATGATGCAATCAGTTTTATGCAAAGCACGATTACCTAATCCTTTCTTTTTCTTCAGGGCATCGACCTCTTTGCTTTTGTATTCAATTCACATACACTATCTAATCACTGACAACTCCTTTATTTGGATTGTGCATGGATTCGATCCCACACAAAGGACAAAAAGGTTGTCAAGAATCAATTCTTTGATTTTGCCATGTGTCGCCTTCATTCCAGGTTACACGGTCGTCAAGATTACAAGACATTCACGGAAATCAAGGAAAAAGGATTTCCCTCCTGTAAACTAGCCTATAAAAGATTTGGCTACTTTGTCAGCCTTCTCCGCCTTTTCTTTAGTTTTTGTTTTCTTTACTACTACAAAGGATGTTACATGAAAAGGATGTCGAGGGGAATGTTGCGTCAACGACATCAACGGATGACCATAGCAACAAAGAACAAGCGCTGGCAATAACAACAACGACGATGCATAAAAAATGGTGGCAATTTTGGAAAAGCGACTCGACGGTGGATCCACATTCCTACTCAACATTGAAAAAATCGACCATCTTGATCATCATTTCATTTGCTGGTGCAGTGTAGGAGTTGTAACAGTGTGTTTTTATGCCTCTCTCATTCATTCATTTTTCTCCCAGGAACCCGATTGCATCCACCGTCTATGTAAGAAGCGGGATCAAATGTCCAACAACCCCACCCAAAAATCATCATCATGCACCTGACACTTGCCCTTATAGTACCCAGCCTTGACCGAAGTACAGCGTGCATTCAATACAACGGACACCGCTGTCAACGCATCTGGTAACTATGATCGATTGCAACACCTTTTCAACTCGGTGTCCACCACCTTTTGGTACTTACATGCAGTCATCGGTTAGTTTCATTGTTTGTTTTCCTCACCGCCTTTTGTGTAAGACGAAGAGCTCTGATACATGTATTCTTTGAAGCTTAACTTTGCTATTTAGCCTCTTGTTTGGGCTTCTTGGAGTGATGGAACCGGTAAGCAATTCCACTCTCTCACGCTTGTAAACATCATCATCATTCATCAATCGCTTGGATGCTATGTAGGACGACGACCCATTTACCTTGTATCATTTGCAATTGCCATTGTTGGATCCATTTGCTGTGCTGTATCTGTCAACATTGCCATGCTTATCGTTTTTCGTGCCGTCAGTGCTGTGGGTGCATCTTCGGTACGTTTATCATTATGCAAATCGATTCAATCCTATTTATACATCATCGCTTTCTTATGATTCAGGTAATGTCACTGGGTGCTGGTAGTTTGGCGGATTGTTTCGAAGCCCACGAACGAGGGCGTGCTTATTCGTTCTATGTTGTGGGTCCAATTGCAGGACCTGCCATAGGGTAAGAAGTGGAATAACCCATTGCATGTACGTATTCCTAATGGTCGCCTTTTTTAGACCCATCATAGGTGGCTACTTGACAGAGAGATTTGGATGGCGATCCACATTTTGGTTTGTGGCCATTTTCATCTTTTGCATTTGGACCTTGATTTTATTCTTTCTACCTGAAACGTATCGGCCTGATCCAAGTACAGCAACAGCAGACGTTTCAACTAAAAAGGGAAAACTAAGGATCCCTAATCCCGTGGGTGCTCTCAAGCTGCTACGATTTCCCAATGTGCTGGTGGCTGTGATATTTCTTGGAATCATGTTAGTCATACTTCTTCCACGCACAACAATGCACGTGATGGTAGTAGTACAACAACAAAGACTAACGATTTCTAAAAAGGTTCGGTGTCTATTATTTACTCAACACGTTATTTGCATGGACCTATGCCAATCAATACAAGCTGGATTCTGGTACAGTGGGTTTGTGCTTTTTGCCATCTGCCGTCGGTGGGATTTTAGGCGGCAATATTGGTGGTCGTCTCTCGGATATTGTATACAACCGCAATGTTAGGAAAGCAGGGATCGGTGCACCCACGTATCCTGAAATGCGACTCAGCATCCCTGTTTTATGCATAGCATCATTCATCTTGTTTGGCTCATGTGTGGGCTATGGCTGGTGTGTGCAAGAAAATGTCCATTTCGGTGTTCCCATGGTGTTTTTATTCTTTGGTACATGAACGTTGTTGTGTACAAACATGCCTTGTTTTACTCATAAATGGTATTTCTACATAGTTTCCTTTGGGATCATGCTTCCCCACGTGACTCTCACGACCTATTTAGTCGACTGTCATCGTTCCCAGAGTGCATCTGTCACTGGTAAAGATGATTCCAATGCATGTGTAATGCATCGACTAATGACGTATCCATTCTTTTATAGCATGCAACAATCTTTCTCGTTATATCATGGCTGGTATTGGTACACTTTTATCATCTGATTTAATGCGTGCTATGGGCAACGGTATTCTATTTACAGTTGCTGGTGCCTTGGTGATTCTCCTTGGGATACCATTGATCTATATCAAGAAACGACCAGAAAAATGGATCAAGATGCGACGAGATCATACAAAGTAATTTACCCTCTCCATAATGTAATAGAAAAGCATTCCATCATGTATAATAATCATATCACCATGCATAAAAAAGGTGCTTGTGACTTGTGTGGTGCAACTGGGTCGCTGGCTTAATCCGACAAAAAAAGCGGCCTTCATTTTCAATCATTGTCCCTTTGTGTGTGTGTGCTTGCGTCCCTTTCTCTCTTTCTCTCTTTTACTCAACCTCTTTAAAGCCCATGGCCAGCTCAACGGTTCATCGGGATCTCTCACCAGCCGAACAACATGCGTCCTTGACCAATGCGGGTGCAACGATTGAGCAACTCATCAAACGCGACAGTCAATACCCTGACCTTGCAGATTTATTACGAGGCAAGCATACAACACGTGCACCACCCACGCGATCAAAGAGTGCATCTAGATTGTTGCTAACCTACATCAACATAGGTCCAACATCAGAGAACTATGTCAAACGCGTGAGTCCAATCGAACAGGACTTTATAAAGAGCCACAGCATCCAGATCCCTGACAACCTTGCTGAACAAATCGATCGTAAGTAAACACGCCATGTCACTTGTTGCAACGGGTTGTTTGTGTATCAAGGTTACCGTTGACAACTTTGTATATCTTCTAGAACTCGAGTGCCGATGTTTCATGGGCGTGCTACCCGAAATCAAGCGTGCGTGGATAACTGTTGATCACCGCCTCTTCTTGTGGAACTATGTGGATGGGTAATCATCATGCTGCACTAGAGATAATAGCTATGACAGCCTACTGATATCTCCTTTTTAGATCCGATTTCTATACCTACGAGGATCAAGATCAAATCATTTGTGGTGTTGGCCTTATCAAGCCCAAGCCTGGTATGTATGCATGTATAATCATGAGTGAGATCATCATCATCGTCTCTAATTCCTTCCTAACACATGCACAGATAGCTTTGGTGAAAACTACAACTATGTCCTCGTGTTGGCAACACCTGTGAGCATTAGTATCTTGGCAGTCTCCATTGACGACCATAGTGTCGCTGGTGACAGGATTTCCCTCTTTTTCACCGATTTGGCAATTCCCTCGGATGGTGTGCAAATGTCCCAGATCACTGGAACTGATGATGGCAGGATATTCATGGTGGGAGATGATGGACGTGTATATGAGCTAGAATATCATGTAAGTATTTCATTAGGATGAGGTTGGAGCTCTTTGGCATTGACATGCGTTTATATAGCAAAAGCGCGGATGGTTTCAACGGCACGGCTGTAGCCTGATTACTCGTACCCAGACTCCCTTTAACAGTTACCTACCTACATTTCTGAGGAAGCAAGCACCAGGTATGTGGATATCAATTGAAGGATGCATGGAAGGATATGGGCTAAAAGAGCGTCATATCATGTAGTCCAAGTTGCCCAAATTGCCATTGACAGTGAACGGAAGGTTTTATACATGCTGAGCAACATGTCCACCATCGACGTTGTGTATTTGGGCAATCCCACCAATCCATTCCAGATTGTTGCCAGCAACAATGACATTTGTAATCAAGCTCGCCTAGCGTGTCGACAAAGCACAGTCATCTTTGACCCATCAGAGTTCCAAATCAGAGCGATTCACGTCATATCCAAAGCCGAGTCCAAAAAAGTGCATCTTTTAGCCGTTTCCACCAGCGGCTTCCGCATGTATTTCACGCATCACCGCGACGCATTACGCTATATGACAAACAACCAAGATGATCAGCCACCCAATGCATTGGAATTGATCCACATTCGATTACCACCGCCTGTTGAATTTTCCGGTGCAACCCCCATGATGCAGGGACAAGAAAATCCAAACGGCATTGTTCATGAATCCTATTACGATTGTGGAACGATGATTACAGCAAAGATTATGAATGAGGACAAAGACAAAATCATCATGACGGCAGCCGATATGAGAAGTTTCGCCAGCCAGCTTGATGCCAACAATACGACAACGACGACTAATACCACTACTTCTACTACGTTCCCTACATCCACACCAGCATCCTCTGTTTATTCTTCACCAGCACAACGAATGACGCTTGTGGAAACGAGTACATCTATTGAGTGTGATGGACGCGTATACGCTATTGCCGAAGCCAACGTGCATCCAAAGGGAAAACAATGCATCAATGAAATCAGCAAACGACTCACCGAACCACCACGACAATTCCTTGTTCTCAGTGGAAAAGGATTGACTTTCTTTGTTAAACAACGACCTGTCGACATTTTACAACAATTGCTCTTGAACGCTCGGGATGACATTGAAGGACATGCTCGTGAATTCCTTGACTTTTTTGCCGGTTATGGCCGAGTCCAATCATGTGCCATGTGTCTCGCCATTGTTTGTGCCAACTTTGGTGCCACAACCCATGAACAAGGTAAGAAGAAAGATACCAACCATTCATTGTTGGTGGGATGCTCATTGTTTCTCTAGTCAGCGTGATCCGTGGTGCGACTCAATTATTTTTCGAATGTGGAGGAAGCCCAGCAGCAGCACCATCGATCACTACAGGTAGCAACTTCCTTGGCAAGGCAACGGGACCAGCAAATACCATTTACAGTGGCAAACATGATGGCTTTGCACTTTACTTTGCACGTTTGGTGGCGCCTGTTTGGAGCCTCAAAGTATTTGAAATCACGTAAGTTGAGCTTTTTCTATCATTCCTCATTGCTTTATTGACAATGTCATCACCACCCCCCTTATAGTAGCCAGCCAAAGGCAACTCAAAACACCAGTAAATTACAAGCTAAGCTCTTGGAATCGCAACGTGACCTTGTTCGCTTAAAGAGCTTCATGGATGCGTAAGTGTACAGGTTGGATTTCTTAATGCGAATACTAATTTTCTTCCATAGCAACCAAGAATTCCATGCATCTGCCAACATTACAGATTCTCGATTCCAGTCTGCTGATCAAGGAATGCTTCAAGTACTGGTGGTAAGTAAAATGCATCAATCGTTATTTAAGTCTGTTCACTAACAACGTTATGGATCTAGAACGAGCAACAATCACTGCATAGCCTATATATCCTCCTTACACAATGCATCGAAGCAATCTCATTCCTCGACTTTTTAATCGATGCAGGCATCCAAGAGATATTCCAAGGGTAAGTAGTACCACGTTCAAAGACAATGAATGGTCATTGACATATAAACATTGGCACGTTAGTATCCCCGAAAGTGCTCGAAGCGAGATACATAACCTGTCACTCGATACCATGCTCAAGGATCCACGTGGACGTGTCATGACGAGGGAGTTGGTGATTGCTGCCATTAACAAGTATGGTGCTTCACACACCCATGTTGGCTTTGATATTGTCAGTGATCTGCTACGACGTAAATGTAGCTCATTCTTTGGTCCAAGTGATGTTGCTTTCTACAAGGTAAATAGACACCCCTTATTTCCCTCTATAATGAAACTAATGAATGACTCCTCCATTTTGCAGGGTGTGGAAAATCTACGACGAGCACAACGAGCTGATGTTGAGCAAGAACGATATCATGCATTGACTGAATCACTGGATCTCTTTAAGCAAGGAGCTGATTATTTGACGGATGAAAAGTTATCAGAGATTTGTGCCGCATATGACCGAGAACACTATTACCTTGGCTCTGTTGAATTACCACTTGAGCGTGCCCAGAAGCTTGATCCACAGCAACAAGCACTGGCATATACCGAAGGTCGAGCTCCATTTGGTGATGCCGCTGGTCAGCAATTCCATCAAGAGCGAAAGCGATGTTATGAACACGTGTTTCGGGCATTACAATCCGTACGAGCCTCATGCAATACCCCTGATGCCAACCGCCACGCTGAGGCTGTTCATTATGCCAATCGGGTTCTCCAGGCGGCCCTTTCATATCAAGACAAGCATTTTCATTACGAGCTATATGAGTGGTTCCTTCAAGAAGGTCACAAGCGGGATCTTTTAGTTGTCGATAGCAAATTCTTGATTCCATTCTTCAAGGAGCGTGTTTCAGAGGTGGAAGGCATGGACTTTTTATGGCAATATTATCGGCGGAAAGAACAATATTATGAAGCAGCGCTTTATCTGGAGGCATTGGCATCACGGCCGAATGGGTTACCGTTATTAAAACGGGTAGAATATCTCGCACTCGCCATGGTCAATGCAAGGTGTCGTGATCCAAAACAACAAAAGGCTCAAGAAAGTACACAGCTGCTTCAGCAACTTGAAAGGAGTATCGGATACGCACGGATACAGATGCGATTACAACATGCACTCAATGCCATGGCAACCCCCGAAAGTCAGCAGGCTGCAAGAGAACTTGACACTGAATTGATGGATTTGAGTGATCTTTACAACAAGTATGCTCAGCCTTTTGGTATAATAGATGAAGAGCGTGCTATCCTGCAACTAGCAGATTACAATGATTCAGAGGAATCTTCTTCATATGTAACTTCTGATATCTTTAAATAAAAAGCAAAACTGAATCCATAAACAGTAAACCATAACAATGTCGTCAAGACGCGGTTTGAAATTCACATTTATCTTAGCTGCATGATGCGGGTTGTCCCTTTCTCTTCTTTTCTTTGTGTTGTATCCTCATTGCAAGCACCACCACCACCACCACACCCATTCAGCCACGGCATGTCTACACAATGCTACGTCCAATGCACTCGTCTCTCTCCCAATGAGCTCTCATTGAAAAAGGTAACCCGGCAAACAACGTTCCTTGGCAACCAAAGAACAACGCAAAGTAACACCTTTGACCACAGGCCCCTCTGTAGCCTCGGATGGTTGTTTCGAAATTCACTGCGACTGGATCGCCGGTCCGCAGTTTGACGACATTCGCAAATTGATTGATGGATGAATGTCTACAGGGATAAATCCCCTCGCCCTCCACCCAAAGCGTTATTCTCTGATATCATTCAATGCGACTATACCAGGAGGTTTTCTACGCATATTGGATCTGTATTGGCAAGCCCCACCTGGTGGAAGCAAGAGAAGAATGCTTGCCAACATCCCAATGGTAATGACAACAATCAATTCTCAGGTGCGATAATAATAGTACGCTAACGATTTCTTTGTTTACAGGAGTGATTCTATAAATCGAAATTGGGAGCAAGGCCACTGCAATGTTCATGACGACAATGTTTGATTACGTGAAAACCAACAACAACCAGATACCCCTCGCGGTGATGATATGGTCATTTTTCAACGAATGCTCACCATCATGGAGAGTCCTATGGCAATGAGTGCGTTTCAGCAGCTACAAGATCAAGGTGGACAAGAGCAACGCGAATACGTAGTTACCCTTCCTTGATTATCCTCTATCTACTGCTACAAGAATGATGTGATGGCGCGTGTCGGTTACCGTTTCTATCAAAAGGCATCGGCTTGGATGATGATACAAGCGCACATATGATGTTGTCGTATCAGTATCACGTGCAAACATCTACGACGGGCTCTTTTACCGTTTCGTCATCCTGACAACTTGCGACAACATCCAGCCATTCAATCAGCACAACCACGCAAGCGGGATTGTATTATGCCTGCTGAACCAAGTTTTGAATGGTATTGTGGTCGTCACGTGGACGCAATGATTTCGAGGAGTGAGGGCGCTGAACCATCAACGAGTATGATCAAGCTTAGGTGTATGTATGGTAAGTGTGTGTGTGATACTCGTGTGGGCTGTTTATTCTCGAGAATGGACAAGGAAACTAAAATTGGATAAGTAATCTAGGATGTAACCATACACGAGCTGAATCTGGATGATGGATACACGTGATTATTCATGGACACGACACAGGCAATTGCTATCAATGATGAGAGCTTCCCCAAACACAACAAAGACTGCATCATCAAGTTTGCACCCAAAGTGAACGTTTACAAGCTACACCATATAGCACAGCTCCCTGGCATTCATGGTCCTGTTGAAAATGTTGAGAGTTACACCACTCGTAGACAACAGCTCGACATCATTTTTTGAACGCTGATGCTCAAAGGGTTCAAACAAGCCAAGTATCGGTGTCCCTTATGTCCGCGCCATATCGCATCATCTTATGCATTGTCAGGAATATCGAACGGGGTGTGGACTATTTTCATGACGTGAGGCATGCCAAGCATGGGTCAAGCTTACAAGGCATTTCGTTGACCACCACCGATAGTTCAACAAAAGGTGCAAAGTGATACATGATTCTTCGATGTCAGCACCATGGCAAGCAACGTCGTTATACACCAACATCTGGTACACGACGATCGAGTTACACGAGTCGGCATGAATGCCCGTTTTTTATGCGCGTGTCATACAAGAAAGAAGCTGGTCGTTGGCGTGTCGTTACTTTTAATGGAGAGCACAATCATCCATTAGCACGCCACTCATCCAAGTATCCTAAAGCCCGGCGTCTTGGTGGATCCATGCTTAAAATCGTTCGTAATCTCGTGTTGGCACACGCAGAGAACCATACGATCATGGCTGAGGAGAATGGTCAAGGTAATGATATAGCTTCTATGCCATCAACTTTTATGCCAGCTTCTCATTAATGGCGATCGTAGTACGATTATTGATCATCATGCTATCACTGTCAAGTCCCAAGGCATCACGAACACCAGGATGGAGTTGAACAACCAAGCACGTTATCGGATTTTTTGGTGCATGGGGATGAAAAAGAAGGCTTCGATCTGAGTACGCTTCAAATCAAGATGTTGGTGGTTGCAGGAGGATAGTGTCAAGAAGAAACAATTGTTGCGTATGGTGGTTTCTTGGAGCACTGAGAGATTGAATGGCCAAGCAATTCTTGATGGCCTGCTCGGGCGGGTCATTGGAATCTTTAACTGGATGAGCTTATGTATGCAATGTAGCATTGTAAGATGTAACAAAGTATGCAGGATTGTTTCAGAATCATATTCCCTCGCTCGCTTACAATAAAACTCCCCGTTGGAATCATACCATATAAAACATTCAATTCTTACACAACACCTTGTGGCCTCATAAATGCGCGTCGTGGATTCAGTACGCGTGTGTATATAAAGAGGTGATCATGCAACCATGCTGAAAGTGTATAGTGATATAGGAGAAGCCCTCAAAATACTAAGGATGAGATCAAGGCGTGGCCCATCAAATTACCCCTTGGATTCCACGTTAATCCTCATTTTCATTGTCAAAGTTGCGTGATCATTGGCTTGCCGATCGTTGGTAACTCCGAGACCGTACCTTAAAAATCAACGCATGAAAGATGTCAGTTACACAAGATAAATTCATTGCCTGCCGAGACGTCTTCTTTCATACCAGCCATACCCCAATCTTATCAATCAAACGTGGTAGGTGGGAACCTTTAGCACCATTTAAGGATATCCTTGTAGCTTAACGATTGGTACTTTCTTAATGTGGAGCTGATCCTGGAACCAGGGCACGTAATTTCATTCAGGTCAACCTTAGAAAGATTGCCAAGTTGGATTGTTTGATGGTGGATGTGATTCCCTTGGTTCATTGTTATTTCTTATATGAATGAAATAGCCCGATGTTAGAATAGAGATTGCTGAAATTGATGCTGCAGCTCCATCCACCTCGTTCTTCTTAACCCTTTCACCCCCTTCCTTGTTACTACCATTATGATCCATCACAGCCCCCTTTTCTTGCACGGACAACAATTCCCACGCCATGCACATTATAAAAGCAAGATTGCTATCACAAACGTAAGCACGCACCTCTTTCATTCGGTGTATACTGTCAAGGGTCTGCTATACGGTAAGTCCCAAGAAAAGCTTTTATTGACCAACAACAATTATCTCATTGTAATGATTCGTGTAGCGCTTGTTCATCCCTGTGACACTTGAATAGCCTTACTATTCCCTGTTGGCTGGCGTGCTTGGTATAGATGGTAGCTCAAATTAGATTGTTCCACCTTTTCATGAAGTCCTACTACGAGAACCTTCACCGAATCCCACGTACTCCTCTCCACCGTATTCTTTCTACGAGTACCCAGCACCATACTCAAGGTTCATCACACAACGAGCTCCATCAACTCCACCCCCAATTCGAAATTCCACATTGCTATGTCCAATGCACTCGTCATTCCTCCATTGGGCTTTCATACAAAGGTAACTCGGCAACGACGTTCTTGCGTGACAACAGAAGAACCGCTAATTAACAACCACCTTTGACCACAGTCCCCCATAAAGGCTCGGCTGCTCCCTTTCCCAAAGCGTTATTGTCTGATATCATTCAATGCGACAAGTCATGGCGAACAATTCATCCCTCTTTGATTACTGGAATGACCATAACCAGTTTCAGGTACGTATCACTGTGATTCGTCTTTGTTGGGAGGTGGTAGTAGTGCCATGTGCTGATCATTGCTTTCATACATAGGTTGTCATTGTTCTCCTACTTTCATTGTCGCGGTCGTCATTATGGCATTGGCCTCACAAAAAGGTAAAACATGACTACGTATGCTTGATGAACCACATACTCATATATAACATTTTGGCAAAGGCGACATGATGTACCCCTTCTGAGACTGAAGTCGACAAGAACTGTTCCTGCTCCACGAGAAATGCAGACGACCACTCCGCTACGAGAGAGTGACCCATTTATTATGTACCACTCTTGGGAATTACGCTGAATAATACCTAGCAGATCAAGATTGGGCGGCACGCTTGGGGCTAGAATTGAACCAAGCTGAGGAATGTGGTGGCCTATCTTTTCATGCTGCTGCTTTAGTTTGGATCCAACGCTCGAATCCAGCAAGGTCTTGACTCGATACAGAGTATGCATGACACACTGCTCGTTATACTTCCTATGAAGGCTAATAAATCTTCCAGCTCTTCGCCATTCTCTTGCGCAAGAAAGATGGGATGGTGAAGTATGTAGGTGCTACTGGTGATGGAGATGACAATCAGCCTGGAAGCGGTGGCGGCCCAATGAGTGGTATTACGGCACCCTATGCTCGCCATACGAAATCTCAACATGTGCCTCATTTTTCGACAAGGAAGCGACATGTGGTATCAAAGGCGTCAAAGATTCCAGGAGCTTTCACTCAATCACGTGCGTTATGCCTTCTTCATACACCATGACGTGAATACCAAATGCTACAACAACGCGCTGCCTATTTGCTAGAGCGATGTTGGAGACATATGGAAGTGGTCGATATCAGCGCATTTGCATCACGTCCAGCTGCTGTATCCATGAGTAATCACGAAGACCCATCATTCAGAACCTGCTCGTGTATAGTTATACCTTAGGTTACTATCCAATCTTAGTTTCCTTGTTCTTCTCGAGAATAAACATATCCCACACCAAAACATTCAATCAACAAATTCGGATTTATAAGCACGAAATGAATATAGAGATATGTATCTTTAATTATGCCCATGATTACATCTCTTGGTGGTAATGAGCTGATAGATTGTTGGGTCACCTTAACAAAAAGGATTCACCTAATGCATCAATCAGGATTTGCTAAACAAGATAGCATTGTACGTGGGTGGAAGTACTCACAACGAGGAAAGAGTAGCGATGCATGCATTGAAAATTTGGAGGAGTGCCTGCACCAGCTTGTGATTGATCACTTTGGCTATGAGATGCCATGCTTTGTAACTTCGTTTCATCCTGTGATAGATATGATTAGAAGTGATCATGAAGCGTACTACTATTGACATACTTGATAACATTGTTGTCGTATCGATCGTTCCCATTGAAACTGGCAGGTGACCCTCTTGCTTCCAAAGAGAGGATAAGCTCTGTATGGTCCATATTGTTAATGAGCGGTTTCTTTGTTTTCATGAACACCGTTTGCCGAGATACTATTTCCATGGGAGACCATCAGAGGAGAGACGAGCGCATTGGATATGACATGGTGTCCATGTTGAGTCGAATGGTTGTGGGCGGTGATAAAACACAAAGGAAGGGAAGGGCTACACAAGCGTCATGCAGCAAACCCAGGCTGAGTTACTAGTTGCAGCGTATAGATTTCCACAATAAAAGCTATTGTATGACTACATTTGCTCATCAACAGCCCACAAGGTCGGGTCTATTATTATGCTCTTCAGGATCCTTCAAAAAATTCATCCACAGATATCTCTTGACAGCCAATGGTAACTCCCAAAAATTGGTTGCTTCCTCTTCACCAAAGAGACAAGCGCGCCCTCCTCTAGCTCTATGTGTATGACGACGAGATCTTCCATGAACATATCCCACAGGGTATCCTTGAGGTCCTGGTGGTGTGATACGTTCCGTTCTTGTTGGATGTACGACGCTTATATATCCACAACGGTCATCGAAGTCGTTGACACCGCAACTGACAGCAACACATGGTCCACGCCGTAAGGGGAGAGTGCTGATGTGCCTCATAAGGTATCGTTTTGTCGCTGCGCCATCGTAGAGCCATTGATCTGTGATAGTATCGTTTGGCTACGAACCAAGCCTAAGCCAATGGCTTTGATTACTTTATCCATAGCTTGTTGAAACTCCCAACCATGATCTCTCTCGGCAGCGTCGTGAATGTCGATTGGTCCAAGTTCACCTTCTTCAAAGTTCCATTGATTCCTCCCGGCTTGGTCCAAACATCCAACAGCGTCAACGGCACGTAACCCCATATCAGCCAGGATTGTCACCTCGATTTCAAAAGAAGGGTCGTCAATAATATCGTGTGCGTATAACATTTTATTGAAACGGAGCCCTTGTGGTTGTGATGCAATGACTTGACCATCGTTTTGTGGGCATCGTTGAAAAGTGTTGTGGCCGTCGTGTAGAAACCCATCATTACAAAAGGTGCAGGTTGCCTTTCTGATCAAGTTGGCATCTTGAATTCCGGTCCAGGTATTAAAATCAATAAGTCTCAAGATCGCCTGTCACTCGTCGTTCGGCAAACGGTCCAAAACTACGTTCGCGTAGGATATCCATGGCTTGTTCTTGTGAAATGCCGGCAAATGGACATCATGTAGTTATGTCACCTGCAAAGGAGTCCCAAATTCCCCATCAGATCTAGGTTTTCCTTTTGCCTACAAATGTACAAGACATCCTTTTAATAACGTTTATCCATATATAAGTGATGGTTACACCTACCACAAAGGATCTGTTGAGGAACACAGCCAAATGTCATTAAGCAGCGATGAGTACACCAAGCCATGAAGTAAGCTACTAGTACATGAAAACAAAAAGATGGATGCATGAGTACTGCATTTTGTGGATTGCATTAAGACTATCCTTGAGACTTACCAAAGGCCATTGATGATGATGATGATATGCATACAAGTAGAAAGAAAGGGCGTATGATAGTGTTGGTGCAAAGAGCCTTGTTTATATGTGAGCGGGCGTGGGAATTGTTGTCATGATGGATCAAGCTGATAAAGTGGTCAAGCATCTTGGAAATCAACAGCTGATAAGTCCATCTGCGGCTGACTATGCCCTGATGCATTCGCTATATTATATTGAATGTCGATTCCAGGCGCACGTGACATAAACCATGCTCGGTATTGTTCACTTTTGGCGTAAGGGATGTTGTATGGATGCGGAAGCGTCGAATCCTTTAAGCACATCGAGCTCTTGAATCATGGTCACCAGGGAACAGTGCGTGTTGCGTATACGTGCAGCGATCACTTTAAGAGATGCTATGCCATGCCTTGCAACTTCGACTCCTCCTATGATGAATGTGATTAGAATCGATCATGGAGCGTTTCACGATTGACATACCTGGGTATGGTGCCATTGCAAGTGGCAGAGAATCTTCTTGTCTCCAAGGAGAGAAAAACGCCCTGTGTGCTGATACGTTGCTATGGTCCATGTTAATGAGCGGTTTTTTGTTTCCATGAACACCGTTTGCCGAGATACCATTTCCATGGGAGACCATTTGCAGGGGAGACGAGTGAATTGGACATGGCATTGTCCATGTTGAGTCGAATGGTTGTGGGCGGTGTGGGCGGTGATGAAACACAAAGAAAAGGAAAGGCTACACACGCGTCATGCAACAAGCCCAATCTGAGTTTTCAAAAATTGAATAGGTTGCACTGATGCCAGTCAAATCTCTCTCGGATTAAGAAAGCCGAAGGATGGAAATGATGGGCTGGAGCAGGGAAATAGTTCACATGTAGTAGAATAGTAACAGTTGCAAATGGGAGGAAGGAGCTATCAACTGGTAGTTTTTATTAACCAAGTATAATTTTTCTCATGTTGGATTATGGAGATGATGGGCTGGAGCAAGAGAATCGTTCACATGCAGTGGATTAAAACTGAGTATGAGTGGGAAGATGTGAGAGAAAGAGAGAAAGGGATTACATGTGTATGTGTATGAGTATGCAACGATTAAAGAATCTGATCCACTGCCCACATAGTAGGATCTTGTTCGTGATGGTCTTTTGGATGCTTGATAAAATTCATCCATAGGTAGCGCTTAACGGCAAGCGGTAGTTCCCAAAAGTTGGTTGCTTCTTCGTCGCTAAATTGGCAAGGTCTTCCCCCTCTTGCTTTGTGTGTATGTCTACGTGTCCTTGGATGATTGTATCCTGCAGGATATCCATGCTCGCCAAGTGGTCTGATCCTCTCAGTACGAGTCGGGTGTATTTTTTGGTTTAACCACCTCAAATAGTTGCGATTGGGTAGTTTGACGCTTTGATGCTGCCATTCATGCCGACAGTTGCATAATGTTTGATGTTGTATAGCCCATCAAATAGATTTGCTGAAGAAGCGTGTTTCAATTGCACGACGCCATCATGGAAGATCTACAGCGAACATCCATCCCAACTACGAATGGTCCTCGTCGTAACGTCGCTGTGGTGATATGGCGTATGATATACCTCTTTGTAACAGCTCCTTCATACAGCCATTGGTCTGTGATCATATCGTTAGAAAATGCGAAGTTCGCCCAACCCACTTGCAATGATGGCCTTGTCCATTGCTTGTACGAACTCCCATTCCTGATCCCTTTCATTGATGTCATGTATATATATATATATATCACCAAGCTTGCCGACATCGAAATTCCATTGATTCCTGCCGGCTTGATTCAAAGCTTCAACAGCGTCAACAGCACGCAACCCCAAATCAGCCAAAGTTGCCATCTCAATGGCGAAAGAGGGGTCGTCAATAATATCGTGTGCGTATAATATTCTATTGAAACGAAGCCCTTGTGGTTGTGATGCAATGACTTGACTATTGTTTTATGGGCATGGGTGAAAGGTGTTGTGGCCGTCGTGTAAAAACTTGTCATTGCAAAAGGTGCATGTTGCCTATTTGATGAGAGTGTCGTCAGGAATTTGGGACCAAGTTGGAAATCACACAATTCGTACCTCTTTCAGCTGTTTATAGCATTGTATATATAGTAATGCCGATGATTCGTTCTTCAAATCATTGTCATTGGTCGAGTCTAGGTCATGCATGCTGTGCCGAATGAAGATCTTGTTGTAGCCTGATATCAGCATTGTGAACATTCTAGTGCTGTATTGCCGCTTTCTCGTGTCGAAGTGGAGCATGTACAATAAGTCGTCGTGTCCATTGCTTGTGAACCAATAGCTCTTGTAGGTTTCAGTCTCAGAAGGGATACATCATGCCATCGAAGCCTGATTAATGTGTTATTTAAGAGTACGTGATCCCTCAAGCAAAATGACTTGATCTTACCTTAACGAAAGAGCCAAATATCACAATGAAAGCCCAGACAATGAAAGCAAGATAAGAATGAACGCTAAAGATGATCATCTAATATTAGTACATGAGTTACTCATAAAGGGCCCATCCACTATAGTACTCACGTCAGCTTGGGCTTTGAAGTTGAGGACAATCAATGAGCGATATAATGAAAGCAAGAGATGTGGTGTAGTTGGAGTAGAATAGTGGGCGACAACATCCTTGTTTATATCTGCATTGGTGGGCGTGGGTATTTTTGAGATCGTAGAATGTGCTGGAAATGGTGATGAGCTGATAGATTGATGGGGGAATGCCTTCACAAAGAGCCTTGGTGTGATTGATTGTACATGATAAATCAGGACCTGAAATAAACGAGGAGGATGTTGAGAGTACTCACGACGAGGAAAGAGTGATGATGCATGATGAATTGATATATTGGATAAACGTCCTATGCTCTTGATTGTTGACATCATTGGTGTCGCTTGGATGGGGAAGAGCCGAATCCTTTGAGATCATCGAACTCTTGAATCATGGTCTCCAGGGAACTGTGCGTGTTGCGTATACGTGCAGCGATCACTTTCAGTGATGAGATGCCATGCCTTGCAACTTCGATTCCTCCTATGATGAATGTGATTAGAATCGATCATGGAGCGTTCTACAATTAACATACATGTGTATTTTGCCATAGTATGTTGTCATTGCAAGTGGCAGGGAATCTTCTTGTTTCCAAGGAGAGAACAACGCCTTGTATGCTGCTGACCTGTTGCCATTGGTCAAAGTTGTTTGTAAGCGATCGCTTTGTTTCCAACAACACAGGTTGCCGAGATACCATTTAAATGGGAGACCATTTGCAGGGGAGATGAGTGCATTGGACATGGCATTGTGTGCATGTTGAGTCGATTGGTTGTGGGCGGTGATAAAACACAAAGAAAGGGAAGGGCTACACACGCGTCATGCAGCAAGCCCAGGCTGAGTTTCTAAAAATTGAATAGGTTGCACTGATGCCAGTCAAATCCCCTCGGATCAAGAAAGTCGAAGGATGGAAACGATGGGCTGGAGCAGGGAAATAGTTTACATGCAATGGATTGGGCAACAAAGATGAATCGTTCGAGGATTTTCAATGCTTTTCATCTATCAGCATGTGAATTAGGAAGCTTTGGTGAATGATACGTACGATGATGCAACTGATCCGATCCCTCTTATTTCAACCTTCAAGTTTCTATCCACCCTCTCAATCCAAATGATCCACAAATTGATCATTCAATGATATAACGATACCCTTCTTAATAACATGTTGAATCCAATTTTCATTCAATGAAAGTAAAATTACATTGCAATGTGGGTGTTTATGAAGTAAATATAATATAAGAAGAACATTGCAAATCGAATAAAGGTATGGGGGTGAATCACATAGCGGTGGTAACGGGGAAGAATGCGTCATTATATTCTCCTTCATCCATGATTGTAAAATAGCTGCCGCGCGCCATTAACTCGAGCATTCCAATACCATCTATAGCTGTAAACACCTTTCGTCAATTCCATCCTATCCATCATCATCCTCAGCCGTATCCAGGTGACATGATCCATCACTCTTGCTGACAGCGCGACAAGCAATCACCATCATTCTCGTTGCAGCCATCCATCCACCATCACCATTCCAAACCCAACATGTTGATAGAAAGGAGCCCCTGCGGTTGCTGTTGATATGCTTCCTTTTCCATCCAATCCTTGGCCACTCTCTCTTTGTTGATCATGTTCGATCGCAGCTCAACCAGCTGAAGATTGCTTGTATTGATGGCTGATATGGTTTCATCCAAACTAGAGATCACGTTCTGAATGGGCCAAGGGAATTCAACGCCTTGTGTATACCCAATTCCTTCCATCCCATACACCAGACCATTATCCAGATCCATATCCATATCCACAAGAAGTCGTATATATTGGACAAAGTTGTTACTCGTAAATAAAGCTGCTTCTATACAATGGCTATCTGCTGTCCACGTAAACAAGGCTGTAAGGCAAGCTGCTGCAAGTGAAGAACGCT